TAGAAATTTTGGTGACCCACAGGTACAAGTCGGCGAAGGCGGTGAGGCCAGCGTTGCTAACGCCCCACCTTTTCACAGCCATAAGAGGCCTGCCTCCGTTTCATAGACATAAAGCCGGCCCGCCCTACTAGCCTACGTTTCTTGGCTATTCCTCCCATTTGAGATTTGCAAAACCATCTAAACGACCGCTTTTGCAAATCTCAAATGGTAGGTCTTTTTCTTCCCTTCTAAGGAGGAATTGGGTTTTATCAAACTAAACTGAAACGGCTTTTATAAATCTCAATTGATTTCTACTTCTATTTCCTCTTATATAATAATAAAGAATGCCCCCCCTACCCTCAACGTTTGAGACTCTCATCACTACTACTAAGTAGTTCCCATTGACTCCTCGTCCTACGGATGCTTGCCTGTAATCTTCTTCCATTCGAACGAAGGCCAGTTGATCGGCCAGTACTAAGAGTAGTTACTTGGCTTCGTGTCTGCCGCTGGGAAGAGGTTGGCGCCTGGCTACTGGCTGTCTCTTGTGTAAGCCTTGCTAAGGTGGTCCTATTACGGCTTCCTGGTGGTCTGCCACGCCTGCGCCCTGCTGCTAATTGGCTAGGTTGTTGACTTTGTAGTTGGCTGTGTGATTGTCTAGCTAGCTGGTTGCTTGATTGGGTGCTATCCCTTAATGATAGGTATGATGGGACTGGCTGCATTGAGTTCTTAGGTCTGCCACGGAGGTTTCCTGCAATCTTCGGATCAAGGATCCGTCGATATGGATCCTGGGAAGAAGACTCCCGCAGCCGCCATCGTGGGTGAACCTCATCCTTCATAAACTGTACCCCATCTACAAGTTTAGAGTAGATCTTATGGCAGCATGGGATACCATACTCTATAGAGACAGTACAGTCCTCTGTGCAGTCTCTAAGAGGCGCTGGAAATGGATTTCTACCTGTTGGTAGAGCCTTCTTTGCCAGACGGTATTGCTTCGTAATCAAACCAAGACACTGCGATGAGAGTATTGTTCGAAGCTCCCCAAGGTACTCAGATCTGTTCCCTATAAACTCACGGCTTGTGAGGATCTCATCCTGTGCACAAGCTTGCTTGAAGCGAACCTCTTGATCCTTAAGCATATCCTGCATCACATTAACTAAGTGATATAGGTGGCTAAGTCCATTAAGAAGATAGCCCTTGATGTTGTTGTTGCTTGATTCCGTCCCTGAGGTTACACGGATGCCGAAGTTTCGGTACTGGCGAATAGAATAACGTGCCCACTGCTCCCTTAGTGGTAGATATATTCCATGCAGGTAGTTCAGAATAGGCCGTTGGTCCTTAAACTCTTTGCAAAGGTTTGCCCATGCTTTCCTAAAGGCATCCTCTGTCTCAGCAAATAGAACCAACTTCCACATTATAAGAACCCCCCGGTAGCTATGTAGCGTAGCCCCATCTACTGAAGTATGGATATAGGCATGGTCCTCATCGCTAAGTTCGGTAACTGGTTGTGGAGCTAGATCGTCTTCTTCAGACCCACTACTACTAGAATAGCTCTGAAGCCACTTCTGCTTGGCTTTAAGCATAACGTTTGAGTTGATATGGTGAATACAAAGCTGTTGTTGCATATTCGGAAAGTATTCGTTAAGAGCTGCCTTCATCTGTCTGTCGTAGTCGGTGATAATAACATCTGGTTGGCGAATAGAGTTCTGATTAATGAGTTGTAAGATACTCTGCGATAAGAACTGGAACCCCTCTAGTCTCTCATTATCGATGAGACCAAATGCTGCATTGAATACCGATCCAAGACATGTTTGCCCTGTAGCTTGGAAGAGTGGAAGCTTGAAGCGATTGGTGTTATAGGTGTTGTCAAAGCTGATAACCTCGGGGAACCGCTTCCACATCCGGAGAGAGTATGGAAACGTCTAGACAAGCCTAACAAGCCGATTCGGCTCATCATCCGCCCACTTCACAATATAAGGGATCTCCCGCTCATCAAAAAGCTTGATTAGAGCTGTAGTTGGTGTATATATATTAAGCTTTTCGCGATTGATTCGGGCTCTAGCGTTATAGATATCCCGCTGGGTGAAAACAGATTCAGGAAACTGCTCCTGAATAATAGCACCTACGTCGCGTGCCCGAATACCAACCCGCCGACTAGTAGTCTCAACTGCATCCTTAATAGGCTTAGTCAACCTCCTATAGGCTGGGTGTGCAGATGATGCTAAGCTAGGGATATGATTATGCTGGCTGTGTATTGGGTTGGAATGCTGACGTAAAAGCCATTTCCCCTCCTCTATTGCTTCAGCAATAATTTGCCATTGGCAATCACACTTCCGAGATGCGCGGGCTCGGATGCCAGCACCTCTACCTCGCTTTGGTAGCCCAAATCGATCGCAACGAAGTATATAGCGAATTATACATCCTTTACGATAGCATCTATTATACTTTGCAATCCCAAATCCATGCTCTTTTGCAAATTTATTAACTCGGTCGAGGAGGGTTTTAATTGTTGCTTCTGGTTCGCTAGGGATCGGTGGGTTTGGAATAGTTTCGGGGGTAGGTGATTTCGACCTTTCGCTTGTAGTAAGGAATAAAGTACTTGGAGAAGATGGTATCGCTATCACTTCTGGGCTTTGTCGGGGAGGTGAATAAGGTGGAGGAGGAGGAGACTCGCCGATTGAGGATATGTCTGAAGGGTGTGGTGAGTAGCCCCAAGCCTCACGATATCGACGAACGCGTTCACATTGTTGGAGGAGAGCACGCGTAAGACGTCGGTTTGTCCCAACAACCTCTTGAATAAGGCTTAGAACAGTAGAGAACTGATCTGAAGTAGGTTGTAAGGGTTGATTTTCAGGTTGTAATACTAATTGGCTTTCTTTTGGTTGACGTTCAGGTAAAATTGTACGCTGCATACGTATTGTCCCCTTTGGAAAGGAACATAGAAGATATAATTCATCTCCCTGGGGGTTGTAGCTTGTGTCGGAATCTTGCTGTAATTGTTCAGGTGGAATCTCAGAGATTAGGTCAGGTTGACCCTCACGATCGCCAGCCCCATAGAATTGACTGATAGTGGCATCACTACTAACTGAGATAGCACGGCGTTGGCGCTTGGGAGAAGGCAATTGATTGTATATACTAGAGCTGCTGGGTCGGCGACGCGATTGGGGCCTTGATTGACTTGTAGAGGTAGACATCTTGACGTTGTAAAGGAGAATAAATTGAATATGTCTAATGCGCTTTCGTAGTTATGAAGGGATGGGCTAAGAAGATAAGAAAGATACTTCATTAGATGATGGCAGAATTCGGATGCACTAACAATAAAATTTTGAGCCAATCACAACCTTAGAATGTAATGCGTCCCTAAGGATGATGCGTCCCTATCAATTCGTGATGCGTCCCTATCAATTCCCATAATAAATTACTAACTTAGTTTATCTAAGGTTATTAAGTTCCTTTTTTACCTTATTTATTTATCTAGGTCTTAGAATAAGGATTTAAGTATATACTTAAATCCTTTAAAGCTATCGAAAATATTATAAGTCTTTATATTATAGTCTTTTAACGTTTCGTTTTATTAGTAATTTTTTAAAAACGGTTTAAACTACTAAAAGGCTTTCCTATCTAAGAAGGTCGAAATATATAAAACTTTCTTAGACTTATTTCTAAAGTTAAAATAGTAAAAGTTATAATAATTCTTAAGTTAAATTAGGAATCTTTTAAGTTTGCTAAGAGTATTATTATACTTACTTAAGGTATTAAAATAAAGCTTTTCTTATCTATTTATAAAGGTTTAGATAATATTAGTAATACTTTATAAGGTATAGTTCTAGTTTAGGAGTTTTTAGTTACGTCTTTTAAGGTTCTGGATAGTAGCTTAGAATTACTTAAAGACTATAGCGTTTAAATTAAATATTTCCTAAAGTCTTTAACGTTACGGTTATTCTTATAAACCTAATGCTAAAGTTCTTTATTACTATTATCTTCTTCTTCTTTAGATTCTTCTTTTATATCCTTTATTTCTTCTTTTCTAAGTTCCTAAGCAAGGTTCTTAATAGGTGCCTTCCCCTTAGAGGAGTTAAGAAAAGTAGTAGGAGTTTTAGTAGTACTAAATAAAGATATCTTATTAAGGTATTATTTATTAGTTTCGTAAGGTTAACTTACTAAATAAAAGCAATTAAAGTATTACGGCTAGTTAGTAATAATAAGGTTTCTATTAATAGAAGTTAAAGCTACGATACTAATAATAAGTCTTATATTATATATAAGTATATTATATTAGTAGATTAAAGGCTAGGGTAAGGTAATTAGTTTTATACTAAGTAATAAGGTAATAATATTATAAACTATAAGCTAAGCTAAAAGTTATTAAGGATAAATTATAAGTTAATTACTAAAGAACTATCTAAAAGCTTTAAGTAAGTACTTAAGTCTTAGTTTATATATAAGTCTTAAAGTAAGTATTCTAAGTAGCTTTAGTAAGCTGTTACGGCCAGCTATCTGACAGTAGGGTTCTGCTAACAGAAGGTGCAGTAAGAGACTAACACTGGTTCGTAGAGGTCGTTCTGGTAGATCGTAGGGTTAGGGTAAGGTGATCAGTCTTACACTATGGTAACGAGGTTCTTAGTATTCACAATACTGAGAGGTAAGCTGAAAGTCATTCGAGGATGAATCACAAGTTGATTGCTGAAGAACTATCTAGAGGGCTTGAGCAGATGCTCAAGTCCTGGTCTATATACAAGTCCCGTTTCCCAATGTCTTGGAGAGTCTATAGAGTCGCTCGTCGACTCTATCGACTCTCTTCTGATTGGTCCTTTACAGGAGTCTACAGAGTCGCTCGTCGACTCTGTCGACTCTGTCCTGATTGGTCGATTGTCACGTGACTTGTAACGTAGTTCTTCCTTGCCGAGAGGTTTACCCTTGTTCCCGTGATCCTACGTACATATGTCCTGTCGTAGCCGCCCGACCCAGTGGGTCTGTTAAGTGCATCTGACGGGTCGTAACATCAGGTCTCCCCTCGATGGTCTTGTCCTCAAGGCCAACATAAGTAGGTCGTGGCTTCCCAGGTTGGGGAGTCGTCAATCGTGCTTCCTTGTTTATTCATGATGCTGACATCATGTCAGGTCGCGTTCAAAAATCCAAATCAAAGAACCCTGTGGCTTATAAGGAACTTAGCCAGCTTGTCGATTTGTTCGGGTTCATCATGCCTGTCCCTTGTTCCGGTTGCGCGGCTGCCGGTGTCGACTGCGTCGTTTCCGAAGTTAATTCTTCTCGTTGTTCGCGTTGCGTTGCCGATAAGCATTCTTGCGACATTCACGGTCCTTCCGCGGCTTCCCTCATTCGGGTTCGGCAACAGAAAATAAAAATTGATGATGAGCTTGAGAAAGCTGAAGAAGAGCAGTTAGCTCTTATGGCGAAGATTCGTCGTTTACGAAGGCGTCGCAAGGACATCAATCGTGAGGCGACTGATCTCATTCGATCTGGTTTGCGGCGTGTGGAGGAGGTTGAGAATGAGTATCGTTCCGAGGTTCTTGGTTTGCAGAGTGCTAGCTCGGAAACTGTGGGTGCACTTCATTCCCTGGGTGCTATTGGCGTTGTGGATTGGTCTGGCGTCGGTTTGGACGACTGGGGTCCAGAGACGTCCTCTGGTGCCAGTATTGTTGGAGTTCTTCCTGAGCGTGTTCCAGGTTCTTAGCTGGTTCCCACGAATCGTCTTCGTGTCCATAGTTTTTCCACTTAATGAAGTATTCTGTTGTTTCGTCATTCCTCCGGTGGTCTAGAATGCGTTCTACTTCGTATTCGGTGTCATCTGTTTCCACAATGATGCAGTCTTCGGTGTGTGTACCGTCCGGTGCTGGTTCTAATAATGAGACGTGAAAGACTGGGTGACATTTCATTGTTTCCGGTAGTTTCAACTCGTAGTTGACTTCGGAAATTTTCTTCGTGATTTCGAAAGGTCCTAGTTTTTTGAAGTCGAGTTTGTCGCTAGGTCGTTTCGTTTTGATGTTTCGCCGTATGAGGTAGGCGCTACCTCCCTCTTTTAGGGGTGGGCCTCTCACCCTATGTCGGTCGGCGTGTTTCTTCATTCTTTGCCGTACGAATTCGAGTTCTTGGGGTAGTTTTTGTTGGATTTCCTTAAGTTTCTTGATGTCTGCTACTGCTTTTATCGCGGCAGAGCCGGTTCGGGGTTCTCCATAAGCGGTAGGGTTGAATCCATAGTTGAGGAAGAAAGGTGATTCTCGCGTGCTTTCTCCTATTGAACTGTTGTATGCGAACTGTGCGGTTGGTAACAACTTGACCCAGTTGTCCTGGTCGTAGTTCACATAACTCCTTAGGTACGTTTCCAGGATCTGGTTGATTCTTTCCGTTTGTCCGTCGGACTGCGGGTGGAAGGCAGTGCTGAGGCTGTGCTTTGCTCCGAGCTGCGAGATCAGGGATCTCCAGAACTTGGACGTAAAGACTGATCCTCTGTCTGATACTATTTCCTGGGGCAGGCCGTGTTGGCTGACAATGATCCTGAGAAAGGTGTATGCTAAGTCTTCTGCCGTGCTTGATTCCAAGTATGGTATGAAATACGCGTACTTCGTGAATCTATCCACAACCACTAGTATACTGTCGTACTGTACTTTAGTGAGTGGTTCTCTCGATTTTGGTAGTTTGACGATAAAGTCTAGAGAGATTGAGTGCCAGGGTGCTGGTGGTGCTGGCAATGGTTGTAATTCTCCATATGGTTTGTGTCTGCTGGGCTTACTTTTTGCGCAGACTTCGCAATCCTTGATTGCGTCAGCGACGTCTTTTCTTGTTACTCGCTTGTCGTGGTGTTGTCTGATTCGTTTCCAGGTTTTCGTAACTCCTTGGTGACCGTGAGCGGGTGCGCTGTGTATCTCCCTGATCTGGTCGTGTGTCATTCTTCCAGTCGTGCTGGTCTTGACACGGTCGCCGATCATTAAGAGTTTCGCGGCGGGTACGAGGTCGCCATTGTCTTTTTTGAGGATAACCTGAGTTTCTTCTGGGACTTCGTCCTTGTAATCGGGTCTTCGGCTGAGCGCGTCTGCTCTGCCGTTTTCTGATCCTTTCCTGTAGATGATTCTGAAGTTGAATTCTGAGAGGAATTCTGACCATCTGATTTGTCGTTTGTTGAGCTCTTTCGAAGTGGTGAAGTGTGCCAGATTCTTGTGATCCGTGTATACTTTTACTTCGTACTTTGTTCCTGATAGTTGGGGTCTCCATTCTTTGAATGCGTCGATAATTGCCATAAGTTCCTTATCATGGATCTGGTAATTCAGTTCAGGTCCTTGGAACTTCCTTGAAAAGAATCCACAGGGGTGTAGGACTCCGTTCTCGTCCCTTTGGCCTAGCTGCGCTCCTTCAGCTTCGTTCGAAGCATCCGTTTCGAGCTCGAAGGGCTTCTCAGGGTTCGGAATCTGGATGACGGGTTCCGATGTGACCTTGTCCTTGACTTCTTGGAACGCTTTCTGTTGTTTGTCTGTCTATTCCCAAGGTGTATTTTTCTTAGTGAGTTCGGTAAGAGGCAATATCGTTTTGGAGTAGTCTTTGAGGAATTTTCGGTAGAAGTTGACAAATCCTAAGAAGGATAGTATGTCCTTCGGGTTTTCTGGTGTAGGCCATTCTTGCACAGCCTTGATTTTGTTAGGGGACATCTTGATTACGCCTGGCGTGATTGTGAACCCTAAAAATTCTACTTCCTGTTTGTGAAACAGACTCTTCTCTGGTTCCACAAGTAGCTTCGCTTGTTCGAGTGCTTTGAGAATCTCGTGGACATGCTTCTTGTGTTCTTCCAACGTTTTGGAGAATATAAGGATGTCGTCGAGGTACACAACAACAGACTTGTCCAGATATTCCCGTAGTACTTGGTTGATCATAGTTTGGAATGTAGCCGGTGCGTTGGTGAGTCCAAATGGCATGACTAACGTTTCAAACTGTCCTCTTCTCGTTCGGAAGGCTGTTTTCCACTCATCTCCTTCTGCAATTCGGATAAGGTTGTAGGCTCCTTTAAGGTCCAAGGCTGTGAACCATTGGGCCTCGTAGAGTAGGTCTCTTAGTTCCGATATGAGGGGCAGTGGGTAACAGTCTTTGATCGTAATATCGTTGAGTCGTCGATAATCGACACAAAGTCGTTTCTTCCCGTTCTTCTTTGGTACGAATAGTACGGGGTATCCTGCGGGTGATTTCGAAGGTCTGATGAATCCTTTCGCAAGATTTTCGTCAAGCCATTCGTCTAAGGCTTTCATTTCTTCTTGGTTGAGTGGGTATATTTTGTTAAAGGTGGGTTCGTGTCCTTCCTTAATTTCGATCTTGTGATCCCACTTGCTGTGTTCCGGTAATCCGGTCTCGAGTTCTGGTGCAAAGAGTTTGCTGTAGACCCTGTATTCAACAGGTATCTTTGACATTGGATCTTCCGTGACTTTGTCAATCGTCGTGGCTGCTAGCGTCCTAGTGCCAATGTCTTTTATCCTTAGCATCAGGCGTGGTCTTGCTCTGGTTGCTGCTAGTAATCCGCATGAGGCCTTCGTCGAGTGCTTCTCAGAGGCTGGATTGAATTTTATTCGGCCGGTAACCCAATCGATTTGTGGGTTATGTCTTCGTAGCCATGGAATTCCGAGGATAACGTCGTGGTTTCCTATCTCCGTGATGTCGAGGCTGATAAGCTCCTGATGGCCATGGTAGAGCAAAGGGAGTTGCGCTGTCTCCTGATCAATGCTGCCTCCGCCATACTCGACTTCTTTCCCTTCCACATTCCTTAGTCGGTAAGGGTTTTGCTTCTGATTCCATGGTATTTCTCGCTGTTGCACTATTCGGGGTGCGATAAAGTTTCCTTGGGCTCCTGAGTCTATCAGGACCTGTGTGGTGTATCCGCCCAGGTTTACTGTGATCTTCATTTGTGCGTCGTCGTCGAATGTAGCATATAGGGACTTGCTGGGGGAGCTCGCCATGTGTCCCGGACAAGGCGGCTCTCCTAGTTTTTTGAGTAGAGGGCCTTCTCGCCCTTCTTTCGGTCTCTGCCGAGGTTACTTTCTCTGATTCCTAGACGAGGTGGGCTGGGCGTCTCGCCGTCCTGTCCTTGCTTGTCTAGTTCTTGTTGTCGGAATCTCCAACTTTCGCTTTTTGGAATGTAGTGGAGTTTGCATAGGTCTTCCCTGCAATTCCACCAGACTCCCGTGAAGTGGTTCACACACTTCTGAGGGTATTCGACGCTGGGTCGTAGGAATGCTATTCCATTGTTGTTGGTTTTCCATTCTCCGGGTTCTCCCCGTACTTCCCAATATGAGAGTTCTTGTTCCTCATGGGCTCTGCGGATTCGCAGTTCTTCTTTTCTTTTGGGGTATAGTTCGTTTTCTGCTTTCTTTAAGAGATGGTAGGCGCAGTGATCGAAGATGCAGTAGATCCATGCTATCTCCTTGTGTTCTCTGTGCTGTGTCGTAATCCTGGGATCGTCTTCCAAGAATATTTCTTCATCCCGGGTTTGTGTGATTGTTGTAGGGATTTTGTTATGATATTCTTCTGCATGGAAGGCGATCTGTTGGCAGTCGTCTTGGGGGTCGATGTATTTGTATTCTAGTACTTCCTTAATTTTTTCCATTCTGTCGAGATGGTGTTCTTCTTCTGCGTCTTCCGGGTCGGTATCGTCTATCGACGTTCCTTGTGGACGTACTTCCGCCGAGGGTGGTCCGTCTACGACGTCTTCAGCCCATTCCGAGATGGGTTGAGGAGTAGCGCGGGTTCTTTGTGGCAATTCAAAGGTCGAGTCGCTGGCTACCGTGGTATATGGTGAGCTCCATCGTTGGCTTAGGTTGTCCTTTGCTTGGTATACTCGGGTCTAGGTGCTGGCGTCCCTGAATTGTTGTTGTCTCAGCATTTCATCCAATTGCTCGGTGGCTTTGCGGGCGTATTTGCTGGCTACCGCGAGGGTTCGTTCCGTCTTTCCATCGTTTTGGGGTCGGTAGACAAATTGGGTTGCTTTGTACTTGAGTTGATACTGTCCTCGGGTGTTTCCGCGTAGTGCGATGCGGCGGTCTCGGGTTTTCCGCATGTGTTGGAGGGTGTCTCCAACTTCGCTGTTGTTTCGAATTTGCATCGTGTAGTTGATGGCGTCTTGTATCCGTTTGATGGCTGTCTCGTTTTCTTCTTCGAGTTTCCTGGCTTCTTCTTCTGAGAGACTTTCCGGGGTGTTTACTTCATTCGTCTGTCGATAGTTGGCGAGGCGTGGGATGTCCCATAAGAGTCCCGGTTGGTACACAATGCTACCATCTTGGAAGGCGTTGTTGAGTTCCGCGGCCTTCTTCGCTTGTTCCCAGTCGTCGAGTGGCTCTTGTCGCTGCTTAGTGTAATCCGGTCCACCGGTGTATCGGTCTATCACAGCAATGGCCTTGGGTATGTTGGTGGTGTCGTATCCCGATCGTCCTGCTGGGTTTTGAGGGTACCATCCACTATTCTCTTTTGCATGCCTGTGCGTAGTGCAATCATTGTCATAGCAGGCTGTCCATCCCTTTTCTTCGTGGCTAGGGATTTTGGTTGCAGCGTTGGCTTGCTTAGGGGTTGCCGTAAGTTTCTTAGGCTGTATGCAGTGTCTGGCCATGTGTCCTGGCTTGTCGCAGTTGTAGCATTTGAATTCTCTGCGTCTGGGTTTGTCTTTTTGCGCGACGCTCAGGTCCATGGGTCCACTGTGTTGTCCATGTGCGGTGCTCTGCTGATTGTTGTTCCTGTTGTTCTGGTTTTTGTTGTTGAACTTGTGTTGAGGTTGCCATTGGTATTTCTTTCCTGAGTTGGCTGTTTGACGTTTTTCTCCTTTTTCCTTGCGTCGTTCAAACAGTCGGTTGTCAATCTTAATGGCGTATTCGACATAATCAAGGAAGCTAGGTGGCGTGTCCACTTTGGCCATTTCGTCCTTGACGTCGTCCTTGAGACCCTGGTAGAAAGCGAAGACTTTGCTTTCGTCGGTCATGTCGAGTCTGGCTGCGAGTCGTCGAAATTCTGCGGCGTACATTGTAGCTGATTTGTTTTGTCGTAGGCTCGCCAGTTCTCTTTCTGCTTGTCTTTTCTCATCGGGGTCTAAGAAGAGAGATTGAAGGGCTTTAACATATCCACTGAAGCTGAAAAAGATGTCCTTCACTTCTTGACTGTATCTCTCGATAGGGGTGTCCAGCCATTCTTGTTGGAGGGGTTCGAACCAAGCGAGGGCCTTCCCTCTCAAGAAGGTGGCGGCGTGGACGACACGTTCGGTATCGTTCTGGAACGTGTTGATGTGGAAGGCTTGGTAGGTCCGTATCTGTACCAAGTATCCTTTGAGCTGTCCAGGGGTTCCGTCGAAGGTGGTAGGGGTGTTGAGCTTAAGGCGTTCTCTTCCTTCGACAGGAGCTGATATGACGTTCGCGGCAGCTCGAAGGGTTGTGACTTCCTTCTCTAGTTCTTTGGTGCGGCGGGCTTGTTCCTGTAGCTCCTTGAGGGCTTTGACGTTCTGGTTGAACAGGTTTTTCATTTCCCTGAGCTCGTTGTTGTTCCGCTCAAGTTGCCGCTTAAGTTCTTCATTGTCGTCATCGCTATCGGATTCCTCCTTCATTTCCTGGTCTTGAATCTCTTGGGCCAGATTCTGGGGAATACGTCTCTCGGACGTGGACGAGGTTCCAGGAGTAGGGTTTTCGGTAGTTCCGTGCGAAGACATCTTGTCTTATACTGTTCGTTAGTCTCAAAGGGCAACTTACTGAACAGGAGCAATCAAAGTGTTACGGCCAGCTATCTGACAGTAGGGTTCTGCTAACAGAAGGTGCAGTAAGAGACTAACACTGGTTCGTAGAGGTCGTTCTGGTAGATCGTAGGGTTAGGGTAAGGTGATCAGTCTTACACTATGGTAACGAGGTTCTTAGTATTCACAATACTGAGAGGTAAGCTGAAAGTCATTCGAGGATGAATCACAAGTTGATTGCTGAAGAACTATCTAGAGGGCTTGAGCAGATGCTCAAGTCCTGGTCTATATACAAGTCCCGTTTCCCAATGTCTTGGAGAGTCTATAGAGTCGCTCGTCGACTCTATCGACTCTCTTCTGATTGGTCCTTTACAGGAGTCTACAGAGTCGCTCGTCGACTCTGTCGACTCTGTCCTGATTGGTCGATTGTCACGTGACTTGTAACGTAGTTCTTCCTTGCCGAGAGGTTTACCCTTGTTCCCGTGATCCTACGTACATATGTCCTGTCGTAGCCGCCCGACCCAGTGGGTCTGTTAAGTGCATCTGACGGGTCGTAACATAAGCGCTTACCTTGCTTATCGTAAGTACTTACTTATCTTAGTATAAACGCTTACTAATTCCTTATTAATACTTACCTTCTTATTATTACGTAACCCGTATAATAACTTTTCTATTCCGGTAGTAACTTATTATTTCCTATATATCTTATATATATCTAGTAATATAGCCGCTAGCCTAAGTAGGTTTGTTAACCCTCTATTAAGCGTAACGAACGGGTCGTAATAAGGGGGTAGCTAGGCTTATAAAGTTATTAAGATAAGCCTTAATCTCCTCGAAGAGTATATCGTCTAGGTAGAAGGTAAAAGCATCCTAGGCGCGCTTTTTAGTATCTTAAACCTAAGTACTATTAACCTTATGTTACGGCCAGCTAACTGACAGTGGGTTTGTGTTAACAGTAAGCCAGGGATTGAGAGTAGTAACAGTCGTTCCGTGGTCCTGGTCGAATAGATCGTAGATCTTCAAAGGTCTTGGTGATCAGTCAAGGCCTCAACAAGAGTCGTAGAGTAGTCGTCACTTAGGTATAGCTGAAAGTACCGGTTAGGGTAATCACAAAGTTGATTGCTGAAGAGCTATGGAAGTCTGTCCTCGAGCCCGGCTCGAGTCCATCCTATATACAAGTCCTGAACGGTCCTCCTTATCTTGGCTATGTTGGATATTTGACATATCCAACATATCCGGGGATCGGTTGGATATTTGACATATCCAACATATCCGGGGATCGGTTGGATATCTGACATATCCAACATATCCAGCCCGGGTTGTCCTTACCCCGCGTTATCCCCGAGGCCACGTGACTTGTCCATAGTTCTTCCGTTCCGAGGATCCCTGGTTACACCTGTCCGGCTGGGTTACATATGCCCTGCGTTAAACACCACAGCCACCGATAGGTTATGGGTCGCCTATCACCCCCGACAAAGTTTGCAACGTCCCGCGACAACAACGACGACAAGCCCGACAGAACGGTATCACCTCCTGCATAGAGAAAGCACCAGACACCAGGCATGCTACGATCGATGCCACAAAATACTACAGTTTGCAGACAGATTGGTCCCCTGTCGCCCCCTCCGCGAAGAAGGATTGTCGCCCCTTCAACGTATGACAATGTCTGCGGAATCTGTGTACGAGCTCTCATACTTAGTAATCGGACGAATCGAAGCGGTTGGAGCATTGTGTTTTGCGGATTGAGTCCGACTCCAGGCGGTGGATGGAGGTGGTGGTCGAAAGATGGAAACATAGAGCCACATAGGAACCCAGCATGAGGCAACAAAAAGATTTACAGATTCAACTGAGATATAGCACATGCGAGTCTGAGAGGATGCGGACAAGATAAAGAGACGAAGCTGAGGGCTGGGGGGAGACTATAGGTATACAGAACCAGACATGGTGCCTAGCACCAACAGAACCGAAGTAGGAGGACGCGAAAGAAGGATTCTAGAAGGCAACACCAAGCGAGAGAGCAGGCAGGAGGACAACAATCTTCAACAGAGGGCATAAACACACAAGAATAGATAGCATAGTGGGAGCTTGGGGACAGCTGGTCCTGATCCAACAACAGGGCGAAGTGGGGCGTCGCGGTTTATCGTCGATGCTTCGGCTGTCTGCCAAACCCCGCTTTCCGGGCATAGCTGCTAGCATAAGAGCGGCTTCATAACCGTGTAGGAATCAATCAATCAATCACTATGCCCTGCGTTAGCCGCCGGGATCCAGGCGGGGTCGTGTTGGCGACCATGTCCAACGGGTCGTAACACAGCTATGATTGGGCTGGAAACGGGCAGGGGTTAGATTAGTTGTTCGTTTTTCTTCATTGCTCGCTTATTCAGTGGATATATGGTGGATGAAGGGCAGGTATGAGGGCATAGGAAGACTTTAGTAGGATTTATCAGGCAAGAACGAATACAGTCGCAGACAGAGGCGATCCAAGATCCAGTTTCACTTGTGATTTAGCAGTCAAGAGTCTCAAAAGTCTGCTGCGTACCTATCCAAAGAGTCAGACCCACAGAGGGCACTCCTGAGGAGGCTTTTTACTCCCTAGCGAACAAGACATGTAGAACTTAATCTGAGGACACTCATTTTACGGCTTATCCTTAGTAGACCTGATGTCTGGCTTTTCTTTCTAATCCTCATCTCAACTTATTTACTGTCATTCGCAATAGCTAGTCACAAATATAATTGCTATTATGCTAATAGGCTATATCTTCATTGATTGGTACTAAAGTAGTAGCATATGACTTTTCTAATGCCAGGTTTTAGCGTAAATAAAGAGGAATGGAAAATGGATTATTAATGACATTTCGTAAAGAGCTGTGCTGTCCAACATCTCACGTGCCAAGCGTTACTATGACACAAACAGTGTAATCACAAAGTAAGTTCTATTTAAAATGTGCTTAGCAATCAATGTATGAGCTCTGACCCGGATGTTAGATATAGGCAGCTAGCAACAAGATTTGTAGTGGAATTCAGTAAATTTATGTTCTCCCTAATTACATTAGATAAGTAATGTTTCAGGGGAGCAACTTAATATATTGTAGGCGTTCTATAGGAACCTGTGGGTTGATCCCTGGTCAGCCTTTGTCCTTGGGCTGCAAAGCCGCCGCATGTTGACAAGTTTTCTGTGAGTATTAAAGAAGCAGCAGGTAGGGTAATAATCGACATTGAGGGGACTATTTCAATAATATCCAAAGTCCTTGTACCTGGAAAAGCTGCCAAGATTTTGAACAGCGTTTCTGGTACGCTTGACGGCATCTATTTCTAGATGACTCACCCGAAATTCCATGTTTCATCCGAAAACCATGGCCTGAATCAAATTCTCTTATTTACTGACATTAAAACATGTTTTCTACTCCCGGGCCGGATCACAACATGCCCAGCATCCCGCCTTGCAAGGTCCGCCCGAACACCCATCCTACAAACGTTAGCATGACTTATACTAGAATTGAATGGCTTACATAAAAATGCACTTATACAATACGCAGAGACGCATTTTTGTCCTACCGGACACGGGGTACTAGGAGCACTACCGATCGGGAAAATACCAGCAGCTTCAATGTCGCACAGTCCCCAACTCCAAGGATAGGCATGATGTCCATCGCGGCACTTCTCAGATTTTGCAGCAACAAGTGCCATTGCAATAAGGAGAGCCAAAAAAGAAGCTTTCATCTTGCTAGGAAAAGCGAAACACTGTGTAGGACTGTAGGGGTGTAAGTCGGCAAAAAAGAGAATGAGGAAGATTCGTTGAGATTTTGTTTAGAAGTCCATGACAAGAAATGTTCCAGTACGACAGAAGGTACCAGATATATATGTGTATGTGTATCTATGTGTATGTGTATTTCTTAACGCTACAGCTGTCTGTGGGAAGATGATGCATAGGAGCCGTCCTACCCGGCCTGGACCCGGCCAAATAGAATGAGTTTTATGATTATATATTAGTATCAAATTAACAACAAGTACACTAATAAGAACACACTGACACACCTAGTTTGTTTATCCGGGCCGCAAAGCTGGTAGGGCAACTAAAGCCGATTACATATGAAGTACATTCATGACGACTTCATATTTCCACCTCCATAAAGTCTAAAATGTCCCCACCCTCTGATTTACTCGTCCCTCTCTTTTGTTTTAATTAGTTTCCTGTGGTTTGGCATATATTAGCATTCATCTGAAAGCTAACTTGCTACAGTTTCAACGTCTTTTCTACAACTGTGTCACCGGCGGTAAGGGCAACCAACTGCGTCATGGAGCAGAACCTTCGGCAGAAGCACCTAGTCTCGTTGGCTCCTGTACTGCAACTTTGGCTTACCCATCTTGAGCCGGAATTATTTAATCCAAGAATCACTGCACCGCCGTACCTTGGCAAGCTTGAAAGTAGAAATCAAGGGGTAAAGGCAACAGCCAAGCTTCGCAGCCATTGCAAAATACTAGCCGACCGGTTTGGTTGGACTTAAATATGGTTAACCTCTATTTTTGAGCAAGACCGGCAGGTCTGCAACGGAGGAAAGGTAGTACTATGGTAAAAGTGTGCCGCAATGGACGAGGATTAAGAAGGAGGGGATCAACGTCCACCAGCATATAGCCATAACCTATGAGTGGGCTTACTTCTTTGCTCCATTTTCCAGCTAACAAACAATTGACAAACTTCCATGTAAAAGATCACGAAGCACTGTTAGTGTGGCATTGATGGATGGCCTACGTGTAAAACTTAAAATTATTGATATGACTAAGAACAAATGAGATTTGCCGGATAGTTCGGAACCACAGCAGTTAGTCTCGTGGTGACCTAGTCAGGTCAGCTGGAGCGTTGTGATAAACCCAAACGCTAGCCTGCGAGCGTAGATGGCCCAGGCATGTTTGTAGACAGAAGTACTGGATTTCAACTATGGAAGTAGCGGAGCAGGTACCGCACGGAAACGTAATAAATATTACGCGAACTACTAACACGTTATAAGAACTAAACATACAAAGAGTTTTAGGCAATCAGCAACAGAAAGAACGATCTTCTTGCCAGTCCTACGTCTGTTTGCTACAGAGCTTGTAGAAATATAAACTATTTTGGGGCTTGTAATATATCTATAACCCAGCAGCAGCCAATTGGAAAGAGTGAGACCCGAGAAGTTCGAAGTAACTCCATAATACCATATGAAGAACTAGTCCTGATGCAGTAATTTCGTGTATTTCTAAAGTAGATTTGTAGTGTTGCGGGCTACGGTAGTAAGTCTTAAACTCAACAAAAGAATTGCAAGTGTAAGTGTAACTGGGTTAGAAGGGACTTACTCTTAGGTAACCACTAACTAAATGTCTACGAGCCATAAAAGAGTCTTCTACTAGAACTATGGATTCCTGTTGCTATAGCTGGCTGTAGTTCTCACTATTGGCCTACAAATGCCGTGGACTTGAGTTTGGCCTATTCTTTGTTTGGAGTGGTGCTGGGTTGCGTAACACAGAGAAGAAGAACCAGTTAGGGGTTAAGTGTTATCATATCTAGATCTAACTCCTAGCAAAGCCATAGCAATAGTTTTCTTGATTTCTAAGTTAGGCTTTTTCCGGAACGGCGTTCTTTTGAGTTTGCTCTGGTCCCTCTCCTTTTATTCCAAGGCCACCAACAACCTCTCTGACACGTGGTGCTCAAAAGTATCTATCTGACATAGTTACACCCGCTGAAGTTTTGGGTAGGTGTCTTGCGCAGATCCGTTGCCCAGTAGCGCCACAGAACTTAGGATGTGAACTGTGTACACCAGATGTTGTAACGGCCTTGAGTCGCTGCACAGACAGGAAAGCGGCTCGGACATCCTGCTTCCTTGCAAGCACTTGCGTCAGAGCTATGGCACTTTAGTGACGTTAGTGTTACAGTACTCTGCTTTTATTTTGATGTTGTCTAGAACTCACTGGAACAACAAACTGATCATAATGATCTGGAAGGTCTCGGCAGAGCGTATCGGCGCACACAAGTGTCGAAACCATGAGAAATGACAACCAAATGCACGATTTAATTGAAGACATTTTGAATTTCGTTTGAAAGTTTTCTGATACTGGAGTCAGTGTAAGTCGAGGAATTCCGAGCTATTGCGATAGGGAGACGACGAAAAGGCATGAGCATCGGTGAGTCTTAAATACTTTAAGAACGATTCCAGGTTTCATTGCCATGGCAGACAAGACCATTGTTAGTCTCTTATTGCGAACTGCGCAAATACCATCTTCAATGTTGACAATGACACCAAGTATGCGCCGATGTATCCGTAAGCGGTAACTCTGTCTAATTAACAAAACTAAACGGATCATGTCGGAGGAACGCTATGTTCTTGCTATTGAGAAGCACTTTTAATGCCTACAGTGTAGTACAGTAGGAAAAGGCTAGCTTTCCCTGCTTTGTTTGATTCATTACTGATCAAAAAGCCGAGCACTCACCTCCCTAGGCCTTTTCCTGGGCCCCGAATTTGCCGAGGATTTTGCAAGCACATATCGCCGCGGTTGTATTAGATTGGTAGAACAGGGGAGAAGGGTAATTAGCAGGTTAGAGAAAACAGCTATACCGCAGAGCAAATACTGGGGTGAACAACAAACTTGCCTGTGGTACGCCTTGTTCTACGCGTATAGTTGCCGACTGTTCCGATTGTAACAACAGGAAGTCTTGGCCCCAAGCACATAAATGTACTACACGGTATTAATGAGTACTTCCGGCTAGTCGGCGCCTGCGTGTAACATGTTGACTTTTTAATAAACTAAGCTACAGTTAAAAAGCTTATCCCGTGCCGCATAACCGAGGCTAGACGAATATATTAGCGCCTAATCAGCTCGTCTCGTACATGAATCGAGAACGACTTATAAGCTAGGCAGTTAAGCTCAGTTAAAAAAGAAGGCTTTCAAAGCAGCGCTAGTATAAATTAGTCGATTCATTTCCTCCTAATCAGTTGTCTCTGTACCCGATAAGTATCGTTAACAAATAAAGTGTTGAATGTATTCTGTAGCTGCCGGCATAAGAGTGACTCTAAAACCGAGTGGTTAGATAGAGTGAACTGACTAATTAATGTATATTTGGTTTCCACCTGTTCAGTCCCCTGACCCTGCCCCATCTTCTGAGAACCGCAGTACGGTACCTACGACGTTACGTGAAAAGCTTGGGAGCTTCGTACATGTAGACTTCGGCTGTACTGGGGTCCCAATTATTCCATAAATCAGTGCACAAGTTTGCCCTAATGCAATGCCATACTTTAGTGACCACAGTATGTAAATTGAAACTAATTATGGCGACTTTCACGACTGTCTTTAAGAAAGTGACGGAAGGGAATGATCTGCAGTATTGCCACTAAGATTACATTTCTTGGGTTACTTGGAAGTCGGAGAGTTGTGTGGCTCGATCAGCCTATCTTTGCTCGCGCTGAGCTATTTACTGCTCTAAATACTGTTGGCATCCACTACTGTCATTTGAAGATGTACTTGATGTTCGCAGACCGTATGCAAAAAGACCATAGTGGTAAACAAAATTAATCAATCAATCATCTTCACAACCCATGGGAACATCACGAAATACCAAAGGAGCACAAGCCTTACAGACAACGAATCATGGAATATATGGTTGAAGCTATCGAGAGCAGTGTACAAGGCTTCGACTCAATATCGCATGCGTAACCTATACACAAACTCTTTTCAAGTACAGCTTGATATAAGGTAGTTTATACAAGTTGTCCATGTGGAGGTAGTTGAGGATATCACTTGCAACTCGTTAACGCAACCGCTTTCCCAGCCGCGTTCAAGTACTTTACAAGTCCACTTCCACCAGATCCGCACTTCAAAGCCTCGACAAAGGTTTCAGCGTTAATTTTAGCGCCGGGCCAGCTCGTGTGAGTCTTATCTTCAGGGAAGTAGGTCGTGGCCTTGGTCTGTCCCATAGCTTGGAATGCTGCGACAGAGTATTTAGTGTGGTCGACATAGGCGACGCTCTCCTGCTGCGCAACTTCTTGGGCGTAAACGGCGAAGGGCCAGTTAGACTGCAAAGTGGACCCCTTCCAGTAATTGCGGTTGACCATGCCAGAAACGACAGGAATAGCCTTCTTCGCTTTGACGTCAGCGATCATCCCGCGGAGGTAGTAGCCAAAGGAGTGAACCGTCTCCTTCTGGCCGGTCGAATTGGTCACGACAATGAAATCGTTGCCAGTTCCCGGTAACGTGAAGCGATCCTTGGTGTCATTCTTTGGATTTCCATCGTCGTTGTGTCCCATCTCGATGATCACATAGTCTCCAGCTACTGTCTCTTTGAGCAGCGTATCCCATCGGCCTTCGTTAATGAAAGAGCGGAGAGACCGTCCAGCCTTGGCCAAGTTCGTGACCGGAAGAGTCAAGTAATCGCCAATATAATAGCCCCAACTGAAACCCAGAAGCTTAGTTACCAGGCGAGTGTCATTACGGGGAGTAAAACTTACCCTTGGATAACAGAGTCGGCGGGCCAGGTCGCAGTCGTGCTGTCGGAACAAATGAGCACCTTAGCTTGCGCTGATACAGCGATAAAAGCCGTCACAGCTGCTTTCAACCCTAGAAACTTCATCGTTCAAATGAGACTGAATACGGCAAGCCCAAAAGGTAACTAAGAGAAGAGCTGGACGCATCTCATCAACGTTATACTAAGCTATTGACTTTATATTTCTGGATAGACACGGAGAGACGGAAGTACGGCAGATTATCAACACGGTCTTTCGTAACGTAATGTAAGTGTATGTTCCATTGATGTGGAGTCAAGATTTACTGTCGCTAGCGGAAAAATTTGGTCCGTCCGAAATCAATATACTGGGGAATTCAATTCATGGAAAAGGATTGTCAGGTCACTTGCCAAAGCAACCATGTGCAACAAGTTGTTGATGGGTAGGTTCACGTGGCCGTCAAGGTCTTTTCTCAGGACTCTGGTCATAATTTTGAAGTGCAGGGCAACATGAAAATGCCGACGACTATTTTAGACCCTTCCACAGAAAAGGATGCGTTGTTTCGCTGCATTTCTAGTAATGTTTGTTGCTTGAACCGAGGTATGGGCTAGATGTGAGGTTGTCGCCCCCAGCCACACAGGGGCTATTGGTATTGTTGTCGAATTGGACCATGTTTGGGGAATAGAGCGTGCACATGCCAGCCACAAATGTACTTGTAACAGTCCTTAAGGGGCTACCCGCCCTAATCGGTCCCCTGAAGTACAGGCGTACTATGGCTAGGTACAGTGCCAAATCAGTTAGTGAGGAGATTAATGTCTTCAGGCTCTTGACGGCAAGAGCACCCTCAGTTAAGGCTAACAAAGCTCGAGATTGCATTAAAAAGGATAACCTGAGATATCCATTTCCAGTACAGTCATCTGATTGTATTCCCCAAGACTCCCGTTCCTCACTATGTCGGACATGGAAAAATGATGCCCGGTAATAGGCCATTCCGGCACTAACAGCTCATTGTCTATTTTCATGATTTGCGGGGCATGTTCTTTACGAATGCAAACAACAAGCATATAGCGACATTACCGAAGCATAGAATAATCAACAGTAATTACTATCTCCGCGGTATCTAGTAGCACAACATTGACCACGTGCATGCATATCCGTGTATCAACTGCCGCAGACCCGTAGCGTCATCGTCTGGATCTGTTTAAGTTGACTGACAGGGGTCTCAATCTAGTCTTAGCGCCCTATGATGGTCGTTACCCCTTTTTACTTGGTGCTCAAAGCTTGTCCCTAAAGTCAATTACATACCTCTGTGTCGGTATGCCTGCTTATTTTGTGGCCAGGAACTCCTGACATCGCTACCAACCCCTGTTCCACTCGGAACTACGGCTAAAACTATAGCTTCATCAGTACCGAGGCGTACCAAAGTCCGGCCGGGCCCACAGCTCTACAGCCAAAAAGCTGGAATTCTCTTGAACCGACTTGGGGTTTCAATGCAGCTCCAAAGAATCAGGATTGATTCACCTTTAGCAGCAACAACGGTTCAAATAGTAGTCGAAATTATCAAGTTGAATCACATCGAAACTTACCATTGAATCATGTCGCATACAAGCTCAAGGTCAAACTAAAGAAGGCGTCTGGTGCAGTGACAACTTATTGTGTTGCCGTTGCAACCGACTAAGCGCCGGTTACTGATGAATCATAATCCAAGGTAATTTCTGATATAATTCCTAGTTTTCAGTAAAGTGTTAGCTCCATAAAGAAACCTCTAGCGTCGTTAATATTACCGGCAACAGCGGACGGTATCATTCCAGGCCCGCTTACTGATATAATATGAACTAGTATTGGGGTAGCATTGTGGGTGTGGATTATAATGGAGCTGTTTGAAGACGCGACATGACTGGGATACTATTGACTCACTTTCTTTCCATGAGATGTTCAAATTCAGCTGTAAATAACGCCATCTTCGTGAGATCTTTCTATTTACCAACCCCAACTCTTCGGGTGCATGCCACTGAAGTGTAGTCTACACCAGTACACCAACACCAGTACACCAACACCAGTACTGTGTAACTGAATACTTTACGCCACTTTAAACTTTTTGACCTAGCACAAGTTAAATTGCTGTTACTCGTTATTGCGCATGGTAGTTTATTTCGGGTTATCTGATCAGCAACAGACCTCTTTTTGGTTTGGCCAGCGAGGCACAAAATGATAAATATGTTGTTCCTCCCGTTTACCCGGCTAATAAGCTAGGCTATTGCACTGTTCCGTAGTATCAGTTAATCTCACATTGAGTCATGTAAGTCCATGAGGTGATATGGCGCATATTAAGGCTCGCCAGAGGGCGGGGTCATTGACTCTGTTCTGAACCCTTGCCAGCAAATCACTCACGCTTATAATGTGATTGACACTCCATGTCGCACTCAGCACTGGGCCATGTAGATCTCAAAGCCCTTCAGAATCACTTCTTTAACCCCTGAAAATGAAATCGTTGACATTGTTCGCCGCCGCTGCTCTTACCGTAGCTTCGACAGAGGCATGTGCCAAGTACATGCATTGCTGGTATGTTTCCACATCCAGCTTCTCTGACATCAATGTTTATCATTTGTGTAAAGGTGTGTGAAGGACCAGTTTGAGTGGGAAGGAAAGATCCAGGACAACATTGCCTGGGATGATAGCACCGCGAAAGCTTGTACAGCTAGTAGCGGTAAAGCTGGGTATTACGGCCAGAACTTCCAAGAATGTTATCGTTACAAGAAGGGCTTCCTCGCAATTATTCCCGCCAAGGCGATTAACAACTGCGACTGGACAAAGGTAAACTTATCTCCATGGACCAACTTAAAGAAATGCACATTTAACTTTAGTAGGAGTGCCAAAAGGCTGGTGCGAGCAAGGGATGGTGCCGTGACAAGATTTAGGTTAACGTAAAGGAACTCAAAGTTTCCTGAAAAGACATACCCGTTCTCCACGATGTGCCAGAGTCACGAATGACTGATGATTACTGATGTTTTCGTCGCCTCAACCCCTTTTTAAAGAACTCGATCAGCTTGGCAGTCTTTTCCTGAATCTTGACAACGATTTATAGATCACATGTAATTGCAAAAGGTGAAAAGGTTGACTCCGAGCAACTCCTGGATACACGCTGCTGCCATCAGCACTAAGCCACCTGCAGCAGCTAAGCCTGATCATTTACCTTGTTCATTCAAGTTGTGGCAATGATGATCCTAATGTGATTGTATGAGTTTGCTTGTGCATGCTATCACTTGTAAGACGAGGTTTAGCCTAGGAAATAAAAGTTGGGCAGAAACTATGTTCACTTGCCTCTATTATTCTCGTGTAAAGGTCGGCCTCGGTCGGATTGATTAGTGCGGAAAAGATGTATCTGTATCTTAGCGCAAGACATTTTCCTCGGGGCTTTGGACAGAAGTTATCACATGCACACCGTGGCAAGCATTGCCTGCGCCTTGAAATTTGTTGCCAGGCTGGTTGTAATGACAGGAAGCACGTATAGTAGGGCTCTAGGGCACAAGTATGATACTGATAGCGAATCGCGTCCTTTTTACTAGATCGTATAATAATATTAGTGCTGTAAAGCAACTGTGACTTAGACTCTTCTTATCACCTGGGGCTTAAGCACCCCACAAGGCTTTTCCGGAGCTCCTACAAGGCAGTGCACCTAGCATATAGACGGTTCTAGACGGTAGCTGGAAGCAACGCCTCTATACATACCTATCATGATCAAACGAGTTGAGTGCTTGGGGAATGTCATTTATCACAAAAACAGCAGCATATTAATTCACATACTGTGATACAGCCTTGCTGTTTTGCTCATATCAGCTCTTGGTTGTCAACCTCCTGAAAAGACTTAAAACGCAGGAGTTGTGCATGAGTTGCGGGTCACGTTAATGAGATTTCATGGACTATACTTGAATAGTTACAGAGATTCTCGGGGGAAAAATAACGTTGCTTTAAACTAGCTACAGATTGAATCCACCATTCAAAATTCCAACCTTTGTTCCGTCACATTGAGCCGTGGAGGCTGCTGGTACGGTACAAGGAATCGGTTAATGAATTGCATAATTGTGACCGTCCAACAAGATTCAAACTGCAGTATCGAAATGGGGCAAATCATTTAGGACATCCGCCAGGACACTTGAAATGAGTTAGTATCAGTCATGATGAGAAATAGAAGCGGAAACATACGCAGGATGGTTGGCATTGCCCAGGAATGTACGAGCAGCATGAAGGCCCACTACCAGGAATCGGTCCCTTGGGTCGACCGACAATCTTTGGCTGACCGTCTAGGGCGTTTGGCACGGCCAAGGCGACAGTAGCGAAGAGAGTGACAACGAAAGTCTTCAACTGCATCGTGAAATGAGATTGTTATAAAACACGTATGTGGATTCTTATGGTAAGTGAGAAAAAGGTAGAGAGAACAAGGACTTCTTATGTGAACTTAACAGGCAGATTTGTGAAGGCGTATGCGGATGGCTTAATATACCTTTTGGTCTTGCACTGGGCTTCACCGTTTATGCTAGTGTCCAATCCCGCACAGTTTCAGAATGGGGTAATTACTATGGTCCCATATAGCTACCTCTTTAACTTTAAGACCCAGAGGAAAGCCGGTGGGGGGACTGGGCGTACAGTTTAGACGATCTTTAACCTAATCCCAGTAAAAGATATGTTGAGAGAATTGGCATTGATTCAAAGAGAAACAGGGCTGTGCAGGGTAAAGAATTGATGAATGCCGGGATACTACCTTACGGAAACGTTGATTTCTTTTGCTTCTTTCCGAAGAAGCCGATACGTCTCAAGCAGGTCAACGCAATCGACTATGCCACAAATCAAAGCTTCAGTAATATTGCGACTGCATCATTATCCCCCGTTCTGCTCCATGTATTTGCGCTGGTCAGCACCCTAGCTGGTTGTGTCGTAACACGATACTGTTCCACGCGACCAGAACACCCAAGCTGACGCTTTGAAGACCCCTCTGTATTTCGATATTTCAAGTTTAGCATAACTTCTAAAATGTGAGTATTTAATCGACAAGATTTAGAGTGAGAAAGTTGCACTATCTGAGAAGAGTGTAGTCTAATAGTTAGGTAGACAAATTACTTGTTCCAGTGGCTTTAAAGAAGAGCCCCATCAACCATATCAATGGGTGCGTATCTTTCAGGGTGTACCTATCTAATGGCAGGTAGGCTTACGCTATCGAAAGATTCTTGCTGCAGCGCACCAGAAGCCGGCGTTCCCTGAATGAAAGGCGTTGTTGCAGTCAGTTGGACAATCAGGCCGCATTAGCCGGTCGCAAATATGTTGATAGTACCATAGATCTGCCGTTCATCCGAACGGTCGCGGGTTTTGTTGTATGACCGAAGGCCGATGTTATATGGGTCGTGAAAAGACGAAAGCATTTTTACTCAAGCACGGGCCCAAAAGCCGCATATGCCTCTATATAGGTAGAAGGGGGGACCATCCAATAAAGTCTGGTTTTCTTAATTTAGATTCCCTGTAGCTGGAAGCTACGCTGACTGTCTAAAAGACGATACGGTGTACATCGATGTGCTGCCATCTGTATCTAGTTAATGGTCGACAAGGCCCGGGGATTCCTTTTTACTTTTTCCTATCCTGGTGAAACTGAGTATCGGAGCATCTTTAACTCTTGTGACAGCGGTAAGAGAAATGGCCCACGCCCAGCACCTTCATGCTGTTGATTTACACTTGCCGCTACTCTGTATTTTATAGGGGGATGTGGTCTGTGGCTCACAAGAGAAATGCAGCTCCTCATTGTCGGTGGTATGATTGCATGGGCGAACCTCACTCCTCTATCGCCTCCTGGCGATATGCAAAGGCCTAAACTTGTATCTAGACAACCTCGGAACTGCCAACAAGGTTTCATATCAGTATTCTCACCGCCAGGATCATATCCACCGTTCACGGTCAACACCAATCCAACCCCTGCGTACCTGCGAGGAAATCCACTTTGGATTGAGTATCATTTTGTTAAACGCGCTAAAAATCTTATGAATTTGCTTCGTCTGAATCTCATGATGTTACGGTACTGAATCTAGCAACATATGTGATAACTTTCTGCGCAGCCAACTCTGACAAATTTAGTACATTCTTTTTACCTGCGCCAACAAAAATGCGAAGAAAAGTGTCTGTATAATTTCGATGTGGAAGAGGTAGCTGAGATTCCCAAGGCTGAGAAGGTGAAACTCAACCCTCCCCAATTTTGGTCGAAGTTCACAGCATCAGGTCGATACATGCTTCGAGGTCCTCCGGATTTCAATACAACCTTGTCCACGTGCGAAACACAACTTTGGGGACCCTGGTGTACTGAGTCGGTGTTGCGCGTCAATTTCTGTTGTCGCGCCTGATAGACTTTTGGCGTGAGTCGCGGCAGCCATGCCACACCGCGCCGGGACAGTACACCCTCCGCACCGTGTCTAAAATTTTACAGAGGCTTGTCCCTATGCGAAGATACTACGCAGTGATCCGCTGTATCAGTCGACCTCTAGCTCGAGTTGGTCAGCAGTTGTTGTCCCTGCCTAGAGAGGTCTTTAGAGTTTCGTCATTCGTGCGCAAGTTTTTACATAAGGCAGTCAAGATGTCTTCTGGTGTGGCTTTAGGGGTCATGAAGGAGAAGTCGACGCTATTCGTGTTCAACGATGCTGCGCTCCCCTTCAGGGTTAAGGGTCCCTCCACTGTAGCCTTCCCGGCAAAAGTTTTCAAAGCACCATTGCGATCGGCAGGCTTATTTATGCTTTGAAGGCCCATCTTCTGTCATCAAGTCGAACAACCAACCTGAGGCAACATCGTTGAAGCACAGGTTACTACCGATCGAATTGACAAGCAGGGGCTGGTCTCGAAGCACTGCCGCCATGCCTATCAGTACCTCGTCTTCAGATACCTCAACGAGCCCATCGACGAGGGAGTCTAGCGTGATGATAAACTGCGCCAGCCGCACAGGTTGTACCACCAGCCTGTTACAGAGAGTGACTTGGGTGAGCTGATGTATCATCTGGGAGAGCCTGGCACTATTCCTGGTACTATTAAGTGACCTGTCGAGTTTCTTTGAGTGGACGCAAATAACTGTGGTGCAACACGAGGAGATTTGGCACCATGATGCCACTGCCACCAAGCATCACGATGACTCGGTCGAGGGTTTCCCAGCATCCTTGAAAGTCCCCGGCTAAGTTTATTTGCGCCTGCCACACACAGAGGTCGTTGTACGGCGAAGCATACTTCACTGCGTTCTTATTTCTTTTGCTGCGGATGGCTGACACTTTCTCGGGGCGATTCGCTTATTTTGTCGCTTCAGCGAGAGTGTTACCGCAGGGGTGAATCTCTCTAGCCACGGCCAAAGTATGATTGGCTTTGGCTTCGAGACGAACCATGATGGTTACCAGTCTTTGATGCCTTAAACGTGGCCTTCACCGCTTGACAGATTGCGAGTGCGTGGTTATCGGCCGAGGCGTGGTGATGGTTGGCGAGTCTGTCATAGGCAGAATGTTGATTGTTCCTTGATATTTGTAGGAACCGGTTTCTTGATGTGATTTGAGTTTCGCCCTAGCGCAGTGAGAGTCACCACCCGGACGACTAAAGCTGAATCTACAATAAATTGCAAGCAGTGCTTATTGGTGAAGAACAGACTGTCACGTACTAGCTTAGGTATATCATTCATTAAAACCTTTTTAGTTGGCATCAAAAATTCGATTTAAAAATCATCATCATCATTAAAAACTGACTACCAAAGATTCAAACACCTTGGCGTCTGGTATAAAATACTGGCAAAATTCTCGCTTATGCCGCTTCCATGCAATACTCATGCAACGCTTGCAATCGACCACGACTCAACAACCTCGGCAAGCGTCTGGTCGCTTCCGACATTACCTGGGAACACGACGTATGGTACACCACGATGCCGACTCGTGTCCTCATCACACCTCCAGAGCGGCACGCCCGGAGCAGCTTGGCCCAGGATACGGGCTCGACGCATCCTCAATCCCTTTGTTGCCGCGTCAGACGAGGTGATGCCCCCCTTGGCAATCAAGTATCGCGGCCGAACGTCAATCTTCTCCACAAGTTGTACCAAAGCGCGGGCGACCTTGGAACCAATCTGAAGAGAGCTGAGGGCATCCTGGCCCTTGATAAGCTCTCGCGACGTCATGACAAGGACGTCTTGACCAGCAGACAATTTCTTCGTAGTCTCTGCCGCCGCTGCAGTGATAGCATTATTCGCTGCCTCCTCAGATGAGATCAAGCTGGCGACATCCAGCTCAATCACTGTGAGCTTGTCGCCTCTTCGGTCCCGAAGGACTTTGAGCTGCGCCGTTGTCTTGGGCACGTACGAGCCTGCGACAATCAATCCACCCGGTTGCTTGACATCTCCAGTGACGGAGACACCCAAGTCGGCCATGGTCAAGGGCGGGATGCCGGTGATACCCAAACGAGACGACACAAAAGCAGCACCTGTGCGGAACAGATACCGCCTTCCACTCTTGTTTGCCTCCAGTAAACCCGCCACGAAGACATGCATGTCGGACTCAGCAGCCGCGTTTACAATAACAACCGTGTTGGATCCAGGTGCTGCTGACAGAAGCTTCTTTGCAACGCCATCAGGTCCACCGAGTCGAATGTCGTCGAGTGTGACCGAGAGGAATGATGATTCATCGAATCTGGAGCCGCACTTCTCGAGGATATACTTGCGCAAGTTTGAGTTTTTGTATCCAAACGTGGCATCCTGGGCGAATGGCGTTTGGCTTGCGGGGACTAGAACGTCGCCTTCCTTGACGTAGTGGATGTCGTTGATGGTGTATCGTCCGCCCTGGTAGAAGAACGGAGTGATGATCCACGCGTCAAACTTTCCAAGCGCCTCCTCGGCAGCCTCGGGCTCCTCTGGAAGATGGCCGCGCAGGGTCGAGTCGCCTCTGAGAACGATCTCGAACGTCCTTCCCGCCTTCTCGGCCGCCTTCTTGACGTTCTGGCAAATCTCAACGATTAACTGCCGAGCTTCTGCAGAAGGCAGAGCACGCGAGTTGGTGAGAATGAAGAAGCCCTTGGGGTTGAGACTAAACTCGTAATCCAGCGTCGCAGGGTCCCAGACAGTCAACACGTCGATATCATGGCAGGTCTGTGTTCCGGTCGGGTCATCATCCAGAGCGATAAGAACAGGGACCTCGCCATTGTTGACGACTCTTTGGGTCGAACTGATGACGTCGCCAGAATATTCAGCGGGCAGAGAATCGAGTGTTTTCTGTGCTGGAAGGGCCTCATCCTGGTCAGCAACTGGAGCCGCTGTTGTCTTGTCATCGGCCGCCTTGGGCCCAGCGTTGCCCGATACAGAGATGCCCGTAAGCTCCCACAGCCTGACGACACCAGCGTCCGACTCCTTTGACCAGCCATGAGCAGCACCTGAGAGGTACAGTGTGTGGGCAGCGGATGAAATCGGCGCGAAATAAGTAAGGCGCTTCGCTTCGTCGAGGACAATACCGAGGTCTTTCACAAAAATGGCCAAGGCAGAGTGCGGCGTCCAGTCGGCATCGAGCATCTGAGGCACTCTGTTCTCGAACATCCAACTCCAAGCCGCCGCGTTGCCAAGAAGGTCGAAAACGCGTCTCGTATCCAGACCCAGGCGAGCTGCGAAGGCCATGGCCTCAGCGGCAGCGGCAATGTGAACACCGGCGAGCAGTTGGTTGATAAGCTTGACTGAGGACGCGGCACCAACACCGCCCTGCACGTGGCAGAGGTTGCTGGAAGTTCCAGTCATGGCTAGGAGGGGCCCGTTGACCTTTGAAATAATAGCATCGTCACCAGAGCAGATTATCTAACAAAAGATTAGCTGCAAACCTCTTAGCTCCAGTAGATCTGAACCGCTTACCGTAAGAGTTCCGTTTGCGGCGCGGACAACACCTCCGCTGACTGGGGCATCAATCAATTTGATGCCTCTGCCAAGGTTGTTCAACTTGCTCTCAAGCTCTCGGACGAAGGATGGCGGCACCGTGGAGCTCAAGATGACGATGGCACTGTCTGGAAGGGCCTCCGCGGCCTTGCCTGATCCGAACAGGACATCATCTGCCTGGGCAGCGTTCTGGACCATCAAAACAAGAAGGTCGGCTCCCTTGGCGGCCTCAGCAGGGCTGCTGGACTTGGTGGCCTTCTCTCCTGTCGCTGCGAACTTGTCGACGGCTGGCTCATAGACATCGTAGCCATGAACGGGGAAGCCTGCGCGGAGAAGGGAGCCCGCCATGCCCTGGCCCATCGCTCCCAAGCCGATCATGCCAATCTTTGAGATCTCCAAAGGTGTGCTGCTTGGGGTAAGCTTTTCTTGCGTGTTGAGTTGACCAGCCTGCTCTTTGACCGCGTTAGGGGTGCCGGGGAGGAAGACCCGGACAAGACCAGCGTCATCGTCTGTGCCGAATCCTTGAGCTGCACCAGAGATGTAAAGTTGCTCCGCTGTCGATGCGAGGGGTACTGGGAATTGCAGAGTCCTTGCAGTGGACACGACGATACCCTATTTGACCGAATTAGCAGGCGTCTGAAGTTTTAAGACTCGGGGTTAAGCATACCATGTCTTTGACAAAGATGTTGAGAGCAGAGAGCGGAGTCCAATCGCCATCCAGCATGTGCGGTACGCGGTTCTCGAATGCCCACGAGTTGCCTGCAGCGTTTGTGATGATATTGTACACTTCACGTGTATTCAAGCCGGCCTTGGCTGCAAGACCCATGGCTTCTGATGCTGCCGCGATGTGCGTTCCCACCAACAGCTGGTTTACCATCTTCACCTTACTGCCGGCACCCGGTCCGCCGGGGATGACATACAACTTCTCTGACATATCATGAAGGATTTGATCCGCTCGCTGCAAGGCTACTGTTGTGCCAGAAGCGAAGATTGTGAGAGTGCCTTCTGCTGCACGCTTGGTGCCCCCAGATACGGGACTGTCTACGACAAGCACGTCTCCACGACCCTTCTGGGCAATTCGATCTGACAGCGTCTCATGATATGTTGGCGGCACTGTCGAGCAGAGTAGCACGGTCGCATGTTCCGGTAATGCTACGGCAATCAGCTTAGTGACACATAACGAGGTTCAGTCGTCCGTCTACTCACTCTCAAGAGCACCCGTCTGATTGTGAAAAAGTATGTCGTCAATTTGCTGGGCGTTGGCGGCCATGCAAACAAGGATATCGCTGGTCTTTGCCACCTCTCTTGGAGAAGCACCAGCTGAACCACCTTGAGCGACGAATTTCTCGGCACTGGGAGGGTAGACATCGTGACCTTGGACCCTGTACTGCGACTTCTTCAAAAGATTACAAGCCATGCCAAACCCCATGGCCCCGAGGCCAATGAAGCCGACACGGGTTACATCGGCGCCGTGTGAAGCCATTTGGAATGAAAGGGATTAGGTAACCTAGGTTGGTTTCATGGGCAGATGGTCATCCGAAATCATAAGAGATTGGCCAAGACCGGGAATATTTGGAGATGCAGTCGTCTTATAACCCTGACTACATTCCCCAGATTCGGCCCTTAGTCCCGAAACCAGCCCCCCGGACGTATCGCGTGGGAAAATGACAGCCGAGGTGGGCGGCGGGAGGGGCCATATCCCAAGACAAATGGGAGGGGAGACTTGACCTGGTACACTACATACTACAGACTACACACGACTTGACTACGTAGTTAGGGTCAAAGAGAGTTGGACGGATTGAGTTTGATCTGGTGGAGGTTTGGCCACCCCCGCACGGAGAGAACCCCGCCCCGCTTATAAACAAAGCAGATGCACGTCTCGCGGCGAATCTTTTCCCTCTTTTCTCCCCTCGGCCATCTTCCCGCTCTGCTCGTGTCTGTCCACTCCGTCCACCTTCCCTTCGCAGACCCAGAAAATTTGCCCCGGACTTCATTCCTTTCGGACCATGAAACGTGCGAGAATTGACGGTCCGGAGAAGACTCCGTCCTCGGGGGGCCCATCCGGCTCGCAAGTCCACATGCCAAAGATATCCAGAAAGATTCGTGCCTGTAAGTTTTCCAGCTCCGAGACAAGGGCGGGCTTCTCCTTGGGCATAGACAGTCTTTCCCTGTCTTTGCCTCGCCGCGGAGATGAAGTTGGCTTACTGATAGGGGGGGAGAGACAAACAGGTCAGGAATGTCAAAATCGTAAGATCAAGTGCGGCATTGAGCCCGGCCAGAACCAATGTGCTCGGTGTGCTCGCCTCGGTCTCCAGTGCGTCGTCAACAAGAGCCTCCAGACTCTCCTTGACAGTGAGAATGAGTGGAAGACCAAGATGGAGATGCAGCTGCAGGCACTGCAGGCCTCCATGAACGAGATTCAGCGCCATCTCAACATGCCGCCCATGATGCCCCTTCATGCTTTTCACGAAGGCGGGGGCATGTCTCAGAGTCCAGTAAACCTCGCGGGCTCACAGAGCAGTCCCGGCACCGGCCCTTCACCTATTCGGCCGCCGGATGTGACGGCCATGACCCGGGAGAACTCACCCGAAGTACCCACCGCTCAAGATAACGGCGAGGACCAGGCAATAGTCAGCGCACCAATGGCGAGCCTCTTCGAGGTGACCAAGCTGCGGAATATCCGGAGCGACCCCGGGGCTCGGATCCACCAACCATCGAACCGGGCCCAGGAGCCCGATTTCATAGCCCTGGGCAAATTTAGCCTTCAAGAGGCCGAGCAGCTTTTCTCCACGTTCCGTGGGACCCTCAACGCATACTTGTGGGGGGGCATCGCGCTAGTTCACGACACCCTCGCGGCTACGCGCTTATCCTCCCCCCTCCTCACTGCCGCCATCCTCGCCGTGACGGCTTTACACGCCCAGGACGAAGGCCGCGCCTTTGACACATGTTATCCCATATTCCTCGAGCTGGCGAGCCAGTCAATGTTTGACCGGTACCATACGCTCGACGACGTTCGGGGGCTATGTGTGGGGGCATTCTTCCTCTCCGACCTCAGCTGGAAGCTCAGTGGTCTCGCTGTCCGGATAGCAACAGAACTAAACCTCCATCAGTTTTGCGCGAAAGCGCTCAACAACGGCTCGCCACAGTACGTTGAGCAGGCGAGGCTGTGGTATTTCCTCTACGTGTGTGATCATCACTTTAGTATCGCTTACGGGAGGCCCCCCGTCATCAACGAGGACGCAAGTATCGTCCACCATGAAGATTTCCTCAAGCTGCCAGGCATCACCCAGGCAGACCATCGCCTACACAGCCAGGTTGGTGTCTTTATTATTTTGAGTCGGGTCTTCCATACGTTTGGTCCAGATAGGTCAAGGCAAGTTGGCAGAGACGAGTTCGTCCAGCTGAAAAAGTTTGATGATGAACTCGGCCGTTGGAAGGCTAAATGGGAAACTCGGTTAGGTGAGTATTCTACCTTGTTAACTCCACTCAATACTCTTCCGGCATTTTTACTAACATTGGACAAGTGCCGGACAAGCACATCTCAAAGTATCCCGCCAAGGGCGTCATTCTTCATTATCATTTTGCCCGTCTCCTATTGTTTTCCGTCTGCTTACGCGGCCTCAACGCGTCAAACCAGTCAGACCAGTACGCCGTGTGCGACGAGCGCCGCGGCTTTATCAATACTGCCATAGCAAGCGCGTCGGCTGCCTTGGAGCTGATCTTGACAGACCCAGACATGCGCCGAGCCGTCATCGGCGTACCTTTGTACCTGCTGACGACCATTGCCTACGCCGCCATGTTTCTTATGAAAGTGTACATGCAGTGGAAGCCGGCCAAGGTGGACATACATTACAACGATGTCGTCTCGCTAATAGAGCGAGTCGTCATCCTGTTGGGGGAGACCCAGCGTTGCACTCGGCACGTGGCTCATTACATTGGCCGCGGCCTCAACAACATGCTCGAAAAGTTCAAGGAGCGCGGCCCACAGGAGCAATATTACATTGCGGCCGGCCAACCGGGAGGAGTTAGTAGTATACCAGGCCAACCCGTGCCTCAAACTTGGCCAGAGGACATGGGACCAGCTGATTGGGAAGGAATTTTCAACGGAGGCATGATGAACTTTGGGATGCCGGAGCAATACCCGCAGTACGGTCTATTGAACGACCTAAACTCGGGGTTCTGACGTCGTCATCATCAGGCCAGACTAATGAAATCACGATAATCCTATCACACACCATCCACTTACACCTTGCTTTTTTTCTGATGTTTTGCATGTAATCTTCAACACTCGCCATGCATTATCTCACAGTAAGCCCAGATGACCCCCCAGGTGCGGACAGAAGTCCGCTCAGTAACTGTCTCGGACAAAACCCCGCCCTTCACCCAACCGGCACTCAAAAGTCTGGGGCTCGGGCAAAACACCGCTCATCACCAGGCCCCCTCATCCTAGTGGATCTAGAACCACGGCACATTGTTCGTTCGCAGTCCATTGACGCCCCCTTTTCGCCCACCAGCTACGATCCAACAGCTAGTCCCAAACTGGCCGGCAATCATTCGTTCATACAGGTCCGGAATGGGGCTCCGTTCACTGTCGCGGGTCCCACGAACGCCCCCCCAAAGCCCCTCCCTTTGACTGTCAAAGACTCCTCCCCCAACAGTGTACCCCATGGGGGATAGGAGGGACGTGACCGGTATACCCCAGACAGACTAATTCAAAGCGGACACGAGTCGTGCTTTTGACGTTATAAACCAGATGTCCTGTTACAGCTGCTCCAAGGTTCAGCCGAAAGCTTAGAGTTTTTTTTTTCCCATCATTATTCAATCTGGTCTCCGTCATCTCGTCTGCTCCCAGAGAGGTCGTATTTTTTACCTTGCTGAGAGAGAGAGAGAGCGCTCCGCTTCCGGTCCACTTACCCAGCAAATCGCGGTACCGGCTTGACCAAAACACGCTCTGTCGACAGGCAACCAACGAACGGAGTTTCGAGAGGCCGCGCCGAACGGTCTCCCACTACAACAATGAGCGAGGAGCACGCGAGCAAGCAATCCGTAGAGATGAAGGAAGACAAAAACACCGTCGCTGTCGGCGCGGACACCGAGCTGGCAGAGGCACTGAGGAATTATGTACCCGGGACTGCGGAAGAGAAGGCTCTCGTCCGCAAGATCGACGCTTTCTTGATGCCGATCCTCTGGATAAGTGAGTCGCTCGAAAGCTTACATTCATGTCTCTTCTTCTTCATGTGACTAACGCTTTATCAGTGTACATTCTCAACTATGTCGACCGCACAAATATCGTAAGTCTACTTTTTATTTGCTCATTGAGGGGGGAGAAGACGCATTGAAAATTTTCGACCGAACGACAAGCACGGGCCACTGACATTGTCAAAAAAACAGGGAAATGCCAAGATTGCGGGCATGCAAAAGGACCTTCAACTTACTGACGATGGTTATGCTTGGGTCCTGTCAATCTTTTTCTTCGGGTACCTCATCTGTGAGGTGCCCTCCAACATGATTCTCAGCCGAAGCCGGCCGTCGATTTTCTTGCCCGGTATCATGCTCGTCTGGGGCGCTCTCAGCGCCTTGATGAGCATATCTAGCAACTATGGCGCACTCCTGGGCTTCAGATTCGTCTTGGGCTGCGTTGAGGCCGGTTTCTTCCCGGGTGTTTTGTATCTGCTTAGTTGCTGGTACACCAGGGCCGAGTTGGGTATGCTAGCCAACTATCCTCGAATATCAAGATGAAGTGTGAATGGCTAACACTGTTTTACAGGCAAACGCTTTGCCATCTTTTACACTGCCGCCGTTCTCTCCGGTGCCTTTGGCGGTCTTCTCGCAGGAGCCATCACTTCTAACCTCCACGATGCCCACGGAATTGCTGGCTGGCGCTGGCTCTTCATAGTCGAGGGCGTCGCTACTGTCGGCGTAGCTCTCATCGCTTTCTTCATCCTCCTCGACTACCCAGCCACCGCGAAGCAGCTGACTCCGGCGCAGCGGCAGCTCGCTAGCATCCGCATCATCGCCGACGGTATCGCGTCAGGGGGCCAGAGCCAGCATCGTCTGTCGCATTGGCAGGCTTTCGTCGCCGCTGTTTCCGACCCGCGCACGTGGATGTTCCTTGTTCTTTTCATGCTCGACGTCGGCGCAGGCACCATTTCGTACTTCATCCCTACCATCACGCTCACTCTCGGCTACGACACCGTGAAGGCGCAGTACATGACCGTCCCCATCTACGCCGTCGCGTCGGTCTGTTTGAACATCGTGGCGTGGAGCTCAGACAAGCATGGCGAGAGAAGGTGGCACGTTGCCGGCCCCCTGGCCCTCGGATTCGCTTGCAGCGTCGTTTGTGCAGCAACCCAGAACGCCGTTGTGCGTTATGTCATGATCTGCTTCGTCGCCGCGGGTATCTGGTCCGCGCTACCTCTCATCCTCTCCTGGACCAGCGGAACCATCAGCCTGCCGGCGGAGAAGCGTGCTATTGTGCTGGCCATGGTCAACGCCTTTGGAAACTTTTCGAGTGTGTACGGAAGCAGAATCTGGCCAAGCAAGGACTCACCTGCGTACCACGTCGGCTTCGGTGTCACTGCAGGGTTTTTGGGTGCGGGTATGATTCTTGCTGTCTTGATTCCGATCATGGTCAAGGCGGTCAACTGGCAGGGCACGCAGGCGGAGAAGGACCTCGCTGCGGTGCAAGAGGCGGAGGACAACTAATTTAGTGGTGTATATAGCCCTACATACACGGTCTTGATGGCCTGACTCTTATAAGGATTTGTTTACTTTGATAATATTACTCATTGCTTCGAGTTACGGCATTTGCAGTGTAGTTGATGGTTAAAGATAGTTGATTGGGCTATTTTACCTCTCCTCTAGTGAACAGTTATTGGCCAATTATGAGCCTCTTCACATGAGCAATCATGTCTCTAACACAGCTTTTCCTACTGCAATGATGGATGAACGTCTTCCAATCCCTATCAGTATAGGCCAACCCTATTACAGTCATTCTAAGCCTCTAACAAGTTTCAAATGAGGTTTCCATTGGTTTCCGGTTGTTTGACATTGAACTCCATAGGCCTTGACTGAAATGTCGCGAACTAAGTGTAGGTACTATACCATCTCGGCGTAGTTTCTCTTGCACCTAGAGATAGGGACCGTTATGAAAGAGTTTCGGCGGTTTTGGGTAAAGCTCGTTACAGTGGGACAGATGTGGTTCTGGGTTGCCCTGGGCACTCAAAAGTACCGTTACAGGCTATCCACTGTTACCCATAGTACCCGTCCAGTGGATCGAGTGCTCTGAACCCACAAGTCGATAGCATTGAGCCCCAACTAAACTGGCATTTGCTCTTCTGGCAGCCAACAGAGAACATGCGAAATCAAATTGCGTCGCAACCGGAACAGAGTTGAGTATGGTTGGAATTTGAACCAATTTGACAGTCTCGACTTGAAAACATATTGCGAATTCTAAGTATGGAGGCAGAGTGTCTTGCCTTGAGAGCGCTCATTATGCTAGCAGAATAGTGCTGAATAGGACTCGATTCGCGCAACTCCAAGTTGCCTTGGACCAACCTCAATAGCCTTAATTTTCTTCCAAGTATCCTGGTTTGATATAGATAACTCATATTGAATAGAAAACATTTGAAAATCATATTTACAGCTTGGTTAAGAGACTGTTTTAACGGCATGTACCGCTAGGCCACAAACCAGCAAGTTGAGGGATTTAGTGGCCAACCGAAGCCCTCGTGCCGCTCCTTGCGGAAATCGTGAACCCTTGTTCATCTCTAGCCTCCAAATTGTCAACCAACCCGGCTGTGTGTTCTAGTGGATATGATTTCTCGTTCACAACTATGTGTTCTTGTCCCGAGAAGGTCGCAGGTTCGAGCCCTGCCACGGTCATAGCATCATTCCTTTTTTGCGTTTGGAAGAGATTGATTGATGTCTATCACTTGGGTGTCGTCACTATTCTTTTTTCTCCATCTTGCCATCGCAACGCAACTCATTGAACCTGAGATGAGTTAAAATCCTTTCTCCTTGAGTCCTTAAAGGCTCCTTGCTGCCCTTCTTCTGTTCTCTTTTGCGCGTTCTGTCGGCTCAATGCTCCCAGCAAAGAGGTCAAAAATGTGCGGAAGCCCAGGATACACGTGGATCTCCATCTGGACATCTGCCGACGCAAGCTTGCTTGCAAACGCCACCGACTCGGCGCAGAATAGATCTAACCCACCAACATCGATATATGTACTCGGAAGGCCCTCAACATTGGTGACTCTTGCTGGAGCGGCGTACTCGGGAACCTCGTCTGTTCCGGCTTTGTCTTCTAGGTAGGCATTCCAACCGATCTGATTCGCTTTATTCGTCCACGTCAGGAAGTTGTAGAGCGGGTTCTCCGGTTGTATGTTGGTCCTGTCGTCAAGCATGGGATATATGAGAATCTGCTTTGCCAATGGTGGCGACAGACCTCGATCCCGTGCCATCAACGCAGCACCGACTGCAAGCCCGCCGCCGCCGCTGAGCGCATAGAATCCAAGGCGGGAAGAGTCGATATTGAGCTTCTCTCCATTCTCGTTGAGCCATTTCAATGCGGCGTAGCAATCCTCTGCAGGCGTTGGGTAGGGAAACTCCGGCGCCAGGCGATATTCTACCGCGAACATCTGGACTCCGGTGTTGTGGGCGCAATTCGCCGCAAGGAGGCTGCTGTAGGGCTTGATTTCGCCTGCCACTATCCCGCCGCCGTGAACATATACGAAAGCCGGCTGCTTGTTGCTCGTGTCTGTCAACTCGTTCGCATATTGATATACAGCAATTTGCTCCCCATCGAACGATGTGATTTGGTGTTTGGTCTCAACAATGCCTTCGGGTAGCGCGCCTTTGGCGAACGCCGCCAAGCCAGCGTTGATCCCAGCGCGCAGCTGCAAGGCGTTCTTTGCTTGGGATGGAGGTCTGATGGCGAGGACGGGGCCAGCGGCCTTCCAGAATTCCTTGTCGAAACTGAGTGGCATATTCGCGTTGATGTGGAGGAGCGGAGGTTAGCTGTGCTAGTGATGATTGGCGAGAATGCGGCACAGCCCGTTTGGATATCCAGGGAACACCTAGTTCTTGGGGAGAAAGGAATACCTTTCTGGTTCACTGATGACGACCAGGAATGCGAGGTTTTATTCCCAGCTTGAACATTCCAGCCACCAGTTTTCCAAGAGCCGTGCGGTATAAGTATTTCAAACTAGCCAACTCTTCGGATGACCGAAAGTTTCGTGTTTCAAGTAGCTGCGGCCCGCTCGACTCAATGTGTCCGAGCGGCACACGACTTGGGCAAATATTTGCGAATCTGAACCATCGCGCTTGGGCGTATTCTTGCCTGTCCCTTCGGCAAGACGGGAATCAACACGAATTGGCCGTACAAGCGATTACTAAGGCTAAGATGGAGTTTCTAGATGCATATTGACTTCTTCGATGCAGGAAAGGTACATGATTCTGTGCATTCTTATCATCTCTTCTTGTCTTTGTGCACTTCCCTTCACGCGTAGCAGGGAGCATTCGGATTTTGCTGCTTCACGATACTAAGTATCGAGATGTACCTCCATGATTGATTAGCCCAGTACAGTGAGTCACACCGGCAGCCGGAGTTATTGCTTCTTTGAGATCAAAACATGGTAGCAATTGAGGAGCATAAGAAAGCAGTCAGTCTGGTGAGGTCTTCTGCCTGAAATGCCAAGCTCCTTACATGGGGGTTTTATATTAAGCGACAAGAAGGATTCAGAATTGACGTTGGAATATGGTTCAGGCCTACTGCAGTAAGGATCGTAAATTTCCTAAGCATTACAAATGACATACTTTTGCCTAAACAAGAGTCCATCGCCAGGTAAATCCTTCAGTCGAAGACATCGGTCGCGTAGCGCTCATTTCGGATGCGGTTGAACCATTCTTCCATCTCCTCCTCACTCATCGGCTCGCCGTCATCCTTCTCGCTCTTCTCATGTGCGGCCTTGAGAACAATCTCCTTCACGCCCTCAGCAATCTGATTGGAACCGCAGACGTACACCTTAGCACCCTGGTCCCAAAGGTCGTAAAGCATTTCCCTCTCCTTCCAAATCCGGTGCTGGACGTATTTACACCCATCTGAAGCCTCAGGTTTGCGGCTGTATGCTCGGTATACCTTAACTGCTCCCAAAGCCTCCCATTTGTCAAATTCTTCGCGGTAAAGGTCGTCTGCCGCCGGGTCGCGGCATCCAAAGAACAGAATTGCGGGCGCAAGAGAAAGGCCGTTACCGATGAGGATCGCTCTTTCCTGGACGAAGGCGCGGAACGGCGCCAGCCCAGTGCCGGCGGCAACACAAAGAATAGGAGTCTTGTCCATATCGATTGGCAGCTTGAAGCCACCTTGTGCCGGACGAACTGCGACCTGAACTTTGTCTCCAGCAGTGAGAGAGGAGAGATAAGAAGAAGTGACGCCGATGTGCCGACCTTTGCCGGACAACGCGGGCTCATCAAGGACACCATATGTGAGTGTTGCGACGCCAGGGTCCACCAACGGAGACGAAGAGATTGAGCTGCAATATAGTAAGCAAGAATTCTGGAGTAAAGCCGGTTTGATGAGTCTTACTATTGACGGACACGCATTGGCGGCAGCATGAGTAAGAAATGATTGAATGGAACGGCCAAGGAGGGGAATTTCTCGGTAATATCGAGAACAGAGAGGCGCTTAGCCTTGACCTCAGAGTCATAGGCGTCAGCAGCCAGCTTTTGGAGGCTGTTTCGAACTTCTTCGTCCTTTGCCAGCTGCGCTAGCCCAGAAATGTTCTGAGTGGGACAAGTTAGCTATCGGATGGTCTTTTAAGCATGCGGGATCTGGAATGCCTACCCTTTTTGTCGCTGTTTGGCATAATTCCACGTACGAACTGAGAACGTCAGAAACCGGGATGCTGACATTAGTTGGCAGTGTTGTAGGGCCAGCGGACTGGATAGTAACATGCGAGTCCCAGGTCAAGTGGAAGCGACGCATGACGCGAGCAACAGTATCTTTCGGGTTATGCGGAAGTACCGCCATGTAGTCGCCCGCTGAGTATCGCATGTTGGTTGGAAGTTGAAGTTCAATGTGTCGTTTTTCCAGGCCGACATTGCCCTGAACAAGGACGTGTGAATCAATGACAAGGGCATCTTTGACGTCTTGGCGGAGAGTCGAGGTCCTGGGCGTTGAAAACGAAACTGACAAGCCTGCATCGGATATTCCACCGTCTTCCGCTTCATTGTGGCCACCAAACTGCTTGACAAGTGCTGGCCATAGCTTCTCGTCTTCCCATGCCTCAAAGTCCGAGAACATGTCACGATCCTTGGCGTCAGTTGTGTCGAGAGGGACAAGTCGAGTTGCTCCATGCTCGCTCAGCGACGAATCAACCAGTTTCGGAATGCGCTGATGTGTCTTGACCCAGTCTCCGTGTCCTGCGCGAAATTAGCTACACTGTTAGGCATTACGACTCCTAAACAACTTACCACAACCATAAACCGCGTATGAAACATTCTCAAGTTCTTTGCCTTTCAAGTTGGTCAACCAGTCAACAAACAGCGCCGCATTATGCGGTGGCTGACCCTCATAAGAAGACGTAATAATCACGACGGGGCCATCAGTTGGAAGAGATTCTCTGGCAGTGTCGAGCGAATCTACTGTTGCGCTGAACCCGTGCGACGCGGCGTCACTGGCAAGTCTTTGGGCCATGAACTCACAGGTTCCTGCATTGGACCCGTAGAACACGGCCAGCTTACTATTCTTTGACGCACCGTTGCTGCCGCATGTATCCTTTGGAGCTTTCTTCACCTGTGCATCAGATGTCGCGGCTTTAGCGCCAGCGCCAGTCGCTACAATGGATCCTGCAAGGCGAGCCTCAAGAAGAGAAGGGGTCAACCCCTCTCTCAAAATTGCCCGGATGTAAAAGTCCTTGGGTTTTATGGTGAGTGTTTGGGCTATCTTTAAGTCGTAGTTCGGGTTGTGGGCGACAAAGTTGAAGTTTTGGAAAAGAACTGCAAGAGCGAGTAGCATTTCTTGCCAAGCAAAAGCGCGGCCAATGCAACCACGCATTCCCGTGCCAAATGGACTCCAGCAGTTGGGGAATTCCTTCATCAGGCGGTCAAAGTTCTCGTCCAGCATTCTCTCAGGCTTGAACTCCTCGGCATCATCGCCATAGACTGCTGGGTCAAAGTGAGACTTGGCCAGGCATGCGACGAGCGTCTCTCCTGCCTTGACTGGGTATTTGCCCCCAAGGATCTCATCTTTCTTGGCCTCCCTTGCAAAGGCTGGTATAGGTGCGCTAAAGCGCAGTGTTTCTCGTAAGACCTATCATCGGCTTGTTAGTATACGTCAGAGACTTGGACTGTTTGATACATACCGCAGATAAATACTTGAGCTTTCCAACGTGCTCTTGACGAATGGGGCCTTCGCCCACAACACTGTCAATTTCTTGTTGGACTTTACGATACACCTCCGGCCTCTTGATAAGCCAGTACATAGTGAAAGAAAACGTTGCTGCCGTGGTTTCGTGGCCTGCAACCAGGAAGGTAATGAGATTGTCGATGATGCTCTCGTCTGTCATTTTCCGGCCAGTGACCGTGTCGACCGTGGTCAGCATGGCTGTCAAGAGGTCCTTCCTGGTATTTAGGCCGTTGGGATCTTCTTTCCGGGCCTGCAGTACCTCCCTGGCTGTTGTTCGTAGCAAGTTGATATTCTCTTTGTACTTTTTGTCCTGCGACTTGTAAAATACCTGAGGCAAGACACGTAATGTTTTGTCACCAGCTTCCTTCAGTACCCGGTACATGGCGGTAATGAACGGGTGCGTATCCTCACGGTAGTAGGAGTTGAATCTGAAACCCATAGAGCAGAGAGCGACTGTGTCCATGGTGAGTCTCGTCATGTCTTCTCCAATGGAAATTGGTGTTGAGGATCCGTGACGAGCCCACTTGAGAGCTAATTGAGACGCGAGGTCGTGCATGTCGTCAAACATGCCTCTGATGGCAAGGGGGCCAAAGGCGGCCATCAAGACCCGGTGCGCAACTCCCCAGTTCTCCTCTTCTTCTCCTTTGGACTGTTTCGTTGGTGTTAGATGCAGCACAATATGTAAGACGCCCCATACTACTCGAATGGATATGGCTTACCGTGAACAATCCGTCATGTACGGCCTCACGTAAATGCTTCAAAGTTGAAAAGTTAGCAAAACCTTCATCATTTGGGAAAGCGTAATTACCTCAAGTTCGCCGTCAATGCTCTTCTTAAACCTGTCATCACCACAAATTTCATTGACCAACGCATGTGTGTTGACCCAAACGGTCTTTTGTCCAAGGAGGTCTACTTTGTAAATTGGGCCTAGTGTATGTGATCAGCTCATTGTAACGCAACCTTCGTCCTATTACACTTAAGTAAGGGCAGCCTACCATATTTGTTAGCCAAGTGAATGAACGACCCTAAAGGGTACTCCATGTCGATATCGGTAACATTTCCCAGGAGAGGAACCCGGGGCGGTTCCGGGATCTTAACGGTCTTGACTTCCATATTGGAAGTGCTTTTCGTAGACCTCCGAGACAAGCTAAGAAATCGTTTGCGTTTCTCGTATTGGGAAACAGCTTTTTCAGTGTCCGTTTGTTGATTTGAATTGCTGATGGAAGACATCTCGAACTATCGATCGTGGTGACAGACTTGAAAGATATATAAGGTTGGAAGAGAAACAATTCTATGGTCCTGCTCATTGAAATCGTGATTGAGTGCTCCACTCCCGGTTGGTTGTAAAGACGGGCTTGGCAAAGGCCGCTGGAGCGAAGGGAACGGAGTGGCGGATATGGTATTGCTCCTTCGGTGTCCTCAGATACAGGGGACAATGTGGCTGAGATGCTATAGCCTTAGTCGTTAATTTGATGGACAGTTATTTCCTGCAAGATTAACACGTTAACTGTGGTTTTGCTCGGGATTCGTCACCAGCCAGTCCCGCGGACACCCGTGATCCGGCCGCAAGTGGGGTCCATTCATCGAAAATGGACCGTTAAGCGCAAGCACTGGCCCGACCGCACCTCCGCGGCGTCCGATCCCCACTAAATCATCTGTGGTGCGCCTTGGTCCGAGCAAGAACAATTGCCAAATGGCAACGCCAAGCAGCTATTGTGTTCTGTGATGAATGGTACAGCACAGAAATAGAATCCACAATTGTGGCACTGCAATTGCGGCTTGTGTACGGAATTAGGATTCGCATGTCATATGATTGGCTGACCTTTCCTTGAACGTATTTAATTTGAACAAAATAAGGTTCTGAGGAACCAATGGCTATAAGAACATTACGCATACCTTGCTACATCACTAATCCTGTGCCCCTTGCATGAGGCGCTGTACAGTTGCGTCAGTTTAATCTTGAGCGGTAAGCTCTCTCTTCTGGGAAGACGTCAGCGTTGTTGGCCCCGAGACGGAAAACGCCCTTGCCGAAGCTGCTTATTTCACGGACCCTGGTAAACCATTGAAATGATTCTGTTTCTCACTCAGGTAACTGAAAATACTTTAAACTAACAGCGGCGCCTCATATGTACATCTACTGATTACAGCTGCAACGATGAGCATCACAAAGCTGCCAAAGAGACCCTAAGCCCGACAACGGAGTATCCGTTTCAAAAATTGCAATCTAAATATCTCACATGCCACTTTCTTTATTATATTCACATCAAATGCTTGTACATGATGTATGAAGTCAACTGTGAGGATGAACAAAAACCACACTACCATCTCATCTATATCGAAGATTTTGGATAGTTCAAGCTGACGGCCAAAGGAGTTATTTCAGTTTGCCATTTTTCAAGTATTGACAAAGCGGCAATGTATATTCTTGTACGTAGAGACATGAGTACAGGATCTGAGGGCCTTTCTTTTGTCATTCTTACACTACAATAGAAGGCTTCAATACGAAGACCGCCGAAGCTTTCCAAAGAATATCGTTATCAGTTGTACACATTATTCGATGCCCCAAATCCCGCATAACTGGTGATATTACCAGCACTAAACCCCCGCGTACCGGATGTTCGGCTGAGGTGGCGTCTCCATGCCCTTGCCAAGGAAGTAGTCAACGTGATGAGACTGCACGTATCCCTTAAGCGTCATCGAGTTCCGATAAGCAGGGTTGTGAGCCAGAGTGTACAGGCGGATGTCACTCGGCTTGTCGGTCGTAAAGATGAGCAACTCGTCCGCACTCTCGTTTGTGACAATGACCTCCTCTCTCCAGTCTCCTAGGATGTCGCCAAGGAACTGGGGATTTCTGCCAGCTAGTACGCCACCAAAGTCACTAACTCTTAGAATTCGTGGCAGACTGTTCGAAGCACTCGGGTTCTCCCAATCCCATTTCTCAAATTTGCCGTCGTTGAAAAGCTCAAGAAGCTCGTCGCCGTCCCACCAAAGACCTAGATGGGGCCAAGGTGCGAGCCCGGTGTCCGGCTCCGTGAGTTCGTCTTCTTTGCCGTTGTAAACACCCGAGAATGACCACACTTCCATGCCTTCGTGGGTGGGATCGATATCGCCAACCATACCTCGCCCAATATCACTCTCACTTTCGCCGTAGTGCTTCCAGAGAATGTTTCCTGTGTCGGCGTCGTAGTAGTACTCATATAGGAATTCTGGGTTTCTCTGCTGAACCCCAAAACCTTGAAGACCATTACGTGTAGGGTCTATCTTGGCCACATGGAATCGGTCGCCATGGACAACACCTTGATCTCCGAGAGAGTAGCGTGGTGTTCCATCTCCATTGAGTACGAAGCCGATTTCGAGAACCTCGTCTTTTCCGTCGCCATTCACATCAATGATGCGGGTGTTGTGGCCATCAGGGTAATTTCCGTTGCCGCGAGTCCATTTCCACTCCTGCTTGAGAGCGTTGCCATCAAAGGTCCAGGCGGTGAACATTAAGTTGAAGTCCCCAGATCCGATGCGGTTCTTCATATAAGCGACGAGATGCGGCGTTTCTCCGTCGAGGAACCCGGCGCCAAGGCGGGCGGCTAACGGCCCATCCTCGATGTAATCTGTAGGCACTTGGCTACTAGCGCGAAGAGCTCCAGTTCGACCATCCAAAATGGCTAGATACTGGTGCTCATTGGTTTCACCCTCATTGAACGTGACGCCATCTCCGAATACAACACCGTTCGCAATTCTGACGGCAACCTCGGCACGGCCATCGCTGTCAAAGTCAAAGACGGTGACACCATCCCAGTGGCCGACGTCAATTGCCGAAGAACCAGGTTCAATGTTGTTCTGATTCTCGCTGTTGGGTCCAAGGTTGACTTCCCATAGAAATGTTCCGTTGCTGGTGTATGCCTCAAGGGACTGTGGGGATGTTTGACGATCAAGAACATAATCCCACTCGCCGTCGCCGTCGAGGTCACCAACCCATATGAACTTAACGGGTCCTCCGCTACGAATAGGAACGCGCACAATGGGTTCGATGGGAGTACTTGCAGGTAGACTGAACGAGCTGCTGGCGTCTTGCTCGTTTCCGTCAACAACAGGCCGCACAAAGTAGGTGTTGACCTCGTTTAGGTCTGCAGTGGAGTCGAGGAAGTTGGTGCCGCCAGTAAGAACTTCTGTGTTGAGTTTTGTGGGACTGCTACCGGTATCGCGATAGATGTTGAAGCCTATCCCTTTGGGGTCGAGTCCTAGCAGTCGCCAAGAGACCAAGATGTCCTGTTCGCTTGAGCGGACTGCCACAATGCCTCTGCCTAGATTCTCCAAGGGCCGGGCGGCTTCCACCAAAACCCCGCCGAGGAAGCCAAGAACTGCAGAAGAAATGGCCAGAAACCTCATGGTTCCGGTGGAAACAATCGGATAATCTTAAGTGAAGGTTTTGTCGATGCTGGAGCTCAAGTTGTCCTTACATCTTGTCTATAAGGAGTGATTGGCAACATATATACTTCGCACGATCAACTATTCGGGGCTCTTCCAAGACCATTACGACATCTTTCCTCCGACATCGTGCTACCGCGATTCTCAAAATTCGCAAATCCAAGCAGATCAATGTTGGGCCCGCTTTTGTCCCCCGGTATATGTCCCTCGGGAGACGTATGCGACATCACGCGCAGACGGCATTTCCAGTGCCGGACGCCGTCATTGGAGGAGTAAACTACCCCAGTCTTGGCAAGTTCTCATTTAAATACCCACGAAGACATTCTCCGAGGTACATTGTCCGAGCAAACGCGTTCAACTGTAGGGCGGCTGTAGCTTGACAGTTAGTAATCTGTCTTTTGTCGGTCGATTCAACCCGGATTACCGGATGAACGAGCTTCGCATCAACATTTCTCTCCGAGGGAGGGCTGATGAGCTATGTTCTTTCAAAAGCCACTGAACGCTGCTGACTGCTACCTATGGCATACGATTTTCCATGTCGTAAATGTTCTCATAAATTTGGAATCTGCAAAATGAATTGAGCCTTTATCACTTCATGACAGGTATTACAATCAGATTAAGGACAGACTCACGGATAATAAGTTCTGCAACCGTAATTTCTGATTGACTTGAGTGCATCACTCAACGGATCGATGCCAAAAGCACCAATATTACGTTCGTTGTTGTGATTCTTTTAATCTTCCATTCATCCAATTATGTACCCATCTGCTTGCTTGTCTCTTGTTTGCATCGATTATGTCTCTAACAACAATCATCAAATCAACTATACTTCCTCTGACGATTTAAATCAGTGAACGACCATTTGCAATCGCCTCTTCGTCTGTATTTGCGGAATAGATTCTGACTTGCTTTTCCAACCTCGGTGGCTTGGCTTGACCCAGGTTGCTGCTGTTAAATAACGGGAGGCAATGAGGATCAACCTTCAAATATAGCCAGTACATATCAGCTAGCAGCTTCCTAGACTAGATAAGAGTGTCAAACTAAATAGCGTGTGGAATTGCAAGGAACGATTAGCCAGCAGGCCATGTCCATAGCAGCCAGCCAGAGATTATTACCTGCGAAAATCTCCTAACGTAAGGTAGCCCTTTGAAAGATATGGTTGGTGCTTTCCGAAAAGAACTGTAAGGGCATCCTGGACTAATTCTCATAGATTTCGTGGGAAGACAAGCCCGCCCGAAGATCCCCGTTGCAGGTGACGGCCCAGGGTATGCTGGGCAGAGACTTCACTATATCTCCATCTCCCCATTTCTATCTCCTATGTAAGGGAAGCTGATGAGATCATGTAGATGCTGTTTTTTAAAAGAAGCCATCATCATATGATTTCTGCTTGATGTCCTGTTTCAGTACTATGTAGTACCTGTGATAACACACCGCGGAAACGTAAACGAACGCCATACGTTCGTTGGAAAACGTAATAAAACGCAACCACTAGATGAAGCTTATGAGGCAAATCAACTCTATCGCTGGAATACCAACACCCTCTTGTTGGACTTGCCTATAGAGCGAAGAACCCCGCACTATGATTCCATATTGATCCACTGAAGACATCAACTCTCTTACATCCGACTTTCTCTTTTCAAACACCGATGACAAAGACTGTTCATTCATGAATCATTGTGCCCTCAAACAAAGTTCAACATCAAATTCATAAACCAGCTCGTAAGTTTCGAGCTAACTGCTCAGAATCCCCTCCATTGGCAGTTCTAGAAGACTACTGCAACAATTCCCGGGCTTACCCAGCATCCTCGGAGCCCAAAGCAGTTTACCTCAACACCTCCTGATGTTCTTATACACGCAGACGTATGTTATTCGCTGCTATCCAGAGTCCTCGAAACAGTCCAGAGAGGCAAGAAGTCTCCGGCGACCGGCACCAGTGTTGCTCCTTCCCCAAACTGGAAGAAGGTGTTGGTTTCAGCCTTTACCCTTTGTTTCATATTCCTACCACACCAAGACGGCTATTTACATAATTGGTGATTTACATAATTAGTGAAACTTTGGGAGTGGACCAATTGCTTGTCCTACCTAGGTAATGAGAAAAGTAATTTGGGAGAGTGTTGGTGATGTCGGAAACTGGAAGGAAAACCATATACGAATAATCAATTAAGTGGATGACATTCATCCGCCAGTGCAGCTTGAGCCACATCGCATAAAATTGAGACATTTCAGCGGTTGTGGCTCATGCGCCTCACTATCCCATTCAGTTAGAGTGTAATATAAAAGGTGCTCCAGCTGTATTGCTCCAGCAACTTCCACGTCACTCAAAAAGGAAGTGAGGAAGGGCGAAAAAGGAGAGGATTCTTGGCATAGGCAACCGACGATGCAGTGCAAGGCCTGGAAGCGTAAAAAAGAAAATAACGATTGAATGCCTAATATCGCAAGGAATCGCCGAAATTTGAAAATCACGTTTGTGATCTAGTCAGTCTTCTTTCTGGGCAATCTTGAACTTCTTCAGCGATGACTCTATCGCTAGGGAAGACTACGGAGGTACTCCGTACAGATTCGGAAATCTCGCCCCCTAATACTCGCTCCACTTGACAGGCTAGCGAAATAGACAAAGTAAATTACATTGGACGCTTACAAGAATGCAAGGATGGCATCCCTTAACTGCCAACGGTCAACGATAGAACTACACGCACGAAAACCGATCGTCCCGGGGGTGCGGAAGCCGCATTTCATCGCCTCACATATAGGGTAGGCTGCTATAATGAAGTCTGCAATCCGGAGAAAATATACTTTGAGCGCCAGTCCATTCTTCACGGAAAGTTTCTTTTTTAGCAGCTGCCCACGGCCGGCGTTCCTCAGCCTACCGCTTCTGAACCAAACCCCCCCCCCCCCCCACACCCTAGTCAGGGGCTGTTGCCGTGAAACGGATTGGAGTGGTCATAATGGCCCCTGCATCAATGCGATCCCCAGGCCAATTTTGTTTACTTCACGTGATCTCCACCACGGATTTCCCTTTAACTCAAGGTTGATTTCCACACCGATACAACCTCCAACTGAAGACCAACCAGGCAAAAAATGTCGACCAAACGGGACAGTGGCGATTGGACGAGCCAGCGGCGGCTTTATTCCGTCAGGGAGAGGCTGTCCGGCTTCGTTCGGCGCGGCGCCGGATTGGCCAAGAAGACAACAACATCGATGATTGGTGAGCCGCGACACGAGAGAGAATCAGTAGATGAGAGCCCAAAGGCCTTCCCGCGAGTTCAGGTCCAAGACTTCGGCACCTCAAGTCTTGAGATTGACTTGCAGTCCTTGGAGGCCTTCCGCACCGAGCCACGTTCGGAGAAGAAAGTTGAGCACCCAAAGCCTCCGACGGCCTCGTCGACGACGCCTATCGCAGATATGTTTGCCAGGAAGGCCACGACCATTGCGCCCCCAACGGTCACCAAGACTTCACTCAACAAGTCTTCACCATCACTCATCTCATCACCCGTAGATAAACCCAGCAAGAAGGTCCCTGCCGAAGGACGTCAGCCTAGCATTGCTCCATCACATAAGACACACGCACCTAGCCCTGCAGCCAACGTAACAATCATCAGCTCTGGTTATGCTCAACCACATATCCCGAAGCCCTGGCCGCCTCCAGAACCCGCACGTGTCGTTGAGCCTATTCGTATCCAACTTTCCACTACTTCAGAGGTAAAACAGCCCAGCAGAGTACAGCTCCGCGAGCCGCGGCGTGGTGCACTCGTCTCATCAGGGCCTGCCCCCATCACCACGCCTGAGCCCATCAACAGACCCCGCCGAAAGGCTATTGCTGAGAAGCAATTGCTTCCGCAAAACGCGGAAAAGCGCCATTCGACACCTACGACGGTGCATTCTTTGACTACGGTGCCAAAGTCGCTGCCTGTAGAAACTCTCCAAACAGATCGGAGACGGTCATGGCAGCCGGCACAAACCTCAGTGCCATCAGGGCCGTCAACACCATCCGCACCACCATCGGCCTCTGCACCGTGGCGTGATTTCCCTAACCGACGTGTATCCACTCGCCTTGGCACGGATCGCCTTCGCTGGATCCGGGAGCTCGAGGAAGGCAAGAAGAACAAGTCAACGATCAACGGGGATCTTCCTGTGCTCAAGACGATGCAGGGAAGTGTGGCCGACAAGCTGGCCAGATTCGAGAGCAAGCAGCAGCAACAGCAGCTGGCGCCAATCGCCCGGTCCAACTCGACCAGGAGTCGCACGTCGTCGATTGCGGACACGTTCACCTCGTACGGGGCCGTGACCACGACCCGGTCGTCGCTGGATAGCCACCGCACATCGTCCGTTTTCTCGCATTACGATGACTCATTCCGCGAGAAGATGGAGCTCATCACGGGAAATGCAAACCGCAAGGCGGAAGACGCCAACGAAGAGAAGCCTGCTCTGATACGGGTCACGTCTACCTTTGTATCAGTGGAAAAACGGAACAAGAAGGCATGCATCGGCAAGCCGATGGAGGTTTGAGTTTGATTTTCAGCGACGGAAGTTTTTGAAGTTTTGATTTATTATTTTTTTTATAGTTCTGGCATAGCGGAAGCGTACGTGGAGGGTCCGACGACGGGAGATTCTCCGCTTCGCATGATTTTGTTTTCTTTTTTTTACGACATTCCCCACGACAATACTCATCTGGTGCAGTGCTAGGTTTTCTCAAGAGCATCTGACCAGATTTGAAGTTCGACGTATTATTGCATAGTTATTTTTATGTTTTTTTTATTAGATGATAATGATAAGACGCTTTTTGATGATGAGATTGAGATGTCTTGGGTTGAGTGTTTTTGATAAATGTATTTTATGTGTATGAAGTTATGAGATTGGTTATTTTTCATAGGATTGTTTTGGCTCGAGTGAAGGATGCGTGCTTCTACCTGCTTGGTGTTGCACATTTATATTGAGATTACTAAGCACTTGCACCCCAGTGTAGGAGTGATGATTTGTCGCCCTGTTCATCTCATGTCCAATGTATCCATCATTTTCTCCCAGATTAATGCAGCCATGCTGGCTGGGGTGACCGGCGGGGTTAGGTGGTTGTGCCTGACAGAGGATGCTGCTACCAACTTGGCGTATCTCCCGTCTCAAATATCACTGACCTCGGTATTTACTACAAAATGAAAAATGAAGAAAAAAAAAAAAAAAAAAAAAAAAAGCATTTGTAGTCATGTTATAGCTATGATAATCCTCCTAGTATATACATCAATGGCCTACATTGAGTCTGAAGGATAAAATTGAAGCCACGCATCCCTAACTTCTCCAAACTCGCATCCCACTCTTCATGCCCGTGATATCCATACACAGCTAAACCACCCGGGAAATTTACTGAAAACCTTTGGAAACTGCAACCTGTTCCATAATCTTGCCCAAATCGAAATCCGCCTCTTCAAAGTCTTTCTGGACCACCCTCTCAACCCACTCGCCTCTCGGCCTGAAAACGGCCTCAAAAGGCGACGGTCCGATAATGATGCCATGCGTCGGCATAGCCATCTCATCAATGATCTTTCTCCTTGTCGTGTTCGGTACAAAGGGTGCTTCCATGTCAAAAGCCCAGAGGAGGCGCGCCACCATGATCCAAAGTGCATCCCGCGCAACGTGTCTCCCCGGGCATGTTCTTCTCCCGTGCCCAAAGACCACGGTTGGCAAGTCATCTCGCTCCATCCAGCGCTCCGGTCTAAATTCATCGGCATCAGCACCGAAAGCGGCCTTATCTCTTGCCATTGCCCATTGAGAGATGATCATGATGGAGTTCTTGGGGATCCTGTATCCATTGTATTCATCTTCCTCCGTGGAGCTGTGTTCGAGCCCCGTAGGAAGAATCGGGCGCCAGCGGAAGACTTCGTCGATGATAGCGTCGATATAAACCATTTGCGCACGGTCTTCGTACATCGGTAAGCGGTCGTGGCCAACGACTTCATCCAGTATGGATTGAGCTTTTCGAATAACCTGCGGATGGTTGATCATCATGACGACGAGCCAGCATAGGAAGCTGGGGCTCGTGTCACTGTTGGCGATGAAAAGGGCTCCAAGCACCCATGCTACTTCTGTCTCGCTCATGTCGGGGTCCAGGCGCTTCGCGCTATCGAGAATCTGTTTCGACAGATTGTACCCGGGTTGCTCCAAAGCGTTGTGCAAGTTCTTGAGGTGAAATTCCTTTTCGATTTCGAACAGGGGCTCAGCGACCCGTTTCCAAGGAGAGATGACGTGAGGAATGTGCTTCAGAAAAGGGAAGATGTCGACTAGTGTGATCTTTTCAATAATATTTAGGGTCGGGCAAGTATTGAAAAAGTCCATTTTGGCGTCAGAGTCAGGGTCTCCCTTGACAAGGCGTCTGCCAAACATGATGGCGTTCATGCTGCTTCCTGCAGCCCGTTGGAAGTGCAAACGGGGGTCCTGCGGTTTTGTTTCTTGCTCTACTGACTCTTGCAACGATCCAATTGTCTTTTCATTAGGTTTAGAGTCGAACTTCGAGTCTTGAATCATGTCGTGGAGGAGCTCAAGAGACTCAAGCTTGTGGATGGGCTGGTAAACATTTGCAGATCGCGGGTTCAGTCCGGGAACATGCAGCCTTTGGTGCAAGCGTGTTCGAGAGTCGTACTGGCGAAAAGCCATGTTGTAACCCTTTGCAAGTAACTCGCCACCAATGACACTCAACGGGCGTCCGGCATATTTGGAGGCGCGCTTGTTGATGAGATCGTGCGCGGCCTCTACCGTCGTCAAAACGATGATTGGATTTCCAAACACATTCAGGTAGACGACTGGGCCGTAGTCGAGCTTCCACAGGTAATGAACGATCCAACGCAGACGATCCGGGTTGTTGAACATGTTCCCAATGAGAGGTAGACGAGGAGGGCCTGGGGGGAGAGGCAGGTTCGCATACTTGGAAGATTTCGCATTTTTGGCGTAGAACAAATAGGAGGCCAAAAGGCCGAAAATGACAAGAAGAGTTGATTGTGAGCCGATGGTTGTGACCAGACCTTGTTGAGTGTGAGGATCGGGTCTCACCCCGGTCACGTTAGCCAGCGTTGAATTCATTATGAGTTGAGATGAGTCGACTGAGGCGAATTCAGTGTCTTGCAAGACAAAAGGGATCGAGCTCGAACCTCAGTTAAAAGAGAGTACATTCATAACGAAACGAGTGAGCAAAAAAATACCAACAATATATACAAGATGAGGTGCACCTTGAAGAAGAGGGGAAGAATTGACTACTTCCTTTTTCCTAAAACTCGTCGGCCGATTCAAGCCATAAATCCTGCCGAACGGGAACCAAATAGGGTAAGCACACGGATATCTCATGCAAGATGTGCTGCAGTCTTGGACACGGGTGTGTTACCCGCTCCCGCTCAACGCCGTTGGTGACACCCGTAATCCTTGGCCTGCATGTGAAACTAGACCAATCAAAGTAATCACACAACTCCTCATTGGTTCTCTAACCGTTGGTGAAGAGGGCGCACTCTATGAGATGATTATCAAGCTGCCAACTTTGGCCTCCTGCTTATTTCTGCCTGCATGAGAACTCCGCTGGGTGCGCCAACGTGATTGGAGATCACTGTGATATCGGTGACTCCTGCCGCGAAATCTGTCTTGGAGCAACAGGACCAACACGCTTCGATATTCCAGATTGGTTTTATTTTTTTGGCTGCCCGATGACTCTGCACCCTTCATGCCTAACATCAGGCCATTAGACGCCACCCCACGGGTTTCCTGGATGCGTCTATCAACGCCAGCAATCATTGACGATTCAAGGTTGCCGCTCATGTCCTGCAACCCCTACCACTCGAATGTCTTCTCGGGCAATTCAGCATGCGGCCTGATGTCTTGTGTGGGCCAGATGAGGTGCATCTGCCACGCGATATTCGGTCCGGCAACATCCGCTCTGAATCAGCTTCCCCCCGCCAAAGACTCTCACATGTGAAAGTCCCATGGACTTCGATATTGGAGTGAAATCAGACGGTTCGAGCACGCTTCTTGAGGCTGTGTGGAACTCATGCATGACTTTCTAGCCGGGGCCTATCATTGTCTGTTCGCCAAGCATGTGAGGGGCTTCATGGTATAACCTATACCGTATGCGGTGTTGTTGGATCTGAACCAGGAGAGCGGTGCCAGTTTTGGTTTACTACTCCATCTCCGAGGGTACGGCCAGGATGTTTCGTTGGTGGCAAGATGGGCACGGCACCCTTTAGTACGCAAAGAAATTTCTCTGCTGGATTCTCTTTACTTTACAATCAATTGAGATTTGTCTGTCACCGGCGTACTAGTAAAAGTCTTTCTACCTATTAGCAATCTGGCCCTCTACCTTTGCCCCTTTCTCGGCTGCTTCGATATGTGGGCCAACAGTTTTCGCGGCCCCAACACGTTTACGCGGTCTTGGGAGTTAACTGTTTTCGGCAAGGTACAAAATCGTATTTTTATGAGAGGTAGCTTACAGGGTTAGCAGACCTATTATCGTTTAACGAACTCGAAAGGGCAGCTGTTGCGTCGGCAGGCAGCCATTGTTCGATTCCATCTCTTCTCAGCGTTCGCGCATCCAACAAACCTTCGCCATGGAACAGATGTCAACAGTCACTTAGAGTTAGCAATTTTACAAATAATTTAAAACTTAAAAGCTCATTGTTAAACCGAATTCCAGCTCAGTTCACAGTTTTGTCATGTAAGATTCAGCAGTTGTGCGTGTTGCCCAGCATGAAGCTATTCTTCGTTGCCAGCTCTGAGCCAGATTACCTTCAAGGACTCGCGCAGTCTACCGGATTTATGGATAGATGAATGAACGAATGATGTCTATGAGTGTAGTCAATAGTACGATGCATTCCCCTGGCTCTAAGCCGGAATGCACTGATTGATGCTTAAGTGATGTGGCTGCTGTTTTACGTTGTCTGGCGAGACATGTTCTTCTACGAATGTTTCTTTGGCTATACTCAGTTGGGATTGCGTGACTCCCAGTCATATTTCATGTAAGCAAGGAGTTTCCTGGCACTGACCTATATATATGAAGGCTGGGGGACTATAAGGCCGGATGCCTGTGGTTCAGGTAAGATATGACTATGTAAAGGGCTCTCATCTGTCATCATTGGGAAATTATTGACGCATGTTAGTCCAAGTCAAGTGAAGCTTTAATACCAATTCTAACGAGACACAGCGACATACTTATTGATTGCCAGTAATTGCTTGTCATGGCTTACAACGGTCCGTCCTCATAAGACAGGACGTCCAAATCATTAAGGCTACAGTAACATAGACCCCCGCGGTCCGTCCAGCCCCCGGCTTGTACGAAATAAATCGTCTCTACCTGACTTTCTTTTTACAAACCTCGTCACATGTTCGCCACAGTGTCCGGCACAAAGATGAATCTCAGTAACGTAACAATGCTGTTCCCGGATTCCACCATATCTTCAGAAGACCTAACAACTATTCGCCAACAACTTTAAAGAAATCACTGCAAAAATCAGCGTCCATGTCGCCAGTCAACCCATCCCAAGTTGACCATCTGAAGGCACGGTACTCGGTACCATCCTAACTCACATGCACGTTTGTCAAACCCGCACCCACGATGAATGGAGAGTATGATTGGACGAACGGTGTATGTTGACTTAGACAGCGTTGCGGCCTAAACATACGTGCTTGTACGTCAATCTATGTAGCCTTATCTGGTAAGCCAACGTTTCTAGACTCCGAGACTTGAGCCATAAAACTTCCAAGTCAATGGAAACCCTCAAGATATTGTACATATTTGCAAAACCGGCTTACGAAATGGCGGTTCCTCCTGCCGGCAAAGCGCAGCTGACATCGTGACGTACAAACGAAAGATATAAACCAGACAATAGCATAGCTTTTCATCTACCAAAAAGACGAGATAAACAATTTGAGCCTGACTAAACGCCTCCGAAACAGTCAAGTTCCACCCCAAGTACTCCGATAGCAGACGTGTTAACTCCAGGCAACCTCTTGACTCGCAATGCAAATCCATATCAGATACAACGAATAACATTACCATATAGGCTGTAGACTCGGTCTTCTTCCTATACCTAAATCTATTCGGCGTCCCAAACATTTCTTAGTGAGGAGGGCTCGATGCGACCAGCAGTAGCGCGAGGCCTACCACGAGGTCCATCACCGGTGGTACCGTACTGGGGACTGAGGTCGCGGTAGGTTATGGGCACATCAGATTCATCGCCGCTGTCGGTTTGGACGGCGGCAACGGCGGCGGTGGCGGCAGCAGTCAGAAGAGGTCGAGTGCGCTCGCGTTCCTCAATGGGGCGTTCTGAAAGGTGTCGCCATCCCTGTGCCCACCAAGCATGCCTCCAGTTGCTAGCGCTCTGCACGAAGAGCAGAGTAAGAATCTTTGGCAGCAAAATTAGCCAAATTTGAGCAAGAATCAATCAAAAAGACGGAACAACACGTACCTGTAAACCACCTACGGCCAGAACAACCCCCAGGTCGATGGCCGAATTTCTGATTGTCGCCTGCCGCCATGGCCCGATACACGGGGTGTTGCGTCCATATCTTTGCGCACATTGAATGTCGCCAGTGAACGGCCAGGCACGGTCTTTTGGAGTGTTGAAGCCGCAGCAGTCAAAACTTTCTTGGATTTGTCGAATCGAGGCCTCGTCCTTCTGGGCAAACATTTGTTGCCATGTCGTGGATAACCCACAGTTGAGATAGACGCCGGGTACGGCGATTTGGAAAAACAAAACAGCGAACACAGTCGTCAAGATTCCTTGCAAGCTTTGGATAATTGTTGGCAGAAGCTGCTGGGCACGAGCTGGTGACTGGCTTGCGTTGAAGAGCAGACGAGGATAATAGAAGGCATTTGCCGCGCCGATTATGGGAAGTACGATGGCGAACAATCTTTGGTAGTGAGCAATGGGGATTGCTAAATACGCGCTCGATACGTGAATGACGCTATTTAGAAGTCAGCGTGGTGAAATTGGACCTAGGAGACTAATCTAGTGACGGTGTTGACTTGCATAGCGGTCGCGAGAAGTGCGAGGCAAATCTGTTGGTTCAGTTAACATATACATTAACATTATCTGGAGCCCAGTCTCATGTGAGCTCACCACGAGGTACACGATCCCTGGATTGACCATGTCGAAGGCCTGGACTGGTGAGATGTTGCACAAATTAGCAAGGACAGCGCAACAAGGTTGTTCGACGATATCGCGACGAGATGATCGTGATATTTTACATAGAAGCAGCCCGAATAAGAGGAAGAGGTGAAGTGGTGAGTTGGAAGTCGGCGGAGAAGAATGTGGCGTTGGGCGTTGTGTCTGCAGCTGCCGATCTCTATGATGGTGGGAGGGAATTGCCTGGGGCCCCAAAATCGAGCTTTCCTTAGCGGCACAGTAAACAACAGCAGCAGCAAGGAGCGCGCCAGCAGTCAACACACAGTCAGAGCTAGGAGAAGGTGCAGTAGCTTCACACGTCATTAGCAACCCTCCCCAGGCCCCCCAAGAAGCTTATTCCACCAAACCTGAGCACGCCATAGGCGGTTAAGTTCCTTGGCCACCTAGGAGGGACCTTGAGGACTCCTGCTGGAGGCCCCCCGACGCGCACGGTGGAATGCTGTTAAACCCCGCATGCTGTGCAACCGCACTGGGCGAAGGACGAAGCGTGTAACCTCCATCCTTTGCACTGTCGATCGCGATGCGATATGCTCTAGCCCGGTCGCATATGTGTTATCTTTCGTTGTGCCCCATGCACCCAGCCATTTCACCTATTGAATGCCGGGAAAAAAAAAAAAAAAAACGGGTGGCATGTTCTGTGCTACCGGTGATGTCTTTTTTGGCGGTGTGCTACTCTCCGCTTCCGGTTGAAACCAGCATAGAGTGTAAGCCGATAATGACGCCAGTGGCAGGGAGGGAGCCATCAACACGGATTTGACGACCTGCACCTTGCATGTTTGCCGTTTGTTCCTAACCACTGCCGCTGGGTTGACAGCCGTTGACGGACTTGAGTGAATGCAAGCTTGCAATCGTACGAACCTAGCTCAATCATAAAATCCGTACCAGCTTCCTTGTCCTGGCTCAGGAAATGAATGCGGTTCACATAACACTATTTGAGTAGTCGAGCGATGGCCGGAGCCGATAGAGACGTGAAGCACGTGTCCCAGCTTGCACTGAGCTGACTCAACAAGCCTTCTGGGAAGGTTCGCGATCGGATCAAAGACAGAGTCTACTTGGGAGATCCTCCATAGGCTCAGCGGGAAGAACCAAGTACCGTTGTAATTACACGTCGACGAAAAGGGTTACTTCGCGGTCCAGATCGATTTGTGAATGCCGGTCATTGTGCTCTTCCCTACCCTAAGCTTCGCTGCTGAAATCATCGTGCCCTGGGCCAATAAACGTATTCATAATTTTAGCACAATGTCCCGCGATGGCGGAGTATATTTTTCCAGCCAAATGTTTGTCCCATCTCACCGTCGGCAAAGCGTTGCGAGGCATGTGCAGCTTCGCTTTCTTGGATGGCTATGGCCAAGTCACGTCGTGCGATGCTTTCAGAATGACCAGAAAACGAAGGCAGAATCAAATTCTAGCGAATATTCCAAGAGAGCGCCGTTTTGCGTTCGGCTCGGATTCAAGTTGTAGGACATACAATCCTTATCGAATGGGTAGCCGCGAAAACTGATTTAGATAGATAACCTCAGAAGCCCGAGGCCATGAGGGATTTAATCGATCTGAAAACAGGCCAATCATAGACTGCTCAAACAAAGCTGTTTGAACCAACCATGTTATGGATTTCTCTCCTACTAGGACAACACCAAAGGCAGCATGCTGGCATTGGAAGGAACGGCATCTAAATAGCTGGCCGAGAATCAAAAGCTGCCGCAATTCAACGAGATGATGGGACCCACAAGGCTGAGGCGTCCTTGGGGGCCGTTCCGGCTAGGAGGAATGCCGAGCCGGTAGAAGATGGCCGAAGTGGAGATGATTTCTCGGAAGAGTCGGCCTGGGCCGCCTGGGATGTTGGTGAAGCTAGCACTTGGTCTTGGGGTGGCTTGCTTGGCTTGGACTAGGTAGGACGCTGATTGGGTTGAAGCAACGGAGCTGAACCAGGTTATCCGTACCAAGGAGGTAATTCATGATGGGGAGAGCAAAGCCATGCTGGGACGAACCTCTGCGGCTGAATCAAGCGAACTACGCAAAGCGGCGGGAAGCCTGCACTAGAACTGGATGGTAAAGCAGCAAAAACATGTCGTATTCCACTCGGGCCATTGCTGATGAACTCGGCCTGTCCGATTCTGAAATGACTGTGGAGAGAGTAGGTACTGTGTTAGGGCATCGTTTGCTGACATTCCTCAAACCGGACCTGGACCTGGACCGTTTTCGAGTATCTGTTCTCCTGGTAACTCGTTTAGGAATGTAATCCTAGAAATTGATACCGCCTGATGGAGGCTTGCGGTCGGTGGTAAGAGAATTCGAGGGGAGCATTTCCCATTTACGGATTTTGAATTCCTCAAAAGAGCAAAGAAGGAAGAGAGGCTGGCTGAGAATGGGGAGGGGTCCATTGGGTTCCATCTTACATAAGACTGCCTCTAACCCGAATAAGGCATGTGTGTGATCTATTATTGGTCAAAATCTAGTAGCTACCCATTTTATCTTCACAAAGCCCCGCCCCTTGAAGAACCCCTCCGTCAGGCTTTGTATTTTGAGAGAAGAAGGAACAGGAGAAGGAGCAGCTGAGGGGCACCTGCACCACCTCAGCTGCGACCTCGCGCGGCGTGCATCAGCCAAGATTGGCTGGCGTTGCCCACGTTTTTCCCCCCCATTGCCGTTTTGCTCTTCTCATCCTTTTTGTATCCATCATTGAGTCTGTCCATCTCATTCTGTCTCATTTCTGCTGCATCTCTCTCAATTCTCCATATATCTTGGTTCAGTGCCACAAAGCTAAGCACAGCCGGTGTGATACAACTGCCTTGCGCAAGTATCCGTACCTGTGCTCAACATGGCCTCTCTCATTACTTCCAAGCTCGCAAACTTCAACCCTTTCTCCAGATCTGCTCCTGAGGATGAGGAAGAGCTTGGCGAGAACACTGACAATACCACCCTCGCCGGTGGTGGCCACGCCGCTCGCGACACCGATCTCAAGCATCGTCTCCGCGTGAGTCGCGCAATCAAATCCTTCCTTGTCGAGCAGAAGGTTTTATCCGCGAGAGATGCCAACGTCGATTCCGATCACCCTACGCCCGCCCTACAGGCTCTCGTTGATAAGCCTCACATCAGTGTCCCGAAATACTTGACTGACAGGTCCCACCCGCTGCCCGAGTATTTCATCAGCTCCAGCCATAACACCTACCTCCTTGCCCATCAGCTTTATGGGAGCTCTTCGGCTGAGGCATACGAGGAGACCTTGCGCGCCGGCGCCCGCTGCGTCGAGATTGACGCTTGGGACAACTCTGATGACAAGAACGAACCCAAAGTCACCCACGGCTACACCCTCGTTTCCAACATCCCCTTCCGCGCTGTCTGTGAAACCATTCGTGATGTTGTTGACCAGGAGGCAAAGGACCCTAGACAAGCTGCTCCCATTCTCCTCTCTCTTGAGAACCACTGCGACCCTGAAGGCCAGTTGCGGCTCGTTCAAATTATGAAGGAAGTTTTTGGCGACAGGCTCTTGAGCAAAGAAGTACGAGAAAAAGGCCACGCAGAACAGGAGGGACAGTGCAGCCATGTGCGTCTAGAAGAATTAGGCGCCAAGATCGTTGTCATCGTCGAGTATCACTTCCCCGGCGAGTCTGACGACAGCAGCAGCTCAAGCTCCGATGACAGCAACGATGAAGACAAGAAGAACCACGACGCTTACAAGGCCAAGAAGAAGGCTGCTCCTGCAACCCTCATCATTCCCGAACTCGAAGAGCTCGGTGTCTACGCCCAGTCCGTCAAACCCGTTAACAACTCGTGGTACGAGGAAATCCTCAAAGACGGGCCCCACCACCACCTCATAAACGTCTCCGAGTCCGGTCTGGCCTCCCACATGCCCGAAGCCAGCGATAAGATCGCACGCCATAACGCTCACCACCTGATGCGCGTCTTTCCAAAGGGTACCCGAATCTCTTCAAAGAACCTTCACCCTGTCCCCTTCTGGGGCGTCGGCGCTCAAATCTGCGCTCTCAACTGGCAGACCTTTGGCGCCTCCATGCAGCTCAACGAGGCTCTTTTTAGTGGCTCTGAGGGCTTCATCCTCAAACCTGCCGCCCTTCGGCCTGGCGGCTCCGGCCATCTAGACTCGGGCGGCAAGAAGAAGTTGCGACTACACGTCGCTGGCGCCACAGACATTCCCATACCTTCGGGTCGCGACGACGACGAGCCCATCAAACCTTATCTCACATGCACCCTTGTTCATCCACACGACCTGCAGATGAACCCGCCCAAGCGAAAGACGGCGGGGTACAGGCAGCACAAACTCACAGGGTTCTTCCACAAGGGAGAGAACCCCCCGCCGACAGAGCCGCTGTGGGACGAGACGCTGGAGTGGGAGTACCAAGACAACGAAATGGTTTTTCTTCGCATGCTCATCAAGAGCGACGACAGCTTTGCCAAGAACCCGATGTTGGCTGTAGGCGCGGTGCGACTGATGTACACTGTGCCAGGCTGGGTTTTTATCCGGATGCTAGATCTGAAGGGCAGGGAGACAAGATGTTCTATTCTTGTAAGATTTGAGGTTGTCGATGCGGAATGAGTGCGCCGATGATACGTAAACGCTTTGATACCATATTTCACTGTTCATATTTATCGCTCTCCTAATGTTTCGTATGCGTAACTTGTAGGGCGGCTACTAGCATCACTCTGCCGTCTGGTGGCTCACCTTAGGCTTCTCTTTAATTCTCAGTTCATTCCTACGTGCGTTTGTATTTATTGGTGAACTAACGTTAAGTAATTCATACAACCTGGATAGCGAAGCACATTATTTTCCTAGTATCCAAACAACAAAACAACTGAATTTCCAAAGTTTCACGCGGCCACGGTACTAACACCAGCACCCAAATACAATAGCATTGACAGAGCATAAAGTCAGCATACGTAAAAGACGCAGAATCAGACTCCCGCAGCGCTTCAACAATGGACAAAATCAAAAGCAAAACACCAACACCTTCTCTCCTCACATCCTCCTCCTCACCCAAAAAGCAACCATGAAGTCGATCCTGCCCGTCGTATCCGTCACCCTCATCTCCCTTCTCGTCGCCGTCCTAGCAAGCTCCAAGCCTAAGCCCAAGTTCGACCCCGTCGACCCCGACGGCCTGCTGCCGATTCACAGCCTTCCCGGCTGCATCCGCTGGTGCATGAAGCACGAGACCTACACGGCATTGTGGTTCAACATCTGGACCATCACGCAGCGCGAGTGGTGCAGTCAAGAGCTGAACATCGTCAGACACCACTGGAGGCAAAAGAGGTTCGTCCCCTGCGCCAGGCAGAGGTGTCCCTGGGATGTGACGAACGCGACGGACATGAATGCCTGGCAGGACAGCTTTTGCCGGCCGTATTATGATTGAGGGATGCTAGCTATGGCTTCCGCTGTCCGAGAATCAGTCTTGATTGTGGGTTTTGTGAATTGGTTAGGGCTTCGGTGGGTGGTCCGTATGGGGATGTCGTGGCACTGGTGGAAACTACACGAGATTGGTGTTAAAACGGGATGACGAGCACAGGATCATGAGCTTTAGGGCTGGGTTATATGAATCCGAATGATATCTTCACCTCTTGGCTTTATATCAGAGATGCCTCTTATGTTAACTTGATTTGGGTGATAAAAGAAATACATCAAATATGTGTTTTGAAGTCGCAATGCTGGTTTGAGTATAGCAATAAGTAGATAACTAGCAAAAGGGAGCAACTATTGCAGCATTCAATTAATTTGGACACATCTTTGGTCTTGAAGGTCGTACTGAGCCGTTATGTCAGTTCCATCTTTTCATGTACACAAGCGAGACTAGTGGGATTGCCCGACCTTTTGATGTGGCGGGTGCGATCCTGATTGAGCACAATCACGCTGACAAGACATATTGTCTGGCACCTCTTCTACAAGGCAGCATAGCAATTCCAAATATACTTTCGCTCTCCGATTATTAGCCATGGAACTCATCAATGGAAAAGTTTGACCAATGTGGCGAGTCACTCAGGCTTCACTTGAGCCATGGTCGACCACAATACCTACACTGACAAATCCAGCATTTATATTACCTTATGCTCAAAACGAAATGCCCATCTCCTTTAAAAGCAAGGTTGTTCAACGTAACCTCTCCCCTTTCCTAAGCTTGAACAAATTACACACCAGTCAACTGTACCTCACCATCCAGCATGAAACCAAGCAGCATCCTCGCCACTACCGTGGCCTTCGCCCTGGCGGGAACCGCCTCGGCCGGTTCCCAGTTTGCCTATACGGACCCCGCCAGCATCCAGTCATACGAAGACTTGCCAGAGTGCTTCCGGCTGTGCTTCAAAATCAACCTCCAGGTCGAGCCGCCCATCGACATGAAGGAGAAGCTGAGGATATGCAGATGGAGAGGCTGGCACAAGGTCGCGCATCCGGCTATACATGCGAAGCACATGTGGGAGGACCAGGAATGCATTCATTACATGTGCAACCCTAGAGGCGTGAGAGATATGATGAGGACCGAGGTCATGAAGGCTTATTGCAAGGTATGGTCCCTCTTTCGTGCTCCGTCGACTCCGGAAGCCGGCGAGTTTGGCGGTTTCTGAACTAACTGGGTTGGCAGGTGCACAACTAGTCGAGCCTGATTGCTACATTCAGGGATTAGTTTTTGATGTAATAGCGGAGGCTAGGCTGGGTAGAAGATTGTTGGACCGTTTATTATGTCATCATTGTGAACATGTTCCTTTACCTTGGCTCTATAAAGGCATATACGTCGATTATTTAGGTTGCCTATATTGCTGGAACCGCAACCTTGGGGGTAGTTGTTCTGCTTCATGACGGTCAAGTCACACACCTTTCAAATTCGGCACGCCTGGAAACACGGTCATTTTGTGAGTCTAAAGTATATGCGGTTGTTTTCATTTGGCATCTTGTCAGTTGGATGTACATAATATAGAAGCATATGTCAACTGGCCACTTAAGCCAGTTCGTGTCAGTTAACGCAGCTCCGGACAATCGCTTTACTTGTCGCCTGCCATATGAGGCCGTCTTGATGAAAGACGATATTCAACCTTCATCATTACCGCTTGGTAAAAGTTGTGGCACGCTGTACAATCTCCGAGGTAGTAACAGACAACTGTTGCATTCCAGTACCTAATTTCTTGAGCTGGGTCAACCAAATATCTGCACCCACCCATTTAGGCTTTCCAGCCGCATTCCTGTCGTTGATATGTTTACCACTAAGTTCCCCAACCTGTGCCAAATCAATAATTACAAAACGCCTCAAATTTACACGGCCTAATTTAGCTACGCGAACCTCATCATTAAAATGACCGTCCTTCCCTTTCTTTACACCTTCAACCCGGCTCCTTACATCGTCTCACAGAACGCTCAGCCATCATGATGTTCCCAAGATTGTTTTCAATCGCACTTGCTGCTTGTGCCACTATCGCTCAGTGCAGGACAACACCAATCCCATACGATCATCCTGACTCCGTCTCATGCCTCTGCGAAGATGAGGCTTGGCACATAACAAGACGTTGGCTCAACGTGTTCTCGACGGGCGGTATCTCGAGCAAGGCGGAACTAGCCACGATCGTCACACCAGACGTCAAAAGCTACGACGACACATTCGGTCCTCCCACCATCGGAATCGATCAGCTCTGGGGCAACATCACGGCACCGGGCAACAGTACCACTACCAACGTGACGCAGACTCCGTCCTTCCTCTTGCATTCCTGTGACCAAATCGCATACAACTGGCTGTACACTGCCGTCACAACAGGCTACAACTCGTAAGTTTGCACAAGGAGCGTCTATTTGCTGTTTCTCTGTTCTTGTCACTGAGTTTGTTTTCCTCTACCAAGGACTGTGCCTCCTGGAACACCAGTCTCATTCACAGGCAACGACATAATTCGTATCGACTTGCGTACAAGGTTGATATCGAACGCTACCTCTGCTGGGCAATGGATCCTGCTTGCCAGGCAGCTTGGTGGTACTTGTACAGTCTAGTTCATCCTTGGCAAATTTGGCTCGTCGTGGCATCCTGTTTTAGGACATGAAGAAACAACATTCATGGTAATGCCAACTTTGTAACGAGTAGGTCTCTTTTTCATGAATTATTGTTCAATTTATGGCAAAAGGAACATCACAAAATGATAACATGCGGATATTAAACTTGAGATTTTCTTACTAGACCTCAAAAGACACAGAGAAGTGGTAAATGTTCACTCCTAATGCTGTATAAACTCCTTTACTTCGTAATTTCTCTTTGCATAACAGAACCAGAGTGTCGTAATCAAAATAGCAATGGCCGCTAAAACTGCCGATGCATAGTTCATCTGGCCCGCAACGGCAGGCAGGTAATATGGAAAGCAGTAGAATATCAGTGCCACTACCGACCAAGCAAGCATAACAAGATTCGCCAGAAAACCGAGTTTCGGATACCAGAATGGGCCATGCTGGAATTTAGATCGGCCTTGCATCAGTGCGAGAACTACGGGAATACTGTAGCTGATATACTGAAGCAGCAAGCCAGTAGAAATGAGAGAGTTGAAGGCAAGGTCAGAAGCCAGGTAAAGGCATCCGAAGACTGCGGTTCCAGAGGCAGAAAACACAAGCGACCAAATGGGAGTGTGCAAAGGGGAGGGCGCGATTTTGCTGAGATGCCGATGAAGCGGGAAGCCAGCTTCACGACTGATCGTCCAGGCCAAACGAGACTGCCATGTCTGAATCGACCAGACTGCACCGATGGTGGTGATCATGACTGGAACCCAAAGGCCGACTGCAGCTGCTTGGCTGCCTGTAATCCGGTAGAAGAGAGCTAGCGCCGAGTTGTCATCAGCGCCGTCAAGCGCCGGTATGTTTATGAGAACTGATGTGACCACCAACAGACCGGATACCAAGCCGACTATGATTGTCCAGATCAATGCCTTTGGAATATCAGTGCTGGGACGAGGCATTTCTTCCGCCAAATGGGTCGCAACATCAAGGCAAGAAAAGCTCCAGTTGGCCCCGTTCATGCCAATGATGAAAGCAATTCCGTTTTGCCACCCTGAAATGTTGATTTGTGTGACGAAAAAGTCCTTGGCGGAACTGCTCTCTTTTGACATGGCAAATAGGGTGATGAAAATCACGACAATGGTTGTACAGCTGAACAGTAGCATAGCCTTCGAGATTTTTGGCAGCGCCTTCTCGAAACTTGCCCCAAAAACGGTGACAATGTTAAGGAGTTGAAAACCAACGAATCCCATCCACCTCTTATATACGAAGCTGGGATCCAGCAGCGTTATGATACCGCAGATACCGACGGGAACGGAGAGGCATGCTGAAGATCCAGTAGCGACGGCCGCTAACCAGCTGATGACTGCTGTGATGTAAGACAGGAATCGCCTGTGCTTTGGTGGTGCTAGTCGATGAACCCAGATATACTGGCCACCTGGATGTGGCATGGCAGAGGCAAGCTCGGCAAGTGTCGTTGCTGTAGCCAAGCCGACGAGCGCCATTACAAGAAATCCCCAGAAGAATAAGGGAGAGCCTCCCATGGGTAAGGTGCTACCAAGGACCAAAATGAGTCCGATGGCAGTATTAGTTGTGCCATAGCCGATGCCAAGAGCAGACAAAGTCGTGAATGGCTTCATTGTCTGCACAGTAACATCTCCATTCATGACTGAGCCGCGCTCGACGACTTCGGCATCCGTTTTTTCTGGCATGGCTGATGCTTTCTTCGGGGTTACCGACGAAGATGTTCGGTTAGGTGAATGATGGCGATTCATCGTGATAAGCTCAGCATTAAGTGATGAGCAAGAGGTGGTAATGCACAGGAAAGAGACCGAGGTTGCCCCGTTGGGCGTAAGGAATGAGGAGATGATGTCTCTAGTTGAGGTGGGGTACGTGAACTGCAGGTTATATGTATTACCAAAATGATGGAAGACCTTATGTGTCGCCAAGCTGAAATCACAGCTTGATAGATTAGTTATCGTATTTGGATGGCTAGACCGATTGATAAATGTCCAGCTGTAGGATTATCTCGAGGGCGAGATAGCAACTTTGATGGGGTCGGACCCGGGATCCTGAGGAGATGAGATAGCACTGCGGGCAACGTATCCGCCAACAGTTCGCGTTCGCACAGAACTTCCGGATTGGGAAGGTTAGAGCGGCCCCAAGGTGCGGTCGGCGCCGGCTCAGACTAACGGCAGTACCTGGTGGTCCCCCGCATTACGGAATCACTCAGGTTGATGGAAAAGTGTGGTATGCATTCTTTGGTATCTAAATAGTCAGCTTGAAAGAAGGCAGATTTCCCTTTCAAATTACGTTGAACCATTAATCTTCTTGCTCTGAAAAGAGTGTATCTCAATGCTAAGATGAGTAAAGAAAACATTAGCCATGACTCGGACGAAGAGCTGTCTTCATACCTCAGTATGTTCCGCAAAACCATTGACCTTGTATTTCAACTAATTATTTTTTCCAGAAGACCCCGTCATGGCAAAGTTTCTCTTAGACGTTTCTAAGGCTATTTCGCAAGACCCTGGCTTGCCTCGTCCCAATCCCACGGTGTCTTCCTGGCAGGTTCCCGCACACCCTATCGCATCGATTCAGTCGCCCACACTACCGCAGCGGACGGATTTTGCCGTTATTGGTTCCGGAATCACTGGCTGCAGTGTCACTAAGACGCTCTTGGAGCACCACGCCGCCGGCGCATCTCATGTTACGGTTCTAGAGGCCCGAGACCTTGTCAGCGGAGCAACAGGTCGTAACGGCGGCCACCTTGTCACAGCATCCGGGCATACTTTCGGTCCGCTGGCGAAGAAGCATGGTATTGAGGCCGCGAAGCAAATCACTCGTTTTAGTATTCTCAACATCGACCATGTTATGAAGATGGTGAGAGAAATGGACCTGGACCTGCAAGAGCAGTGTGAGATTCGTAATGTTCGCAAGGTCATGGCTGTTGGGGATGAAGAAACATGGGCTGCAGCAAAATCCTCGGTTTTGGACTTTCAAAAGGCTGTTCCGGAGCATAAGAGCTATCATCGAATCATCGAGAAAGATGACGTACCGGAAGTAAGGCTTGCCTGGTAACTCTCAAACCCCCTAAATTTAACATTCAGTCTACAGAGGTGGAACATCAAGAACGCTTCGGGAGCCGTTGAGCACGAAGCTGGTGCCATCTGGCCCTACCGTCTACTCACGGGTATTTATGAGCGCCTGCTCAAGAAGCACCCTCAACGTCTCGCCATCGAAGCCAACACGCCAGTTTTGCATGTCGAATTCTGTCCTGAGTCTGACCCGCAGCACCCCTACAAGATTACCACAGCGCGGGGCACTATGCGTGCAAAGAAGGTCATTCATTGCACAAACGCATACGCATCACATTTGCTCCCACGCTTGGCGGGTCGTATCTATCCCTTCCGGGGTACCATGTCTGTGCAAAAGCCTGGGCCAAGTCTGCAAAATCTGGGAGGTTCGAGGTCTTGGAGCTTGTCCCATAAGTCTTCATTGGATGCGAAAACTGGCTTTTATGACACAGGTCTTTACTATCTTCAGCAGAATGCCTTGACTGGTAGAATCTGGATAGGCAACGAGACAGCGTATATGAAAGATATTCTAACTTCGGACGACACATATGTCCCTGATGAGGCAAGATTTGCTTTGTCTACGGTACTCCCAAAACTGTTTCTTGAAGGCTGGGGATCCAAGACCACGTCGGAGGTGGAAGCTATCTGGTCGGGAATCCAGGGACATACCGCAGATGGCTTGCCGATTGTTGGGCAGGTTCCCGACTCCATCCTAGGAAATGCCAACGACAATGGGCAATGGATTGCGGCCGGGTTCAACGGCTATGGAATGGACAAATGCTGGCTTACAGGAGAGGCTTTGGTCCGAATGATTTTTGGAGAAGATGTTAGCGATTGGTTTCCTCAAGCTTTTCTTGTAACGGATGAGCGGCTGGGAACTGAGCTTACTTCTGATAAAACACTACTCAAGTTTGCCCAGATTGCGCTTCCAGGAGGTGTCAGGAGAGAAAAGCTTTGATGATTAGTCCAGAAGAGGTAGCACAGCTTCAATAAGACTGCATCTTTCTCGAAAAGTACGGAAACACCTCTTTCGATAGTGACCAGCAGCAGTGATAACACCTGAGTTGACAAAAATGTTTTCTCCTTACCCTCCTGCTCACCCAGGTATAGCTACTTACCTATAGCAAAGTAATGCCTCAGGTGAGCAGGGTGAGCAGAGTAAGCGGGCAAGGCATAACCACCAATGATACTACTATGTTGGTGTAAGCGCTAATCATAAATTGATTACAGCACTTTTCCTCTGCAGGCATTGTGTAACTAAGAGTAGACATAATGGTATTCTTATAGCAATTGAACGTGTAGCTCCCTATCGCAGGAGAAAGAACGTCAACGTGCCAAACTCAGTCTACACAACTACCTACTGCCAATCACAATGGAAACTTCTTCGCCAGTGAACCTTAGGATTTTATCAACAACACAGAGAGCATAAAGACACATGAGAATTATCATGATTCTTGACGGTACGTTTAAGTAACCTAGGGTAAGAGGCTTCGAATCTAGCTTAGGTATTTAAAATAGTGAACTTGCTGCTCATTGCCATCGCGTCCCCATTTGCATAATTGTCCACCACCACATGAGCATAACATCAGCACAGCCGGCCTGCCTATTCGTGGGAAAAGCTAGTTCCTCGACACCAGTATGACGAGGTTCTTATAGTTTGACGACCTCATGTTGGCACTGGACGCGATGCAATTAGGGTAACTGCCACAGCAGGAGTTTCTCATAGCCTCCAAAGCGTCTGCGAGGTGGCGGAATTCAAAGTTTGCACCTTCCAAGAGGTACTTGTTCAAGACGGTGACGAGTGTCGTACCGTACCAAAACTTGACATCGGAATTCGAAGTTATCCAGACGGGGGTTCCCACGTTCCCGATTACCGACTGGGTTCGAAGACTATGGATCAGGCCGCTTATGTCCCCGGTGACGATGTTGTTTGGACCGCCGTGTTTACAAGAGATGTTCCACCACTCCCCAACCTGGCCTGGGCCGGGAGCTGCGATTCCTGGAGCCGCGAAAGAGATGGCGGAAATGGCCGCGATGAGATGGCCAGACAGTTGCATTTTGATAACCGGAGAAAATGAGAGATGCGATAGGTCTAATGAGCTTATTGCAAAGTAATAGGTTGGTTGTAGCGGTGGTAAAGTCGATGCGAAGTGGGTTTCTTGTGAATATTCTATAACAAAAGGAATTACAAGAAACCGTTTTTATACTTTTTTTCCCAGAAATACCTGGTGAAGTTGAAGAAATAAGAAAGCGATGAGTTATTGATGTCTTAATAACGATGCAGTCAGCTTACCTAGAAATTCAGCTTTCCTTGGCGAATAATCATCTCACCCAAAGCAGCCATTCCAGGCGGGTGAGCAAAAGACTTACCTCATGATTTCAGTTTTTGATCATGTGCTGTATGGTGATTGGCGTTAACAAACAGGGGCTAGCCAATATGCATAGTAACGGTTCATATCAATTGCTCTAATTGTCGACTATACGCAGGTTTAGAGGCTGAAAATAACTAACATACAGCGACTGCAACTATAGGCCGGCCAGAATAGGAAAATCGTATTGTCCTCCCTGCAGTATGTCTTAAAGACTTCAATTTATTCAGTCTCATGGCCGGCTAGGATTGGCTAGGGTAGTAGCCTATACGCCTTGTGTGCGTGCCTTGTTCTGTGTGCGTCAAAATGGGAGTCCATTGTCGGCCCTTGCCATTGTTGATCCACCCATTCTCAACTACCGTGATCCGCTAGTGCTTTGGAAAGTTGCAATCGGGATATCTAGCTTCTGTCAAGACCTTACCGTTCAGTATGATGAAGAGTGGCACTACAAAGCCGCAGGCACTTATATACTGAATAACCTTTGTCTGATTCCCCTTGCCTTGCCATGCTTGCTGTGGACGCCTGCGACGTTTTGAAGTGGACGCGGCCATCCCAGTTGACGATGTGATTCCTTTGACGAAGCCGGTCTGGTTAAAGCTGTAAGTATCTGCATTTAGGATCCTATGTTGGCTGCGGGTTCTTTCAATAAGAGTGAACTAGACTTCATAGACCCCAGCTCCCTCACAAAAGACTCTTGATTACTCGATTCTTCTGTTGTAAAACAACATATTACCTCAAGTTTCATTCATAACCAACAATTATTTTCAGTATTCCTCACGCATGTCATAGACTCATCAGATGGCAAATGACCGTAAAAAAGCTGAGGCGAGTATTGAAATTTGTTAATTTGCTAGTCCCGCAGCAGGTCCATCTTCTCATCCCATCATTGTTCCCAAATCCTTCTTGCGGGCAATGTCAAGCCAGTAAACATCCTGATCTCCACCATCCAATGCCAACCAGATCTGTTCAATCAACTCAGATATGACTCGGCTCTTCCGAAGGGGCAAAATATGTGTGTAGGCTGCCAGTCGAGAGAGAATGAATTTGCGAGCTCGCACCACCTCGATTGAGGCCGGGTCAATCGCCATTACTTCAGCGTCACCGCATCCCGGGCCTGAAGTATTCACATGTAGGGAATCCCGCTTCAACTCACTCGAACAAGCAACCATGATAAACGGCTGCGCGCTGCGGGTGCGAGACTCGAAAGGTATTTCCCTTAGAATGCCTAGTATGTGCATAGCGAGTTTTGTTAGCCAGGTTTGCCTCTCTTGTGCCGTGGGTACTTTCTCGGAAGGGAGTGGGCGAAGGAGGTTTTCCTTGTTCCACGGGGCGTAGCGGTCATTGAGCAGATCTGGGAACACGCGATAAAGCTGTAAGAGTCCTGTGCATCTGTAGGCCTCATCAATAAGCTCAAGGTGCTTCAGTGGTGTTTTCGGGTCCCCTGGGTCTTTGATTTGTGACAGGTCTGGGGAACGGTGCGTTAAGAGAACGCGTTCAAGCCGCCTTGCTTCTCTCAAGGCAATTCGGAAAAGGTCGATGTCGTTCTCCGTAAGAAATTTAACGGTAGACATGCGCTGGCGATACTGGAAAATGAGTAACCCAATGTCTGCCAGTATCCTAACTGTACTGCGGGAGATACCAGAGTAGGGGTGAGGTTCTTCTGACTTGGTAGAGCTTGCTGGGCCCATCAAGATGTTTTGGCCATAACCTCCAAGTTGCTGCTTGTCAGTCAAGAAAGCGAGCAACATGGCCCAGTAATCCATTGTGTCACTGAAGAATGACACACATGCATCATGGCCAGTCTCGACCACTAAGTCTTCCAATATATCGTAGCTGGCCCTAAACATATTGGTGGCGAGATTCTGAGGGTTGAGCCAGCTTGAGGTGTGACCCAGCAATTGCGAAGCAAGCAATAGAGCTTGTTTATATGGTCCAATTGGCGAGCTCTTATTGATGATCTCAAGAGCTTGTGCGTGTTCGCGTCGGGCCACTGGCAAAAGATGTGGGAAGTCCTCAGATAAGCAGGCCGCTGACATGCTCAAAATAGTATGATAAAGAGCCCCGGAATATTGCCACGTCGTTTCAATAATATTTCGCATCACGTTAGATTTGCTGTCCCAGGAGCAATATAAGGTAATAACTTCTCGGAAGAAGTACTCTGACAGGGATGTGGTAACGTTGGAAGGCTCTTTGGTGATCTGTATGGTCACTTCGTGATTTGACTGAACCAGCGTCCCAGCTTCAACTTCGCTCTGGAAGATGTGAGCCATGCTCTGTAATAAACCTTGTTGAGAGCAGACTTCATCAATATTTGCGGCGCATAGAGTTCCGAGCGTTGACGGGCGTTGGTACGTGTACGATTCTTCGGCACTGGACGGCGAGGTGGTATCATTTTCGTCCACAGTCCAAGCGGCGCTCATGAATGAGGTATCCCAAGGGGTGCCAACAACAGGAGTAGGCTGCTGGAAGCTGATATCGGTACCCGAGACGCTGTCTAGACTACAAAGGTCTGGCGAGATGTCAATATTCCAATTGGGGGTAAATCCCAGGCATTGATCAAGTCGCCGACTGCCTTCATCTTCTTGCTGTAGGAGGGTAGGTATTTCAATTTCACTCGAGCTCTTCGTTGGCGCATTTTCAAGTTGTTTTGGTGACTTTTTACTGCCTTCTTTGGCGGTAGCTGATGCATTTCGAACCTGATGCTTCTGTGACCATCGTACATTGAGGGCATATCCCGGGCATTGCAGTCCTCGTTCCTCACAACGAGCGCATGAAGGCTTCCTCTCGTCGCATTTTGTCTATTAGATGTAAGCCAGTCATGAATTTTGCCAAATTTCAGTTCAGTTTCACCTTCTTTGCTTTACATCTGAGGCACCCATTTCGAGATTTGGAGTGCCGCGCTCTTGATAACGGCTGCATGGGATGTGTTAACTGCCTGCCAATCTATGTGGCAAGATAGCATATGTAGTCGACGGGCACCAAGGGTAACTGAGTATTTGAAATGGCGTGGTTAAGAAAAGCGGCCAGCGAGACAAAGTCGGTGACGAGAGCCATCAATGTGAATGATAAGAGAAGACCAAGATAAGCTGTCACAGATAATCTCCGTATCCAAGGGTCAACACAATCTTTTATCTCAGTCAGTGACACCCCTGGCTGGACTGAGTTCCCCGCATTGATCGCCCCTAGCGCGGTCCAAAGCTGCGGGGTTCTTCGGGCACATGGGCAGGTGTGTGCGTGCTGGAGCCAACCAGCTGGAAACTCCTAGGATGAAAGGGGAAGCAGGCGAACAAAAGGTATGGAAACAGTCGAAATAGAATGCCCTTCCTGCATTGTACGTTTTATACGTTCATTACGCTAATAACTATAGTGTTTTACCTGAGAGAGAGGAAGCACGATACATCAACTTGTAGTGGTCAACCTCAAGACAAGTCAATTAGCAGCCTACCTCCCATCACCAGGCTCAGCATGCGGTTCCCTAATCATTGTGAACAGCTTGATAGCGTCACCGTCATCATCGCAAATCATCTCTTTTTGAAATTTAAATCCCCATCGCCCATAGATTGCCATGTTAGGAACATCTCGGCTTGACTCGAGGTAACACCTCATGTTCTCGGCATCGGCCTGGTCAGTGACAACCTTCATCATCTTGGCACCAACACCTTTGCCCTGTGCCTGGGGCAAGACGACCATAATGTTGAGAAAGTAATATCCTTTTGGGTCTGTCCAAAGCTCCTGTTGTGCTTTGGCTTGAGCGTCCTTCCAGATATAATATCTCTAGCGAAAAGCTGCTTGTTAGTGCTCTCTTGACCAAGAGTAGGCATAATAATGTTTGAGTTACCTTCACATTCAGACCTCCACGACCATACCAGAGGTTGTAGTTGACTTGGCCAAACCAAAGCCGCCAGCCCTCGAGCCAGTCATTCCATGTCGATGGAGTACCGGCTTGCTGAGGGCGTAGCCACATCGCTACACCAAGAACATCGTCACTACCTTCCTCCTTTGCGACATGGAAGATGCCATTACGCATGCCCCATCGCATTCTTAGGGCTAACGACTGATAATTTCTGTCGGGATTGAACTATTTTACGTCAATGTCCACATCTTTTTGATTATCCACATCTTTTTGATTATGACGGCAGCTTTGGTATGGATGCTTACTTTGGATTGGTCGTAGACCCAGACATTGTATGGATCACCAGCAAAAGCCTGCCTATAAGGCCAAAGTATCAACACTTGTACTAAATCAATGCCGGTCTAGCCTCACTTACTGGACCGCCTTTACTGCGCCGGGGATATCTGCTTCTGTAAGGGTGGTGACTTTGATTGCCATTTTGGAGGTGGTATTCAAAAGAAGTATTCTTCAACAGCGAGAAGAGAAAACAAGGCAGGGAATGGAAGTATCAATTATCTTCCTGACACAAGACCAGCGCGGCTATGGTGTTACTGCTAGCTGAGTGACTGGACGAGCGAAACGCGGGGGATGTCTAGTGGCTTTCGTCGTCTGATACCGGCGAGGGTCCTGCGGGGTCGAGATAAGATCGCATAGAGTTTCCGTGAAAGGTTAGCGGCAGTGTCGTAAAGATAGGTGAGATAAGCCCGCCACGAAAGCCCCCTACCAACTCGTATTGTCTTTGCTAATTAGGCGTAGTGAGTTGAGGTTTGCTTGTTTTTCGGCTTCAATTGAACCTCGTGAGACTATTGAAAGAGGCTAGTTTTTGGTTCAGTAATTCCCCAATTCCGCTAGAGGTAGGTGGCTTAAGCGGAGAAACGATCACGAGCCTGTTAGATGCGTCGGCATTTCATGGGTAAGCTTATTGCTGTGTTTGAAATGGTCCTAAAAGCAGTCACTCCGAATCTGAGCGGTTGGCAAGTCGGTCTTTTTCATCTCGAATAAGCTGAGACTAAGATGTTTGGCTCCAACTACCTAGGACGCTGAGAAAAATGGCGGCGGCGATACCTCGGTATGCACCTGAGACGGTCACCACAAAATGTGGCAATGCGCCTATGTCGCCGCATATTCGCGTTTGTTACTAACAATAAGAAAGTTATGGAAAGAATTGAAACCGCCGTAGTAATAAGGAAATACGCCTAATAACAAGACGAGTAATGAGATAGAAAGCGCAGTAAGCACGAGGACGTGACGGCGAAAACAGAGTTTAAATAAATTATAGTGCCTTACACTAATTACAGTGCGTTCAGTTACCCGCTACATCACAACTGCTTTCACCTTCCAAGCCTCGGGTTGCCGGCAACTAGGGACTTAAAGGCTGGCCGAGTTAATAGAGGCTGAGCCAAGTGGCGGCCATGTTTCAACTCCTATTTAATTGCCGAAGCTAACAATGCTACCCATGGATCCCGAAGAGCTGCAACGTCATATTGCGATTGTCTAGGAGCAACAGTCAATCCCAGTATTGCGGTTGATGCCTGGTTGCGATGATCTTTTTATGCTATTTGACATAAATTACCTGAAAACCTTCAATACGTTGCATTTACGCGTTTGACATCCCAACGCGAAAAGTCAATCCAGGGCGCCGTAAAAAGTTAGCCATACAGCATGCAGTTTCCTGGAAACTACATGGTGACATATCTGCGCATCCACGACATCTTGGGGGCCATTTATGGGGCTTTTCAAATGTAAAAGCCGCAATTTCAGGTTTATTGTTCGCTGATCACTACCACGGGAGGATCGGAATGGCAGTGGTACAGCAAAACCCAGGACGCCCTGGCACCTGTTCACTGCCCTGATGAGTGGAGAAGACAATGCCTCAGGTAAATTGGGGGTGACCCTGACCTTCTCCTTTTTAAGACTGGAAGGTCGTCGCAGATCGAGTTCGTCTTGTCTCATAAACCCAATTGCCACTGGTGTAGTCGTCCCAATCTGTGCCCTTCATCTCAACCTATTCGAACCCTTTTTTTTTTTTTACTGGGCGATAACACTTACCAACTGCACCCGCACGCATGCAGCCAAGACTGCTCCAAACCGCCCGAGCAAGACACTTCTAGACGACAAAAGATGATTTCCAACGTCTGGGATAAGTCTGCGCGGGCGCATAGGGGCCAAGAAACTGAGCTCCTCCCACAGACAGAGCAAGACGGTCGCGATCAGCATGAGGACAGTGTTGAAAAGGAAAAATCCCAAGCTTCGGGTTCGAGGAGAAATAGGGACAAAATCAAATGCCTTGATGGCCTTCGTGGTATTGCCTGTCTCATTGTCTTCAACTACCATTTCTTCTGGCCATGGACACCTTTCATCATGTTGGGCTACGGCGCAATGCCCCCCGGAGCACCTGAACCGTATGTGGGATGGCATCAACTGCCCATCATCTGCCTGTTGCATCGCGGACGTCCCATGGTTGCCATTTTCTTTGCTATTTCAGGCTTTGTTCTCTGTCGTCATATTTTGCGCGCCATCCACGAACGCCGCGTCGATGCTGCGTACAAGAGTCTCGCGTCCTCAGTCTTGAGACGTGTATTCCGTCTATACATCCCCCCTACCATTAGTATGTTCTTGGTAGCGTTGTTGGCCCAGATTGGTGCCTTCAAGTCCGAGAAGGCCATCTACAAAGGCCCTGATTCGGCGTACATCAACGCCACCGTTACCTATGCCTACCCTCAACTTGAGCAACCATGTGCCAACGGAACTTTTGAAGCTGCCGGTGCCAAAGATGTTGCCAAATACTTGCATTTGCACACCCCCCTAACTCTAGGCAACATCACCAACATGACCGCATCTACGGATCAGCTATGCCTGAACCGTACTTCGCAATTGTTTATGCCTGCAATGCTATACAGCTTTGTTGATGAACTTGAAGCATCGCTCAAAAATGAAACGCAGCTGTCAAACAGTACCAAGAAAGCAGGAACTACTAAGCCGCATGCTCGTCAAGAAAAGACTGGGGGCGGTGGCGGCCACCTAGAAAAGATCTGGGGAATGCACAGGTCATCATCCAGCGAACATACATCAAAGGATATTAGCGACGCCTTGGGGGCTAAAAACAGGACAAACACTCACAACATCACTTGGGTTCAGATGGGAGGGTCTTGGGAAGAGCACCCTCACATTCACGATAATATGACCTATGCCATCAAGAACTTCACAAGAGTATATGCCGAATGGGCAAACCCCTTCAACTTCGCTCATTATCACACTCGCTACGACCCTCACACCTTCACAATTCCAATGGAGCTTAGGGGCTCCATGTTCATCTACCTTTTCCTGCTGGGCACCGCAGCTATCAAGGCCAAGTGGAGACTGGGCATTGGAAGCTTCCTCTCCGCTTACAGTCTGATATTCGGGCGGTGGGACATGGCTGCGTTCATGGGAGGCACAGTGTTATCTGAGTTGGATATTCGACGAACCTCTAATCCCGGCGAGGGTTCACTTGGATACCCAGGCAGAAGCGACCCAAGAGCCGGTAAGGGTAATCTCTCACGATCGATCCTTTCCGCAGCACCGACGCGCTGGGTCGTCATATTTGTTGCGCTTTACCTACTTTCATACCCAGACACATCGGCCGAGTGGACGCCAGGGTTCGTCTTCCTTTCGTCGCTGGTGCCGAGGTATTACATCCCCTTGTCAGGCTGGATGTTTTACCAGTCGATGGGAGCTATTCTTCTTCTTCCCTGTATCCTGCGCAGCCCGGTTCTTATTCGCATTCTCGAGGGGCGATTTGCACAGTACTTGGGCAGGATTAGCTTCTCTTTGTACCTCGTGCATGGCCCAGTCTTGCACAGCCTGGGCTTCTGGATTATGCCGAGACTATTTGAACATTTCGGCCGAGCACAGGGTTACATTATCGGTTGGGTTATCTTGATGGCAGTAACTTTATATCTTACGAACTTGTGGAACAAGAAGATAGACGCTTGGAGCACGACGGTCGGAAGAAGGGTTGAGAAAGCGCTGCTCGACACAGCCTAGGTTTGATGCTGTCGACAGCTCAGCTATAGATATAGACATGGTAATTTTAAGTGCCACTTTTCGAGTTCATCCACCTCGAGTTCATCCACCTTCTCCGTAACTTTTATATGATGTGATGTGAATTATATACCCATCAAGAACCCCTCGAAAAGCTGACCTTCCAATCGTGGATATCATACCCGTCTGCGCTAGGCTTAAATTGGTCAGTCAAGCGGAACTTTTGTCCATTTCGCGATTACGTGCTGTCAGGTACTATATAAGCGACTGAGTACTTAAACAGCCGGTTGACAACCACTGAACCAAGCACATTGTTTCGACGGCAACTCAAACGACACGCTGGAATGACCATGACAGCTCTCAGTTACCTCTGGGCCATAACCATTGGCATATCCAGCTTTACACAAGCCCAGGACACCAATGCCATCAGGTTACGCGGCACAAACAACAGCAGCGGCTCTTGGGAAGATCTAGCCCCCATCTCAAACCTCCCGCGGCAAGAACACGCCGCAGTTGCTATCAACTCAACCACTCTTGCAATTATAGGCGGTATCACAGGTTCCAATGCAACGGGAGCATGGATCAATACCGACCTTGTAGACTTCTACGACACTCTGACAGATACATGGGCGTCATCAACCCCTCTCCCTGTCGCTTTGAACCATCCCAACGCCGCAGTGGTCAACGGGAAGATCTACGTCTTTGGTGGTCTTGCTGAGTCTTCTGACCAAAACGGCATTCTGACATGGCGTGCAATTCCAGACTCGTGGGTTTACGATTCAACGAATGGGAGGTGGACTTCGATAGCACCCTTTCCAATCGGCACCGAAAGAGGCAGTGCCGCGGTTGGAGTCTTTGGCAAAACAGTTTTCCTTGCTGGCGGTCTGCGGTACATGGAAACGGCTCCCGGTGGAACAACACTCACCGTCGACGAAGTCTCTGCATATGATACGGTTACCGATACCTGGATTTCTTTTGCTAGTATCCCGTTACCGCAACCAAGAGACCATGCCGGCGGCGCAGTTGTAGGAAGCAACTTTTACGTCATTGGTGGACGGCACATTGCCAGCCGACTTATCGTCAGTAACACCGTCTACGTTCTTGACTTGGAAGACGTGGCTTCTGGGTGGGAGGTCAGTTCCGCCACGCTACCTACAGCAAGAGCCGGACACGGCACAACTGTGATAGGGAGCGTCGTTTACACCTTTGGCGGAGAAGGAAATTTTGTGGTTAGTTCCGGCGTCTTTGACGAGACGGAAACCTTCGACACAAGAACAGAGTCATGGCAGAAACTGAGACCAATGGAGCATCCCCGGCATGGAATTGCTGCCGTTGCTATTGAAGACAGGATATATATCCCTGGTGGAGGAGTTGCGTTTGGGGCGGCTCCGGTCAATGTTACTGATGTATTTCGACCTTGAGGGTTGGCGTAAGCTTTGTGTAGCACCGGGTTTGGTCTAGATATTTGTGCCATCCTGCTTTGTTGGCACACTGCAACCGACATCTAGGCATGGTGGCAATGGTGTTATCAAAACATGCTCTATAGTTGTAATTCTATGAAACATAGCAATAACAAGGTCATAATGCTGTGAGATCAGTGACGATTCATAAAAGCTCTGTTTAATAGCTTCTTTGATTCCAAGCCTGCTTTTGGCTGTCCGTTGTTCGGTACTCTCACCTAGGCGACTTAAGTTGATTATTCCACGAAATTGAAGCTCTGTATTCAAAGAAACTCAATTGCCAGAAACGATGCCGGCAGTCTTGGCGACAATGAGGTCATCTCGCGGTCTTTCGGATAAGGAAGCGGCATCGTCATTATAGATGCCTTGTCGTGGGCTAAAATATCTGCCTGTTGACCCAGCATTATTCAAAGGGACGCGTAAGCTGTGAGAATAAGGAGTGCCAATTGGTAAAGGGGTATGGGCCAAAGTAAGGTAAGGTGGGGGAGGGTTGACGATTATAGCAGTTTCCTCCAGGGAGAACAAACCCTTTCCTAACGGAAGGATTTTATTGCTATTTGGTAGACCATCGCGCCTTAGGACAACAGACTATATTTTGCCAGAGTCTAACACCATTCCCGTATATCGGTATACACCATAGCCACTATAAGGTGGCGTCCACCTACAGAGGTCAATATCGACATGCTTTATATCTTGAAATCCCCTTTTCACATAGAATTCATAGGCTGTAGGCTCGGAGCAGAGAGAAAGCGCAATGCCTTCGGCTTTAGCCCTCGCGCGAGCTTCCTGTATTAATCGTGAGCCTACGCCTAGTTTGCGATGCGAAAGCTTAACATATATAAATGTTATTTCTGTCATGATGTTAGCAGTGGAATGTAACAGAAACAAGCTTCTTACCAAAGCAGTCGAGCTTGTCTGCCTCTTGACTAATCTCCTTCGCTGCCTGCATAAGCGTGGAGAACACTTCTGGGTTCATTCTCTCCGGGACATCTTGGCCTCCAGTGCTTTCCTCCTTCGGCGAGCTACCTTCTGCAGGTTTTCTTCGCGTAAGTACAAGATACCCGATTACATCCCCAGACTGGGGATCCACAGCTTTCAGGCAGTGGGCTGCTGGATCGTTGAAACTGGACTCTACGGCTTGTCTGCAAACCAGCTTCTGGGCGGATTCGTTTGGCCAATCGCGGTAGAGGAAACGGTTAATTGCGAGATCGACTTTGGAGCTGTAGATAAAATCTACTAGTGTTGGGAAATCAGGGTCGGAGATTGGGAGAACGGAGGGGGAAATAGCCATGTTTAGTAGCGAAGTGGCGAAAAAGGGTTTTGAACGGGTTCTTCTGGAGATACTTCTGAGTTGTCAGTATACATGGTATTTTCGCTGGATTTAAAAGTTTAAGAATTGATCAGGCAGCAGTTATTAAAATCGACTTGTGTTTGAGGGTTACGTGTACTAGATAGAGTGAGTCCACGTAAGGTTCAGCTATCAATTACCCAGCCCAATTAAGCCGATAACATGCCAAGACGGAAAACACGCCGAATTACGAAAAACACTTGGCTCGCTCTGATACATCGCAACTTTGCTTCTTAAAGCACGTAGAACAGTGTCGAGCGTGTGTGGTGGCCTATAATCGGCCTCAGAGCGGTCGTTGGGCAAGATTGCTGCCTACCGACAAGATACGGTTAGAGAGGTCGAGCGCCACTGGAACCCTATTGTCGCCAAGGGCATAGTGAGCCACTCAGGGCTACTACATCTAATAGTTTTATCAACTCCTGTACACTACATAAATTTAGGGTACATCTCTCGTTTGCAAGGTTTGGGGGCTATTGGTACTGTCGATCTCTGTCGATACGTAACACTGTGTTAGAACACTAGGCGTAAGGTAGTTTAGGAAAGCTCACACACTGCCAATAATACACCGATTGTAGTGCAGATTTGCGGGTTTGGAGAAACTGTGGTCTAGTGGTAACTTTAGTCGATGAGGTACGGCTCCTACTAATGCCGTCCCTTTCTCCTGTACCGAAGGTGCCGGCATTGAAGGAGTACGTGATCTCAGAGACTTATACGTTATGATATGTGCTTTGCCATCCACATGCCTGTGGTGCTGGAGCTTTTGTCAATGAAGCACTCCTGTGGGCTGGAGTGCTATCAAACGAACTGGAGATGGGCTACGAGGGATTTGAGGATCGTTAATCTCGGACAACTGTTCTCACAGAGTAGCAGAAACTACTTCTCCTAGCACCGAGAAGAACATCTTATCTATCTAATATAATCTATAAAGATACAGTCTATTATCCAATCATATGCCTAGGATAACTATCAACTTGGAAGAGCTGCGAGTTAGCCCGGCGTTGCGGTAGGGTGCGGGTGAAGTGGTTGAGAAGATATACTCCTTCCGTTCTGCCCGTCACGTCGGCGGCCGGCCATGGAGCTACTTCAACCCGGGAATTCGGCTATCGCAACCGGAAATCATATGCCGGGTGTCTGCTGTAGTTATATAGCGTTTACAGTAAATTAATCATAACTAAACAGTGAGTATATGCATTCCGTTAAAAAAGGAATAAGATAACCTATTTTCAGGTACTCCTTCTCGGATCAACCACGTGCGCTTAAGTGGATGAGCTTATATCTTCCTTGGCTGAAGCGGAAATAGAGAGCGAAGCCTTTCAGTGGGTGAAGAAGCCGCGCTTAACGCGTTTCATGACTAGGTGGCAGATTCGTCGACTTGGAAGCCCGGTCAGTACGGTGCCCTCGGAAACCCCGCAGCAACCTTAATGTCTTTTATGGGCAATTCCTTGCAAGGTCATCAAGCTGTATCTGGCCTTGTTTCAAGGAGATGGCAACTTTTAGAGTTGTGTTAATCCGAAATCTAGCCCAGTCCACGAGGGCACATGGCTGTCGCCACATCGAAAAAAGTGAGAGAGATGGAAGCTGGCCCGTAGGTAGATCCCGGAGGCCTAGTGCTGTGCAGAATAACTGCGTCTCAAATGAATTTGGTAGTGATTTGAGCTTAACTTCTTTACAGTCCGAATACGCTGCTTGAGGGCGGCAGAAGAAGCAGAGGATGCTTGAAGCGACGCACCAACCAGCTTCTCGAGTAGGTCGCGGTAACGAATATGTCCGCTGTCACGACAAACTCTTTCGGTCTGGCCGAGTCTATCGACTCGTATGCCGCGCGTCACATAGCAAAGTTTAGAATTTCCTATCGTAAGTTGGCGTTTGTGCGCTTTAGGAATTTTCATCTTGCATTTGACACACCCACGAATCGTGAGCCTCAGCTTCAAATCAATCGCCCACAATCCCATCTCTCGTCATCATTTTATCCGGACAATCAAGACAGAGGACCATTGCAAATATTGACAGCTTGGAATATTCGTGAACGCGTCTTGTTAATAGATAGCCTAAATTGTTAGTCTTTTGCTTCGCGGCTGCAATGAACCCGGTTCTCGTAGTCACATGAGAATGCAAGAACAGTTAGAAGTGCGCTTGATTTTTTTTCATTTCATTTCGAAGGTTACTCTAGAAGTTAACCCCCGGATCTTGTGGCCTATATGACCTCGTTACTCTAGGATCCCACTTCATCTTCTGCTGCCTCTCTATTTCCTGCTGCCTCTCGACCTCCAACTCGTCAATCTCTGCGAAATTTCTCCTCTTGTGGAATGGCCATCGGCTCTTTCTGTATAGCATGCCGATGATGAGGCCGAAGATCAAGACACCTCCAACTGAACCAAGGGTAATTGGCAACGCCGGCATAAGTTTGGCGCCGCCACCGCTCGACTTTTCTGCTTGGCTCGGCGCGGCAATCCCATTCAGTGGCGGTGTTGGTGTTGGCGTTGGCGTAGGCGTTAGGATTGGTGTCGGGGTCACAGGCGGAATAGGAGTAGGCTCTGGCGGAGGCGGAATGAATGACGGGACCAGGGACGGTGTTAATGTCGGTGTGATGACGGGTATCACTGGCGGCTGTGATGGTGGGATGGAAGGGGGAAGTGACGTCGGTGATGGCAAAGGTGGCGTGTCCGAAAGTGATGGTGTAGGCGAAGAAGAAATGCTTGTCGTCGTTGAAATAATGAACGTGGTTGGAGGTCGTGATGACGGTGTGGGCGAAACGGACAATGATGGTGTCGGTGTTCTTGTAGGCGTTGACGTGCTCCTCGATGATGTTGTCGAAGGTGTCGCGGCGGCTGATAATGAGGATCTTATCCTGGTTGATTGACTGGATGATGTGTTTGGTGTGCCCGTTGGGCCTGCATTCCCTCCGAGTATAGGCCCAAGAAGGGGAGCGTTGCTCGAGGCGCTGAGGGTGATGCCCAAGTCGGGAAGAAGCCCAGCCATGATGTGTAAACTTTAGGCTTAGTAGTCTGATTACTCTGTCGTAAAACCGTTAAGTGGTACTGTGGCCCTCTGGTGTATTCAGTCGCTGCGTTATTGTAGGATTATCTCATGTAGTGCTAAGTTTGTCGTGTCCAAGCCTCGAAAAACAGCGAAAGCCGATTATGAGGGTATTTCTGTTACGGCTTCGCGGCCAGAACAGGATGATCAAATTTGGAGAAACTTGAGAGTGATTCGAGATCTGCGTCGCGTGCGGATAGGTCGGTAGTATAAGTGTAAGTGTGTATGTTGGTTGGTAGGGCGGTCGTTTGATGTAAGTCGTTCCAGCGGCTCAACAATCGGCGCCAAGCACACAGCTCTCAACGTCAAAAATGGATTCAAACAACACAAATTAAACAGTCAATAAATGTCATACAATGTCAGTCCCAAAATAAGAGCCGCTCCCGTCCCAGAAAAAGAGTCAAGAGGTGCGGATAGTCCGAAACCGCGCGGCAGCCACTCTTTAAACAATCCCACGGTCCCCCTCCACTCCCTCCGGTCTTGTCATGAATTGTCTCCTCTTTTCCCTCCCTCCCTCGGGGAATACGTACGCAAATCTCTCACACTTCCCTACGGCGAAAGCTGCGAGCACCCATCATCCGACAAACCTTAGATTTGGCTGAAGTGACGCAGCGTCGGGACACAAAAGAGAGAGAGAGAGGGTGCAAAGGGAAAGCAGGGATCTACAGGGGACGCGACCGTCTCACAATGATATCGATCCCTGCACGCCAGCTGGAGGCTCAAGCGCGGTGGTTGATTCGGTAGTGTTTCCCCGCAGGGTTATTGCCAGCCCGTTTCAGACATGGAATGTTTGAGTTGATGTTCTTCAGACCAATGAAACCCTCGATTTCTTTCTCGTCCCACCTTTTGGCCGCCCTTCCGGGTGAAGGTGTCCAGGTTCATCCCTCAATCCCGATCAAACCTCTGGGAATCTGGGCAGTGGGCTATGAACCCTTTTTGTCTCTCGAATACAACTAGTGAATGCAAGTAGGTAAGTAATTGGGTTATCGATTTTCAATTCTTTTGCCATATCATCCCTTGTTAGTCAACCCAGGGAAACTGAAGAATTCGATTATTCGGCTAGTGATCCAAATCATCGGAAAACAAAAAGTGACCAAATCAACACACATTTGCCACATGTCGTGGAGGACTGGCTTTGGTTGGCGCCAAACAGCCGGAGTTTAAGGCCTCTGTCTACAAAGCAGGCTGGCCCTGCTTCTCCCCTCCACATAGACTGCCACCTTACACTCTTCTGTGCGTCCATTCGGCCCAAACCTGACGTCGGAACACCCTCGTCGCGGCGTCACCTGTCAAACCGCCCCAACCTCTTCTCGGAAACTGCGTGATCCCCGCGTCGCAATCCCTCCGACCCCCCCGCCGATCGAGCCCTTCTTTCAGCATCACATCCCTGGCTTGTCGCCCTTTTTCTGATACTGAACTGCCGCCAAGCAGGACAATCAGGGGAGATTCATGTTAGGAGATCTCCATGTCCGCAGTGGATGACCAGGCTTTGGGAAAATATTTTCTGGGGACTATTGCTCTTCGCTATCCATAGGAACCACTTTACATACCCCGCTGGACCTGCCATTCCCCCATCAGTCTGCCCTATGGCGGTGAACATACAACGAGTTCCTGGTCACGACTGTCGGTTGGCTCGGCACATTCCCTTCTTGCGTCCCTGGTTTTAGTATCGTAAGGCATGGCCAAATGGGGATGTCCTCGACGGTCAAGTTCATGTCAAAACACCTTCCCCAGTGGTCCACCATGGCAACGTCCCACTGACGTCTTACGTACAAGGCTTGCCTTGGTTCGGATAGTGGGAGAATCGGCGCACCGGAGCCGACTCTATCGTATCTTGGGGAGTGACTTGCCCTCCTGACGAACAAGCCGAGGCTACGGATCCGTCACATCATGGGAGTCCCCCGGTTCTCACGGGGCTGAAAACCAAATGTCTCTGTCACGGTCATAATAAATGGAATAGAAACACACATATTGCTCCAAGCCACTGGCAATGAGTGGGCTAAAGGCCGCCATGATATCATGACATTGGGCCCAAACAAACGGAGTTTATGCCATGAAGGGTCGCCGTCCCAACTGTAAAGGGCCAATTATAGCAACGAGGCCCAGGCGTTTCTGTCAAGGCTCATGGCTTGAAGACGTTCATTTCCTCGTTCTCATGAATCCAGAGGCTAGATATTTTCGAATACGATTATGTAGGGCCAAAGCCGAGGCAAAAGAATGTGGTGTAGGTCTCCACATACCTTTTCGGGAGCTTGAGACAACTCATGGATTAGATGAAGAATTCCTCATCCACCTTCCACCTTCAGCTAGAAGACGAAAGGCGCGGGGAATGAAACTTGGAAGAAGGAATGTTTCTTCTGCGGCGTTATTTTCCAGAGCCCCACAGCGGCTTTTGGTAGCAACTATGAGAATAGTCTCCCATGCTTAACTACCCACGATTTTCTATTTCAAGGCCATTACAGTAGCTAAAAGCATGTTACGGTTAGTACATGGCGATACAGGAAGCCCTTAGTTCAAGAGTAACAGCAATGCCGATGTTCACCGCCAGCTAGGCGTCCTGGTAAGGGCTCCCTTTGTGTGACCTAGAAGCTCACCACACATCTGCTTCTTACCCTATCTGTCAGCATCCACACATGTCACGAGTCTCGGATGGAGTAAACTGGAATTTGCTGGATCCCAGGAGCCTTGACTAATTTCCCTCAGCTCAGCATCTGCCGGATCGTAATATCAACCAGTCTGAGTAAATTTGATAGTGGAGTTTGGTCTAGCTCGGAATAAGCGGTATCTTCTCTATACAGGAGAAGATCAACATGAAAGGGGCTGTCTGTCATGAGTAGAAAGTGAGGATGCCGGCTTTTGTCCATTAAGTTATCTTCTTGGTGATCCATAAAAATAGGCAGTATTTCCCCAATCCAAAACAGATCAACATGCCAGTTTAGTAAAGTAAGTGTTCAAAGATCGGCCTGCAGCCAATCAACGTCCGTCCATCACGAAACAAAACCAACAGGGCAGAGAAACACGATGGCATCATGTCACACCCAGCGCAACCACAACTCCAACCACCAGGTCACCGTACAACCCTATAAGCGCCGCCAAAAGACAACAAGCCACCACCGGCCACGAAGCCAAGACGCAAACCACCCCTATGTTACCGAGGCCCAAGTGATCGGTTAATCTGGTTTGGCCCAGACGATGTGCACATCTGAAACGTTCAGTACCACGGTAGCCTTACGCCGATAATGGTATACCAAAAAATGCGACGATCGGAGGCGTTGTCCCGGCTGCGCCAAGCCCGGAAAGCAGTGCAATGAGGCGGTGCCGTCCCATCACCCTCGCGCAGGTTTTACTGAATTTTGCAAGTCGGCTTTGGGGTGGGAAAGTTTCATTTCGTTTGGAAGATGACCAATCGGGGTGAATGAAACTTCTCCAATGAATATCACGTCGATCTGACGATCGTATGTGAATGGTTTGGGCCACCAGCTCCACGCATACCCTTTAGGTGACATTACCTGTCGACAGAGCGCTTATCACGTCTTGAAATGGGAAAGTGTAAGACTTTTAGTCTGTTACGGGTTGGAATTGGTATGGCTTGGGCTCGGGCAGTTGGCATGATCCAAATGGCTTGCGCAGAGGATTGTAAGGCCGGAAATTATTCGCCTTTGGACCGAGAGGTCCCTGATATTAATAATGAGTTTGCTTTTGCTCGCTGGGATGACAACGACACGATTCTACGAGATTCATGGCGGCGGACTGATGAGAGTATTAGTGAGGCAGCACAAAGCAGAGAGGCCATTCGTAAGCGGCACACAATGTCCTTTTCTATATTTACCAATGCAAACTCGACCGTGGTTATCCGGCCTCGTACATGGTTGAGCGGGCTGAGTTGCTGCTGCCTGGTAGCACTTAGACATTCTTTCTCGACGTGCTCACCACACCTTGTAGAGCTAGCACCCTTCAGCACTAACACCGTCCAGAGAGTAGACTTGAGCGGGACGCGTGTGGTTAGTTTGTGGTATCGTTGCCTTGATGCTGCAATGAAATGTAGCATGGTTTGTCGCACTGCTTCTTGCAGGATTCTCATCCAAGCACCGTAGCGACTGTTGAATGTTGTGAAGCGTTGAGTACATGTGACAACGTATTCAACATAGTCGATAACGCGTGACGGCGGTCCAAGAACTGCGGGATGCTTTCGACATCCCCGTGTCGTGAACTTCGCTGTCTGAATCAGCTACCCGGATGGTGTAGATGGATGGTGAAAGTGAGTATTTACCGAAACCCCGACTGGGCTCCCACTGACAAGTGGGCTTAAGATCTATGACACCGTAAGGTCTATGGATTTCCAACTGGTGTCTGCCTTTCGGGTCCGGACACCCAGCACGAGATACTCTCAATTCAGACCAAAGCGAAGCACTTCAAAGCAAACTATGCTCGTCTTCAGCAGCCAAACCAGTCTCAAGTCAGACTGGTGCTATCCGGGACCATTGGAACTAGTACAAATCAAACACCAGGGCCATGCCTTATGACTAAGGTACTAAAGACAGCAGATATATTTTGGTTTGGGATGATTATGTAACCAGCTCTGTATGAAAGGCATCGAGAGATCAACTGGCCACAAGCCCAGCGGCGGAATTGACTTTTGTAAGCCCAAAGAATGCCATAGCGATCACAACGCCAGAGTTGGTGCCGGGTGGGGTTCATCGAGGTAGAAGGCGCAGCGGGACTACATCTTCGTATATCCGCAGACAATCAACAATGAGTTAAACTAGGTAGACGGGATCTAGCCATTCTCGAAGATGAGAATCTCCAAATGACGGTATCTCAAGGCGGATAATTAAAACAAGAAAGCATTGCAAATAATGGCAGTTGATCTTGCTGTCACTAGGAATATCCCAAGGCTGAACAGCCCATCCTGCCTGCCACTTTAATACTCCCGCAAGTGTGCGTCTGGATACCAGCACCAATGGATCAATTCGGAGTCACAGCTGCACATTACAGCGTACTACATGTGATGAGAGGATGTGATAAAAAAAAAAGCAGCCCAGAAGATTCTTCGTTGTGACGATAGAAAGGCGTTGTATATGGAAACAGACGTTCCAATAGTAAGACCCAACTTGCTCCAGCCTCATTCTTCCTGTCTGGCGCCACGACAATATACCAGACTATCACGCAACATTTCTTCCCCCTCGCCAAGCTCACAAAGTTGGACAAACCTCGATTATGCCATCTTGGCCTCCTCAGCAAACCCAGGTTCTGACATTGCACGTGGGCGCAGTCAGGGGGTGATGATCAAGAACCCACCAAACTTTGCGAATATGGTACATGCCTGCTTCGTCAAGGCCGATCTGCGCTTCTAGAAAAAACTCAATTGACCTCGTTATCGCCGAAAAATGACAAAACAGTGGGGTTCGGAGGACAAAATAGACTCGGGACGTTTACGTCATTGACGCGCCGGTGACGTGACCCGGGGGGGGGGGGCTCTTCTTTTTGGGTTCAGCCCACCTTGAGGGACAGACACGCCGTAGTATAGTAGTATACGGGGGGGGCAAAGGCATCACGAAAAGCTGGCCCAACTAGGAAGAGAAGGGGGAATAATTTTTGGGGAATTATTATGTGCCCAGCCCTGTCTGCCCACAAATCGCCATTCCTCGAAAAAAAAGAGGGGCTTCATCGGCGCCCTATCCGCCTTATTCGGATGGTTGTTCCCCCCTTGCGGCCGACCGTTCCCCCTCCCTCCCCCGGCGGAGCCGAAATGTCGTTGCGTTTTGTTAGGTAAACTGAACGGGTGGGGGGGAGCTTTGTACAGCTCTGATTTCAAAGCTATGGCATGATTGTCCAAAGTATTTGAATCGGGGCCTCCGCACCGTTGAACGGGATTTAAAGCTTCAAAACATCAACACCAAACTACACTCACACAACATTTCATACTCAATTCACATACACGAATCTGTTTTAAACAAGTCTCACAACATATACACATACACACACATCATGAGCAGACACGTTCTCATCCTCGGCGGCCACGGCAAGGTCTCTCAGAACCTCACCCCGCTTCTGCTCAAGAAGTCATGGACCGTCACCAGCGTCATCCGCGCCCAGGAGCAGGTCCCGACCATTGAGAAGCTCGGCGCCAACCAGTCCGGCAAGCTCAACGTTCTGGTAAGGAGCATCGAGGACGTCAAGGACCAGTCGCAGGCTCAGGCCATCCTCGACGAGGTGAAGCCCGACACCATCATTTGGAGCGCAGGTGAGTCGTCTCTCAAATTCCCAACAAACACACACACACACACACACACACACACACACACACACACACACACACACACACACACACACACACACACACGAGTCATGAAAAGGGTCTCCAATGACGTCCTGAGAGTGGGGAATACTAACATGCTCGTCAACGCACAGGTGCCGGTGGAAAGGGAAACCCAGAGAGGGTACGTCAGACTTGACAGAAGCTTGCTTGCTTGCTTGCTTGCTTGCTTGTAATATGGTTGATCATCATGGCTAACCATCTCCCCGCAGACCTTCCTCGTTGACCGTGACGCCGCAATCCACTTCGTCAGGGCGTCCATCGCGACCCCCTCCATCAAGAAGTTCATCCTCGTGTCCTACCTCGGCTCCCGCAAGAACAAGCCGTCGTGGTGGTCGGAGGAGGAGTGGCAGAACTCGCTCGACGGCAACAAGAAGCTGGCCAACTACTTCAAGGCCAAGGTCGCCGCCGACGAGGTCCTGTGGCAGGAGTCCCGGAAGCGCCAGGACTTCGCCGGCGTCAGCCTGCGCCCCGGCCTGCTGACGGACGAGCCCGCCGGCAAGGTCCAGTTCGGCAAGACCAGCAAGGCCAAGGGCACCTCGAGCCGTCAGAGCGTCGCCGAGATCGCCGCGCTCATCGCCGAGAACGAGAACTTTACGACTTCCTGGGTCGACCACCTCGACGGCGACGAGGATCCCAAGGCGGCGGTTGACAGGGTTGCCAAGGAGAAGGTGGACGTTGCCGAGGGCGAGGACTTTTACAAGGCTTAAGCACGTATGGATGGCAAGCTAAGCTCTGTTTGATAGGGTCATGAACATTATTATATTAATACAGCGAATTATTCTTTTTTCCTCTCATTTTTGACTAGTCAACTTTATGCCATCAGAGCAATGTGCTTCAGTTCTCTGTGAATGCCGTTAGAATCAGGTATGTCTTTTGTTTTCGGGTTTGTTATTAATGGGGGGGGAGGGGGGAAACTCACTCTTGCACTTGCTCTCCGACCTTCATAGGCGCATACTTGACCTCCTCGCCCTCGTCCCTGCCGAGGTTGAACTGCTCCGCCCTGACCTGCTTCGCGCGCTCCGAAAGCTGGGGGATGGGAGCAAGGTCAAAGTCGGACGACAGATGCCAGAAGCACGTCGACGAGATGCGGACGAGCGGGCGGTCGGGGAACTCGGCCTTGCGGCGCTCGATGACGTCCAACGTCTTCTCGTTCACCACGACCTCGTGGTATCCCGCCTTGATGAGTCCGCCGGTGATGTGCTCCATCTGCTTGCCGGCCTGCACCAGCAGGTAGTTGCCCTCAGGGATCTTGACGGCAATCTTCCTTCCCGTGTTACGCGCCCAGATGTGCAGGCCGGGGTACCGCGAGCGACCGTGGATCGTCAGGCAGTTGAGGTCGGTGTGGAAACCCGCGAGGATGGTGTCCTGCTTGCCGTACTTGACGAGATCCGACGCCGTGGGCGCGAGCAGGTGAGGTCCGTACTTGCCGGCCTCAGTGAAGGTGTCGGCGGGTAAATCCAAGCCAACGGCAGCCATCTCTGCCAGGCCAGTAACGGCCTGCTTCATCGATGAACCCCACTTGTTCATGGCGGCGGGCCAGCGCTCGCGGATGTGAGGGGCCTCGGGGACGACGTTGGGGGCGTTCAAGCCGGGGAACCGGGTGTCGTAGGGCGGCTTCTCGGCCATGCTCCAGAAGAAGCGGCATTTCGGGTCGGGCTCGTGGGCTCCAATGTCGAGGGGACGCTCGGAGGGGGCCAGGCGCTCGATGACTTTCAGACAAGGCTCGTCGACGGCGCACTTGGGCTTCTCGGTGTTCTCGAGGGTGACGCCGATCTGGTAGCTCAGCTCAGGGCGCTCGTCCTTTCTGAGTTCCTCCTGAGGCTGAGCGAAGTAGTCCTCCAGGAGGTCGAGGAAGGCGGTGTTGTCGGACTCGGAGACGCGGGAGTCGTGGAGGACGAGAGCGCCGTAGGTGATGAGGGCGTTGGCGGCCTTGACACACTCCTCGCGGACGGCGGGTGAGTCACGCGGCTCTGTGAGGAAGACGTCGAGGTCAACGATGGGTAGATCCATCGGAAGATCCTGTGTAGCGGCCATGGTTTGCGAGTGGATCGCGGGGGATATAGGATCGTTGAGGAGGGAGTTTGGAAGTTTGGGTATTTGTCTAGCGTTGATTCTAGGGAGGGCTGGAGTTTAAACAGTAAAGGGTTTGACCTTTGGTCTTGATGAGATAAAAGGTATTGTTATTATTCACAATAGAACGAAGGGAAAAAAAACAAAAGTGCAACCTCCAGATGAGCGGCAAACATGTCGCATTTTGTCTTTTGTTGCGTGACGCATGTGAGCTGGTCCAGATGAGCCCCTCGTGGTGGGGGTTGTTGTCACTGTCGAATGGCCCGCCGGGGCGCCTGACCGGAAGAGGCAGCTGACAAGGGGGGGGCCGATTCAGAGCCGTTGGAGATGGTACCTGCGCGCCGATGTGGATATTGTACCTGGCCAATGATAGATCGTCGTCGGCGTGCTCCGGGGCTGCTTTCGCGGAGGCTTGGCCGGAGGGTCGAACCAGATTTTTCTCCCGATTTTCTATACCAATTCTGCTATTGGTCAACGGTTTCCAACCGGCTATCTTCAGCCTGCAAAACGGGCATTTACATTACTCCAACTAGGCAACATGATCTGACTCGGGGCAGCGGGGATGCGGGGGGTACTGCTCTAGGGTCTGGCTAGTTCTTGGCTCCTTTGGTTTCCGCCGCACACCAGCGGTCTCCGCCGGTTATCGGAGAAAAGATTCTGTTCTGCAATATCGAGCGTGATTATCGACAACTTCAGCATCACGAGGAAATCCAAAATTTGATGACCATAACCTGTATCATATAGGAAGGTACAATGCAGATGAAGGAATCACCAAGATTCTCTGGCTGCGAGAGCGCAGCCGAGGATGCTCCTATGCAACCTTCACGTAAGCGATGTAGACCTGGTAACCTTGGAAAGAAACGACAAAATCGTTAATGTAGAAACCTGTGTCAAAAGTCAAGCCGATCACACCCGCTGTCATTGTCAGGGAGGAACAGTATCGGTTGGCGGTCCGTTGAAATCAAATCGCGCAATACCCCGTCGTTTTGACTGTATTCATCCTGGAGACAGAGATGACACGGAACGACTGACCTACATCTTTGTGACCTTTTCGTGGTTGGCTGATTTCGAATCTCTTAGCTCATAGTCACTTTGCTACAGGAGCTTTTCAGAAGCTTCTTCAAATCTCTTTGCACCTGGAAACAGTACCCGAGTAGAGTCTCAATTCCTCTGAACAAGGATAAATGTGCATCATTCACACAAGCGGTCAAACCTTCCTTGACCATCTATGTATCGACACTTGAGTGGTTCATTTTTGTTGAGTTGCGTAAGACCTACCTTAAACCTACAGTATGTTGGGAGCATTGCGGCACTTCAAACGTATCCCTGGACCCATTCGTATCCGCCAGGGAAATCTTCTTTAGAGCAAGGTACTCGAAAACCATCGCTAGAGCGGCCTAGATCATTTATCAAGCTTTCTCATAGCCTGTGCAGTACCGCAAAAAAAAAAAAAACCCCGTGGCGTAGGTTTAGTCAAGCGTCAAAATACCTCGTGAGGAAACACGTTGGTCCCCTGACATACTTGCATCGAATTACTACTTGGGAAATTTGTAGTCCATCCCTTTATCCTCGCAACGCATCACTTTCCCATTCCAGCATCTCCTTTCTCAAAAGCGGTTTACACAAATCATCTGTACAGGCTACAAAAGGGGAAGTACCGTCAAAGAAAAAGTCAAACCTATAACATTTTTTCATACAGAGTCGTGTAATTGGACATCATACGAGGCAACGGGCGCATTGGTCAAGTATACTCCCTACCTATCGATGGTGATTACCCCACTGCTGTTCAGACCGAGTTCGATAGTCTTTAGCAAACCTCGGTTGAAGCCTTTGCCACGGGATTTGAAACGCTTGTTGCAAATACGAGGTAAGAATACGAAGCTGACAATATCCGTGTTATCCGTTGCGGTTTAGACTCGTAACATCGCCGGGGATGCCACAGATATGTCGGTTCCGTATTTCTCATCTCACTTTATAGTAGTAAGCCGGGCCGCGAGCGAACTTTCTTTCCGAGAGTCGTCATGTCGGCATAAAGCCTCTGTAAATCCGGTCTAGTTTCCAATGACCCTGCTGTCCACTCCGAGAAAAAAGGCAAAAGTATTACTACTGCACTCGTCGAGAGTGGTATCCGACATGCATAAGAGATGGTGGCTGACATCTTCATCTTGTTTTTCAAGACAGGTTTCAATGTTAATATGGGACTGGGATTCAAGGAGTCCGATGAGGTCATCCACTTCAGTGCGATCCAAAGGAAAGGGAGAAGGGCGAGTTCACCCTTTACCATCTTACATACGAGGCGAACAATAATGGATGGCCGATCTGGTTTACGGAATCAGTGTGACTTCCAAACGAGAACCAAAGGCAAATATCTCAAATTGTGTTCAGAAATGACATGAACACCCAAGACACAGGGTAAACGAGTAATGGACACTTCAATTATTACATACACCCCTAGAACCGAGCCTCAACCTTCTCCTCCGTATCCTGCAGCGCCCAGTCGCTCCTCTTCGTTCGGCTCCTCACACTCGCCGCCTGCTCCGCCGTGAACCCCTTGGCCACCACGGCCGGGTTGTACCCGAGCTTGTTGATCTTGCCGATCGTCTCCGAATCGATCTTGGGCGCCTCCTTGCCGTCCGGCCGGCGGTACACTGTAACGACAACAGCGCCGCCGAGGCCCAGGTTATGTTGCAGAGCCGCCTTGGTGCCGGGGACGGCACGGTTGTTGGCCCAACCGCGCAGGTGCCATACCAGCTCGGCGCACTGCGCGATACCAGTGGCGCCGAGCGGGTGTCCCTTGGAGATGAGCCCTCCAGAGGGGTTCACCACGTACTTTCCGCCGTACGTGATGTCCCCGCGGCGGACCAGCTCGTGCGCCTTTCCGTGCTCCGCGAGGCCGAGGGCATCGAGCACAATCATTTCGTTCGCAGAGAAGCAATCGTGCAGCTCCACGACCTGGACATCCTTGGGTGTGAGACCCGCCTCGTCCATGGCAATCTTAACGGCGTGCTGCGTCATCTCGAAGCCCATCAAGTCGATAGCGGAACGCGAGAACAACGACGGCGCGTCGGTGGCGAGGCACTGGCCGGCTACGAGGATGGCCCGGTCCTTTAGGTGCGGCCGCTCGTCGAGGAAAGCCTGGGATACGAGCACGGCGGCGGCACCGCCGTCGGAGGTCGGGCAGCACTGCAGCTTGGTGAGCGGGGCGAAGATCTCGGGGGCCTTCATGATCTGCTCGTGGGTGTAGACATCCTGGAACTGCGAGTAAGGGTTGCGGGTAGAGTGCTCGTGGTTGATGCGACCAATCTCCGCAAAGTCCTCGGCCTTGGCACCGTATCTGGCATTGTTTAGCATTGGTTTTTCCCAAGTCAAGTGAGAAAAGGGCAAATACATACTTCTCAATGTACTCCCGCCCGGCGTTTCCAAACATCTGCGCCGCACCGGGAGCATTCGTGATCCCCCTTGTCTCAGCCATCATCTTGATCGAAGTGCCGGTGGGGTTCTCGCGGTCGTTGAAGAAGCTCTGCAGCGACCCGGGCATCATCTTCTCGAAGCCAACAACGAGCACGCAGTCGGCGGCGCCAGACGAGATGAAGTTGCGGCCCATGGCAAGACCAGTAGACCCCGTGGAGCAGTTGTTGTTAACGTTGTAGATGGGAATGGAAGTCATGCCGAACTGGTAAAAGACGCGCTGGCCGCATGTGCTGTCTCCGTAGCAGTAGCAGGCGATGCCCTGGTCGACATCATCGTAGTTGATTTGGGCGTCCAGCATAGCCTTGACACCGGCTTCGAAGCCCAACTCCGTATAGTCGACCTTGCCGCGTGGCTTGATGAACTTGGTCATACCCACGCCGAGCACGTAGCAAGGCGCCTTTTCACGCTTCTGTCTGGGCGCCATCTTTGCACCGTCTTTTCTTTTTTTTTTTTTTGGCTTATTTTTTGTCGGGAACTGTGAGTTGGATGTCGAGCATATATGTATGTCTCAATCGCAAACTTGGCTCTTGGCGACGTGGATGATGAAAAGATGGAACAGTACTAAACGAGGGGGCTACCCTGGATGTTTATATTTCAACGGCCAGAATGGAACTACCGTCCGTAGCATGTGCTTCAGGCCTAAACAACAAAACAAACCAGTGTGAAGTTGCACGTTTTCGCCCCCCCCCCCCCCCCCCCCCCCCCTCATCCTCAACCATTTGGTGCCCCGGGAAGAGCTTCTCCAGATTTCCCCCCCTCAAACGGCCCCCCAATTCCGCGCTTCCGCAGCACCAAAAACCCACCTAGGAACAGCACTAGCACCGCTGGGAGCAGCATTCTATGCGGGGAAAACAGCGTGTCACAGAGCAGCTTGCCGAGGCCCCGGACGCCAAAACGTCGAGCTTGACGCAGCTCCAGCTCGGGGTCCGGCCAATCACGTAGCTTGCCGAGGTAAATCGGTCCCATTACAGGGGATGGCTCATTTCGGTAACCTTTTCGTCGGCGCTGGGGGCAAAAAGATACTACTTACTATACACATACGTACAAGACTTGGGCATGAGATATGATATTCATCACTGTTGGAAACGATTCCACGTGAGAAGACTGACTCGAGTTTAGTGATTCAGTTTACATGTTTTCTTCTACTTGTTATTTTCATCTACAACAGATCTATCGAGTTTAGTTATCAAGAGGCTCTTCAACTGCAGGCTGACAGTATTTACCCTAGCCAAGTCAGAAGCTTAATTCACTGCTGCAACCGTTCCTGAATCCAGTCCTCGACCTTCTTCTCAATCTCAGGCACATATAACCACTTCATCTGGCCCTCGCCTTCGTCAACCCAGAGCTCTTCCTTGGGCAACTTGGCCATCTCGTGGCTCGGCATCCTCTTGTTGTTCAGCTTCTTCGTAAGCACAACCAGGTCCCGCAACCTCTCCTTGCGGATCCCCTGCCAGAATCCGACGCCATCCTCCCATCCAATCTTCCCCTCGCTCTCCCTCGTCCGCTTCACGATGAGCGCGAGACTCGCCGCGTCTTCCAACGCCATCGACGCCCCCTGGCCCGTCGTCGGCGGAATCGCATGCGCCGCGTCTCCCAGCACCAACACCCGGCCCTTGGGAGACGCCCACCGCTCCAGCGCAGGCAGCATGTAGAACGGCCACACGTTCATCGTCTCATCCTCGATGTTCTCGAGCGCGGACCTCACAATGTCAGGCCACTCGCTCTCGTTGCGCCTCAGCCTCGCCTTCAGGCTTTCCTTGTCGGCGAGCAACGCGTCCCGCCGCCCGGCCTGCGCCTCGTCGAACGGAACCTGCGTGCCCGCCAGCATCTCGCTGCCGTCGGGCTTCTGCGGCGCCAGCACGAACACGCCGTTGGTGCTCGCCACGCTGACCGGGAACCGGTAGTCCTTGTCCTCCGGTACCCGCAGCCCCGCCGTCGGCGCAGCGAACGTCAGCGCCGCCAGCCCGACGAAGCCTAGCTTCACCTCCGGCGCGACATACGACGTCCTGACTTTTGAGTGGATTCCGTCGGCACCAACGAGCAAGGTCGCCCGCCTCGTCTCGCCTCCTTCAAACTCAATCTCGACGCCGTCCTCCGTCTCGTCCACGACACGGGTGAATTTCATGCCGTGCTCTATCCTGACGCCTTTCTCGCGGCAAGCCTTCGTGAGGAGGTCAATGAGCTCCTGCCGGAAGATTCTGACCGCTTCGTACCCGAACTCCTTGGTGCCGCCCATCGGGTACCTGTCGACGGTGTTCTCGTCGCTGTCCTTGTAGTAGACGTAGTCAAAGGGATACGCATGCTCCAGCAGGGGCGTGTACAGTTGCAGAGAATCCAGGATGCGTAGCGCGTTGGGGCAGAGCATCATTCCGCCGCCGGCGTGGTGGGGTTGGGGCGTCTCCGAGCGCATCTCATAGATTGTCGCGGGGATGGAATGGGAGTTTAGGGTGAGGGCGAGGGCCATGCCTGCGATGCCGCCGCCGATGATGGCGACGTCGTCTTGTGAAGTAGACATGGTGATGCAAGCTGGGTATATGTGAGTGAGATGGGAGTGAAGGTGAGTTAGAAGGTGTGAGTGTAAGTCAATCGGGAGATATCAGTAATTGAATTGGCAAGTGAGAGCGTAAGTGAAATATGAGGTGTAATAATGCCCGATGAGTCTGATACTTCTTCAATGCCAAATATCCATCACTCAGATCAAGGACATCACCACCACCTTTATACCCATCCAACTTCCCTCATCCGCCCTCGTTGCCAATTCCTCCACCGCCTCCATGATTCGGAATCTCGAGAAATCACGACCAATTATTCAAAAGGATTCCACGTATTCTTCGCCCGGAAGGGGGCTTACTTCATTGACTACAGCCCATTCATCCCATCCCCCCGAACCGAGCAATCACACACGCAGCGGCCGTCTGACGGTATCCACCTCTCGGCCGATAAATAGTACGAATCACCAAAATAAGTCTAGTCTCCGATCATCTCTCTACCACCCGGCCGAGTCCCCCCCGGGCGCCGGTCCCCAACCACCACATAGTCCCGCAACCAAAATCATTATTCAATCCCCTCCGATGACCATAACGTTTGTAAGCACAAGCCCGAAGGATGCACCACACCAACACGCACATGCCTCTGCAATACCTGTATCTCCGAACCTCAGTGTGTTCCATCTTCACGCGCTAGTATAACCATACAGCCCTCCTTCGGCCCTCCGAGAATCCCGGTGATACGCGCCCCGGTTGGGCCCGCGGGGGTAGGATGAACATTTCCATTACCGTTAAGACGCAAGCTCCTATCGCATTCTCAGCGACACGAGCTCTCTGGTGATACGCATCCTTAAGATTCGTATACCTGCAGTGACTATCCTCCTGATCAGAATGTATCTTCATGTACGTCTTCAAGTACCGAGATATCCAACGAACAACCCCATTTCAAAACGACAAAGTAACGGAGGAGAAAGAAAAAAAAAAAAAAAACCTAACAAGTGGCACTGTGCAAAGACTCGCCCATCCCATCATCAACCGGGCGGAGTTTTTCTCCGGCAAAGGTGGTGGGTGGTGTGGTGCCGTGTGGTGTACCTCACACATTGGTAAGCTGACAGGCGTTTACGTGTGCATCCATCCGGATAAAGGTCTCTCTCGGCCGATACACGCCGGAACCAAGGCGGCATCACACACACTCTTCAGCCGTCGTCTCGGCCGATATAGTACAACACACAGGAAACGGCGTATTACCAGCGCCAACCAGTCTTACGATCAAAAACATCTATAAAGAGAGCGTAGTCGAGCCGTCGTTATCATGGCTAGAATTAATCTACATCCTCATATTCAGTTCTCTATTGCAAAACTACCCAACGTCACCGTCTCCCTTTGAACTGCACCATCTCCAAAGCCACAACCCCCAAACCTCACAAAGGAGCAAAAATGCACATCTTCATAATCGGCGCAACAGGCCGCAACGGCGCTCTCATCCTCGCAGAGTGCCTATCCCGAGAGCACACCGTAACGGCCCTCGTCCGCGACCCGTCCTCGGTCGTCCCCCAGCAGCAGCAGCAGCACCCGAACCTCACCCTCGTCCGCGGCACCCCTCTCTCGCCGGCCGACGTCCGCAAAGCAATGTCCACACCCCCCGGAGCCCCCCCGGACGCCGTCATCGTGGCCCTCAACATCCGCCGCCAGTCCGAATCTCCCTTTGCGGCGATCCACCCGGACACGCCCCCGACCCTCACCCACGACGCCGTGAGCAACGTCCTACAAGTGCTAAAGGAAGACCACCACCACCACTCCCCGGGGCCCCGCAAGGTCGTCATCAACAGCATGCAGGGCTCCGGTGTAAGCAACGCCAGCCTTAACCTCCCTTTCCGCGTGCTGTTCCAGCACACCAGTATGAAATACACCGTCAGCGACCACGACGCCGTCGACGCCCTCGTCAGGGGGAAAGAAGGGGAAGGCGTCAACTGGGTGCTGGTGAGACCGCCTATGCTTACAGAAGGGGAGTCGTTGCCGGTCAAGGTGTACGATGACGATGGCAAGGGGGTGCGCTGGTTGCCGAGGATCACGAGAAAAAGCGTCGCAACATTCATGGTAGACGCCGCTGAGAAGCCGGACTGGGATCGCAGGGCGCCTGTCATCACCAACTAGTTAAAAACCCTGTGGCCACGAGGACACAAGATTAGACGAAGGGGCCGGAAGGCACGGATATATAAACGTCAGGTCAGAAAACGGGGCTGGTAGAGCCTTGTATAATGTAATGCATGCTGGGAAACGCCAAACCATGCCCTCCTTTTTCGCATCCTCCCCGTTGCTTGTTGGTATCGTCGATGAAATATATTTACAAGTTTCTTTCGTATGCTTTTCTTTCCAAACACTCCGTGGCGTTTCGTATTCGCATCCCCTTTGCCAGGATAGCCTTGGCCGCCATTCCCCAGCATTCCCTTTCCTCTCTGTACGATGGAGGTGTAGAAATACACCTGCTAAATTATGTTCGCCATTGTTCACCATCCGCAGAATGCGATTGGCTCCCTTTGACTTGTAAATAAGTTGCGACAGCGTGATGCACAATGTCGCTGTAGTAGTCCTCGTAAAGGGCTGTCGTCTCCGTCATTGTCATGCCGCAGCTGCGGCACCGTTTGTATCGTCGGGTATTAATCCCACTCAAACACCTAAACACACCATGACTCCATGGTGCCGGTGCCTGTTGGGGTGATCCGACTCTCCAGATCGAATCCTGTCTCCTCGACCCCGCATGTTGTTAGGAAGGTCCCGGTATCATTGGGTTCCAATAATCCAAATCCCAATCAGCATAATCATCCAGAGTCTGCCGACCACGAATCAGCCCAGTCCCAGCCTTCCCACAGAGACCAGCCGCTATAGTCACTTACCGCAGCCGTCGACGCATTCGCATGGAACATGAATGGTGTTCTCGTCTGCATGTAAGGGTCCATCGGATCGGCTGGGTTCGTGACTGGCAGGGACATCTTCTCGGGGTTCGTGTTCGTGGCAGCTTTGCAGGCGTCCAAGACGTTCTGGAGACTGCGTCGGATTTCCTGGAATTTCTGTTCCTGGCTGCCCGACTGCACTGATGCCAGCACAACTGAAAGGGCGACAATATCCTTCACGTCGTTGCCGCCGACGTTGCGGACAAGCAAGTTGAGAGTCTTCTCGACCGTCTTGATCAATCGTGACGGCGACCAAAGCGCAAACGTTTCGGTGCTGAACGCCACGCCATCGTCCATGGGATCCGGGGACATGGCCACAGTCGACGAGATGCCGAGCGTGTTGCCATTAGCATGCGACTCGATCGCTGCCTTTATATAAAAGCACACGCTGAAAGCCGCCTGCAGAATGTCCTTCTTGAGAACCATGTGGTACATGTCGCTGATGTCTTGGAAGTGGGTGAGGAGTGGATCGAGCTCGTCTAGGTATCGCATTATGACCATGGATGATCGTAAATACGCCCTTGAGATCTGGGGCGGAGCATCCGGCAAGCCCAAAGCGAACGGACGGTAAAGGGCCAAAAGAGGCCGCCGAACGTGCATGTCGAGTATGACACGTGACCTCCACTGCTTGCTCTTCTCGATCTCATTCAGAATGCCGTGCCGCGGGAACAAGTAGTTGATATCCTCCAAGAATCGGTCGAGCTTCGTCCCAACCTCGAGAACCTCGCTGTAGTCGCGGATCGAATCGATGCGATTAATCAGGTTTGCAACCTGCATCCGAACGCCGAGGGTCATGGCGGCGTACACCTGCATTTGGTTATCGGTAAGCTGGTCGAGGGGCTTGCTTGGTGGCAGCTCCTTCATGTCGAAAAAGAGGTCTTTGTCGTCGAGGTTTCGCGGTGGTTTGCAGGTAAAGTCCCCTTCGCGGACGAGGCAAGAAAGGTTGCATGCCAGCGAGAGGTGCAGATCCATGTCGAGAATCGTAAACCATAGCCTCCTTCTCAGTTCGCCAAAGAACACTGGTACCCGAGGCTCAAACTCGGAAGGATCTCGATGCAGCCCCATGGTCATCGCCATGCGCACGATGTATCCCAGTTGCGCCCACGAGTCCTGCGGCCTTGGAGTGGTCATTCTCTGTGCGTGAACGAGCAGAATCTCTGTCTGCAATGTAGTCAAGTCAACCAGCTGTTTGCCCTTCAACCCGTCCAGCCACGACCTTACTAGCGCGCAGGCCGTGGGAATATGAACGCCTTCGACGCGCTCGTGACCAAGCCCCTTGGACTTCGTCTCGAATCTTGAGCCGATAGAGAGAACAGCCAAAAGCTGCGGGAGAAATGCGTCGCCAGACAGTTTGCCCTCCCAGAACAGCTCGTGCTGCTCCTTAAAGGTCGGTAAGTGAATCATTCGGTAGATGGTTTCGGAGGTGTCGATGTAAGAGGCTAGAAGCCTATCACAGACGGACTTCTGGGGAAGAATGTCTTGCATGCGCTTTTGAACTGGGATGACCGAGTCGGCAAAGACGGAGATTGGCGACAACGACTTTCGGTATTCTTCCTGTATTCTCTTGTGAAGCACATGCAAACCGTACATGATCTCTCGGATACCCTCGACCTTGGACTGGTTTGCCATGAAGTCCTTGGCTTCGTCGAACTGGAATGGATGGGTTAGGGGAACGATCTAGGGGAGATTGGGTTAGGGGTGGTAGTTACCAGGTTGAGCAAGACACGTACGCTATTCTGGCCGAAAAAGCGCGTTCTCAAAGCGCCCCTCTTGACAGTCAGCCCTCGTATTGTCCCTGGCGACAGTGGTAAACGCTGGCCAGCTCCGCTGAATTCGGTGCCTGCCGGGCTCTTGATCATAAACTGTCTCTCCAAGCGGTCCAGTCGCGATGTAAGCTCCTCGAGAGCAGAATGACCGGCCGAATCTCCGTTACGTAAAGGAACAAACGAGGCTGGCTCGGTGGGGTGCGATCCGGAGGTGGTGTTTGCGGGAACACAGTTCCGCTTTGGCGGGCGTTGGACATCGCCGAGCTCCCCGTCCGAACCGTCGGAAAGCATGGAAGAGTCGTGTTCTGCGGCATACTTGCAGTTACGGTGCGACTTTTGGCACTGAGAACAAGGTAGGTTTCGATCACATCGGAGCTTGCGCTTGCGACACTCGGTACACGACTTAACGGGCCGCGGCCTTTTTACACTGCGTGAAGCCGACTGTGTCGCCGAAGAAGTTGCCGACAGTCCACCCGCCGGTAAAGAGCCCAGTCCAGACAACGGAACAGCTGAGCCAAGAGACTGGTGAACGGGCTGAGAAGGCGAGGTCTCGTAAGGAGCGGCGGAGGGTATCGAGCCCATTGGCGCAACTGAGGTGTGATTTGTGTTAGGGTGCAGCGTGGTAGTAACCGCGCCCAGTTCCGGGGCAGAGGTGGTGGTCGCGGCGGCCATTTGAGCCGTGAGTTATAGGGAAAGAAAAAAAAAAATTCCAGAAAAATCTCCGTTCGGCACCGGCGTGGTGTGCTTGCAGTAGTGGGAAGCGGGAAGGGATGTTGGTTAAGGCGAAGCGAGAATTACAGTACAGCGCAGCGCAGCACGCACAACAGCACACCACAGCTATGCGGCGGCGGCGGCAGTGGCTGGCTTCGATATTTGAAGCTCAAACAGCCCGTTTGCTCCGGGTTTGCTGGGTTGGCGTTGGTAATAAGTGTATAAAGGTAGATTAGCTTTCAGCAGTAGCTGTGTTAACAATAGCTGCAGCTGCAGACCGGCGCAGTGATCAACCCTGTTCTCATCGAACGTCCGGGGCGCGTCTGGAGTTGCTTCGGATCCGGATTCTGCTGCTTGACCTTGACTCTGACTGGTGTCGAGTCATTCGCGGACCATACATGCTGCGACTGCAAAGGAGAGCTTGATGGAGTGTGGCGTGGGCGCAGGCGAAACGAGCGACGGATCAACGGAGACGGCTGCAGGCGTGTGCGCGTGTTGTTGGTCGAGGCTTTCTTGCTTGCTGAAGGCGGTTCAGAGGTTTAGCAGCAGCTGCAGTGTCTTAACCGATTGGACGGTAACCGACTCTGCTGATCAGTCTACTCGGATCTGAATACAGTCCTGAGGAAGTTCTTCAATGAGGCAGACAAAGCTGCGGTAGTGATGAGAGCAACTGGCGAAAGAGGAAGTGGAGGGAAGGAGAAAGGAAATTCGGATGTAGGGGAGGTGAAAAAAAAAAAAGAGAGAGGGTGAGTGAGTGAGTGAAAGACCAAATTGCTAGTTGCAATGATCCAAGCTTCCCCGGGGCTTTGGGGTGTGGTGCGGCGCTGCGGTGCCGTGTGGTGGTCCAGTCCTGTCAAGTGCTTGTCTCCTTCGTCTATGACAGTGAGGCAAGGCGAGGATAAAGCAAGGCAAGGTATTGGAACCAACTACCTTGGAGGTGGACAAATTGGCTGGCGCCTCTGCTGGTTTTGCCTCCTGGATCCCCAGGGTTAAACGGGTGAGTATGAGCAAGAACCCAAGTTTGAGCAACAGCTTGAAGCTTCGTCTTGCTTTGCCTCGGTATGCTTTGCCGTTCAAGCGGCCGGATCAGGTATGAGGATGAGCGACGTCAGCGAGTATGGGATCTGCTTCCATGTGCTCTCTCACTCGGCGCCGGTTCTGCTCTTACTCGCAACAGGAGAGATCGGGACCTGGGGTTGAGAGAGCGCGATATGCTCAGGGTGGCCGAGAGAGATGTAGAAAAGTGTCGAATGTGCATGGACACGGTGCCCTGGTCAGACCCAGTCTGGTCTGGGCTGGTTCGTAGTGGACGGGACGGGAAGTTTGGAAGGTCGAGGTCAGGTAGACCCAGGAAAAGAAGGTCGAGGTGGTGTGTCTAGTGATAGTCTAGTGATCCACCCCCCTTCTCAGCGGTTGTTCCAGGCCACTTCAGATTGGGTGGTGAGAGAAAAGGTCTGGTCCCTGTGGAGGGTACGTATAGCAGTTCTTTCACTCTCTCGGGTAGGGTAGGGTACCGTTAGTGTGGTGAGAGGTGTGAGCATACTGGCATGCATGTTCTTTGCTCTTAAAGGAGCACCAGCTGGTCAGTCAATCAAATCAACCAGTAAGTATCATTGTGCTTTCTTATTCCTCTCTGCTGTGTCGGGGATGGGAAACCAAAAATGCGGGATATCGTTAACAGCTACAATAGGATGGCATGCTGCCCATCCGCCGACAGTCGTGCCCGGAGCTAGATCGAAATAGCGCCGGCGCAGGTACAAGAACCGGCACCATACCAAGAGACTGTAGACGGACACACAACATTGGGATGCAGGTGAGAGGCACCTCGATCCCAGCAGGTGGGCTTCCAAGGACGGACCTTTACAGAGGCTGAGCAGAAAAAAAGCGTGAGCGAGCAGAAAAAAAAAAAAACGCCGCCGTAGCACCAAACCCGACAGCCACTTTTTGATCCAGGTGCACAGTATAGGCACCGACCGGGGGGCACCACAGGGCCTGGAACGAAGCTGGATGAGGGATCGGCGTGCCGGGTATCCTTGCCACTGGGCCATATGTAGCTGCTGCATAGCAAAGTCCCACGACTAAGGTGTCTTAATGCTAGCGTGCGGTGTAGCCCCCCGGGTCGCTGTATGCACATCGGGACGCTTCCTTTCCTTCGAGCCGAAACCTCGAGCCTTCGCTTAGCGCTCAGGTGGGGTATGGGAAGAAAAAAAAACTCCTTCTCTAGTTCACATCGTTGTCCATAATGAGTTTGTGTGCTTGTACTTGATGTTGCTGCCTTGAGGTGGTTGGCCCCCCCCGGCGTCAATTCCAGGACGATGACCGAGAGCATTTGTGTCTGTGTGTAACCTCCCAGGCACCAGGGCTGGCCGGCTGGGATGATGGGGATAGGGCGCATGTAATCAAAAAAAAAAAAAAAAAAAAAAAAAAATTCGAGTAGCCTCAACCATGACAGTTGAAGTGTGTGTTTGTGTATGTGTGTGTGTGTGTGTGTGTGTGTGTGTGTGTGTGTGTGTGTGTGTGTGTGTGTGTGTGTGTGTGTGTGTGTGTGTGTGTGTGTGGGTGTTGTGTGGGTGCTGTGTGTTCCGTGCCTGTCTATGTGTGTGTATGTATGAGTGTGCCTGTGTGTGTAACAGAGAAAGGCATGCTGTCGGCAGTCTCGGTAGGTATATTTCTTTTACTTGGCATGACACCAAGCTCAAAGACTAAGAGATGTAGAGTATCAGCAGAGAGTATAAGACAGAATAGTAAAACGAAGGGATGTATGTCCATCTCGAGGTATCCATCCGTAGTACAGGATCCTGATGGGGTTGGTAGGTGACGGAGAAGAAATGTCGAAGGGGACCCAGTAAGGTGGGGGTACTCACAACTCTCTGCCACGCAAGCCAACATCTCATGTAACAATGGTACATGACCTTATGTCCATCTCGCGTGTCTTGCGAACGGCCCCAAGCGCTCCCGGCCATGGAATACTCCAAAAATACACGTGATGGTCAAGGTCAAAAACGATGTCCACACAGCTCGAGAACCACAATTTCCGGGGGACAGCGGGTGTCACCAAGTGGCCTCGACTGGATGAAAGCCTGGAACGTCCCTGTACATTGTACCGCCCGATCCACCAAACCTTCGTCGTCCTGCTCAAGCTGTCCCCGCAATCCAAGGTGAAGAGACAGCATTATGAGCAGAAGAAGACGACACACGCCTGCCAATCTTGCCTGGGGGGTTTGAGGGTTTGAGGGTCGACGGGCAAGATGAAGTGGACGGGGTGGAGAGGTACCCAGGTGATGGTGGGCCGTGGATGTGAAAATCTTCCACCAGCGATAATCTAAAGGTGCAATCAAGGCCCGCTTCCCAAATGCCAAACTGATGTAAATGAAGATGAGCCTGGCAATGTCAGGGACATCGTTACGTGTGACTGAGATATCCCCTGAGCTGAAGGCTATGCATGATGGACAGCAGAACCAAATGCAACACTAGCTGAATGCCTGGCTGGCTGGCTGGCTGATTGGCTTGATTGCTATACCGCCAGAGAGTCCAAAAACGGCCCAGCACGATTTTGTTCCACATATGGGGTCGTTAGGCGACGCTGGTCGATTGCAACCTTCCTGTGCCGCAAAACTTCGCCTTGAGAGCCGCGTAGGTGGTAGCCCGTCTTCCCTGGCACAAAAGCGGTCGGCAATCTTTGGCCACCTTGCCATGTGCCTCTGAAAAACGTGTCCGCGCGCGCGTGCGTGTGTGTGTAGGTGAGTGTAAAAGGCGTGTGTGTGTGTACCATTAAATCGTAGGGCATCGTGCGTTCCTCAGTACGTGCGTCATGTGTCCTAACTTAGTGGACTTTCCAGGCAACTCTCACCGAGGAGAAAGTCAACGAGCCCAAGTAGAGGTGCCCGTACCGGACGGACAGTGTGAGTGGCACCCAATGTGATGGGATCCGTACCGGTGCTGGTCAATCGTGGTTGGTGCGGGCGCCCGCGCCCCTGACTTCCCTGCGCTGAACACTTCAGGCCATGCCGGAGTCGAGTCCGAAGTCTACCATGACCCGCGAACCTTTCCCTTCCTCCACTTCCCACCCCGTCTGAGGGTATCCCACTGACAGGTTTAACCTTGACACGACACATCTCGGACTGTGACATGATCCTCACCTAAGCAACTCAATATAGACAGACGTGGGCAACTAGCCGCTCCCTCGCGCTCCGCACGTTCAGTAGCTAAACCCTTCCCTGGAAACATTGCGAGCGCCTCAGGCTTAGGCTCTGTGCCGTGCCGTTCCCCGCGCGCTGGTAATGCTCAAGTTTCTGGCACCGGCTCGATGGGATTGGGAACTAGCGCTGGTGCGGTGCTGGTACGCCTCCTTCTGGCAGCATTGGTATCGTGCCTCCTCTCCAGTCTGGCTCCCCCCCAACCGCCAAGCCAAGCTTCCCTCATCCATTTTTTCTTTCAACAGCCTGCCGATCGCCAATTGTTCTCGTGCAGGGGCCCTCCCCCCAATCGCTGACCTGGTCCCCAATCGTCCCCCTTCTCCATCGGCAATTTCAACCCCCGTAGCGTGTCTGTAGTAAGACGGTGTGTGTTCCAGACAGATTCATCGTTTAAATCCAGTGTGCACTAGGTGCACAGGTGGGGGTGATGGGAAACTTTGATGCTTCCCCCCTAGCTTTCTCTAGTCAGCAGGTTGCGTGATGAACCGTTCACCTTGGAAGCTGTTGGCCGTCGACATTTGTGAGAAATCTCGATAGACAATAAGCACTTGTTTTCTGGTCACCCTTGGAGGAAGATGGATCATGCCGGTGCGTTTGGGTGTCGCAGATTCTAGACGCGAGAGCAACGCACGAATTGCTGTTCGCTTCGCAATCGCATGTTCCGTTCCCCCATTCATCCTATCCTTAGCGACGATCAAATTCTTGATCCACATCCATTCCTCACTCGTCTACCCGCCTCAGAACCCTTTCTTCGCGAGAATTCGAATCTCGTACACTTTCCCGAGGCCCAGATTTGCCCCGCGAAACAGGCTGTGCATGCATGCAGGTCCTCGATACTAATCTCGGCATCGCCTGTTTGTGTCTCTGGAAAGCTCTGGAAAGAGTGATTGAACGTTGGCGCGAGCCTAGGGCGGCCAGGACCCTGCGGCGCGAACCCAGGAATACCACTCAACTTGCCGCCGAAGCGGCCGCCGGTGGGATGGCGGAATGGCGGAATGGCTGAATGGGTACTTGGGATCTGGGGACGGGTTTCATTGTAAGTGTCCCAGGGGGGGTTGATGGAGGTATGTCGGCTCCGTGGATTACCAGCGAGTTGTTAAGTCAAAGATGGATAACCTGCCCGATCCGACCCAACAATCGAGATCCCACAAACTTTACGTTGCACCTTCGGCTCGGTACCATCAAATGTTGTCGCCAAATGTTATAAAAAAAGAAAGAAGAAAAAAGGACTCAATGGCAAAACAGCAGTGGTAGGCATACGTCTCGACCCAATTCAGGCGCTCTCTGTCCGCCATAGAGCTGGCCAACGGTTCCAAGACACGCCCCAGGCCAGTTCTGCTGTGCATTCCAGCCAGCCCAGTCCAATCTGTTCAGAGAACAGCAAGGTCTCTCGACCGAGACCAGGACTCCTGGCATCTAGGGCATGTTTCGGCGTTATCTCCAGTGAACAACAAATCCGGTGGAGCGGTGGTCGGATTTCAGGGACGTGTGCCGTTAACGAAAGAGACACCCCTGCCATGCACGAGGTTATGGGCTTTTGAAACCGGCCAGCACGACATCAGGTCGTAATAAAGTAAGTACACAGTACCCACGACGGTCCCCTCAGATTCAGTGTTGCGGCCCCATTTTGGGATCTGCCAGCGGAAATCTCGCTCGTCGGCTCCGAGTACTTTTCAGGTAGGTTCCCTGCAACCTTCCACGGAGTGCTACATAGGCCGCCCTTGGGCACTTTGGCTTCCTTGAGCTCCTCCGGTTCCTCAAAAGGCGACGGCGACGTCTGTTGAAAAAGAAAAAAAAAAAACAATAGAAAACGCGCCGACATCTCAATCCAAGACTCGGGACGAAATTCAAACGTCAAAACCTTGGACATGTCTTCGGTCCCGGCATCGGATTCGTTTACGGTAACGAAGTCATTGCAGGGCGCTAGGGAAATTCCATACTGCGGCTTCGGACCAATGGGCCTCGCGCAGAATGAGTGCATTGCGTCCTCATGTGCCCAGTCCGCAGGCGCGCCTAGACAAGAGGGAGGTTCCGCAAGTCGACTCGGCCGACTGGCTAGCGGCGGCTGCTGTGCAGGCCGGGGCATTTGGTACGACGGAAGAACGCGGACTGGGTGGCTAACAAAGCTGCCGATACTAGAAAATGTGGTGGCGGTTCAAGAAGGTTAAACCTGGTGGGTGTCAAAGGACGAGAGGCTCAGAAGAAGCCATCCCGCTTCTGTCGCATTCCCGCGAGCAGTTCATGTCGCTGCAGGAAGAGAAGAAGCATGTGCCAGCAATGGTGAACTTTATAAAACACAGCGAACGCGTTGAGTAGGTGAGCGAAGAATGGCCATGCTATCAAGGAGCAATGTATGCATATGCAGTAAGGGCGACCTCGCAGGTCCTGGGAGGGGACAGCAGTTCGTCGGTGGGAATACTGTGCCGCGGTGTTACTAGGTTTGATTTCGCGTCGTCAAGGCTCCCAGAAGAAAAGCTAGATGTCGTCACGATGGGTGCCACGTTCGGCTCAGACTAGCCGAGTCGAGGTAGTCCTTGTTTGCATCGATAGACTGGTGTGACTGGGTAGTTCTTTTGAGTTAGTGATGGTTGTCATTGTGTACATCAAGCACATTGGACGACGCCTCAGATGCTGGCCACACAGTAGCAGTGTCAGCTTCTACCGCGTGGTATGTGGTGTGTGGTGTGTGGTTTAAGTGTGGGCTAGTAGGAAAAGCAAGATTTGAGTTGTCGACCTTGACGAAGCCGCATGTCATCGAATCTGTCATGGAGGCCATCCTCCATTGCATTATGGCTGGGGCTCCTTGCCACCAACATGGGGTTGTCCCAAGGCCCAAGATTAGTTGTTTCTGCAGGCGTCGGTCCTTTTCAGGAGTGCCACCCTTCGGTTGATTCATTTTGCAGCCGGAACAGCTGACGAGGATTAGTAGCTCGGGGGCTCGATGATGCCCCTTGCAGGATGGAAGTTTCCCCAGGCGGGACCTGCAGGTGTAAAGTCGGGTATTTGGTGGCTTGAGTTTTTCTTTTGTGCCGTTCCCTTTGGTAGCTATGTTTTAAAGTATCTTGATCTTTCCGGTAGAGGTGTCTGTAAAGTTCAGAAAGCAGGGGTGTGCCTGTGGTTGAGAACACGGTAGATGTCGTCGTAGGTATACTTGAGGATCTTTACTTTGGAAGAATGGAGCATCGTCACGACCGACTTTACAGATTAGAAACGGATGAGGCGATGTCAAAGGTGAGAGAGAGAAAGAGGGTTCTTTGGCGAATGAGTATCTTCTTTCCTTCCAGGTCCAGTGGGTTACCTGTGGTAAAGTAAGATAAAGTTGGGAAAGTGCGAACCCCAGGTGCTCCTGCCGCTGGTGTCACTAGATTACACTATTACACTACGTGACTGCCATGTACGGAGTAAGGTACGTAGCACATCGCCCTACACCTGCTGTGTATATACACTATCACCACTATTTGCTTTCCACTAATAAGGTAGGCTGGGCCGCTGTGGAGGATCCAACTGCCGCATCGAGCTTAGCGTTACGGATGCCCCGAATGCATGGCGATTACAGAGCACACTCCGCCGGTCGTAGTGGATAAGTGTCCCGGGAATAATGGCCCCCAACAACGTTATGTCACTCTCCATTTGATGGGTAAAGAGCACGGTGGAGGTACCGTTTTCATACTAGGCTCACTCAGGAGATACTTGGGCCTTGCTTGCTGGCTTTCTTCTTAGTGTACATTATTTTCTTTCTTGCTTTTTTTTCCCCTTTCTTTCCAACCTGGTCTTGGAATCGATGGAATTGACTGGTAGATGGGAATTAAGACTTTCTGCCTCGCCTATTTTATCTCACCAGCACGCCCTTCTCAGATTGTCCCAATCATAAACATCTATGTATATATATACACGTATATAAATGTAACCTAAAAAGACACCAGTACAAGCATAAGCACAGGCTCAAGCGGAGGATCAGGCTCATGCTCAGGATCAGGCTCAGGCTTTGAGGCGGAGTTGCGCAATACACACACTTCCATGTGTATGTATGTGTGTGGCTTGGGATTCTATTTTCCCACCCAACCAAACTTCGTCGCCTTTACTCCGTATTTTCTCTTGGCCATATCTATCTGCCTGTCCTGCCGCTGAAGACATCCAAACAAGCGAATCGAATTGCGCCGCGGCTCGTTTCCCTTTTTTTATTTTTTTATTTTTATTTTCGCGTAGATTAAACCCGTATCGCAGCCTGTCTCAAAAAAAAAAAGAAAAAAAAAAAAAGGGATACATCGAGTAGATATTCCCGGCAGACAGGAAAACTTCCGTCTCCACACATTCGTACCCGACGAAACAAAACCTCTTGATGCCATGTCGGATGCTCATGTCTTTGATCTGTGGTTTGATTATACGGTGCAGGGTGAGCAGGCTCCTTGCCAGCTTTGCTTGTGAATAATACCCTTGAATTGGGACACTCCTCTTAAGCTGCTTTATCTTGGCGCGCACCAGGCCCAGACAACGACCCGTCGTCGCGACAGCCACACCCGCCGCCGCCTCCGTCGTTTCCTCCTCTCCCCCCTCCTCATCCGCCCCCGCCGCCTCCGTCCCAGGCCGATCATTCTCTGCTGCAAAACCCTCCCGTCGCCGAAATGTCGGTCGTCAACGCCAATAACGGCAAGCCGCAGGTTCGACCCTCGAGGAGCCCCGCGCCACCACGCGACGAGGAGACCGTCTCCAAGATCCCTCACATCCTCCCTCACGAGCGCGTCTTCCCCATCCAGATCGGTTCAGAGCTGTTCAAGCTGTCGGGCGCCTCCATTTCCTCTGATGGTACGTTCACAACATCCCTGTCGTCTTGGTCTAGGATCCGGACCGCAAGTGTCACCGCCGGAAGCACCAGCTTGTCCTTCAAATATAACCGGCTTCGTTGTTGACATAGTGGTATGCATGGCTAACTGATGGTCCTCTCACCACTTCAGCTCCGTCCTACTTCTCCCAGTACTTCTACTGCCAGGTCAAAAAGGCCCACGAGACAGGCGAGGACCTCTCCAGCGCCATCCGCACCCTCTACATCGATCGCGACCCCCAGACATTCGCCGACATCTCCCTTCACCTCCAGGGCTACCATGTGAAGCCGCGAGACGGGACGCACTTTGTGCGCCTCTTCGCCGATGCCCAGTTCTACAGTCGTACGTCCATCACTGCCACCAGCACCTCCTTCTCCTCCTCCAGCAAGCGCACACTAACACAACAAACACCCACACACAGTACCCAAGCTCATCTCCCAACTCTATGAGGAATCAATCTTTATCTCCATCGGCCACCGCGAGTTCCAGATCCCCCGCGACATCTTCACCGACCCGGGCAACTCCCCAAACTTCTTCTCCCTGGGCTTCGCCGTCTTCTTCTCCAACCCGGAAGACCTCTTCCCGGGCCTCGACCGCGAGGGCCTCCTACGTCCGCCCTCCATCCAGCCTCCCTCCGTTCCAAACCGCTCCGCCGACACCTTCGCCGAGATCCTCCACCTCCTCCGCGGCTACCCCGTCACCATCCGCAACGAGAGCCACCGCGCCGAGCTCCTCCGCGACTGCAGGTACTTCAACTTCAAGGGTCTCGAGCAGAAGCTCATCCCCCACAGCATAACCTACAACCAGTCCCGCCGCCGCGAGGAGATCGTCCTCCGCCTCGAGGACATCCTCAAGAGCGGCATCAGCGTCGCCGCCGACGTCGCCGCCGCCTCCTCCTCCTCCTCCTCCCCAGGCGACCACCTCGCCGGCTGGGTCAACTACGCCCGCCCCTTCGTCGACGACCGCGCCGCCGAGCTCGTCCTCGAGATCGGCGGCGAGAGCACCCGCCTGCACTTCCAACCCAACTCCTCCTCCGTCCGCGCCGAGTTCTTCCGCGACACCCGCGCCCGCGTCGCCCGCCTCTTCGAGGTCGTCGCAACCAAGCTCAACCTCCCACCCACCACCCAGCCACTGGGTCTGCTCATGGCCTCTGGCGGCGCAGGCAGCCAGCCCCCGACCCCGGGCAACACGCCGCTGAGCGAGGACCTCGTACGCGTCACCATCGACGCCGACACGTCCATCATCCTCGACGGCAAGCCCCACCACGCCTTGGACCCGGCAGCAGAAGACCCCCACTACGCGAACAACCCCGTATCCGCGGCCTCCAGCACCGGCCACGGCGGCGGTCTCGAGTCGCCTACCGCCGCCGCCGCCGCCGCCGGCGGCCTATCATCCGGCTTCCTACCCAACAACTCGCGCAAGCGCCGCCGCGTAGACTCGCTCGGCCACGGCGCCATCGGAAGTTACGCCGCCCTGGCCGCCGAGGAGTGGGTTGTCAAGACGGGCCAATGGCGGCTCAAGATCCAGGGTTCCCGCAGCGGCAAGAGCGCCGTCGAGTGCGTCCTCGTCGCCGTCAAGCTCGACGCCTACAGTTCCGAGACAGCGCGAAACGCCTCCAGGGGGTTTCTCAGCGGGTAGATTGGGATGGGCAGATATACACGCATATGCAAACGTGGCCACCACATCCGTTATTAATATTCTTCTATTTGTTAAACACCTAATTGTGGCTGGTATCTAGTGAAGTCTGTATAGCTGCCAAGGGAAAGCCAGCGAGAAAGGGGGTGGAACGGGGACACAAGCAAGCTATTGTATATGCCTGCACGACGTTACGACTTGAATATGCTTGTACATATATATACCACGGACCGGAGGGGGGAGGGAGAGAAAGCAGTCGGCGATGTATCAGACACATACGCAACCAACACAGCAAAAGGGAAGCTGGAGGGAGTCCCCTTTTTGTACGCTCAGGGCAATTTCGGACTGTTAATGTACTCGGGCGAAAGGTCATCGCCTGTATATATACATACATACACACCTCAAACTTGACCTGCTTTACTATCCCTGCTCTATCCTGATTCGTGACTTTGTCTAGGCGGTCTCTTTGTTTCGTCTCCTTCATTAAACCCCTCGCGAGAGGGTATACAATAGTAATACGATTGTCTAGTGTTACAGAAACTACAACGGAGCCAAACGTGGCGAACAAGGCGTACTAGAATAATCATATAAAGCAAAGTTGAATTACGCGTCGAGAGGGAAGAATTCCCCTCTTCTCTCTCGAAAAAAAAAAAGAGCCAAAAACAATAGTAAACCACCACTTTTTGTTCGTACAAGGGAACCAGAATAAACCACGAAAAACAAAACAACCAAGCCTCTCTGTATGCTTCTGAATACTTGGGGTGGGTAATCCAAACTCCTCATGATGAAAACGTAAAGGACTCCCCGCCGCCGCCGTCACCCCCCTTTCCATATCCGAGGTGGCAAAATAACAACGCCGTCATAATGCAGACAAGGGGCCGGCCGTGTGAGAGAAATATCCAGAAACACCAACTCCTTTTGAAAAAAAAGAAACACCTTAGAAACAAATGTCCCCGCGGGACCCTGGGGTAATCTTCCCACCCGAACGCCGTCGTGTCATGCGTGTCTGTTCATGTACTAGTAGACCAGCCCAGCGAGTCTCGCGTGATTCTCCAGAGCCGATTCTTCGCCGCGCCGCAAAATTCTGTCGCCCGGAAAAAGGGGCTGCCGGTGTTCGTTGCGACCCCGTCATCAGTCTTGTATGGCGCATCAGAAGCCACGCCAGGCCGACAGTTCTCTTTGCCGCCGTATGGTTCCGTAGCAGGCGCAGAGGGACTCTATGCCCTGGCCTTGGGAACCGGTTGGCCGGCGGGGGCGCTAACATCTCGCCGCTCTCCGGCGCCTTCAATCATCTTTCGCCTCGGCGTCGCAGTGCCCTGAGCGATAGACTTCGCACGACCGCGGCGCTCGCGAATGCGGGCCAGGGCCTCCTCACGGGTCATGGTCGGGGTCATAGCCGGGTTGTTGACATCGAAAGACATTTGAGACTCGCCCGAGGGTGTGCGGCCGCGCTCATACTTGGAGATCGGTCGTGGCTTATCGTCACGGACGGGTACCGTCGTTGTCGTCGTCTTCGTGTAGAAGGCTGCGGCGGTGTGTGGGCGAACGGTGTCGCCAGCAGTAGGGGATGGACTTCTGGATGCGCGGGATTCGGGGCGTGCGGGAGTGTCGGGCATCGTGGGGATGGATGGCAGAGGAGCGGTGTGGACTTCGCCGTCACCACCGCCGTGGGGGGCGTTCAGGAGTGAAGCCAGTGACATGCGCTCCTGGGCAAGAACAGCAAAGGCGGGGGGGTCGAGAGAAGGGGTGCGAGAGAACCTCAGAGGAGCCTCAACAGGCGTGGGAGGCTCATTCGGCGAGGGCTCACTGTCGTCCAGCGCCTGCATCTCCTTTTCCCTCTGAGCCTCGATTTCGTCAGCTTCCTGCTGCGAAACAGTGCGGAAGATACCCTCACGAGGGCAGAAGATGGTGCTTTGCCTCTCCTCCTTTGATCTTCTGTAGGCTCCAGACTTCTTGACAACATCACCTTCGCCAGGAGGCGTCTGGGACGCCCTCAAAGACGCCCTGCGATCCGGAAACGAGTCCCGTCCTTCACCGAGAATTACCAAATCACTGGCATCGGCGATTTCAGCCGGGGGCATGAGTCTTCTGCGTGGCGACAGGATGCTTGGCCTGTTGGAGGCCATGCTCTGTCTAGGTGATGAGGACATACTTTTTCTCTTGAGGGACTTGGCACAGGCGCAGCATCGCAGCTCGCACTCAGCCCTCATGAAATCCACCATCTCGTAGGCGCGGTCGGCGCGTTGTCGCTCCCAGGAGACCTGCATGCTCAGCTCCTCAATCTCCTCCTCGCCGGCGGCAGATGAAACAATGTCCACGGTCGAGAGCGAGAAGCGAGGTCTCTTCCTTGGTGACGCAAACTCGTCGTCGACCATTGCGTCATTCTTTGGTAGGGGAATACGGCCCTCGGCGGCGATGCGAGCGACCTCTTCCTCCTTAGCCAAAGTCTTGAAGGCATCACGCTCTTGCTCGAGCAGCTTAATGCGCTCGAGAGCTTCGGTTAGCTGCTCTTCCATGCTCACCATCTGGTAGCGGGCTTGGAATGCCTCCTCCTCTCTCGCCTGGGAGCGCAGCTTCTCGGCGTCCAGGTTGTCGGAAGCGGCACGCCAGCCGTCGCGGGCGGACTTGAGCTCTTCTTGAAGTTTGATAATGGTTGACTCGTTTTTGAAAGTCTTCTTACGCGCCAGCTTAATCTCCTTTTCCCAGGCGGCTTTTGTGTGTGAATATGTCTCCTTTGCGCGACCGTACTGCTCCTGTGGCGGTTGTTAGAAGACGTCATCAGCTTTACTCGAGACAGGGCGGCTCACCATGACGGTCTCTAATCGCTCGCTCACGCGCTGTTCTCTCTCCTTGCCCTTTTCGAGCTGGACGCGAAGCACTTTGCACTCGTCACGGTAGCGACGGGCCTCGGTCTCTGCTTCCTCGCGACCGAGCATGGCGCGCTTAAGGGCGGCATCGGCGGTCTTGCGCTCAAGGGTCTTCGACTGCATGGCGAGGGAGTTGAACTGGGAGATCTTGTCGTGGACGGAACTCTCGCGGCCCTCGCTGCCGCGCGGGGATGGGAAAAGATTCCTGGCATCACGTTTCTGGTTCGCGCGATCTGGGGTTATTGGGTTAAGGGGTCCGCTCGGCGATGGCGAGGGTGGTGTCTCGGCGCTGTCGGCCATTGTATGTGTGGATTGAGGGTGTTTGCTGTAGCTATAGAGAAAAGTGCCTCATGCAGGTCATGTGTGGATGATGTTGGAAAATGCTGCTAACGCCTGCTCGGGGGCGGGTGTGATGCGAAGACGAGTCTCACAAGTCGCAGTGCCGATGATGATAGTGATGGCAATAGTGTTGAGCTGGAGAGGCGTTTCTTGATGGAGGTGGTATCAGTAGGCCAGGTAAGATAGGCCGGGTAGGTAGGGTATCTATCGCCCGGGTTCCTGGGTGGGAGGCAGTGGATGGGGTGTTTACAGGTGCTGCGGGCGGGTTGACTGGGTGACGTGGAACCGATGCCCTAGCGAAATGGCTTTCGTCTTGAAATGGAATCGGGCGTGAAGAATGATCTAACCAGCCCCACTTTGGGGAGAAAAGCCGTTGACCCAGAAAAAAATGCACTTTAGTGTTGTTCTGAGCTGCTTAATGGGGTAAGCGGCAATTCCACATAGCGATAGCCCCGTTAATCCGGACAGTTCGAGTACCTACTAAGTAGAAAGCTCTGAAGGCTTAGCTAAGAATACCCAAATGCTTTGTAAACCACATCCTATTTATTATTCAAAGCAGGATATCACCAGTAGAGGCATAACAAGATATGAGCTTCAAGTAAATAGATGCATACAACAGCAAGAAAAAAAAAAAAACTAGGGGACGTATTCCGCATTAAATGAGTTTCTTTTGTGAGAAATGGCACAGGCATGAGACTGCTGCTGACGCATGTCTGACGAAGTTTCTACCTGTTGCATCTGAAGATTCCCAACTCGCATTGTGTCGGGTGCAGAGTGGGCAGCTCTGCCGACCAGGGGCAAAGCTTCTGGAAGCTTATGTCATCCATGGCCTCCAAGCTACCCTCCCTAGTGCCTACTATTTACTGCGTGGTGCATACTCCTCAGGGGAGGGGACCTCGCTAGTCCACTGTAGCATCCCTCTGGCACCACGGCATACGGCAGACGGCCCACGGCCAACGGCTTTTGCAAGCAGCGACCGCCGGTGGGTGCACTCTATTCGTAACCTGCAGCTCCAAGGTACCCTCCTGCACTCCCCATAAACCACTGAAGGACCCCTCTAAAAGACCCAGAAAGGGGATATCCTTCGGATGGCTTGGATCCGCCGCGACCTATCAGACGCCGTCTAAAAGTCACCTTTTGCGCATTTGCTTCGCTCTCGGCATCCACCTTCATATCACGTCGACAATTACGGACATATACCACCACAGGGAACCTGTTTGACGGGCAGGCGGGCTGCAGCTGCTACAGTAGTGTACCCGTCTTCCGTCGGCATATCCATTGCCTTTCTTTTTCTTTTTTTCCCTTTTTTATTTGCCATTCTTAGAACCGTGTCCGTTGCATCCGTCAGTCAGGCCACCTAAGACATAACTGACAGACCGGGGTGTGTGTGTGACGCTATCTTTAGCACAGAGCTCTCCATCCGTATTGCTCCAAAGTAAAAGTCTCGAGACCAGTCAGGAGCTTCACAATTTTGCTTTCCTTCAAGTCACACTACCACAACCACCACCCCCCCTTTTTTTTTATATTTGGCAACAGCAGACCGACAACATGGCAGACGACAAGGTGCGGCAGCGCAACCTGAAGCAGGCCGTCGAGGATGAGGACAACCTCTTCGCCGGAACGCCGGCCGAGCATTCGAGGGGAGTCGTGGAGGGGTCAACCAAGAAGAAGAGCAAGAAGTCCAAGAAGGCCAAGCAGGAAATGGACGAGTACAGCCCCTGGCTCGACGTCCTGCGTCTCCTGAGCTTCCTGGCCCTCGCCTCGTGCGCCCTGAGTTACCTCATCAGCAACGGCGAGAGCTTCTTCTGGGGTTTCCAGAACAAGCCCTGGTACCTCAAGGCAGACTACTGGAAGTCCAAGTTTGTAAGTAACCCGTTGCCCTATGCGGCAATTGGCAAGAGTAAAGCTGACACAAACTTTTCTTCTCCGGCACAGAACGGCCCCATCGAGCTCACGCCCGAAGAGCTCCTCAAATACGACGGCTCCGACCCCACGAAACCAATCTACCTCGCCATCAACCACACCATCTTTGACGTGTCGGCGAACCCGCGCATCTACGGCCCCGGCGGCTCCTACAACGTCTTCGCGGGCCACGACGCCGCGCGCGGCTTCGTGACGGGCTGCTTCCTCGAGGACCGCACCCCCGACATGCGCGGCGTCGAGGAGATGTTCCTACCCCTCGACGACCCCGAGATCGACCGCCACTGGTCCTACGCCGATATGAAGAAGCTGCAAGAGGAGGAGCTCGCCGAGGCCCACCGCCGCGTCCACCAGGCCCTCAAGCACTGGGTTGACTTCTTCAGCAAGAGCGACAAGTACCTCACCGTCGGCCGCGTCAAGAGGGAGCCTGACTGGTTGGAGAAGACCAAGAAGCGGAAGCTGTGCGACCAGGCGGCGCAGGGCAGAGTCAAGAGGAAGATTCCCGGACAGGAGGAGGAGAAATAAAAGATGGGGTAGGGTTGTTTGTAGGTTCAAATGAATATATTGTGTTCTTCTTTCATGTATAAAGTATGTCTGAACCCCGACCAAAATGATTGTGATAAGTGAGAAATGGAATGTGTACCATGATTTGAGAGTTATTGTTAACATCCTAGAGCACCAATTTGGAGAACGGAATGCCCCCAACTGGTTTCTACATGCCATGAAACATCACTCTCATTTCAGTACAAAAGTCAAAAAGTCACCAGAGGAAAGAAAACATTCAAAATACCAGAATCAAGAAACTCGATTTAGATGCAATAGCAGAGCATGCAAGTCACGCCGTTACCCGACGTGGAACCATATACACAGGAAAAAGTCCCCAGGTCTAGTTTTGGTTTTTCTTTTCAGTCGGTCCTCCCACCCGACCCGACCACTTCATCCCCCGTTCGAAGCCAATCCAGCTGATTCCCCTTTGTTTTCCCTTTTCGGGGATGCAGCGGTATGTATGAGAAAAGTCTGCCACCCAGAGATGATAAAAAAAAAAAAGACAAAATAAGAATGCATGGTATTAAGATCATCATCACAAAAAATGTTTACACCGGTAACCAGAACCGACTCCTGGCCCTTCGTATCCTACTATATCCACACTAACCCCCCCTTGTGCTGTAATAACATAACATCAAGGGATGGCAGCCGCCGACGGTACCGCTCCTTACATGAGCATGAAGGTGGCACCGAGGGCGAGGAGGAGGGTGCCGGGGGCGCTGAGAGAGACGGCGCCGGCGGTGGGAGGGGAGGACGGGGTAGCACCACCAGCACCGCCGCCGCCGTTGTTGGAGCCACCACCGTTGTTGGAGCCGCCGCCAGCGCCACCAGTGGGGGAAGCAGAGCCGCCACCGTTGCCGCCGCCGGCACCACCGCCGGGAATCTGGGCCTGGGGAACAGTCTTCGCGGCCTTGGCGTAGTTTGCGAGAGAGCGAGTGGCGTTGGCACTGGTGCTGTTAGGAGAAGATTATGGTTAGCTTTTTGCTTTCTCATCATTTACATGGTTGTGTGTCCATGCATCATCGCCCCCCCTCCGTGTCATCGTCCGAAGGATGAAACGTGGAGTCCACGTCACACCTAACCACGGGAAAGGGTGCGATCGGACGTTGACGCGTGCGGCAAAATGAGGGGGGTGGTGAAGCTCTGGGTGACAGGTTGAGGCGAAACTCACTTCTCGTTAATGACCATCACCATGCCGTTCTGGCAATGCTTGCCTTGAGAGCAATACAACCACATGGGGGCGGTGCTGTTGACCTGGATCGTGAAAACGGGAATCTGGCCCTTGGAGGAGGAGGCTTGGACGGGCTGGTAGCCGGAGTAGACGCCCTTGGCGGAGACGTTGACGTTGGAAATGGGAACGCAAGGGTTGTCAAAGGTGGACTGGACAACAGAGTGGTTGCCGCCGCGGAACTGGAACTGAACCATCGAGCCGACGGGGGCGTTAATCTTGTCTGGGAAGAACTTGAGAGTGTTGTTGGTCGAGGCGACGGAGACGACCTGGACGTCGACGGCTAAATTCGGTGTGTTAGTCTTGTAGCTCTCGATTCATCGTTTTCAACGCGTTGTTAACTTACCCTGAGCGACGGCAGCAAGGGCCGAGACAACCATGGCTGAGATATGCATCTTGATCGAGTTTTTTTTGATTTGATGAAGAAACCGGTAAAAAAAGGGAAATGTGTCGTAATAGACTTGTCGGAGAGAATCCTCCCAGAGAGCGACTACTAAAAAGTTGAAATAGAGTGAAAAGCGACTTGCGCTTGATAGGACTAGCCTCTGAAGAAGATGATCAAAGAGAATTAAACGCAAGTGAAGAAAGAAAAAGAAATCCCCGAAGAGTACGAATGGTAAGAAAGAAAATTCTTTTATTGACGCTCAAGAAAGGAACGGGAAGAAGGGGGTTTAAGTGGGAAAGGCATGAATTTAAGCAGGCTTCGGGATCGTCCCAAGACTTTTGCGAGGTGCCAGAAACTCAGACCCTTGCTCAGGCGGGCGTCGTTGCATCTGAAAAATCGACCAGGCGTCGACATCAGAGTCGACAGGGGGATTAGGGCGACAAGGCGGGTGAGAGAAGGGGTTGTGGTTGAGGACGTCGAGGCAAGCGACAAGGGCCCCCATCTAGATGCTTGGTGTTGCAGGGGTGACAGCCCGGATGGGCGTGGGTGAAGGGGCGAAGAGGCTGATGGTGCGTGGTTGAAACACGTTTTGACCATCACAGCCGGGGGGTGGCAATGGGTGTAAGAGCCTACCCGACAAAGTACTCTACAGGCTGTCAGGTGCGGGAGAGGGTACAACTATACTTTTTTTCCGGTCGGGATTTTGAGCGATTGAAGAAGCGCCATGCCATGGAATTGGGGGGAATCCGCAGGACAATGGAAAAACACATTAGAACCTGGCCTTGCAGGAGATTTGCCTGTATGCCTGTATGCCTGCGTGGCTGCTTGGCCCTGTGCCCTGTTCATACTCAGACTCTGCCTACACATGCTGTACTATGTAGACGTCGGTGGATTTTTCCTCCTTTTTCCCTCCTTGGCTATGCGGGCCAACCGGACTATCAACCTTGAAAAATAGGCTCTCCCTCTCTCTCTTTCTTTGGAAAGCGCCGTGTAGGGAGCCCTTGTCTCCGACGCCTGTCAGAATATGGAGAATTGGGAGGCGGATGTTCCGAGCCCAGGGAAGACGGATACAGCAAAGAGTGACAAGAAGAAAGAGAACGGTGAGGGAGAGAGCCGTGGTAACCGAACCTACCACTCTATTACTGGAAAGAAATGAAGGATCTGGATAAGCCGATCCGAGGAGTTGCCGCTGGGCCGGGAATGAGAGACAGACAGACAGCCTGGGCCTAATTAAAGATTCACCTATAGACTGACGCGCGGCAGGTCAACGTCAACTAATGATGACGGGCAAAAACAAGGCTGTAAAACCTAAGAGCGATAAATGGCTTTGTGACAGGAGCAGTCATACCGCCCGGCGCTGTAGAAAGTAACAGTGCTCTTCCTGTCATGACACCGAAATGCAGTGTCGCGCACAGCCAGCCCGCACCCTCCAACGGGCGACATGGACTTTGGATCAGACCGTCTTGACAGACACAAGTAAAGAACGGCGTCAAAGAGCCGTCAGTCATGATAGGTGATGGGACGGTCGTAGCGTCCCAGAGACTGTAACGATGGTTCGTCCGCCTCACGCCTCGCGGGAGAGGCAAATCATCCCAAAAATCAGTCCGCGGAGGTTGGAGGAGTCAGACGTTTGCGCAGACACACGACACGAGCCTGCCACACCTGCCATCACAAAAACTAATATTGTTACGCGAGACACAAAAGGTGAAGCAGCGGTCCGTTTTTCGGCTGATGATCGTTGTCGTATACGGATCCTCGAACGAACCCCCCCTCCTGGGCCGGTGGTTGTGGTGACCTACAACGGAGACCAAGACACCACCACACAGATACGGGGGCCCCTTCGTAAACAGAGCGGGAAAGAGACCCCCAAAAAAAATCATAAAGACTGCAGTGAAAAACTGACATAAAATACATCAAAATTAAAATTAAAATAAAATAAATAAAAATACGAAAGCGAGACTGAAAATGGCATTCATCGCACACAATTAGAGAGGAAAGAAAGGCTAGAAAGCCAGAATGAGCCTCGAAGAAGACAGTTGAGACTAGCAAAAAAAAGATAGCGCGTGTCACCCAAGTCGGACGACGTCGAAGCCGAAATAAGGTTTAGGCCCGCACAGCCCGCCTAGCGAACCAGGGGCCAGTAACGTGTCTCCACTCTTCCTCTTTTTACTATTAGTATTCAACCCCAAAGAGGCTGGCGCTCGGATGTGCTTCACCTTCCGTCACGTTTCTGACACTTCCGCGACAAGCCCTGTTTCAGCCCGGGGGGACGCTCCTTCCTCTTCAACCACCGGCCTTCTTTCCTTCGTCAATGACTGTGACTGCCGTGACTTAGTAGTACATCTTCCTCCTTTCTCAACCAAATTCTGAACCCAGCCATAACCACACCAGCACCCAGAACCCAATATCCACGCTTCCCCCTGCCGCCTTGGTCCGTTCTGTCGTCCAGCCAGCCTCAACATCCCTGTCGTCGGCCTGTCGTCTGTCCTCTGGCCCCCCGTTGTCATTGGACGTCTGCCATGCCATCTCCGCCTGGGGACTCAAGAAAAATTGTCCGACGATACATTAACTGGCCCCCAAGAATCGCCAAACCACCCATCCATGTCCCTGTCTCCATGTTCTTGGATCCTTGACCACTGCGTTACGTCGCGTTGCTTGTCGTTGCTTGTCTGCTTCGTCCTGTCAGTGGCATCCCAACCAGCTAGGCCAGTCACACCAGTCAGCCGACCAGATCAGCCAATCCATTCTTGCCTCTCTTTCTTGCTCGTCCCCCGACTCGCCTACACAGCTAAGACGTCGTCATCGTACCCTCGTCTGCCGCAGAAATGGCCGTTCCTCGTGGCGTATTGGCGTCTGATGTCGTCCCCTTCTTGTGTCCACCTGCCCGGCCAACAACCACTCCCATTCGTGAGGAAACGGAAGGCATTCCTTGTCTCTTGACACAGGCTTACAGGGTCCTATGGGCAGCCCTTTTCCCTGGTTAAATGCCAGCCGCATCTGGAACAGGACGCTGTGGATTCATTGGATTACCTTGACCGACACACGATTCGCTTCCCGAGATCTGGCATCAGTTGGTATCCACATCACCACCCAACTTGCTTGCCCATTCAAGATCGCCTGCCCATGCCTCTTTGGAAAGCGGAGATTCTCTAACTCGTTTGCCTTGTGACTCTGCACCGCTCAACGTCCTTCCCATCGCGTTCCGCGGGCCTCGGCCGTTACATCTCCCAGAAGAAACAGGGATCCGCGGGTAGATGGCACATGTACACATTTTACTCCTCCCCCACTGAATAGTTCTCCCAGTTGCCATTCTATTTTCTGCGTGCATCTCTCTGTCACCTCGGGCTTCTACCACGCAAGTGTTAACCGCCCTGCTGATATTGGCCAGACTCTCGTCAGCCCGTCGCCCAGCCGCCGACCAAAATGTTTCACCCTCTTGCTCCCCTCAGGAGAATCAAGATATAGTATGAATCCGCTTCAGTCGAAACAAAACGTGCCGGTCCTTCAATATTACTACTCCCGACTCACTTCTCTGACCATAACAGCAACAGAAGGTCCAAAAATTGACTAACCACAGTGCAAGTATCCGTTTCTTTTTCGGTGAGTTTATTGAGTTACAGACTGGACTCACCCTCAAGCAGTAGCAGCTTGTCTTCAGAAACCCCTGTCTCCGTTTTAACTGAACTTCTCTGGTACCATCCAATGTTTCCGCCCGAGGTTCCTAACATATTACCTACATGAAAAGCGCTCACAGACCACGACCGTTCCTGCTACCTTGGATCTCGGTCAACCCCGCGTGCCAATCACCCATCACCATCTTCCTTTTCACGTGTAAGGTGTTCCTGGGCAAATAAGCCAAAGCAGGGCTGCCCATATCGTAAACACCACGACGTCAATACCTTGGCTTCAGTGCAGGTTGCCAAACTTTTCTCTCGCAAGCCTCTCTCATCGAACTCATGCTGACTGACGTTCGAATCTCCGCGGCTATTATTGGAGAAAGCGTATCACGACTTCAGATGGGCTGACTCTAACCTCCCAACACCCTCGACTCAAGCGCCAAAGCCAAGCCAAACCAAGCCAAGCCAGAATCTATCCGACTTAGTTAGTTGGAGTCTCTCTACAGCGTTATAGCCATTGGCTACGACACTGCTTGGCGAACTCAGTGGAGTTTGGATTAGCAACGTTTTTGAACGTTTGTCCTCCGGTCTAGACTAAGCCATGTCTGATGACTGCCAGAGTTTATTCGCTAGTGCCAAGCGTCTCGGGAATCAGCCGAGAGTGTTTCTGCTCGTACGGCACATCTTCATGTTCTTGGTCACACGGCTGGGCAAAGACGATAGGAAGATAGGTTCGCTGGCAAACGGTCGAAATCTAGGAAACTCATCCAGCGCAAAATGCATCACCTTACTAACTCTAATGTTGCCTGATCACAGTGAAAAGCTTCAAACAGGAATGGGCATTTACTGTCAGTGCGCTGTTGCAAATTAAAACCAGTTTTTGCCGTTTCCAGCAATACTACCGAGTTGCAGATGGGACTTTTCTCCGTTAAAGTGATTGCAAGGAAAGGGACAGGAGGAGAAGCACTCCTAGTATCCTGAACTTTGCTTTGAACTTACCCGAGCACGATATGTGAATCTGCAGCCTCTTTAGGGGTAAGCTACAAGCAATTCCATGCTTCAAGTTGATAGCAACCTCGCGATTCTGAGCAAATGCATGCATAGGGAAAAGTAGAAAGGAATGTTCCCAAGGATATGGTTAAGCTTGACAAAAGGTTGTCTTTGGACATGGTTTGCGTTGCACCATACCTAATACAACTTACGGTGTTGGAGAGTCAAGTAAACACACAACCGCACCTGCGGCCGCAAAATATAGTGGGCTTTAACACAAACGATCCTTGCAGATGCTATCACGGCAACAACTAATACAGACACGACAGAATGGCGAAGCAGATCTGGAGCATCCGCCATTACCGAGTTCATGACAGCTTTCCGTCCTCTCGACTTCAGTGCATTTTGTCTGCCATCCGACTAATGTCGCGAAATGTCGTGTTCGCCAACGTACCGAACAAGACCTCCAGCGCTGATACTTCAACAACGAGCCCACATTCATTATGAAATATAACGATGCAATGATGCCAAAGCTTACACCGGCAAAACTTGCTGGTGTGAATAAATGCGCTGGGCTTAACTTGGCCTTTTCCAGACGTCTATATAACTGATGTAAAACCTTCAGCAAGTCACGATTTCAGGCGAAACGAGATGGCAGAATCAAGTAACCACACCAGAACGAGTTGGGGAGCACTGCCTGCCCAACCCAACTCTGCCCAACGCGCATGTGCATCAGCGAAACTGTGCCGTTCCCCACGGTGAGGCTCTTTGCGTCTGGCGGGACTCGGGACGAAACGCCAACGCTGACATCGGGGAATTCATGAGCGTTGTGGACCGTAGCTATGCGGAGCAGAAACACCGGAGAAACTCGATGGCTTGATCGACAATTGTCTCATACTCATAAATTTTTTTTCCCTCTTTCCTCTCTACGGCATGATATTTCGTTTGTTTAACAGGAGCGTTTGATTCAATAAGTCATCTCCCGCTTTGACTTTCGCCTTGCTCAACACATGAATCGGCAGTCTTGGCCCGTGGAGTTCATGCGCGGGGGAATGATTCGTCCGCCGGCCTACTCGCCGGACTCAGAATCGCCGAGTCACGTATTCTGGGCCGCGGATGCTAGAACGCGGATGCCAGGCTCTGCGACATCGGCTAACGAGCGCTTCTTGGAAATGGAACCGCTCAAGTCTGTCGTGATTGTCGAACTTTTTTTTTCCAAGGCCACACAGTAGGAAGCAGGGATTCCGAGTGAGACACGTTTGTCACTGTGAATTAATATGCCTGTCTTGCATATATCATATCAGATGTTGTTCAGATACCAGAAATTGTCTATAATGTTATACTTCTGACGACTAAGGGTTAAGTGTATCTGGCTGGCCTCTCTGTGTCATTACTGCATTACGCATTTTTGACAGGACATATACGGACATAAGCCTGCGACGTAATCATCCATAATGCCTTGCGAACATGGCCTCTGTTGAGTTTTGTTGACAGCCACTGACGTAAAGAGCCGTCTTCTCATCTTGTTCGCGTCCAAACTTGGCGTTCTTCTCACTAGAGTCATGATGTAGGACCGATACATTCCCATCGTGAGAGAGAATACGGGAGACGAGAACCACAGCCGCAAGAGCCGGCGGGTCACGACAACCCCTGACGCGTCAACACGAATCGAGGTACACGAGTTCCTCATCAGTTTTCGAGTCAAGTTCATAGACTTTGACAGTCGGCTTTTCTGCATGTCTGCAGACAAAACCCCCATTCTCCGGGCCTAATTTACTATACCTCATACCCACAGGGTGAGGACACGGCGACTCTTGAATACCTTTTTGTGCTGCAGATTCAGCGGACAGCAGCGGGCGAGAATGACTTGGGTCGTTGTAAGTTTGGGTGAGCGTCGCAGTTTACTCTCGCAACGGGCCCCTCGTTCATTCGATGATCCAGGAGTCAGCGTCGTTTTTGGAGCAAACTGGGAATTAAACACTGATGACTTCCTCTGAGATCATGCGCCGGACAGAGGAATGCAGCACCGATGCTTGACTAGATGGGACAAGAAGCAGTCTGTTGGTTGCTTGAACTCTGAAATCTGTTAAGGTATAACCAGTCAACATGTTGGCACAAATTGAAACCCCTCTATCATGTCACGCCCCACTTCATGTATGATATCGGTAAGCTATTTTAGCTTTAGTTTGTTGTATTCTATCCTCCAGGTTGTACTGCATCCCAGTAGCAAGGCTGCCTCGGCTGAATTAATGAGGAAAAGACCAACCGTAGCTGAAGGTCTTTTTTTTTTTCGGGGCCGAAAAGTACCCAGCAAGCCGGCATTAAGAAATGGGCTTGGGAACATGCGCGTCCTAATGGTGACTGTATTTCTGCCTCGAATTGCTTTGATGTCTGAACCTTTGCATGCTTAAACTACCGCCGCCCACTTTCGTCAAGCAATCATAGGCGCCGCAACGGCATAGACAGAGATAAACGGTGCGACAACACCCAAGGAGACCAAGGGGGTACTTAAACTTCATCATAGAAATACGCAGAACGGAGACAACGAAACGACACAGACAGCAGAACACCTCAGAGGACTATGCTTGTATTCATGTCCATCCATCTTGCAAACATGAAAAGGGTATCGTATCAACTCATAAAATCATAACTTCCACCGCACCTCAAAAGTCCATCAAAAGCTGCGGTGCAATCTTCTCCAGATCCTCAACCTACTCGCCAGTTAGCATCCTAACCCCAGAAACAACTCCAACTGCGGACGAATGTAAAAAAAAAAACCAAACTCACCTCGAGGAATCCGCCAGGTCTCTCATGCACGCACCTCGCAATGGCCTCCCTGACAAACACATCCATGTACTTCCCTGCCGCAGCATTCGCGTCCTTGCTCAGCCTCGTGTCGTCCTTCTCAAAGAACTCGTGCAGCAGCCGCGTGAGCAGCTCCGGCGGGATCGTGTTCTCGGGCCCTTCTTCTGCCTCCTCCTCCTCTTCTACTTCCTCCTCCTCGCCTTCCGCAGGCTCGTCTCGTTGGGGAGGCACATCGCTGTCGGATAACTCAAATGGACCGGATTTCCTCTTCGCCGGCTGCTGCGTGGTCTTACGCTTCGTGCTTGCGGCTGGTTGCGTGGGCTTGGAGGAACGGCCGCGCTTGGCGGGCTGTGCCGGTGCCTTTGGCATGTTTGCGCTTGGATACGGGTAGGAGTGGCGAGACGCAAGTGTATGTATCGTGGTAATAGTACAACTGGATGCCCAGGTATCTTTAACGTTCGGGGGTTTTGCCGATGATTTTAGAACGCGTCGCGTCGGCCAGGCAGACAGGTATGGGAGTTATGGGCTGAGGAAAATCGGGCCCGAAGTAGTTTTCAACGAGAGGATGTCGGCCAAGTGGTTAAGTCAGGTGTCAGTCCAGGATGCTGATGCAGAAAGGTCTGAGATCAGATCTGACTTATGATCAGGCGATGGAGGCGGGGAGCATGTGGGGGAAGGTAAGGGAAGCTTCAAGCGAGACGCGACTGCGGAGTGCAGACGCGGCGGTTATGGACGCTAGAGCCATTGGCCAATCAAAGAATTACAGCGTCAAAGCTTCAAAATTTTCGCAAGGCTGCACCATAGCTCTTTGGGTTTATGGTAATTCCAACGTCACGAGACATCACATTTGCACATTAACAAACAAGTTCAGACACAGTAACAAGAAAATCTTCCCATTCTACCACGAAAGGGGTCTATCGAGTGTCATGCAATACCAAGGAAAATAACCACCAGGCAGTCAAGTCCGGCGGAGAAGGGGTTGCGTGAAGGTATGCAATCGGGAATTGCTTTAGTGTACAAATTACAGTGGATTAGGTAGCAAGCAAAGCTCTTCAGGTCGTGGGTAAAGAGAACGCCTTGCCGGATGCCAGTCTAAACCACGAAGGACCGGCAGATCCAGACAGTCTTCCATTTGTCCGAATCAAAAAGTCCCTCCGCAACTTCCATTTCACCCCTTTTGTCAACCGATTCCTTATCGGATCCCAGCAGGGACGAATCCCTACATCCCGGGTTTTTGCCAACTGCCAACCCGCCCCCAAAAGATGTGTTTATACACGGAAGGTGTCTAGCATTTAGCCAGAGCCACCCTTGAAGGCCTTGCCGAAGAGGAGGACCTGGAGCTGGTCGTAGATGGACAGGACACCAGCACCGGCGACACCACGGAGAATGTTGGCACCAGCACCCTTGAAGAGAGACTTGACACCCTCCTTGGCAACGATCTGGCGACCAGCATCGAAGGTACCCTTGTACTTGACGGCCTCACCAGAGGTCATCATCATGCGACGACGGATGGTGTCAAGAGGGTAAGAGGCGATACCGGCACCGGTGGTGACGCACCAACCGAGAGCGAAAGAGGCAAGGAAGTTGTTGGCGAGGGAACCGACGAGGACGACAGGCTTGATAGAGTCGTACATGCCGAAGTACAGACCACGGTAGACGACGATACCAGCAACGGAGGGCATGAAACCACGGTAGAGACCGGCAATACCGTCAGTGGCGAGGGTCTTGCGGTAGACGTCAACGAGACCGTTGAACTGGCGCTCACCACCCTTCTTGGCGTTCTTGGCGTCGTTGGCCAGACGGGTACGGGCGTAGTCGAGGGAGTAGACGAAGAGCAGGGAAGTGGCACCAGCGGCACCACCGGAGGCCAGGTTACCAGCCATCCACCACCAGTAGCCGTCACGGTCCTTCTTGAAACCGAACATCTTCTTGAACTTGTCACGGAAGGCAAAGTTCAGGGCCTGGGTGGGGAAGTAACGGATGACGTTGGCGGTGTTACCACGCCACAGGGACATGACACCCTCGTCAGCGGCGGTACGCTTGAAGCAGTCGACGATACCGTCGTACTTGCGGTCGAGACGACCCTGCTTAAGCATCTCATCCTATTGGGGTGGTTAGCAACCGTTATTCAAAAGTGAAATGTGACTGTGTACAGGGGCCCAAGGGTCACGTGTCAATAGCAATTGACACTTACCGGGCTTACCCGGCTGAACCTTGGCTGGCCAACTGTCAACATCACTGATGTGGTTTTTTACTAACCTGGTTCTGGATGAGGAGCTTGACACGCTCGATGGGGGCGGCAGCAGTCTTGGAGACAGCGGCAGAGACACCTCCCACTATAGAAGCTGTTAGTATCTGTCCAATATCATGTATCACGCACTTTCTATCCAGCTCGCCGAGATCGGGAAACTGAATGAGAGGGCGTATCGATGTCGTTATTCATAGTACGTACTGAGGAAGTCAGCCATGAAGGGCTAGACGATGAAAAGTTAGCACATTGATGTCCATTTGATTGTTTCCCTTGCTGAATTGAATATCCCAGGTGCCAGCGCGTCTTCACAGCCATCGACGATGATAAGCCAGTCAATGGCCATTGCCGTATCAAGTGAAGCCAGCGATGAAGATACAATGGCTATCTTGTCGAAGCCATTGTTGATATCGATGGCCATTGATGGCAGGTCGTCGATGGATGGAAGCGGTGCCGTCGGCAACGAGGGAATTTTTTTTCGCGCAGCAGCGGGTGAATGGGAGACGAGTGAAGCTTACCGGCATGCCCAGAACGCGGATTTCGTCCTTGGAAGACATCTTGGCTGTTTCTCTAAAGATCAACCTTGGAGAAAAGAATGAGCGGAGATGGACGGAGGAAGGAAGAGAATGCGAAGTGGAAGGGCGAGTCGAGAGAATTTAAGTGCTCCGACGGTACCAGGTTTGAGGGAGGGAAAAAAAAATTCCTGCAGGGTGGCCGAAGAAGGAACAGCTTTGAGCGAATCTTTCCGGGCGCGCTAGACTGGAGCACCGACCACCTCAGACAGGCTCAGGGTGTGAGAGAGTGGGCGCCTGGGTGGATGCTGCTGGCCCTCCAGACTCCTCCTTGGGGCTCCACCCGCCCCTTCCAACCCCCAAATGCACTGGGAAGGTGCAGGTGGATGAAGTTTTTTTGGCCGGGCAACTGCTGCCTCAGGCAAGGGCGCTAGTCTGCCATGGAATTGAGATACCGGTTCACCCCGAGATTTGCACGGGGACTCCGCTGCACGCCAGCTGCCAGGCCTTACCAGCTAGCTGTTTCCCTATTTTATCTGCTCGACATAGTACGTGGTACCTAACCTACCTGTCCGTATAGTGAAGATGGCACCAAAATCAGCACCCGTATTTCAAGAGAGTCGGTCACAGTACAGGAAAAGTCGACAGCGTGTCTTGATGGCATCAAGGTGCGGCCCCCCTATTTCGGCTAACAGGTGGGTGTGCAAGTACGGTATCAAACAATTACCACAGCACGGATTGGACGGCCGAGCCCTGGTGATGACATTTCATTCCGTATGAATTTGGCATCGGATGCAATTGACACCACCTACCGAGACGAATGTAGGATTTTTGTTTATTCCCTCGCATCGTCATCATCGTCATTAGTAGCGGCCACCTGCTTCACTCTATTATCACTTCCACAGTAGAGAGAGGCCGACCGGCCAGCCTGCTTGTCGGTCTGTAAAATGCCTTCCCGGCTAGGTTAAGGTAGCTTTTTGGATTATCCTGCAGGAAAAAAAAACCACACACACACGCACACACAGATTGCTCCATACAAAACCACCCCTATTGATGGCGTTTCCCTTCCGGCCCAATGTACTACTGGGCCGTCATCTTCCTTCATCCCGAGCTACTTGCTCCCATGTCCCGGTGCCAAGCAAGCCCAGCTTGCCTCCAGTGTCTGGGGTCTAGTGAGCCCGCAAAAAGAACGGCGTCCAATCCTTTGAGCCGCCGCCGCAAATTCGCAATCCGCCAGTGACCTGCATCCAGACAGCCGAGCTTAAAAAAAGAAAGAGAAAAACAAAGGCTTCAGGGGTTGCAGCGCGGTACGTAGCAGCAGTACGGATTCTGTGCCCCAAGGTACATGCATCTATACATACCTAGTGATAGTTTCCCATACCCCTTCCCCTTCCAGGCCTGGCGGCCGAGTCAAGCCCATCCTCGCCCGCCTCGGGTTAATTCAGCGGAAATGGCAGGTTTCCCAGTGCATCTCACATTCTCTTACGTGGGCAGCCCGACTCACATGCCTCCGGATTGGATGCCCTTGCCGAGATGGGTGCGGATATGGATATTCGTCGACAATAACAATGACTTGCTGTTACTACACTCTTTGACTGTCATACCTTACCACCACCAATACCATTCATTATCACTGCTGCACTACTAAACGGATCTCGGGCAGTAGCAATGGCAGCATAGGGAGGAAGGCAAAGTTGACAAGGTATTTTTCCTGGCCTGGCAGCCTGGTCAAAATAGTGCGATTGAGGATCTGTTTACGTTTGATTCGATTCGTACAGTATGCATGCCCAAACCGCCGTCTGGAAATGATGGAGTAGATCTATGGATACGGTCCACGACCGCGCAATATAAAATTTGCCATCCTTGATAAGGGAGGGTTTTTTTTTTTTTTTTTCGCCTCCTCGGATGCGGCTATGAGAGACATGCATGCCGCGCCGCGCCTCAATTGAAGCATAGCAATTGACTTCTGCTAGCAGCAGTTCTGGCCGACGACGGACGCACTTTGTGACAAGCACGGTTCCCTAGCCACATTGTTCTCATACACTCACATACACCACACCCATCAACCTCCGCGGCCGATGAACGACGTCACGGCCTTCCTTACTCGTACACGGCAGCATCCTGATACCAGCTGCGGCGAAGCCGATCCGGGAACACTTGCCAGCGGTATCACCTTGTAGCAATTGCAGATAACTCGGGATAAGTACCACATTGGATTGGTCTACAGAGACCTGGCTCCGTGTCGTCGTCCGGTCAGAAACAAAATGTTCCATCGGACTGGGATACATTTCCGATAATGAAAGAAAGAAAGAAAAAAAAAAGGACAGTTCTAGGACCCCCGAACGCGGGAGGCCGGGAGACCGGGAGGAGGGATCGATATGGACCAGCTAGCCAACTATTGATATCAGTATCCGTACTCCGTAGGGGCACTGGCACCGCCATTGGACAGCTTCCATTACTTGAGCTTTGCTGGCAATTGAGGTGGAGTTTTTGCCTTTGGAGACTGCAACTGCCAGCTCAGCTCTCCTCTTCTTTTCAGACATGGGATCCGTGAAACGAAGATTGATCGGTCTGACTAAGGCAGCGAGACAACAGGGGTGATAAGCTGGGCGGTACTGGGCGCTGCTGGCTGCGCTCCGTTTTCTGGCTAAGAGAAGCGCCGCCGGGCCGCAAGCAGGTGGCTCTTACCCGCGGTCCTTGCTGCTTTCCACAGTGCCCCCTTGTCTCTTCTTCTTGCCTTTCCATCATTTGAATAGATGCCTCGTTTATCGGAACTGAGATGAACTTTATGCCTCAGGCCTTGAAGATAATAAAACTGGTTTGCTTATCTAATGGAACAATAGGGAAGGTGCACAAGCCTGGTTGCACCTGCAGATATCCGTAGTACTACGTATCCGTGTGTACGTACGTACACACTACGTAGTTTGTAGTGCTAGTAGTTGAATGCTCAAGCTTGGGCAGGTTTCCACGTGACCTTTTTGGAGCTCTCGGACCCGCTCCTTCAATTCTAAACCTCGTGGCCTTCGGCCTTGTTTGGCTTTTTGCGCCGCAGCACCTGCGCTAGTGGTGTGTTCCGCTCGCCGCATGCTCCAGATTCTGTTCAGTGTTTCCCCATCCTTTCTTTCTCCAAACCTTGCCGACCGACCAACAAGAAAATTTCATCGACCACCCAGTGGCCCGCCTGCTGAGCAGCATCCAGCAGAAAAATTCCACCTCCAACATCTCATATCACGTGACCATCCTCCGCCCATCAGCGAAAAAAAAAACATCATCCAGCTCGACACGCCCACGACGCGCGAACGACGAGTGGCCCCTGATAGCCATCCCTACCACCCCTGAACGCGCCCAGATAGATGCCTCAGCCCACCCAGAGCTCCTCGTAGAGGCTGCCAGTACGTCCTGCGACGCGACTTTCAGCCTTGCGACGCCCGTGATAAGATGATACCTGTCTAACGTCTGAGATGCAGACCCTGGCGCCCATCCATCTTCTCCCGAGACGTGACGCTCCCCTCGATCACTGGCGAGGCGGATATTGGGGAATGAATAATCCAGCCGCCTATACTCCTCTCGAGTCCCTGTTTCTATTTCAAGCCCTCGCCCGCTATGGTGTCGAGGCCGCCGCCTTCGCCAAGGTCTCTGATGAGCTCATCAAGAACTCCTTAATCAAGGAAGGCAAGACCTACGATGCTGCCCGACTAAGCCCCGAAGCACTCCGCCAATTGTTCCTACACATCTGGACCGAGGAGCTGAGAAGCGACACTGCGACTTCCGATAAGCCCGATGGCTCCTCGTCCCCCACCTCGAAGAAGCGCAAGCTCAGTCGTGCGCCGTTGCCCACCCTTAAGGAGGCGAAGGAACAGGCTCATAAGTACCCTGCGTTGGTGCAGCGGCTTTACGCCAGGTACAAAGATCTCGCAGTCAAGGAAATCAGGGACGATGAGCAACGCATCGAGGCTCTGGGCAAGGAGATAAAGGAGCTCGAAGCGCAAGAGCTGGCCGACAAGGCTAAGGCTGCCGCTCAGCGCCCACCTCCTCTTCCTCCTGTTGCTGCTGCTGCTGCTGCTGCTGCTGCAGCGAACGGCACCCCAACGCCCAAGGTGACCCCGACACCGGTCCCGGTTCCCTCCCCGATCCCGAACTCGAGCCAAACTTCGGCCGCGCCGCCGCAGATCAAACCACCCACCCCGACACCCGCTGTCGAGACACCGAGACAGATCAGGCCCGCCCCCGGACAAGGCACAGCTCCGACGCAAACACCAGTACCAGTCCCGACGCCAGTACCTCTGCCCCCTCAAGCCCAGATCAAGCCGCCGCCGGCGTCAACAACGGTTCCGCCGCCAGCCCCGCAACCTATACCACCAAAGCGAGATGTTGTCCCGCCTGCAGGCGCCTTTCAACAGTCTCCTGTGGCTCCTCCGGTGGCGCAAGCTGCCTCGGCTGCCGCTGGGACACCTGCTTCCACGCCGGCCACTGCGCCGGCTGCCAAACAACATCAACCCCTCAAGCCTCCCAATGCTGGGGGGCAGGTGCTGCAGCCTCCTGTTGGCGCAGGTCAACCGCCAGTCCGGCCTGGTCAGTCGACGTCGCCTGTTCCTCTGCCAGCAATATCACCTAGACCAGAAAATGTGCCAAAGTCGCGAACACCAGGCCCAGCGACCCCCGCGCAACCTGCCACCCCAGGAACTCTAAAGTGGGAAAAGCCTTATCAGCCCACGGTCCCAGCAACACAGCCTCAAGGCCGTCCTGTCCCGCCGCAAATACCCACAACTTCAGCGCCATCTACTCCAGGTCAACCACACCATCCTTCACAATGGTATCCTCAACCAGCAGGCCAATATCATGGACCTCCTCATTCACCCCACGTTCCTATACAGCCGAATCAGACGCCGAGGTATCCTCAGCAATCGCAGCCCGTATTAGTGCCGCCTCAAGGACAGCCTCAACCCCAGTCCCAACCCCAGGCTCAGGCTCGGCCTCAAGGTCAGGTCCAGAGTCAAGCTCAGCCTTATACACAAACCCAACCAAAGGGACAGTTGGTTGCACCGATTCATTCCACTCCTGTGAAAGGCCCATCAGAGGTTTCTGCAATCCAGCCTCCTCAAGGTCGCCCGGTGTCCACCACGCCAATTGCACCTCCAGTTCGACCTCAGCCTGCCCAACATCAACAGCAAGCTCATCAACCGGCCGCTCACCCTCCTCATCCATCTCAGCCTCCTCATCCACCACAGCCCCCCACGGGCTACCAACCTCCCCATCAAAGACCCCTTGCGGCGGCATCACCAGTACCTGCGTCTGGTCCATCAGGGCAGACTACGGTTCCTCCACCGAGATGGCCTCAGTCTCAGCCATCACCTTACACACAACAACAATTCAGCCCTACGCCGGCTCCAGCTCAACCACCTGCCAAAGCGGTCGACAGCCAAAGACGTGTCACGTCTCCATTCATCAAACAACAACCTCATCCTGCCATCCCAGCCCACCTTGTACCACAGCTTGCTACACCGACGCCGGCACAAAGATCAGCAAGCACCCCTATTCCGCCCCCGCAAACACCCGTTACCGCACTGCCCACTTTCCACGTTACTGGCTCTGGAACTAAATGGAATCTGAAGTCCACACCTTCCACCCCTCGTCAATCCGAGAGGGAAGTTCAGAGCCCTGCCTTTGAACCATTGAGTCCGGTGCAGCAACAGCTGCCCTTACCCGCATCGACACCATCACAACCGACCAAGAAGGCCAGCCCCAAGCCAGTGCCAAAGCCGGAGACAAAAACGCCCCGAGGCCGCGGCCGGCCTCCTCGGAGTGCAAACAAGATACGCTCTGAGAGTACTCCATCCTCAGTTGTTGGGATGTCGCGTAGAAGTCAGTCAGTAGTATCACAAACTGATGAGTTATCCATGGATCACCACGACCTGGCGCCCCGGGTTAAGGACGAGAACGCGACGCCTAGAGCAACTCCCAGAGCTACACCTAAACCCCATGATGAAACGGGCGACACAACTGCAGACGAAAGTGTACCGAGCCGCAGAAATATGATTACGCCCAGTAGCGTGTCATCGCGGCTGGCTCACAAACGCAAGAGGCAAGATACACCAGCAGAGTTGCCGCCTATTCCAGCAACCCATGTACTCTGGACTCGCCAATTCGGCCGCGTGAGTGCCGCTGCTCTCGATCAGATCGGCGCCCACAGGTTTGCGAACCAGTTCGCAAACCCGATCCGAGAACGCGATGCACCTGGTTACAAGACATTGATCTTGCAACCGCAGGATATCAAGTCAATCCGTGCAGCCATCACTCACGGTAACCGAGCAGCCACGGAAGCCGCCAAGGCTTTGCCAGACGGAGACCCAGGCACAGGTTCAGTTCTTTTACCCATAAGTGACGATTTGGTGCCCCCCAAGAGCATCATCAACAGCGCACAGCTTGAGCGGGAACTTTTCCACATGTTCTCCAACGCCGTGATGTACAACCTGAACCCCAGTCGCGGACCTGGACCGTCCTTCATGAAGAACGGCATCTCGGAGGGTGCTGACGCTCTTGGGTATGAGGTTGATGAGGATGCCGTGGTTCGTTCCACCAGAATGATGGCCGGAGAGGTTGAGAAGATCATCGGAGAACTCCGTAATGCGGAGAAGGAGCGCACGGGTCAGGCTCCATCTACCTCTGGCAACACCAGGCCGGCCAGTGTCGCAACAGGGGAAGACACGCCGATGGCGGAAGATGATGTCGATGAGTTGGCAGGGGATGCAGATATGGGCTCCACAACAAGGAGAAGGCGTGTGGGCACAAGGAATTGACTGCCACCGAGCATGGTGCACACGGCAGGGGATTGAAGCATTGTATTGAAAAGAGGACCAGTTTTGCGTCCTGGACATGAATTCTGTAGGATATAGCTGGTAGGCATATGTTTACCTGCATATGATAATGTTACCATTACGCCCAGTTGCGGGCGAGCTTTGTAGTGCTGAGATGATGCCAGTTGGCAGATGCCTTGCGTCAAACATTACTTGGACTCTCCGATTCTGTTCCAAACGTGGAGAAAGTGCTTGAAAACTATCATAAATAAGTAGTTGTCTGCCAGGTGAGTATCGTCTCGTCCTACAGTTGTTGTTCTTGATCACCTACTGCTATCCCCCTCAGGAGCGACAGGTCTGCAAACAAACACCCAGCTGAAGTCGACAAACACTTGAGTTCGTCTTCAAATCGGTCTTGTTTCTTACTGCGCAGCGCAGTAAACCTGAGCTTTCTCAAGACACTGTCCCCTGGCGAAATGCTTTGCGTTGCTCATGCCCCTCGCCACCAGACAAACGCGGCAATCCTAGTTGAATATTGCGGTACCTGGCATTCGTGATCGACGGCACCAGACAGTATAAGGTTTTTATTATGGCCCCGTTCTTCCGGCCGTTGGGGGCATCCTCCGCCCGAGTCACGTAAAAGTAGGAAAGACTGCCGCATTGCAACGCCAGCCAGGCAGTTTTAGGTCCTGTCGCGATGTCATGTAAGCCTGGTCAAGAAAGTACGAAAGTCGTTGCAGCAAGATAAACCATACTGGAAGAATCTGACGCGGGATCGGCCACCCATCTGAACCTGGTCGAACTTATGAGACCAGTTCCCGGAGCCGCTTTCCATGTTTACTGATAAGAGGATTAGTCGTGGTTGTCACAGACAGGCTCAGGTTCATGGGGTATGAGGTAGGCTGAAAGGGCAAGCAAACTTGCCACGGTTGCTCCACGCAGGGTACCCCTCGTGAGATGTCCTCGATGAGCCGGCAATGCCTCAGAAGGTGAGGCTGAGCTGGTTACAGAGCACGCCGCTGAGGTAAGGGGAGCAACATGAAGAGAGGCCAGGCCTTTATGTAGGCAAAGTATGGCTTGATGTTAAAGAAGGCTGGAAAGAGGTTGAGTTTTTCATGCTGCTGCTGCTGCTGCTGCTGCTGCTGCTCCTAGCGGTATCTTGAGCCTGGTCGTCATCTCCAGTTTCAGTTTACCGGCATTGGGGCTTATACCGGGAGGATGAAGTTCCTTTGCCTCCTGGTGCTTTTTCTCCGCTGAAAATTTGGTGTACTTAGTAGCAGAGATCGCTGGACTTCTAGCAGCCGAGGTCTCTAGATAGAATGGCTGCCAGAAGTCGGATTCGGAGTTTAAACTTCCTTCGCGAGGAGATTTGGCTGCGAAGAGCTCGTAACATGGGGACTGTACCAGTTAGTGAGAAAGGCCATGGTGTTGTTCAGCCCGTTGAAGAGTTCTTACAGGCTGCTCCCTCCTGGTAATGTAGTTCGACATGAGATGTCAGTAGACCTGGAGCGGAACCAACTAGCACTTCACAGCATCAGGTTTGTCTTTCGATAGAAGGCAATGCAGTCATATGATACCTTTAGATTACTACTGTACATTCAGAAACAATTACAACGTCGGAATACTGCGCACTCCTCCAAGGCCGACTTGTTGTGTTCATACCTCATCTCCTCCGCCAGAAATTTGGTAGTCGGACTCGTTTGTGCCGGAACGTCCCTCAAATTCTTCTCTGATCATGTCACACGCTAATTGGAAATAGTTGTCCTTGTTGATTTCGCGCTGAGGGTCTTCGGCGCAGATGACTTTGGTATAAAAGCGGACCGGCTCCCTGTAAAAATAGAACTCCAACATCAAATGATGATATGCGTACCACCAGGTTTTGTGTACCATTCCAAATGGCACTCTGTGGAGGATGGTAACGGTCTCCAGCGCCGGCATGTGAAACAGGTAAGGGGCGTGGTCAAAGGTGAAAATCTCTTCGTCCGAGCTTTCGACGATGAGCCACCGAATGAGAGGACGCTCTTCTTCCATGTCTTCCATTGTGTTTTGGGTAATGTAGACAGTGTCAATATCGAAGTTGACCCATGTATAGTTGGGGGCCTTCTCAGATACGAAGGCCTTCTTATAATAGCTTTGGAGATAAAGGCGAGATTCTACACAAGCTTGAAGTACAGATGGTGGCGGAATGCGCGGCGGTCGCGATATAGAGGTAGGGTAGAGTTTACCCGCGGGGACCTCACGCGGTTCCATGCTCAGCTCCCAGATGTGTTGCCGTAGCTCGAGAGGCAGACGAGGAAACGGGTGGAAGGTGGACATGGTGAGTTTGATGGAGGTCAGGGTTGAGTACAGGAAGCTATGTGAAGAGAAGAAGTAGTGAGAATCGGATGGCGACGGTGACATTCAAAGAGGCCAAATTTGTCGTGTTGCAAGAAGAGTCGCCGTGATGGTACCTTGTTGGGACTCACAACAATGTAGGCCTACGGCTCAGCTACACCTGCCGAAATGGTACCGGTAGCAAATGAAAAGCCTTGTCGCGCCTTTCAACAATGCATGTCTCAAAAATAAAGGAGCATTAAAAGAAATGCAAAAATGAAATGGAGTCAGATGGACTTGAACCATCGTCTCTCCCAAGCTCAGAGCCCTGGTGTTGATGTTTCTCGTTATAAGCGTTTGTTTCTGCTGTTCTTTTTTTTCGTCTCTTTTTTCCTAGATTCGAACCTAGGAACTCTGAGAAACGAGGGAGCGCTCTAACCACTAAGCTATGGCCCCTTTGGCTTGTTTGATTGATGAAATGGTATTACATGAAGTTTACTATAAAGTATACTCTTGTTCTGGTGGCGTTTGTGGTCTGGGTTGGTTTGAGTTGGGCAGAGGTTTGGGAATGGAGAGGTTTGTTGAGGTGTACCTTGACGGAATAATGTTATGTGGATACACCTTTGTGGCCTATAGAAATGAATCTATCTATGTTTTGGGTCACCAGAGTATTACGTCTTTCAAAGGCGGCATAAGATAGATGTTCTAGTTTGACGAGGTGAACGGTGAAGCAACTTATTCCCTCTCCATATCGAAAGTTCTATCAGTTTTCTGGTGATGCTACTTGTTTAAAATATCCAGTTTGCGGCCAGAAATATTCCTTTCCCGCCTCAGGTTGTCTACCATATCAGACCCTACGGTGGTGTGGCTGGATCATAGCTAGAATACATAGGTCGTGTTACATTTATCGCCTCATCGACCTGAAGACGACGTCTATGTTTACTTCAACATATCAAGGTAACAATACAGGATGATTACTTGGATAGGAGCATATATAATGTAGTTTGTCATTTTCAAGGAATAGCAAAAGACTGTCGAGCTACACCCGTGACTCACTTAATAAAGAAGTCGCCTCTTTCCAATATCACCGAGCTCAGGAGACCTGGCCAACATGTCATGGGACTACTTCTCAATGACTGTCGTATCTGTCCTACAAGGAAAGGCTCTCGGAGAGAAACGTTTTGGGAAAGTTCATCCAATAGTGATATTTTCTGGGAAGTCTGAGTCTAACAGAGCATGTGACGGTTCTAACTACCTTAGCGCTATGAAAAAGTCAATCGGCCTACTATCTACCATCTGGATTACTCCTCGCTTTGACCCTGAGACTGATGAGACCGGAGATTGACGCTTCTTTGAAGTCACTCAAGGAGCTACAGAGTTCCAATACTCCATAGGAATATCTCATCAGATAGGAGCCTTGAAGTAGCACTGACCCGCCTTTATTGCTATAGTTTATTGCAGAGAACATTCTAGGAAGGAAATACACTAATGGGCTTATTTTACATGGCTATGAGGCAGATGTTCAGGTCGTCGGTACGATACCAAAGTTACTAGCATTGCGTTGCCGATTTCCGAAAGGTAAAGACCAAACGTCAATCATTTAAATCGGGAGTAGCAATTCCAACCTCCGATGAATACCTAAACGCTGTTGTTGACCAACCTTACACATACATGACTTTTGCTGCTCATCATTTCACTTTTACAGTGTCTGGTGTAACCCTTATTCCCTCCAGCTCAATCCATATCTTGGTGTCAAGTTTAAGTTTTATCAGAGTCACACAACGGAGAACCTGGTTCAGTTTCTCTCCCGACCGCCAATATGAAGCAATAGAAACGTTATATAAGCAAGTTAAACGAGGGTAACTTAATCATTCAAGACAACATGCCTTTCCCATATTGTCAATTCGCAACTATCCCTCAGCCACTAACACAAGCTGCCATTACACAAAAGTAATACACACGGACAAAGTCTACCACGGAACCTCAGTCCCATTGTACAAGAAAAACCTACCGCTATCCTCCACCTTCAACCCGTCCAACAGCCTCAAAATACCACCCGCGGAATCCTCAACCTCAACCGTCGCGCCGGGACCGCCGGCTTCCGTCTTGACGTGTCCAGGATCCACAGCCACGACGACTACGCCGCGATCCCTCAGCTGCTTCGCCTGGTGCACCGTAAGCATATTCAACCCCGCCTTGCTGACCGCGTACGGCGTAAGGGCGTGCGGACAGACGCCATTCGTGACCCAGCCCAGGCTGCCCGCGCCAGACGTGATGTTCACGACGACGGTGTGACCAGTCGCGGAGGTATCGCGAAAGAACGGCAGGAGGGCTTGGAGGGTACGCGCGGGCCCGAGGACGTTGCTCCTCATGTGGGCCGACAGCGCCTCCTCCTCGAGCGTCAGCACATCCTGCTGGGGGAGTTGCAGCAAGGCGGCGTTGTTGATGAGAACGTCGATCTTGGCGTCGTCGGAGCCGAGGACGCCGGCGACACGATCGGTCAGCGCTGAGATGGACGCTTCTGAGGAGATGTCGCATTCTAGGATGTGCACTGCGCCTTTGCTGGCGGCTTTGATCGCGTTCAGCGAGGTGAGGTCGGCGGAGATATCGCGGACCAGGGCGACGGTGGTGGCGGAGCGGTCTTTGCTCAGCTGGTTTACGTACTCTAGGCCGATGCCGCCTCTCGCTCCGGTGATTACGTACGTCGGCATCGCGTTTGTTCTTTGAGGGTCAGGGCTGGGAGTGAGGCTATGTTGAAGAAGGAGCTTGCTAATATGGAAGTGGGTGTTGGCGGTGGCTTTGCGTGTGGGCGAGGTTGTTCGCTTTTAGACACGTTCATATCGACCCAGAAAGATCCGGATGACCTCCGTGGACTTAACATGCTCTGTAATTCTGAAAATGTCTAATCTATCTCATATGATCAAACTTCCTGGATTACATGGGTTCATGCTGACAGCTTTAGCAGCATGACGTTAGATGGGATTGGTAATCTACATGCTTCTTGGGCGAAATGGTAAACAGCCTAAGCAAATTGGAACTGAAGTAAGCTATAGAGACTTGAGCGAGTGGGCGTAAGCACGCAAAATGTTTTCCGGGGTGAACTTTCAACAGAGGGATACTGGGCCGGAGTTCCGTGTTGTGGGCCCCGGAGCGTATATTCGGGAGGACCGCCGGTGGTGGGGAAATGTCAAGGCAAATGCACCGGAGGTTGCGGCAGGGACGGAGTCAAAGGTTGCAGGCGGGTTTCGGATCAGGAAGCAAGTGGCAAGAGGAATTCTGGGCTATGCAAGGAGAACAATGGCGGAAAGCGATGAATGGAATCAAAAGTAACGCCAAAAAACCATACATCCAGTCATGTTTTGAGCATGCCCAACCATAACACAAGGCCTCCTCATGATGGGAGTTAATGCCATCATGCCCAATAGTAGACCAGGGCGGTTGTTGGTTTTGGTCGAGGTTCTCTTATCCTTGCCATCTTGTCCCCACCTGGAATCATAATACCTAATATTCAAGGCAAGGGGCAGACGTCGGGTTGAATCTATGATGTTCTCTTTACCATTTACTCCTACCTTTGTGTGTGTGTTTAGTTTGCCTCCTCTTCGAGATCTTTCTCCTCACACACAGCCTCAATGTCTCCATAGCCAAGACCCATACAAGCGTCGGCAGAGTTGCGAACCGGGAAGCTGAGAAAAAGTATCCGTACCTGATCCTTTGTGTGTTGTATGGCCAGCATCGCTTGGCGCGGCGAGGGCGAGGGGGAGTTGGCAGAAAGGAAGACATACACTACATGGAGGCGGTCGGGGCGTTTGGGCTTGGCTGAGAGGCTGGTTGGCTGGTCAGGCAGACCGCCAACAAGCCACGCTCTTCACTATTGAGCCCCGGCCGGCATAGAATCTGTTTGAAGCGGGAAAGTTGAAATTGACTAGTTGGACGTGTCCCATAGAAGAATATTTTCCCTTATTCAACCTAGGTACGTGGTAGAAGTCTGCCTGACGTCAGCGGGCATGTCCCTGGGAAGTGCGGTTTGAGTTTTCCTGGGGTATGGTGAGCGGCAGGCTATCAAACAACTTCAAATTGGACTGTCTTGGCGTTTTTCATGTTGTTTGTGCCTTACTGTACTAGTAGTAGTATTATTATTTTCCCGCTCCAGCGCCAAAGTCGTGAGGTGGGCGGGCGCACGTGTAAGCATCTTGGTTTTATGATGGTGTATTGCCAAGAACCAGTATTCGTTGGAATCCATGCCATCCTCCCTTTCCCCCCCTTCTTTTTGGGCACCGTTAGGGGGGGGAACACATGTCGGTGGCCCTGTTTTTTGTGGTGCTGTAGCAGTGCAGCTACCGCGTCAAAGTGTGGTGATGGCGGTGGTGAAGTGTCCCTCCACCCCCAGTATGTGTTTCTGTGTGATTTGATGATGTCAATAATTTCTTGGCAGAAAAGCACAACCCATTCGAGTGTGTGTTGTGCAAAAGAAACAACGCAAGGGGCGAGCAACAAATCGGAGGTGATGGAAATTGAGTGAGACGACCAAGGGTGGCAGTGCAAAATATTTGTCCCTCATCACTATGTATTGTGCCATGAAGGACTCGTTGGACTCCCGAGCTCGGTAGTTATCGACCTGAAAGGTGGACCCACGCCCACTGAGGATCCTTCTTCCCGCCCTTCCACATTTCGTTTGGGAAGACAAGTTGCCGGGAGGGATGTTCCGGTTGGATGCAGCTGCTCGGTGACGCTGGACGTTCCAGGGTTGTGGCCGGCTCCGGGTCTGGTTTGGGCGACTAGTTGGGTTTAGGTACCCTGAGTGCAGCGCCTGGACTCTTCCTGGCGCATCTCTTCGAATGCCAATCGCTTCTGTATAGGAGGAGACGGCTGATTGCAGTGATCCAACCCAATGATGGCGATGGATCGATGACAGAGTTCTGGCTAGATCAGGCCAGGCCCCAAGGGCGGGTGGGTGCTCCGATGGCACATCTCCATGGGTGAGCTAAGAAGTTACGGATACCACGTCAAGCTCTCTTCAGTCTCTCGCCTCGCCTGTCAGAAACCGAGTGAGTGACCTTGGCCACCCACATATACACAACGTGGAGACGGCATGCGGATCCCTCACGCCGGTGGGTGGCCGGTGGCCGATGAGTGATGGCATGTTGGTCTGAGAATGAGATGGACATACCGCCTCCGAGTTTTCATTCTTTTCCCCCTTCCTTCCTTCTCTCCCGCAGTTTATGCCTGTGATACCAAGAGCCCTTGTCTCTCTCGGATCCTCAGTAATGGTTCTCTAGTCATGATAAGAGAGCTAAGTCTTTGCCAAGCGACCGGACTGTGGCTCATGTTCGCAGTTGGCGGCCTCCTTTTTTTTTTCTTTTTTTTTATTGCATCTGTCTCGGCGAGCTTTTCCTCTTATCAGTCCATAGCCCCAAGCTCCAGATGCCCCAAGCTCCTAGCCACCGGTGGTGAGCTGAACATTTTTGGGGGCTCGCTCTAAGGCCATGGCATCAAGGCCGCTGTCAAGAAAAAGTTGGGTCATCTTAGCTAAGCTCTCGACCGAAGGTGGGCGTTAAAATTGTGGTGCATCTCCAGCAAGCTCCTTAACCAAGGAAACCTTGTCAGATCCCTGAACGCTGCACCTTGGCGTCACTTCGACGGGATGAAAGGGGTGGGGAGTACAAGGGAAACTCAGAATGAAAAACCGAAAGTTCAAGGGGAAAAAAAAAAAAGACGAGAATAAGGAAAACCAGTTGGCTGCTTGCTGGTGGGTTACTACTACCACGTATGAGCAAGAGAGTGAGACTTGTTCGGCCCAACCTGGTATAGATTCCGCTACGAAAAGGAGCACGAGCCAGGCCTATCTAACCATAAAAGCAGTTTAATCTGTTTAATCCACCAAAATTCAAAGACATGGCTTGGCGCCACCTGTGTGCTACTAGGCTGCATTGGATCGTCTCTTCGGGGAGGACACCGCTGTAATTACTCTCGGTCCGTAGCCCTGTTTGCTGATATGACTGATTCTTACTTCTGTCTATGTCCCGTCCCTCGCTATGCTGATGAGCGTCTTGGCATCATCGCTTGTCCAAGCAAAGTCACCTAGTAGTCATAGGTGACCACCCGCCCTCTGCAGGTTTACGTACAAGGCGTGAGCGAACAACTTCTTGGCGTATGGGAATTCTTGGCCAAACCACACCTGGTCTGGCTACATCGTGGCTGTGCCGCCCCGAGAAAGCTCCTCTCAATTCACTCATATCCAAGCCCAAAGGGGGTGGTGGTGGTTCGCCCTCACTGAGAGGAGGAGATGGAGTGACCAGGCGAATTATGATGCTAGAGCGCCAGTTCTTTTCTTCCTCTCCCTAAATGTGATTTCTCCATCTCTTCTCCGGGCCATATCCCTCCTGTTTAACCATAGGTCAGGTTATCCATCGTCTTTGTGGTGCAGGCGCTTGTATCGTTTGCTGCCCGTTACTTGTGGCTGCCCATCATCGCCTCCAATCGGTTCAGAACCATCCCATCATCATCTTCTTCACGACACTATACCCACGTCACTTGGCCAGCGTGACTTTCTGTACCGCCTCAAAGTGGCCGGTTCATTCTCGTTCTCGTCCTCGCTATCCAGCTGTGCCAGAGTTTTCCAGCACACCTTGCCGCAAGGTACTTTACCTGTCTAGCCCAAGGTTTACTGATACAGCCCCCTTGGAGATTGTGACCCCATCTTGCGGCGGGCCTCCCCAGATTTCCAACCAGCAGCGATAGACACAAGCATCTCTGGATCGAACCGCCGCCACTTTGATCACTGCCCGCTCAGCAGGCTCCCTCAAACTCAACATAACCTTTTGTCGTCCCCATTGCCTTACCCAACTTCCCTTCCCCTCCCTTCAATACACATATCTCATCCCCCAAAGAATGGACGCTGAGAGACTTGGGCAAGCTCTCCATTTTGACAACACTACCAGTTGTCCCTAAATCACCACTACCCACTTGATCAACAATCTTTTTTTATTTATTTATGTCAACATTGATTGTCAATCACTAGGTGGATCATTCACCCGGACGTTTACATCTAGCAACTTATATTTGTTTGTTTGCGCCGCACCCAAACATCTCCCGTCTACCTGCAGCCACACTTCGCCGAAAACAACCACCCAATCGCCGTTCCTTCCCCTCCCTCAAAGGAAAAAAAAAAATCAGGCGGCGTATTTTTCCACTGTTCTTCTCCAAGCTTCGCGACCCTGTCTGTATTTTTTTTTATCATCTCAGAGCAGAAGACGACGAGGCGGATTCGAAGAATCTCCAGAAACCAGCATCATCATGGTGAGAGGCTCCTCACCGCTGAGGCGGTCACGAGCTCCTACTATCACGCTTGATACTTCAGCCGTGAACGATCAAGGTATGATAACACCTTGTCAATTTCCAATCCTGGGGATGCTATTCCAAGTTCCAAGAAAAGAAACAAAATCATATCGAGAAGAGAAATTACCTTTGGGCGTGCCTACTAACCAACGCGTTGACTTATAGAAAATGACCACACATCATCATCACCATCATCGGATAACGCCGATGAGGTGAATAACACATTATCAGTGCCTACAAGAAAGTCGAGGTCACAGTCGTGGGATTCAAATAACACGACATTAGCAAAGTCTAAAACAAATGACGGCACCGACAAGGGCTCCCCTACCATTCACCTCTCCGGTTCCCCCAAGGGCTTCGGCGATAACCCGGACGCTCTTGCTCCTAACCCTGGCGAGGAAGACTCATTTCACGTCCAGAATAACCCATTTGCCTTTTCACCAGGTCAAGTATCGAAGCTTATTAACCCAAAAAGCTTGGACGCATTTGTCGCCGTTGGAGGGTTGACAGGTCTGGAAAAGGGGTTGCGGACAGACAGACGCGCTGGTCTTAGTCTCGATGAATCGCGTCTCGATGGCAACGTCAGCTTCGACGAGGCGGTCGCTGCCGGGAAGAAGTTATTGTCACCAACAGAACCACTTCCGACAAAGGCTCTGGAGCAAGATCCGGTCCAGCATGGAGACGGCGCCGGCAAGGGCTTCGACGACCGGAAGCGGGTGTTTGGGCAAAATATCCTCCCCGAAAGGAAGTCGAAATCGCTACTCCAGCTCGCCTGGATCGCAATGAAGGACAAGGTTTTGATTCTGTTGAGCGTGGCGGCTGTGGTATCTTTAGCACTGGGACTCTACCAGACATTTGGCGCGACACATCACGGAGACGACACGGCCAAGCTCGAATGGATTGAGGGTGTCGCCATCATCGTTGCTATTTTGATTGTTGTCATCGTTGGATCTCTCAACGACTGGCAAAAGGAGCGTCAATTTCGGAAACTAAACCAAAAGAAGGAGGACCGCTTCGTCAAGGTGATTCGTTCTGGAAAACCTTCTAGCATTTCGGTACACGACATTCTGGTTGGCGATGTGATGCTGCTGGAGCAGGGCGACATCCTTCCGGTGGATGGTGTATTCATCGACGGCCACAATGTCAGCTGTGACGAGTCTTCCGCGACCGGCGAATCCGATCTCATCAAGAAGGTTCCTGCAGACGCTGTCATGAGGGCGTTGCACGAGGAGGATGCGAACCCCAAGAAGCTTGACCCTTTCATCATCTCTGGAGCCAGAGTTCTGGACGGTGTTGGCACGTTTTTGGTTACTGCTGTTGGTCAAAACTCTAGCCACGGCAAGACGATGATGTCTCTCCGCGACGACCCCGGCCTGACGCCCCTGCAGCTCAAGCTGAACATCCTCGCAGGTATGTGCAGGTTACTTAGTGGTATAATGGTTCTTGACTGACGCTTTATCAGGCTACATTGCGAAGCTCGGCAGTGGAGCGGGTTTGCTGCTTCTCGGCGTCCTTACAATCGAATTCTTGGCCCATCTCCCCCAGAACAGAGATTCTCCGGAGCAGAAAGGTCAACGCTTCCTCCAAATTCTCATCACCGCCATTACCATCATCGTCGTCGCCGTCCCTGAGGGTTTGCCCCTCGCAGTCACCCTTGCCCTGGCATACGCCACCAAGCGAATGACAAAGGAGAACAACCTTGTCCGCCACCTGCAGTCTTGTGAAACCATGGGTAATGCGACAGTTATTTGCTCTGACAAGACTGGTACATTGACGGAGAACGTCATGACGGTTGTCGCTGGTTCCTTGGGCACGGGCAACTTGAAGTTTGGCGAAGGAGATGAGCAGGCCAGCTCATCAGACCAGGGCGAACAAGTTGACCAGCAGGAGCATATCCAGGTCACTGGAGATGGTAAGAAGACCGAGAACAGATCTTCAACACAGGTTCCCATGTCCAAGCTTTCTTCGTCTCTTGACGCCGAATACAAGGACCTTGTCAAGCAATCGATCGCGATGAACACGACGGCGTTTGAGACGGAAGAAAGCGGAAAGCATGAGTTTGTGGGCACGAAAACGGAAACTGCCCTGCTCGACTGGGCTCGTCGATGCTTCGCTCTCGAGAAGCTTGCCATCGAACGTGAAAACCACCCTGTCCAGCAACTCTTCCCTTTCAACTCCAAGCGGAAGTGCATGGGTGCCGCGGTGCGCCTCCCCGACAACAAGTACCGCCTCTTCGTCAAAGGTGCCCCCGAAATTCTCCTTGGACAATGTACACACGCTGTTGTCGACCCGACGAAACCTCCTTCTGCCAGCTCAATGGAGTCCCAGCAACAAGACGAGGTCCGACGCACCATCTCCGAGTACGCCTCTCGTTCGCTCCGCACCCTTGCCATTGCCTACCGAGATTTCGATCAATGGCCGCCGAAGGATTCCCGCAAGGAGGAGGGCTCGCAGAACATCGAGTTCTCAAGTCTGTTCAAGAACTTGACATGGTTGGGTGTCGTGGGAATCCAAGACCCCGTGCGAGCCGGTGTTCCCAAGGCAGTGAACGACTGCCGCCTTGCTTCGGTGTCTGTCAAGATGGTTACCGGTGACAACGTCGAGACCGCAAGGGCTATTGCACGCGACTGTGGTATTCTGACCGAGAAGGGCAAGGTCATGGAGGGTGTCGAGTTCCGCCGCATGGAAGACCGCGAACGACTTGCGATTGTCAAAGACCTGTGCGTACTGGCACGTTCGAGCCCGGAGGACAAGCGAATTCTGGTTAAAGCGCTGAGGAGCCTGGGCGAAGTCGTTGCCGTCACTGGAGATGGCACCAACGACGCGCCCGCCCTCAAGTCTGCCGATGTTGGTTTCTCAATGGGCATTACGGGAACGGAGGTTGCCAAGGAGGCTTCGGACATTATCCTGATGGACGACAATTTCTCATCCATCGTTAAGGCTTTGTCTTGGGGTCGCGCCATCAACGACGCCGTCAAGAAGTTCCTTCAGTTCCAGATCACCGTCAACATCACCGCCGTCATCCTCACCTTCGTCACGGCCGTGGGTAGCGAATCGCAAGAACCTGTTTTGAACGCTGTTCAGCTTCTCTGGGTTAACCTCATCATGGACACATTTGCTGCTCTCGCCCTGGCCACGGACCCTCCTACGGAAAGCATGCTTCACCGCAAGCCCGAGGCCAAGACGGCTGCTCTAATTAACACGCCAATGTGGAAGATGATTATTGGACAGTCAATCTACCAGCTTATCGTCACCCTCATTCTTCACTTTGTCGGCCCCAGCTTCCTCAAGTATCCCAGAGGCGAGCAGAAGACCCTCGTCTTCAACGTCTTCGTCTTCATGCAAATCTTCAAGCTTGTCAACAGCAGACGTATTGATAACAAGCTTAACATCTTTGAGGGCATCACCAAGAACAAGCTCTTCGCTCTGATGATGGCCATCATGGCAGCCGGACAGGTTCTCATCGTCTTCGTCGGTGGCGCCGCCTTCAAGGTTGAGCGCCTCAATGGTCCCCAATGGGGCATCTCTATCGTCCTCGGCTTCCTCTCGATCCCTGTCGGTGTGCTCATCCGCCTGGTTCCCGACGCCTTCTGCGTCGCTCTCGTCCGCCCCATCGGCAAGGTTTGGGCCAAGATTCCCAAGTGGAAGCGCAAGAAGAAGAGTGACGACGAGGAGGACGCTGAGCATCTTGGTGGCGTCGCGGAGGCCCTGATGGAGATCCGCGAAGACCTCGCCTTCCTGAAGCGCATCAAGGGAGGTCGCATCAATCAGATCAGTGAGGTCATCATGAAGCCTCGCGAGTATCGCGAGCGGGCCCGGAGCCGAAGCGGCTCCAGGTCGTCAAGCAGACACAACATGTCACCTATGAAATCCGCTCTCGGCATGCCGGGTATCGTTGCAGCCAGTGTCGGAGGCTTATCACCGGTCGAGCGGCCGGTGAGCAATGACCGCAGAACTACGGAAGGCGGAAACGAGGAGGAAAACCGAACCAATTAAGGCTTTCGCGAGGGAAAACAACCAACCCCCTTTCTCCCACCAACCCACCTCGGCCACAATTTACCACAACCCTCCTCCTCCTTTGAGGATAAAAAAAGGTGGAGGAACGAAACGACCCTTTTGCTTATCGTGCAAGCGCTGTTTTTTTTTCTTCTCCTTATCACGAATGACCGCCCGATCGACCGAACTGTATTTTTCCCCTCCTCTTTTTTCCTTGGACCGATCGAGATACGACATAGCAAAACCTCATGTACAATCACCAAACAACAATAGACCGAACTAGTGCGCTGCAAGACCGATAGTTTTTAAAAAATAATTAATGAAAACAAAGGATACCTCTACTGTATGCCTCTAATAAAATCTGGTGACTTGCGTGACGATTGCCACAGCATAATAAGCCTTTTCTCGGTTATTGGTCTGCTCAGACGTCTTAACATTCTTCGTGCTGGCGTTGCCTTGTCGAATGTTTTCAACCGTACAATCCCATGCTAGCTCATGTGTCTGAAGTACGTCTTGTATAGCTATCGGCACTACAGCATGAGTTGTTCGTTTCATTCGATGAGTTGGATGGAATATACTCCAGGTAAGAGCTAGTTCAACGCGGCACTGCGGACTTTGGCCGGAAGTAGTGCGGGCGTCGTGGAGAAGAGCCTGAAAGGCAACTACCTACTTTATAACATGATCACAGCAGCTAGGGCGAATGGTAAGGAGGGTGCTAGCAGGACAGCACTGACGAGGATCTGGCCAAGGATGATGATGGTAAGTAGGCGTAGACAGGGGGGGGGGGGGGTTAGTACTAAGGTTTATTTGTATTAAAGGCGCATAGTTCAGTAGAGACTAGCAAGAATACTGATGCTGAACCACCTGAGAAGATATTAGGGAACGACATCTTGTCGGAACGCTTTGAAATTGGTATTATTATCAGGCACTGTACACGGTCTACGACTACCTCTGCCTCCTGGCTTCTCCGGCCTCCTTTCCAAGCTTCTCCAGCGCCTCCTCGTAACTCTGCACCCTCTCGTCCCCGAACCCGCCGTCGTCCGGATCTCCGATGCGCAGGCGGTCCACCTTGGCCGCGCGTTGGATACCGCTGCTCGGTTTGGCGATCTTGCCCCAGAACCAACCGCTCTCGCCATCCTCGACGAGAGTCCAGGCGGCTCCGGCACGGCCTGCACGAGCGGTACGACCGACACGGTGTACGTAACCCGCGGCGCTGGCAGGGAGGTCGTAGTTGATGACGTTGTCGAGCTGCGGCAGATCGATACCACGAGCGACCAGGTCGGATGCGACGAGGAGGCGGAGACGGCGGGCGGCGAAGGCGCGAAGGGCGCGGCGACGGTCCGACGTCTTTTGGGTAGATGTGAGCGTGGCGATGTAGGGCGCCAATGAGGGATGGAGGAGAGAGATGAGGCGAGAGAGACGAAGCGCGGATTCGTTTGATTTGGTGAAGATGAGGGCTGTTGTCGTAAACGGGGTGGTGGGTGCTGTGGTCTTGGTAGGCTTGGAAGCTTCAGAGCTGGTGTCAGAATCGGAATCAGAGTCGGACTCGGAGTCTGAGCTTGTGTCGTCGGAGTCTGAGCTCGTATCGGAGGCTGCTTCGGAACTGGCGTCTGAAGAAGTATCGGAAGAGCCGTCCGAAGAAGACGTATCGTCGTCGTCTTCCTTGGCCGCTGGCGTTGGCTTTGTCTTGGTGGCGGTTTCGGACATGAGGTGGCCATCCAGCAAAAGGTCAATCAGGTAGAGAGGCTTGAGGTTGGCATCGTGAACTCTGATGGCAGACTCCTTCAGCAACGTTGGAAGAGTGTGCTCTGCGATCGGTGCGGTGCCATCGGCTTGTTGGCCCTCAAGGACAATGAGTTGAGGACGGCGCAGCTGGAGCCCGCTTAACAGACTCAGGTCTCTTGTGAGCGTTGCACTAAGTACAATCTTGCGCACACCGGAAAGGTTGGAGTCGGGGAAGTCGCGTGCGCTGAACTTGTTCGTGCGAAGTTTGGGCATGACGACGTCCAGCCAGCCCTGGAAACTCTGTGCCAAAAGCTTGTCGGCTTCATCAACCACTAGCCACCGCACGTAGTCCAGAGAGAAGCCAGGGGTGAGGTTGATGTGCTCGACCAATCTACCAGGAGTGCAAATCAGGACGTCGACCTTGGAAGCGTAGTCTACCACATGATCAGGCAGCGAACCCGCTTCTATTCTGGAGGTTGATTCCTCAGCTTCAAGTCCTGATTCCTCGACATCCTTCCACGCTTCGATCTCACGCTGATAGGCCGTCTTGTAACCTTCAGGATCATACTTTTCATCCTTTTCGATCAGATTCGCCTGCTCGTACTTCAACTGCTGACTACCAATGGAGATACCAATGCGTACTCTCTTCTGGTCGCGGCCGTCGAATGCGCCAGCACAAAGCTCGAAAACCTCTTGAGCCTGCTTGACCAGTTCTCGCGTCGGTAGGACCACCAGCGCCCGAAGTCTAGTGACAGCCCCTTGACTGATGTCCCGCACAATGGGTAGCGCGTATGCCAGCGTTTTTCCGGATCCAGTAGCTGCTGCAACGAGGAGATCACCCTGCCGGTGCTTGCACGAAGGGAGAAGTAGTGGAATAGCCGCCGTCTGGACGGCAAACGAGTCCTTGAAACCCTTCGACTCCAGAATCTGGGCGGCTTTGGGGTTGATACCAATTTCTGTAAAAGGCGTCCGCGTGTCGGGCGCCACTCGGATAGGGGCAGCAAGCCATGGCGGAAGGGTCTCGTAGGAAGGTTTTGACGTGTCAAGAGCGACCGGTTCGGGTTGAGGCAGAGGCTCGAGGCCATGTTCCTCCAGCTCCTCTGTAGCAGCGTTCTCTTCGTCTACATTCATCGCATCTGGAGCTTCGTCGTGGGCCGTGTCGGTTTTCTTATTCAGATACTTGGTAGCCTTGGCAAGGACGGACTTATGACGCGCTGCCACTCCGTCATCTTCGTCCTGGCCTGTCTTTTCCCCGCTATCCGTTGTCTTCTTCTTCTTTGACCTGTCCTTCTTTTCCTTGATTTCCTTAGTATTCGTCTCGCCCTCTTCTCCTACTGTGCCTGCTTGAGAGACTTCAGACACACGCTTCTTCTTTTTCTTCTTCTCTCCTGATTCCGGCTCTTTTGCCTCCTCGTCTCCATCTTCACGGGTGTCCATGGCGTCGCTTGTTGCATCCGATTCGGGCTCGGTATTTTTGGACTTCTTTTCTTTCTTCTCCTTCTTTGACTTCTTTGGGGTATCTTGCTCTGCATCTTCCACCTGAGACTCTACTTCCGACTTTCTAGACTTCTTCTTCTTGACAGGAGTCTCTTCGCTGACTTCGATCTCGACTTCGTGTTTGCGCTTGATAGCGGGCGACAGTGTCTCGGCGTCTTCTTGTGTCACATTTCCTAGTGATGTTCTGGACTTAGGCTTCTTAGAAGGGACATATCGCGCATAAGGGCTGGCGGCTGATGCTTCGGTTGTAACCGCTTCGTTCGTCGGCGACGGTGGCTCTGGGGCCGATGGAGGCGATGGTAACGATTCGGTAGGCTTCGGCGCCTCCTTGTCCTTCTTCGGTGGAACGTAGCGATTATACATCTTGCCAATTGGGTGCTTGCAACCCTTGACGAAGCATTAAACAAGTTTGCGCGGCTCTCCCAATGTAACTGGTAATGCTAAGCTGGTGGGAGGGGCAGCTGGCGCAGGCTCCGAAAAAAAGTTGGGAGGTTTCTCTTATCGCGGTTCTGCCGCTTTCCACCGCCCACAGTCAATCCTTATCGCACCGCGGCACGCGGTCCCTGGTCCCGCTGAAGCTTAACACCAGTAGGTGCGTATTCGGACCACCTCTATGTCCATGTTCCCATCCATCGAGCAACTGTGACAACTCCCCCTGTTCCGCAGTCGCGCCGCGTAAGATGCGTCGAAACCATTTCCGGAGGTCACAGCTGCTCGTGTCGAGCGACAACCGATGAACATGGCTCGAACATACAATATCGCTATGGTCAGCGACTTCTTCTTCCCCCAGCCAGGAGGAGTCGAAAGCCACATCTACCAACTGTCGACCAAGCTGATCGATCGCGGCCACAAAGTCATCATCATCACCCACGCCTATGAGGGCCGCAGCGGAGTGCGCAATTTGACCAACGGCCTTAGAGTTTATCATGTCCCTTTTCTCGTCATTTTCCGATCAGCGACATTCCCGACTGTCTTCTCTGCCTTTCCTATCCTTCGCAATATCCTTATTCGAGAGCAAATCGAGATTGTCCACGGCCATGCAAGCTTGAGCAGTTTCTGCCATGAGGCCATCTTACATGCTAGGACTATGGGCTTGCGTACCGTCTTCACGGACCACTCCCTGTTTGGGTTCGCGGATGCAACCAGCATTCTAACTAACAAAATCTTGAAATTCTCCCTCAGCGACGTGGACCATGTCATTTGTGTTAGCCACACATGGTTAGCTTGCGCCCAACCGCTGTATCCCTCTTAGACCTCCTAACTCTGTGTTCTAGTAAAGAGAATACCGTCCTACGAGCATCACTCGACCCTCTTATGGTCTCAGTCATTCCGAATGCTGTTGTCGCCGAGAACTTTCGTCCCCTCGATTATCCGTCCTCTGAGACGGGCCAAGCCTTTGGGCAAAACCCACCACCGGCTCACCATCTCGGCCCGAATGATATGATTACTATCGTTGTCATCTCTCGTCTCTTTTACAACAAAGGAACGGATCTTTTGACCGCCGCGATCCCCCGTATCTTGGAGAATCATCCCAACACGAGGTTCATTATTGCTGGCTCTGGTCCCAAGGCAATTGACCTTGAACAAATGATTGAGCAGAACGTTCTGCAAGATAGAGTAGAGATGCTGGGTCCTGTGCGACATGAGGAGGTGCGGGATGTTATGGTTCGCGGCCATATCTATCTTCATCCCAGTCTTACAGAGGCCTTTGGCACTGTCATTGTGGAGGCAGCCAGCTGCGGCTTGTACGTCGTGTGTACCCAAGTTGGAGGCATCCCCGAAGTACTCCCGTCGCACATGACCGTGTTTGCAAAACCAGAGGAAGATGACCTGGTCTTTGCAACCGGTAAAGCAATTGCTGCCTTGAGAGCAAACAAGGTCCGAACTGAGCGCTTTCATGAGCAGGTGCAAAAGATGTACTCTTGGACGAATGTGGCTCTCCGAACGGAGCGAGTTTACCACGGTATCTCTGGTGAGCTCAGTGAAGCCGAGTTTTACGGTTACGACGCTGCCAACGGTGCCAGCCGTGTTCGCTCATTCGCACTCATTGACCGACTGAAGCGGTACTACGGCTGCGGCATATGGGCCGGCAAGCTTTTTTGCCTCGTTTGCATTATTGATTACTTATTGTTTCTCTTTCTTGAGCTATGGTTCCCACGAAGCCAGATCGACATATGTCCTGAGTGGCCGCGAAAATTCATTGACGAAACTGAGGATTCGAAGGAGGACTGATCATTTTAAGTGGTTGAGACGTACCATTAACTAACATTCATACTGCACCTGCTCATCCAGGCAGATTATTACCGGATTATAAGCCACCGGCAGCTGCTTTGGAAGGGAGGCGCTGCAAAGCTACCAGCGGCTAAGAGTCCGTTCCAGTGCCATGAAAGGCCTGCGCGTGACTATTGGCTGATATTCTTGAAGCTAGAACAAAAAGTCGATCACGGTATGTCTTAAACCCAGACTTGAAATCCTCCTATACATGGCTAACTGAGTTCTAGGTCAGAATGCGGTGGTTTTGCCTTATTAACCACGCCTCATCGCTTCTGAATACAAGATTACGTGTAATGAGACCCCACGAAGCATATTCATAGGCCGTTATACTTTTGAGAAAAGACAATCAATGCTTCGAGTGGCAGCAAAGCCCCTGCAGCGATTGATCTTGGTTTCCAGTCGTGCCTACGCTATAATACAGATACCCAATTAACTGGAATAAAATCATGGAGCTTTTGGAGATCCAAAGAATTGTAAATGCACTCAATTATAATTCTCTTACTCGTGACGTGGTTTTTATGGCTGGAGATACCGGTGTGACTTTTCCCATGAGCGCCCTACCTTTCATCACCATAACCTCTCTCAATAGACAAGCCTAAATTGGTAAGACCGCTTACATCTTGTTAGTAAACGACCTCGGATTATGCTCCTGGGAGATCAGACTGATATGAACTTTATTAAACTAAAAGCTTATTTGCGGAAGGCTGCATGAAATCCGCCCTGCCTCGATCAATCCTTACTGACAAAAATAATCAAGGGTGTTCCGGTATCACTACTTTGTCCCAACACGAGAGGTCACACGCTCATAGAAAACAGCAGCTTGGCTTTCAACTTTACAATTATTGAGCCCCTGTTTAGAACCAAATGAGACAATGAGTAAATGTAATAGTTTCAGACAGCATTGTAAATATTCAGTCAGACTAATGAAGTGCAAAAAGATGTAAGATATTCTTTCCTCATTTTGGAGATGGCAGTATCTGTATGGTAACTGTGACTACGACATATACCGTGATCATAGTATATGATATCCTTCGTATTAAACTAAATAAATACGAACCTGCATTGAGACAGATGAACAATCGACGTCAGCAATCGCCGAACACAAGCGGAGCTCTTCAGTTTGAGGGCTTCTCGATGACGAGATTTATGCTTCCCTAGATTTTGGTCTTCCCCTCTACAGCCAAGAACTGCTTCAGTATATCCTCGACCGTCTCTGGCATCGGGCGATACTTGATTCCCAACATGCGAACCGCCTTCGTTCCGTCTACCTGATACAATCTCGCTGTCGCATCGCTCATGCCAGTTCTCGGAGTTCCCACGGGAATCCTTCTCTTGGCGTCCTCTGGTAGTACCTCCCTCGCTACATCAGCCGCTGATTGCCAGTCGAAATGCTGCGCCAACAGAAATCTTTCGCCGCCAGCCGCGGGTGTATCAAGTGCTACCGCAAGCATGGCCGCGGCATCACGTACGTCAATGGCTCCAGCCCACTGCAGAGATGGGATTTCCCTTGCGTCCATGAGCTGCACCCACATAATCTTTGATGTTGAATTTACATCTTCCAAGCTGTTGACTTGCTCGAGATGAGGGCCAAAGACAACAGAAGGATTCAGACAGCTAAGGTCGAAGTTGGGCTTGTGATATTCCATCCAAGCCCAAGGCGCTCTCGGAGAAGGCGCCTTGCCCGCAATGTAGAGAACTCCACGATCCTCAAGTGATGCAGCCTCTTCGAATGTCAACGGGTTCCAGTCAGACTCGTTATAAATGTACCCGATTCGTGGGTCTTTCGAGGTGTCCAGCATTGCCCCTATAGAAGAGGTGTGGACGACGCGCTTGAATGAGAGACTCCCGTACGTTTTGATGGCATCCAACATGCCGGTTACGCCTTTGATGGCTGGCTCAAGCATATCACGGACGTTATCCTTGACATGGCCATGAACCGGGCTAGCAACATGGATTGTACCCACTATATTTCCTTGAAAGACATCGCGGAAGAGTTCAGTCTTTGTCAAATCTTCGATAGTTGCCGTCGTGGCTCTGGTTCCGTAATCCGCTGGAAATTTTGTGCGGACTTTGTCGGCAGTCTTTTTCGATCGAACGGTACCGCAAACATTGTAGCCCCTCTTCAATACCTGTTCAATGACATGGAGGGCAAGGTAACCGTTGGCTCCAGTAACGAGGACAGTTGCAGGATCGGAAGACATGTTTTAAGGGTTCTGTAAGTCAGGTTTGAGGTGAGTGGCTGGTGACTTCCATTATACTGTGTTAAAATACGACAAATGCAAGAACAAATCCATGATCTTGTACGTACATGCTTCGGGGTGAAGAATCTCAATGATTGCGGTCAATATGTTTTGTCGGACTCCCACCACTGCAAGAGGCCTAACTCCGGAAAACAGTCAGCGCGTCAAGACGCTGAATGCCTTGATAGAACTTGACGATCGTGCTCAAAACGCTTTACATCCGATTGAACCGGATACCAAGCCTTAATTCCGGTCCAGGATTTTGTCAACCTTGACTTGTAATTGCGTGGGTAGAACCGTCTGAACTCCACAAGGAGTAACCCGTCCCTTGAGTACAAACTTCGAGTGTGCAGTCACGACTAGACTACTGGAGCTACCTTTCATGTATCACTCTATTTGTGCTTCATTTCCATGAAGTATGAATGTGTAGATGACCTTTGCCTTCCGTAAAAAGTAATGTTTTTACGGTCTCCGGGATCTATTAGTTTGCCGCCCTAAGCATCAGTTGATAGTGAACTCTAAAGTCATAACCAAAATATTCCATGGTTAATACCTTACTCTGAAGACTTTACGTTTGAATTGAAGAGCCCTTTTTGCTTACTATTTACCAGCCTAGGTTATTTAAGACTTATCCATATGAATGGATATCTCTGCGTACTGCCCCTATTGTTACATCTTCGATCAACACTGCGAACAAGTGACTATGGTGGATTGGGTATACTCAGAGCTTGAATGCCATAGCAACACATCATAATGCCTATGTAGATGCTTCAACATGACTAATAAGCGGTGCCATAAAAGAAATACAGTAATGGAGAACAAACACACAATGACATAGCCCTGACCATTGGGCTTCCATAGACTTTCTATTTACTTCAAACCACCACTCAGTAGTATGCTCTGGCCTGTCAAGTATCCTGTTTTGCACAGCATGCTGACGACATTTGCGCATTCCTTAGGTGTGCCCAGTCTACCCACGGGGATATTCTTCACATCTCCGGGTGTACCCTCGACACGTTTCTCGTCAGGGATCATACCCGTCTCGCCAATCATGGCCGGCGCAATATCGTTAAGTGTAACCCCATCTTTGGCGTGTTTTGAAGCTAGGTTCTTCATCAATCCCGTTAAGCCAGCCTTGCTAGCAGCATAGTGACATCCGTTAATGCCGCCACCAATGGCGGAGATGGAAGACACAAAGACGATGCGGCCCCAGTGCTGGGCGGCCATATGAGGTATAGCTAGTTTGCAAAGCAGAAAGGAGGCGCGGAGGTTTATGGATATGGTAAAATCAAACTCTTCAAGGGAAATGTTTTCGAGGTAGGGGTTGGCTTTGTTATTGAAGCCGGCTGTACCAGCGTTGGAGACAAGGATGTCGGGGTGTTGACCGTGCTCAGCTTTGATTTGCGCGAACAGTTCATCGATGCCTTTGGCAGATGACATGTCCACAACATGGCAAGAAAGTTTGAGATCGGCGTTCGAGCCTTTTCTTAACTCTTCGGCGAGTTCCGAGATCTTGCCGTAAGTTCGCTCAGAGGAACATGTCAAGGCCAGATGAGCACCATTAGCGAAAAGCTCCCTGGCACAAGCCCCTCCAATTCTGTAGAGAGTGAGCTTATAAAGATTCAAAAGGACATCCATCTTCAGCTTACCCACCAGAAGCACCCGTCACCAGCGCAAGCCTGTTTTTGATTTCGTTGTCCACGGAGGCCATATTAATAGTGGGACGGGTTCTGTATAAGAGGGACGATATCTAGAATTGCCTCTTTGACTCAAAGTTGTTTTCAGTAGTGCCAGGTCGAGCACCTCGGGCAATTTCTTGGTTTGTTATCTTTCCCAATACTTAGACGGATAATTGAAACCGGTTGATCGTTGAGACATCCTTCAAGATGCTTTCAAGGGGCAGTTGGGCAGGATACCCCGCCATGATTTGCCCCACTGTAGCTCTGCTACCCCGCGCTCTGCAAGACCGAAAAGTTGCTGACCAAGTACCGACTTCGGATCAATGTCGTCCGTACGGAGTTGAAGGATGAAAGGAGTTGTCGAGTTGCCAATCAACTCTTCAAAGTTGACACATTGGCTGCTACCAATCTGAGCAATTTAGCTGTACGTAATTCCAATAACTGGTGGGGGGTCTCTGCTGCCTTGGGCGGCTCATGTTAATAGGTTTCTTGGCTTGAAGACGGCGATTAGGCTGCCGTTTTCTCCAATAGTACCAGGTAAAGCAATCCGGCCCATGGCAGATAAGGCCCTCCTAGTAACCATCGCGAAGCTTCCATGTGGCTTAAATTAGACCACCATCAAGTACACTCTTCGATCCACCGGCATGAACAGAGTAGCAAATGTCCTAGATACGCATGGAAATGCCCCAGCCTGACGGTTTATACCACGTTTGCGGTGACTAACCGCTTTTAATGGTGTCATCCTTCACGTAACCTTTAGGTAATGCATGGTCTGTGAGAGTATCTTTTTTGAAAGAGAATCTGCGAATGAAGCTCGGCGCTGGCCCCTTAATTGTGGCTTGACCCTGTCCAATTGTCCCGCTTTTACCGGAACAACTGCAACGAACTCCCGGGGCTAAGCTTATCGCACCAATCGAATGCTTATCGTGCATTCAGCCTTGCAGCTTTGCCGGGCGCCACAACTTTTTTTTTTGTTACAGCTGTCCTCTTCGCCTGGCCAGGTAAGCCATTAGTACAGGTACCACCTTGCCGAGAACGACCCAGTCTGGGGATGGCACCGAACCCGAATTTAGTAGAGGACACTTTCACGTCTCTGTAACGACCCTCTGCGTTGTCCATATCTTCTTTGCCTCTGGGTCATATCTTGCCTCGAGCCCTCCCCTTCTTTTTTTTATTTTTGTCTCGCTCTCTTTCTAGTTACTTATTCCCTAAAATTACGGTGACTTGAGCTTTCCGAGTCTCTTCGGGGCTTGTCTGACAGCTCCCTGTTAGCACCGACTCTACAACACGACAACCCTTCAAACCGCGCCATTGGGCGCAAACCATACACCATGGCGCAACGAAATTTCTCGCCGTTGACGATTGTCCTCGGCTGCGTCTACTTCTTTTCAGTTCACGTCTTTGCTGCTCCCGCAGCTCTTGGCGTCGACCTAGGTACTGAATACATCAAAGCTGCCCTGGTCAAGCCCGGCATTCCTCTCGATATCGTCCTCACCAAGGACTCGCGTCGCAAGGAAATCTCCGCCGTCACCTTTAAGCCTCTTTCGAGCGGCCCCAAGTCCGGGTCTTACCCCGAGAGATTATATGGATCCGATGCCATCGCCCTCGCGGCCAGATTCCCCCACGATGTCTACCCTAACCTGAAGACCATCCTTGGTCTCTCCACCGACCACCCGATCGTTCAGGAATACGCCGCCCGACACCCCGCACTGCAGCTCGAGAAGAACAAAGAGCTTGGTACGGCCGCGTTCAAGAGCAAGGCTTTCACCGAGGAGGAAGAGGCCTGGCTTGTTGAGGAGCTGCTGGCCATGGAGCTCCAGAGCATCCAGAAGAACGCCGAAGTTGCTGCCGGAGATTCATCGTCCATCCGCTCCATTGTTCTTACTGTTCCTCCTTACTTCACCGCCGAAGAGAAGCGTGCTCTCCAAACAGCCGCTGACCTGGCGGGCCTCAAGGTTCTCAGTCTCATCAGCGACGGTCTCGCTGTTGGTCTCAACTATGCCACTTCTCGCCAGTTCCCCAACATCAACGAGGGTGGAAAGCCAGAGTACCATCTTGTCTTTGACATGGGTGCCGGCTCCACCAAGGCTACCGTCATGAAGTTCCAGAGCCGCCTTGTTAAAGACATTGGCAAGTTCAACAAGACAGTCCAAGAAGTTGCCGTTATTGGCACTGGCTGGGATAGGACTTTGGGCGGTGACGCCCTCAACTCTCTCATTATCGATGATATGGTCACCCAGTTCGTTGAGTCCAAGGGCGCACAGAAGATCTCTGCCCAGTCCGAGAAGGTCAAGGCCCATGGGCGTGCTATTGCGAAGTTGACCAAGGAGGCGGAGCGCGTGCGCCACATCCTCAGCGCCAACACCAACACTGGCGCCAGCTTTGAGGGCCTCTACGAGGATGTCGATTTCAAGTACAAGATCAGCCGTGCTGAGTTCGAAAAGATGGCCGAGGGCCACGCCTCCCGCGTCGAAGCGGTCGTTCAGAACGCCCTCAAGATGGCTGGCCTGGAACTCTCCGACCTGACCTCCGTCATTCTTCACGGTGGTGCGTCTCGCACCCCCTTCGTCCAGAAGCAGTTGGAGTCTGTTGTTGGTTCTGCCGACAAGATTCGCACCAACGTCAACTCGGATGAGGCCGCCGTCTTCGGTGCCGGCTTCCGTGCCGCTGAGTTGAGCCCTAGCTTCCGTGTCAAGGAGATCCGCATCTCTGAGGGCGCAAACTTCCCCTCCGGCATGAAATGGACCAACAACAAGAACAAGCTCCAGCACCAGCGTCTGTGGTCAGCCATCTCTCCCCAGGGAGGTGTTGCGAAGGATGTTACCTTCACCAACCACGACGACTTCTCTGTCACCTTCTACCAACAAATTGACTCTGCTGAGCAGGATACTAAGATCCTGACTACCAAGAACCTCACTGCCTCCGTCGCGCAGCTGAAGGAGAAGTATTCTTGTGTTGACAGCGATATCCACTTCAAGGTTGGTGTCAAGCTTAGCGGCGAGAACGGCGAGGTCGAAGTTACCAAGGCTACTGTTGAGTGTGAGGCGGATGCCCCCGAGAAGGAGGGCTTCGTTGACGGCGTCAAGAACCTGTTTGGCTTCGGCAAGAAGGATCAGAAGCCGCTGGACGGTGAGGAGGGTGAATCTTCGTCCGCCTCTACTGAGTCTTCCTCAACTACCACGCCATCAACCGAGAGCAAGACTTCCTCTGCCTCGGCTTCTGCCAGCCCTAGTGACGCTAGCGCCGATGACAAGGAGGCCCCCAAGAAGGAGCTTGTCGTTATTGACGTTGACTTCACACTTGAGAAGACTGGCCGTCCCGAGCTCTCTCGCGATGAGCTGATCAAGTCTAAGGACCGCCTCAAGGCGTTTGAGGCTTCTGACAGGGCCCGCCGCCTTAGAGAAGAGGCTCTCAACCAGCTCGAGGCTTTTACCTACAAGGTCCGCGATCTCCTTGAGAGCGAGTCTTTCATTGCCTTTTCTACCGAAAAGGAGCGCACCACCCTAGAGAAGAAGAACAGCGAGGCAAGCGACTGGCTCTACGAAGACGGCGCTGACGCCTCCCGAGAGGAACTCAAGAAGAGATACAAGGAGCTCCACGACCCTGTCTCCAAGATCCAGAAGCGGGTGGAGGAGGCCGAGAAGCGTCCCGAGCTGATCAAGGGCCTTAAGGACGCATTGAACTCTACGCAATCTTTCGTCGGCAACATCAAGAAGCAGATTGAAGAGTACGACGCGTGGCACGCGTCAGCCTCTGCCTCTGCTAGTGAGTCACCTAGCACCTCCACGGAGACGCCGTCAGCCACGCCCTCCGGCGACTTTGACGGCCTCGAGGATGACGAGGCCTCCGCCGGCGACAAGGAGCGCAAGATGGAGGACGTCGTCAAGGAGCGCGGCCCCGTCCCGCCTCTGTACAAATTGGAGGACCTCGATGTCGTCGAGGGACTGTACGAGGACACGTTGAAGTGGCTCAAGGAGGCGGAGAAGAAGCAGGAGGCCCTGGCCGCGACCGCAGACCCTGTCCTTCTCGTCAAGGACCTGCAGGCCAAGCGCGACAAGCTTGACAAGGCCGGTATGGACCTCGCCATGAAGGGCGTCAAGCACTTCGAGAAGAAGTCGAAGAAGGCGACCAAGAGCGCCAAGGCCAAGAAGACCAAGTCCGCCTCTTCATCGACTACCAACACGGCTTCTGCCTCGTCCGAGTCGGGCAAGAAGCCCACCACCACCATCCCGCTCAAGAGCTCGACCGCCGAGCCGGAGCCTGCCGCCGGCCGGACCGTCGAGATTCCGGGTGGTGGCAGTTACGTCCAGTTTGGTGGCAGTGGAGACACGCCAACCGAGGAGGAGCTGGAGGAGATTTTGAAGAAGTTTGAGCAGCACAAGGCCCCGGGCCAGGAGCAGGAGGATGCGCCTGAGCACGATGAGCTCTAAGGGGTTGGAGCCGGGAGCGTTTCGCAATGAAGTTATAAGCATACCATACCTAGGCGTTAGATGAATTAAAAGAGCCAAGACACTATTATCCGTATCAGATCTCCGTGCAATACTGTGCTCCGATTTGTGATTTGGAACACTACAATATGCCTATTTACAATACTACAGTAATCCCGGCCCCGCTAGAGATGGCATGTCATCTTTCACTTACCTCAAATCGAATGATGCAAATCCTAGAATGCCGAGACGGACGTTTGAAAAGTGTGAAGACTCGAAGGAAGCAAACATGTTCAGCTACATAGGCCAAAATAGAAAGCCAAAGAAGAAAAAGAAAAAAAAAGCCATGTGACACAAGCTGTCGATTTATCAGTGCACGGAGAAGGCGTCCGCTGTGATGTGTGCACAATTTGCGAGCCACAGCTCTACGAATATAGCACATCATAAACCACATGACACTTCGACTTACACCTGCGTTATCTCCTCCGCAGCCGGCCCGAAATGTCTACCTCTCACACAGATACAGCCTCACCGAGTGTATTTCCCGTTTGCCACCCTCCGCCTTAATCCTCACTGTGCCACATGATAGTCCACATCTCCTCCCGTCCCACCTATTCGTCGCCGGCAAGGTCCCCATCTAGTTCCGGGGAATGCATCCGTCAGGCACAGATGCTTCGTGTAGAACTCTCGGCCATGGAACCATCAGGATGTATCGCAAATTGCCATGTTGTTCGCACCACCCCAGACATCATCTTGTCATCATCACAGCCCGCGCGTTTCAGGGCGTGACAGAACCAAATTTGGTTTTCCTCCAGCGTGTATTGTACGGTGAGACCCTCGTGACAAGAGACTTGATGCTGGTCTTCTTTCCTCTATTGCCGTGACCAAACGCTCGTCTACGGCCAACCTCTCGGCTTGCTTTCCTTCAGGATGGAAGACGGGTATCTGCACCGGCAGCTAGGTCCGGGAGTGCTACAAGCCAACAACAAAGACAAACTTTCACCAAGGGGAAAAAGAAGAAGAAAAATTCTCAGTAGAAGAGTTTGTCCTACGCGAAACAGCAAACAATGTTGGCGACAGATCATCATCTCGGCTCTTCAATGAGGTCTCAAGTGCCCTTACAAAGAAGTCCAAGACATCAGTCCATGTGACGGGATACATATATATAGAGAGAGGGATGATAGCCGGACAGAGTTGATGTGGAAGAGAGAGAAAACCAGGATCACCAAGTGTGCCTTTCAAGACTTTTTTCATCGTACTTTTCCACAGGTGCTTGCCGAACAGACCCATCATGATGCTCTCTCGTCTTGCCCCGTTCGTATGGCTCGCCATGGCACACGCCCTCCCAGTCGACCAGGATCCTTCCAGCATCCCAGCCCCCGGATCCCCTTTCACGATCCCCGTCCGTGTCAACCCGCACTATGTCCCCGACGGCCCGGCCGACTTAGTAGCCGCCTACCGCAAGTGGAACATGCCCGTGCCGGAGGCTCTCGAGAAACACTTGCTGACCCGGCGAGCTGGGTATTCCTGCAAGTGAACCCCTTCTGTGAAGTCTCTCTGTTGGAGAAAGAGTTGAAGCTAACGAGAATGGGTACTTCCTAGCCGGGTACTCTACCGCCAAAAGTACAAACGGCGACAGCTACTGGTTGTCGGAGATCTTCGTCGGTACCCCTGAAGCTCAGGCTATTCCCGTGTTGATCGACTCTGGGTCTTCCGACTTGTTGGTCTCCTCTTCATCCATGTCTATGATGTACCTGAAAGGATAGCTAAAACGGTGGGAACACAGCTGGCTGATGTCCACCGACACCCAATTCGGCAACGCAGCGAAGAACGGCAAACCCAAGTTGTACGATCCCTCCAAATCCGAAGCGAGCCAGGAAGTCGCAGGAGCCTCATGGAACCTACAATATCGTTCGTCGTTAACATCTAACCAAACTACTACTACCAATGTACTAACATCTGAATAGACGACGGCAGCAGCTCCTCTGGGAAAGTCTACCTCGACATGCTTCGGATAGGCCTCATGACTGACTACAACTGGTTCAACATATCCAATGCAACAATCCAGTCAGCTGTCTCGGTAACCAACCGCCTCGCCGTCGACCCGAACCTCAGCGGTGTCCTAGGCTTGGCGAAACAGCGCCCTTCAAACATCCAGCCCCGGATGCCCTCCATCATGGACCGTCTTAAGCAAGAGTTGCACTTCGAATTCATCGGCGCCGACTTGCGTGCCAATTCGTCCCTCGGCTCCTGGAACTTTGGGAGTAGCCAGGGCGGCGGTAAGAACCTTATCCACGAGCCGCCCGTGCCTAACTCTGAGCACTGGGATTTCCGTGTAGAGGGATTTCGCCTCAGTTCCATGAGCGACAACTCCTGGTACACCGCACGCATGACCGCCACTGTCGACACGGGCAGCAGTTTGCTGCTTCTCCCGGGCACGGTCGTTGCCAAGTACTACGCAGAGATTCCCGGGTCATCGTTCGATGAGACGCTGCAGTCTTGGCTGTTTCCCTGCGACATTGCATCAGGAATACCGGATTTCGAATTCTCGACAAGCGGCGGATATACAGGCAAGGTTCCAAAGGCGTACATAAACATCGGCCCAGTCCCGGGAAATACCGAAAAGTGCTATGGCGGTATCCAGAAGAGCGTCCACAACCATGCCATTTTTGGATCAGTGGTGCTCAAGACTTTGTATGTACAATTCAACTACGGCGAAAGAGGAAGCTTCGTCAGCTTCGGCAGCAAGGGCCTGGATGTGTGCTCTGTCACTAGCACATGCACGCAGTGAGATGGTGTCTGCAATTTGAATTCAAGGGAGACGGGGTGATCGAAGAATGTGGTTGTTTAATGGCGTCGAAATGCTAGTTGTTTCAGGGATTTAGAATTCCTGCCAAGTCAGAAAAAGAGAAATAAAACCGTTAGGAACCAAGACGTAGTTTGCAATGTGAACCTATCTCAGTCAAACTGACGTAATTTCTGTAAAGTGTTGTCGCATTTCGCACACCCCACCTCAAATCAAAGAATGATTGTCACCCACACACTGGAATTGAGCAGCATCCTGGGAGCTGGATGTCGTCTTCGCCTTTCAAAAACGCTCAACAAATCAGAGATGAATTCCATTTCTTCTCCTGGTATATACAGATTCAGCCCTATCCTCTGCTGGTTATCAGTGACCAGAGGGCCTCTGTCCTGGTACAAGCAATCCGCACATGCATGCTGTAACTCCTCGACTTGGTGGTAAAAAAGAAAATGCGTGAACCTTGAGGTCGGCACAAGAACAAAACCAACTGCAAAAGATGTCATGATGAATCAGGAATGGCATGCCTCAACACGCCCGCAGAGCAGGCTTGCGGCTGGTATAGCGAGCGACGTCCCGTCACAAAATGTAATACTCGGCACGTGTCTATGCCAAGAACAACCGACTCCATACCAAAAGAGGGCTCCTTTCTAATACGAGGAGCCCTCGAATTCTAAGGTCGACGTCGCGGTACGATAAGGCCGTAAAAATCGCAGAGTGCGGGTATATGCAGGATTGCGCTCAAGCGTTGATGCGAACGAGTCCGCTGTCGCAGTCTAAAAAAAAGGACCCTCTATCCTCACGCCCGGTCGCGGTCGCCGTCTGATGTGACAAAACAAGCAGGTCAGCATTTTGTGACATCAAGGAATAAATGATTGCCATTGCTTGCTTGTAGTGGCGGTGCTGGGAAGGAGGGAACTCAGGCGGAAGGTGGTATTTGTGGGTATAACGCGGTTTGGTAGATTAAGGTGTAGCTGTTCAGTATCGGGGAGGGCTGTCGTCAAGGTCATCCTTGCCGACGAAGTCGTATTCACCTTCGCTGGCAGTGGGTGTAGGCGGCATGTTCGCCGACGACGGCGCATGAGGCTGGTTTTGGCGGGCCGTACCTGGTCGTGACCGAACCTTCTCCGCCTCCTTGGACAAGGCGGCGACCGCGGCTTGAGTAGCCTGCCGGTCGGCAGGTTTCTGGTTGGAGCCATTGCTCTTCAAACGCTCCTCCATCTCCCGAATGCGGCGCTCAAGAGCTTCGAGCTCGTTGGTCTGGCTCTGGACGGTTTGCTTTCTGTAAAAGACGACTGTTAGTAGCTTGATTCGTAGGCAAAGTAATGCCACGGGAACACGAGAAACTAAATCCTAAGAGGGGGGGCTGGCACATACCGTTGGTCGATTTTCTCGTCCAGGTCGGCAACACTGTTTTCAATGCGGAAGATGTCCATCAGCTCAGCAGAGAAGGAGCGGGCAATAGTACTGCAATTCGGTAGTTAGCCCAACAGCTCACTCAGTTGCCTCTACATGCCAGATGGAGAGAAGCAATGGAGTACGTACGATTGTGGGCGACGGCCATTGGGAACCCAGTCTCGATCGAGCTCAGCGTCAGTAAGGTTGTGCGCCATATCGTCGTTGGTTTTTTGGGTTTATTGTTTTTTTAGCTTGCTGAAAAGAGGCAATGTAGGTTGTAAGGTTGAAGATGACAGCAAGTAAAGCAGGAAAGCAGGGACCGGAGATGGTTAGGATCGCAGTCGACAAAAAGGGAGGATGATCAGCAACTAGTGGGCGGTTGGCAGTATTGACAGGGTGCTGCTTGTCACACTAGTAACTTAGGGTCGCGACTGTAATATAGGTTGGAAAAGTAGACCAACAATACGACGGAGGCAGAGACGGAGGACGACGAGGTAACGAAGAAGGATTCGTCGCAGGGAAAAAAAAACAGAGTCGAGTCAAGAGTATGTGTGGAGAGAAGAGGGGGTATCTTTATTGCGCCGGGAAGGACGATGTTGAAGGTGGCCGAGGACTTGTTTCGTCTGCAGACGACAGGGGGAAAGGATATGGTTGGCGGGAAGTGCGGTGGGAAAGAAAGGAAGAGAAGATTAGGAAGCACAGGAGAAGTAAACAGCTGGGGAGATTTGGATGCGGGATGCCGTGGACTTTGTAATAGGAAAAGGCGTTGGACAGTGCAAAGCTGGAAATACCACGCAGGACACAAGAGGAGGATAACAAGAAGGAACGGTGCCTGGCATCTGGGCCTCTAGGATGGTGGGCGTCACTTAGATCACAGGCCGGGAAAGGAAAAGGGCCAGGCACAGGCGCAAGCACAAGCACAGTAGACTGACAGACGGTGTACCCGATGGAGGTGTGTGGAGAAGGGTGATTGCTGCTCTCGCCCGCATCATCTCCTTCCACGGGCAGCCGGCAGCCAGCACCGTAGTCAGTCGCAGGAAAGTCAGTCAGATGCGGTTACCTACCATGTACGTAGCGTGTTAGTACGTACATAGTATGAGTACATGCTGCAGTTGCAGGACCTTGGGTCCGGTGGAGGTGTAATTACCAGGTTACCATCTGTAATCAGCTGCAAAAGGAATGGCCTCGAGACCCAGTCAATTGGGCGCAGAAGGTGAGAATGGGGGGAGGGGGAGGGGAGTGGGAGTGGGAGTGTTCATGCGACCTGACCAGGACAGGCGATCCAAATCTAAAAAGGACACCGCAGATGGGTGGCCCGCATGGAATTGGGACTGCATTAATTAGGCTCCTGACACCTCCAACAAGAGCCAGAAGTAGGCACAGGCGCACCATGGCGGGGATGAAAGCATGAAGTGAGATGGAGGGGGTTTGTTTGAGACCACGTATCGACGACGACGACACTTTTCTTGTTGCTAGATTCACTCTGCGATCCCTCCAGAGAGGAAAACTGTGTGGGCGTGTATGTGTGCCTTGTGTCACCACCGAATTTTAGGTGTAAGCAAATCGTCTCGTCTTATCGGCATGGGAATAAAACAGAGGCGCAGGAAACAGCAGACTATTGCGCCCCAGACGCGAAGTCCGGGCAACTGTCGCAACTGGATAAAGAAAGAAGGAGAGAGAAAAAAGAAGAGTCCCCCCCTTCCTGCATGTATCCCACGCTCAGTAGTACCTCACGCCGTCCATCCTTTAGCGGCAACAACTGCCCTACGGTTATGTTCTCTCCCCCTTCCATATGCATATTTAGAGACCCTGGAAATCCTGCACGCTGTCTGAAAGGGTGTTTAGCGCCGTACGCCCATACACTATTTCCATACTCAATCCTCCGTAAGGTCTTCTATATTCCGAGGTAACAAGTACGTACCCCTGGCATCTTCACGAACTCCCCCCATCCACTCTCCACGAACATGTCCGCCCGGCACCAACACCTTTTCCACGACACCTTACCTTAAACACGCCTCATTCCCCATTTCTTGTTGCCTTCATCATGCCGGCAAATTACGCCTCGTCAAACCACCTAGCTACTCGAAACGAATCAACTGACCTGACCCGTCTGGTTCGTCTCTCTACACCTTCTCCAAATCTTCCGCCCCAGCCCAGTCAGCTGTGCCTGGGGGACCTCTGCATGTCACTCGTCAGCCACCACATGACGTTCAAGTCTGCTTTGTAGCCGCATTGTGTCAGTCAGTCCTTTGTCTGGATGAGTGACAGAAGGCCCTGCAGGTACCGTATGCCCTCCCCTTGGCCTGCCCGACTACCTAGACAAGCATTTTACCCTCCGTCCATGAGGAAGATCTTCCCATCTTGCACAATACTCCGAAAACTCGATGCATTACATGCACATTAACTCACACTTATCCGTACATTTCAGCACCATCTGATCTCATCTCTGCCACCCCCTCCACGACTTCAATGTCCCTGTCGATTAAAAAGGGGCAACTTCGCGACTTTGCCCATTTGATATGCCATCAAATTTCGGACCGCCCTAATCAATTTGACTTCCTGGTCAAACACCCCCAAACTTGATCAAAGCGCGTAGGGAAGTCCCGCTGTAGCGCCCAGCCGCCAACAACTATTTTTTCCCTATCTTTAATCTCGCCAATCCTCCGAGTCGAACCGCTCTCAGAGCCCTTATGGGCCAAATCCAACATCTTGGACTCGTGAGCTTGGGGTTCTGCCCTCCCACACAGTGCATTCGTGCCAAAGCCTTTTCCTCACTACAAAATCGCCAGGCGTCTTTCGCTTCTTGCTTATGCCCTTGTTAAGGTAAGATCATCTTGATCTCGTTCAACCTGGGAACGAAAAGAAACCATGACGCAAACCTCTCTCCAATAGACAGACGCATTGCCCGTCGACTTCAACCCAGCCAATGCGGGCAAAGTCATCAAGCGAGCGCCATATTAACGCACGCCTCCACTCCACTCACCCTGCACAAAATTATTATTACGTGAATAAACGCGAAATACCCGCGTTGCGGGACACAGCGAGCAGGTTGTGAATGAAAAATCAGAGTGAGAAATGACTTTATTCAGAGGGAAGGCCGGCAAAGACATCCAGCCGCCTTGAATGGTAAGAGACCTGTCGATGCCAAAACTCTCTAGAGCAACTTTCATGAGGCTCAACCAGTATTGGTGTCTCAGCACATGTAGAGTTTGATGAAAAGCCTGAATCGATTTTAATTCTCCCGTAGCCATGCTGTTTGGGCCATGCTTGAGACAAGCTTATCTCGCCGCAACAACAGATGCAACTCATAGACATCAGCCGTCCAGTAGCAAACCAGAGCCAGAGTGCCTGACAGCCCCATATCCCACATGCCAAGAGCCTGGGGAAGCTGCTGTTCTCAGATGAGTTGCGCTTCTCGACGATGAAGTAAGTCTCCTCCTCTGTGCGTCATAGCCTTGCGTATTCAGGCGCCACAAACGTTCAGACGAAGAGCCATACCTTGCGGCTTCTTCCAGCACTACCTCACAACTAATATCCATACCTCACCGTCCTCTCGAACTGGTACGAGATAGCTATCTCTGAAGACGACACTATCCTCGGTCATGGAGTTGAATATGCTTCCCAGCCTGGGCCTGACTGAGTCCTCGCCCGACAATTCAAGCGCAACGCCCAAACACCAACGCACCAGCAGCTTCATGACATCAATGCGGCATGCTGTGCTGTGGCTCCCACCTCGACTTCCTCACCACCAACCGTGCCACGGTGTCTAAGTTCTCATACAAAAGTCAACTGGACCAACTCAGGTGCCGAGCTGCTCCCGCACTTGAACGCTCATACGAGAGACTTGAGGTTAGCCGTGGGTAGTCCGACCCACGAAACCGGGTTGACATGCACGGGAAGAGGACGGTAGGGCTCGATCATTGGGAGGTCTGGACGTGTTCATGGTCTATTTTGACTGACGACGCAGCGGATGTACGATCAACTCCGTTCCATTTGCGATGCTAAGCAAATCCGATCCCTAAGGCCCAAGGTATAATGCTTCATCGAGCATCTGTAAAGCCTCCTGACCAGGCAGATGATATGACCAATCCGTCCCTTGTCCCCCGTTGCGTTTTTTTTCGTCATGCATACCACACTCTTTGGAGATGGTTTAGTCAGAGCCACCGACAGCGCGGGCTAAGGGCATAATGTTAGCTGATTGTTCCGGTCCCAGTCGATGAGCAATTTCGTGAGACGTACTGTAGATCTTCATCTTGCTGTGCTGCACCACGGGCTTGATGATGCCCTTCTCCTCGAGGTCGGCAAGGCACTGCCGTGCCAGGGAGCCGTTGATCTTGAGACGGTCGACCAGGACGGCAACGGTCACCAGGCGGTAGGACTGGACATCCTTGTAGAGCTTGTCGGAGGTGGTCTTGTCGAGGATGACGGCGTGCTGGGCCTTGTCCTTGACCTTTCCCTTAGACCTATGCGATGGGTGAGTCGGCTGTCGATGGAAGGGGAGGCGAAGCGATCGAGGCACACAAAATCGTCGTCGGGGAACTTCGATGAAAAAAATGTCTCGCGCACACAGGAATCATACGTACCACTGCCATGAGAGTTAGCAAATATTGGAATCACGCACGATAGGGACAAGTCTCAACGAACCTTCTTCTTTTGCTTCTTAGCTCCAGCAGCAGGCGCCTTTACCAAACAGTCAGTACATTTTCCCGCCAAGTCAAAAACGGCATACGTAGGGCCACCCGTACCATTTTGTCTGATTTGTGATGTCGTCGTGGGAATTCAGGCACCTGGGTCGGTCGTCGGGAGTAGGAATTTCAATTGTATGAGGTTGCGGAAAGAGGTGCCACCCACTTTGACCCCCCTCCAGCCGAAGATTCGCCCAGGGCAGAGCAACCCTAACATTTTGCGCGTCGCAAAGGTACGTACCTCCATTTCAGAGCTTTTGATTGGCCCGCACCACTCCCACCACCACTCAGAAAAAAATCCCAAGGCAGGAATGAGAGAAAGCCCTGAAGTGTGGACTGGGGCCCTGACCACTTTGCACTCACGAGATTCGAGCCGAGCAGGAAAATCGAAACCCACTCTAGCCCGTACTTTCGCACTTGGACAACTTCAACCCACGACCAACATTTTCCCACACTCGATTTCCTCCCCAAGGTCCTACTAACCCCCAAGGTCGAGCGAAAATGTCTGACGGCGGTGATATCGAGGTCGAGAACGTCGGCTCCTACGACGTCCTCCCCAAGGACGTTGTCAAGGAGGTCGGCAACGTCAAGCTCTTCAACAAGTGGGATTACGATGTTGAGGTCCGCGACATCTCTCTGACGTGAGCCTCTCCCTCCCCTCCTCTCAAGAGGATTCGAACTTGCGATCCCGCAAACGACGGAAACACCAAGAAACGAGAAAGAGGAATTTGGATTGCTAATTGGGATATCAATCGAATAGTGACTACATCTCCCTCCGCAACCCCGTCTATGTCACCCACTCTGCTGGCCGCTATGCCGTCAAGCGTTTCCGCAAGGCCAACTGCCCCATCATTGAGCGCCTCACCAACTCGCTCATGATGCACGGCCGCAACAACGGAAAGAAGCTCATGGCTGTCCGCATTGTTGCCCACGCCTTCGAGATCGTATGTCGCCCGAATTTCCCACCTGAGCCCACCGAAAAAAAAAAAAATCGGCTCTGGCCGGTTCTCACACTGGGCCCAAAGAGGAGCAGAAGAAAAAAAACAAACACATGAGAACAATCAGTTAGGACATGACAATGCTAACACATCGCGCACCTAGATCCACCTGATGACCGACCAGAACCCCATCCAGATCGCCGTCGACGCCATCGTCAACTGCGGTCCCCGTGAAGACTCGACCCGTATCGGTTCCGCCGGTACCGTCCGTCGCCAGGCCGTCGATGTCTCCCCTCTTCGCCGCGTCAACCAGGCCATCGCCCTCCTCACCACCGGTGCCCGCGAGGCCTCCTTCCGCAACGTCAAGTCCATTGCCGAGTGCCTTGCTGAGGAGCTGATCAACGCCGCCAAGGGCAGCAGCAACTCTTACGCCATCAAGAAGAAGGATGAGCTGGAGCGTGTCGCCAAGTCCAACCGGTAAAGGGTTTATTACTGTCTGTCAGAAGGGCTACTTCTCTTGGCTGGATCTGGTGGTGCTGGGGTTGAGGAAACTTCATCACGCTGTGGAGGAGAACCATCGAAAAATGGAACTCTTTTTTACGTCGTAAAACTGCTTTTGGGGACAAATCAACGGAGGCGTGGTATTACATACAGGGCAATCATCATCTTTTTACCAAAAAAAGAATGTTGCGCTGACCTTTGCATTTGCGCGTTCGGGAATGGGGAACGCGGCTACGGCATCTTGTCTCTTGCGGCTCTAGGTGGTTTTCCAATAAAAGCCAAGCTCGTCAGAGCAAATGATCAACCCGCGTTCCGGTGTGCCTGGTGAAATTGGGATATGATACCCCTATGAGTCGTAAAATATCATGAGACTGGACTGGCCCGCGCTGCCATGTGATATGACCATACATGACCATGGGCAAAATAAAATTCCGCATGTTAGACGAGTCCCTACTCAGTGAGTTGTTTTTTTCCAAACGTGCCATTGATGCAGTTCCTCTCGTCATGGTAATCCTGCATCTCCGCTTCCATCCACCTTTTCCTCAAGGACACACCTATTGCACTTGCTCTCTACACCTATGATCGTCTATTGTTACTTCTGTGGAGGCACAACAGGAACACACGGACAGTTCTCCGTATAGCACCCTTTCGAAAAGAAAAAGAAAGACTACGGACTTTTGCGATCACATGGAAGGCGCCATGAGTCCGTTCTCCAAAACTCCCATCCAAGGCTTTCTATTCACGTACAGAACTTTACGCCGACACTCTGGTGTCGAATTCATGGCTACAAATCTATTAACTTTTGCTAACTACCATAAGTGATATTAGGGATCATCATCCCAGAAGATAAACAACAAGTCATCGTCAATCATGAATCATAAATTTCCCCAAGCTGTGCGAAGCCCAAGACCGATCCCCGTGGGAGCCATCATATCTGCATCCAGAGCCAACTACCTAGTTGAGCGGTTGCGCCAAGGTATGCCTTATCCGTATGATGCTCCTAAGCTGAGCATCATCGCTGCCTGCTCCTCACCTGTAACCCCACTGTGTGCTTTCTGCAGCTTCAGACAACGGGAGTCTCTGATTCAATGTCCAATCGCAAGAACATACCCTTATGCTCGATACCCTCCTCCCACCAGGTTCCCATTCCTTCATCAACCTTGAAGCCAAACTTCTCCCATGCACCGATGACGTGCGTTTGCGCATGCACACACACGAGACCCTTCCACTTGGGTACCTCCTCAGCTGTCGAGGCCCCAATCTGCTCGAGCCCCATCTCCTTGATGCTTGGGTCGAAATAGCTCGGGTTCTTTTTCAGCCACGCAAGTGCTGTAGTGACCAACAGCCTTCCGATACGGTGTCCTCTAAACTCCCGTATCACAGCCAACCTACCCAGCTTGACATAAGGTTCCTTCCCGTCATGGAGTTCCGTTGCACGATCCGGTTGGGTGAAGGGCTTGGCTGCCGATGACCTCCTTTCCTCACCCACATGCTCCGCAGCGCCCGCTGCACCATCCTCCTTAATGGGACTTTTCTCTGCCTCCGGCGACTTCGCAGTCCCCTCACCCGCGCCGACAGTTTTCTCCTCCTTGAGCTGACCATCCCAGTAAACGCCCCCCTTCTTGGGGTGGGGGTCGTGAGGGAAGGGCACCAGACGGATAGTGCCGATTGGGGTGCTACGGGTGCTGCTGCGGCGCGGCTTGATGATGTTGCCGGCGTCATCAAGGACTTCTTGTTCGACGACCTTGTTGACCGAGGCGTACGAAATCCAGTGACAAGAACGGCTGTCATCAGCGTCGAATTCGTTCTCGGCAGGAACCCCTTGCTCCTTGACGAAAACGATTTCACGAACCTCCATGGCGTCGCAAAATTCCTTAGGGATAGAAGCCGGCTGCTTATCGTGCGGTACACCGCGGATATAAGCGTCGAGCCTGGTCGGCTCGAGGAGGGATACAAAAGGCGTTCCCATGTTGGCGGTGAGATGACTGGAGAGGTGTTAGTAAGTGGGTTGTTTGAGCGGAGTGGGATGCGACGGACACGTTGGATCTGTTCTAGAAGTCGCTTCTCCGAAATATTGTTGCTGTGAGGTTGAAATTAAGCTCAGGTATTTTGGGCTAGGATATGTATCTGTTTATAGAAGCATGGAGCTGTGAAGTTGGATGAGGAGATAATTTTATTGCGGAAGCGCTACCTAACGTCTCACCTAAATGCTTGGAAGGCGTGACAGGTCAGTAGGTACTTAATAAAGGCAAGTGCGCTTAGGGAAGGCATGCACTAAAGCAACCGAAAAAAACGGGGAGGAACCACCACCGCCACTCACTTAAACGGTCCTGTTGTCATCTGGGACTCTGTCTCCGCCATCCAGACATGGCGACGCATCCAGGTGGTCAATCTCCAACCCGTTCTCTTTGACTTCCTTTTCTGCGAAAGGGAACATGTGAGAAATGTCCCCAGCCGCCGATGTTACAGCGTATAGGCGGGGCCAGCAACATAAGTACAAATGACGTTGGTAGGCACCTCTCCCCGGCTGTCCTGGTGGCGTCCTGCCCGCCGATCCAAGCGGCGTGTGGGGGCCCATTCAGGACCGAACTCCGACGCAGGTCATTCGCAAGTGACCTTTACCTTTACTGTGTCTGGGGCAATCGGTATTGTTCATTTCACGTGTCCTCTCGTCTCATGTCGCGTCTCCTGGATTCTATTGGGCCAGGCGTCAAGATCAGCGACTGCAAACCCAAGGGCTCTAATGCAACTTGATAGAAGGCCCCCAACCTGATCCTGACAGTAGCCCTACCGCACCGACACAGTTATGCCAAAAGACAGGGTACAGCTAGTTTAAGTATACAATAGGATATGGTACTGGGCGTTGATTGTTGGAATACCTCCTCAGATATCCGGGTTCATTCCCTGCTTATTTCTGCCGCATTACGTCTGCCCCGGCGCAAGACTCTCTGGCTACTTTAACCGACGGGATTGCCATCCAAGTATTTTGAAGCAGCAAGGAAGATATTTATAAGAATAAATGCCAATGAGATGGCAAGCTATCTGTCTAGGATCAAGAAGATTTATAATCACACGAAACCGTTAGCAGATGCTTCAGGGGCGGCTTACTTCATCGCCTGTATTATTGTGCAACAAAAGGCACTTATACTCCAATATGGTGCGTCAAACTGTAACAACAATAACTCTGAAAACGTCCAAGCAAAGGTTCCAGGTAACACTTGACCAGAGACCTCAGACTATGATCTCCGAATGTTCTGGAACGACTCTGCTTGACTATGTGCCCCAGATGTCGACCAGTTCTCAAGGTAACCACAGTGTGTCCTTGCGACCAGGGTATCTAACTGTGAATATCCTGGGCCCAGCAGCGGCGCCGAAAATTGATCAGATTTTCATTGGAGGCGGGAGCGACCCAGATCAACACGATGACCTATGACTTGATTGGCTAATCATAGTTCTCGCCGGAAAATACTTGCGTATAAGAGTGTATTGCGACAGCGTGGTCAAACGCCAAATCCGAAGCGCTTTTCTTTCACAGTTTTGACTTTGTCAAAGGCAACATTTTCGCCAGTTTGTATTCGCTAAGTAGGAAAAGTCCTACGCGTACGTGATTCTACGCATAAAACGCCCAAACCCGAAAACTCCGCGTAAAGAACCGCAGTAAGCTTTAGCAGCTTATCATCCGTATTGGCTCAATTCGACTTGTCTATCTCCTCCAATACAGTCACACACCCCGAGGTATCTATGCGGTGACCTCAACACTCTGTTCGACGCCGTCGGCGCTGCCGGAGTTGACCTTCTTTCCCGTCTTGGCAATGGTCTGAAGGACCTTCTCGTAGGGGAGACTCTCCTCGGCAACGACGGTGGCGGTCTGGCTCTCGAGGGAGACCTCGTAGGACTTGACGCCTGTTCAGGAATCTGTTAGCAAAGGTCTCTTGCTGCTACTTATTCTCCTTCATCGCTAACCATCACCGATGGTGTCACCGCCTTTCCTACAAGTGGGAACGGCCGAACCATGGCGGAGACAACGAGGGATGGCATGTGCACTGGCAGGAGCTGGGGCAGAGAAAAACTCACCGTCAAGCTTCTTCAGGACACGGTCAACGGCACCGGAGCAGCCGCCGCAGCTCATGCTGACGTTGAACTTGTAAGTGTGCTCAGACATTTTTGCGTGTTGGTATCGGTGGTTGGAAGTAAAGTTGTAGAGTTGGTGGTTTGTAATTGGGAGGGTTTGTGGAATGGCGTTTTTGGCGGGGTAAAGTAGCTAATAAAAGGAGGGGCAGCTGCTCTTTTTAGGTATCCTAGTGGTCCTGCTCAGTTGGGATTTCAGGATTCGTCTTGGATGAATGTGAGTTAGACTCGGTGCGGTTTCCAAAGAAGCAATAAAGGGGGTATCTTGATAAAAAGTAATAATCGAGGTTCAAGGTGAGACTGAATAGGACGACGTTGATTATATATCTGTCCAAAGCGCTGTATTAATAATTGCATTCCTCCCAGCAGCGCTTCAGCCGTGGATGGCGCAAGCTCCCGGGCGTCTTAAGCCCAGCTCAGTCCAGCCCCCAGCGCTCCAAACGGCCCTCATCCCCCGAAATCTCGTTCTGAAACTTGCTCACTCTCCTCCCCCTTCTACCCTAGAGCTGCCATCTCCTGAAACGGACCCATTCGTGCCGTACTGCGAGCGCATTTCATTTCAGCACACGTCACTCTGTTCACACCTACATTGTCCCAGGAACCTATACTGTGCCTCCGGATCGGCGGCCCTTTTGCAGCAGATCTCAAAAGCTTGGGACCTTTACCGGCATCTGTCCTTCCCCAAGGGTCTCCCTCTTCTCCCCATCTCACGTCCATGGATGTCGCGTGCGGTCGAACCCGCCCGACTAACCAGGTACAAGGGTATGGTGTATATAAGCTCATCTTCAGACCATTTGGCTTAGAAAACTACGGCAACTTTTATCGATGTATATCAACTTGACCTTCCCAATGCAAGATGCTGAAATCTCTAGAGTATTTTACATTGAGTAGAAAACCACTGTCTAGGGGAAGCCATGGTGTTTAGTTTACTCTTAGTTAAATCCGCCAGGTGGCTGAGGCTGGCGGTCCTCGCCGTCATCCACATCCTCGTCAGCATCAATTGGGAACCCATCCCCTTCCTCGCCCTCCCCAGAAGCCGCCGACCATCCACCAGGGACCATAGATGCCAACAAGTCCGCAAGTCTCTGTACAATACCAGCAGATGGGGGCTGGCCATCTTCTCCTTCTATGGCAAATTCGTCGTCACCGTCAACGAACTCGCCTTCCCAGGCATCTGCAAAGTTACCACCATTCTCGCCATCATCCTCAGGGAACGCGCCTAGCATCGCTCCAGCGCCGGCACCAGCACCAGCACCAGCTGCAGCGCCGGCACCAGCTCCGCGTGCAGCTGCTCTCTGTTGCTGTCTGCGCAGCATGTTGATGAGTGCTCGCTCCTGTGCCAACATGCCCTGCTCACTCGGACCACCGCTCTGGCGCCAGGGCATCTGTGTTCCTTGACTTGTGAAAATGTTTGCCTCTTTTGGTGGAGGGAGGGGATCGAAAGCGTAATTGGGCTCCTGCGTAAGTATCGCTCTAGGAATGCCGCTTAGCAAGCTCGGTGTATCTTCCAGCCATACCCATCTGGCTGTCCGCGTGTCTGCTGGTCTGTCCTGTGGGAGACTATTCGTCGGCTTTTGTGCGATCTTGACGGCTTCCTTCAAAATGTCGATCGCCTGCGTGTTGTTCCAGATGTCTTTTGCCTGGTGTACATATAGATTCGTCCAGAACTCGCGCTCGTCGGTATCGGGCCGCACGCCCCACAGAGGAGGGGGCGCTTCCAGATTAAGAGCTTGGAAGAGAGAGCAGTACAGCCATGGTAGACGCTCCATCCCTGCCACTGCAACATTCTTTGCGCCTTTGATATCGCCAAGTTGCAGCTTCGCGAGGACCAGCGTCTGCTTGATGTAGGTATCATCAGTTTCATCTGCCACATATTCTGGGGTGTTGATGAAGTCAACAAGCCATTGCGACTGGCGAGCGCGGATGGCGAGAACATGGATGAAGTATTTCATGCCATAAGGGTCGTTAGGATTCAGGCTATATAGCAGCTTGGCCCATTCCAAAGCTGTTCTGTAAGTGCCTTTCCGTATCAGGCTCTTAAGGTATGTGTAGCCAGCAAGCCAAAGCTCTCGGTTCTCGGGTCGCCGGAAATCTAATCGGGCCTTGCCCTGCTCCAGCTTTTGCCTGAAGGCGGAGGTCGTAGCTCTTCCAAACGTGAACAAAGCCCGCTCGCACAAGTCTGCCGCCAGAGCCTGATTCTGGTCTTGCACGGCAACCTTACTCACTTGGAGCAGGGTCGAGATGTGGTAGGGATATCTCATCAAAAGCTGTACCAACTGCATCGGGTCGCCCATCTGGACACAGCTAAAGAACATGATCTGGACATTGTCGTAAGCTGGCTCATGGATGAATGCGAATTCCGTAAGACCGTCCGACCCCTTCTTGATCTCCTTCATGATAAGGCCAGCAGCAGTTGCGCGAGGCCATGTCTCCTTGCCCTGGATGAAGACGTTCCGTCGTAGCGACACCTCTGGGAGCTTCTTGCGCGGATCTCCTCGGAGCGCCGTTTCGAGGTCTACGCCTTGGTTGGTGCCTCGCTGCGCCCGTCGTGCCGCCTCTAGTTCTGCACGCTCCTCCTCCTGTGCCGTCTGGATAGCTTCCTTGCCAAAAAGCGCGCGCATCTCATTGATGGCTCTGAGGTATTGGGTGTTAATTTGCAACAGTTCGTCGATATCGCGGCTTCGCTGGGCGAGGTTATCGGTGGCGGTCGAATCGGTGTCGCGAGAAGCACTGAGTTCCTGGAGCGCCCGGTCTATCTCATCTTCCTTCTCACCGTCCGAGTTGTCGGAGTCGTTCTTAAACTGAGCTGCCTGCTTTTTGCCCTTCTTTTTCTTTTTCTTGTTCTTCTTCTTTGCAGGCTGAGGAACGGGATCAGGCTCGGGCTCGGATCTGACTTCTTCTTGCACCCCATCAGACTCTTCATCCTCGTCGTCTTCGCCGCCTCCTAAAGCTGCGAACAAGCTCTGTCGGGGCTTGGTAGGCGCAGGTTCGGGCTCGTCATCCTCGCTGGACTCTTCGGCTGTCGCTTTAGCTTCCTGGAGCTGCTCAAACTCTCGCTGTTTCTGCAGCTTGCGAAGTTGGCGGCTCGACATGATAGCAGGTGCTAGTATATTTGCCGCCGATTGAATTTCGAAAGGAGAAAGCTGTGATGAGATAGGTAGGCCAGGCCAATATGCTATATTTATGTTGTTGAAGTGATTTTTTTTTTGGGAAACAGCGATGCGTCACGCCGGAAAGGTGCCAGCATGACGTGTGGCGGGGTTAGGCGGGGCACAAATTGCACTGCAGCACTCGCCTTAGGGCCACCCGGAAGAGATGTATCCTTGAACTCAGCAAAGCCGGATGACACGCGTTTCTACATCACAATAAATAATACGTCAAGGGGCTTCCTTCAGAAAGGGTATTGCATGTAGCATGCTTGGGAAAGAATGAAAATAAGATTCAGGAAAGGGTGCAAGAGCGACAGGAACGATGGGACAATATGGCAGTACGGAGACAACAGCAATTACCAAACACAAGATTCTTGAAAATACACATCATTGACAAATTCTTCAGTCCCAAAGACACCAATCACCGGAAGCGGCACTTGATATTTTTGTTTGAGGAAACGTTGGGAATGGTGGCCAACGAGTTGTATTAATTTACTGACGAGAATGGAGAGGCTCTCGCCTACTTGTAGCCCTCATCTGAGGTTGCCACCAATTTTTTTTTCCATTTTTTCCATTGCCTCATTCTGTATCGCTGGATAGATCCCTTTGCTTTCTTCTGCGATGATTCTTGCTATCACCTACCAGACAGTAAACATCACTGCCATAGGATCATGCCGTTCTGAATGCCTCCCGGCCCCAGCAAGTAAACGAGAACTGAATGCTTGCTATCCACATCGGAAACCCTCGTCATCGCTGCGCAATCATATGAGACCGCAGCTCCCTTGCTTGCGGCTACCACCTGCCAAACTCCGTCCGATACCATGCATGTCAAATAGCAGTCCCATGGTTCCTGCCCATCTGGCCAAACCAATGTTCAAGGACATACCAGCCCAGTGCTCCATTACCAACGGAATCCGAGAAGAACCGATAACCGATGGAGTGATAATACATCATAGAAAGTGTCGTATGAAAGGAAACCCTTTCGGCTTTTGTGCCCATTCAAAGTCGAGTGACGGCCTTCAAAGCAATGAAATTTCGTCAATCAAAACCGTGATATCTCCTGATGGGTACCATGCTACATTGTCGCCCTGTTGGGTGCCCGCGCCACAAGATACTTCTAGTTTGCCGCCGGCGGCGCGGCACCTGGGGCGCCACGACCACGGTATCCGGCTCTCCCACCTCGGCCGCCAAAGCCGCGGCCGCGACCACGACCTCTACCACGGTAGCCCCGGTACCCGCCATCAACGCTACCCTGGCCAAAGGTCTCCATGTTCTTGCGCTGCTCCTCGCCGCGCCATTCGCGTCCACCAGGCTTTTGGCCGTTGTTCTCGGCACGATCCTTGGCTTCGCTAGAGATATTGTCGAAAAATGATCGGGTCTTGTTGTATGCAATAGGAGGGTTTGTACTAGTTGTTTCAGCGGCAGGAACTTCAGCCGCCGCTCCGTTGGCCGGGGTTTCACCCAAAGGAGAGCCAGCAATGGCCTCCTTTACCAGGTCGTCCTTGTTGAACTTCGCGTTGGCTTGGGCGAAATCAAAGTCCGCTTCCGGAACATCCACTTTGGACTGACCCTGACCCTGTCGTCCACCGCGGCCGCGGCCACGACCACCGCCAGGCTGTGTGGTACGGGCAGCGTTCACTCTCATCTCGCTCACCTTCTTAGTCAAGTTGTCCATAGCATTCCCATTACCCTGAGGACCAGCAGAAACAGCGGCAGCACCAGCGTTCATGTTGGCCATAGCAAGAGCAACGGCGGCCTTTGCTGCCTCAGTCGCATCACGAACAGTTGCAGCAGTTGGAGCGGCGGCATTTCTGGGTGCAGTCTGAGCAGCATTGTTCTCATTAACAGGAACAGGGAATGCCTTGGGCATAGATCCCGCTAAAGGAATGGCGGGCTGAACACGAGCCGGATTCTTCGGTCCCGTAGGCACTGGCAACTCAACAGGCTTGGAGGGGCCAGCTGTGTTCAAGGACGCAGCGGTAGCCTTCACCTCAGCAGCAGTGGGCTTCGAATCTACCGGTGGGGTAGGTGCAGGTCCCTGCTGCAGGCCAGCAGCAGGGCCCGGCTTAGATTCACTCTGAACTCCTTGTGCGGCCGGGCTCACAGGCTTCTGCTTGTCACCAGCAGCGCCAACTGGCGTAGGCTTTGACTCGTGGCCACCGGGGGTGTCACGACTCTCGAGAGCCTGGCCGGGCGCGCCACCAGGCCCCGGAGGTCCAGGAGGCCCACGAGGTCCGGGAGGTCCTGGAGGGTAGTTGTAGTTCCATTGGTCAGGTCCGGGAGGGAAGCCTTGACCCGGAGGACCGGGAGGAAACCAACCCGGTGGCGGAGGGTACGGCATGCCACCCATTCCAGCGCCAGGACCGCCGCGGCCCGGAGCAGGACCCCATGGGCCAGGAGGCGGGTAGAAGTTGTTCTGGAAGGGAGGTTGGCCAAAGCCAGGTGCCGGTGGTGGTTGACTGTTGGGCCCTTGTCCAGGACGAGGTCGGGCCTAGGCGGAACATGATTAGCTGTGTTCTAGGATTACACATGTTCATATTCTATGACAGAATGACGCTTCAAATCAGAAGGAAGGCAACGGAAATTTCGACATCGTTTTTGCGCTTTTCCGACAAGACGATAATTTTTACATCCGCAATATTTCATCATATAGGCGTCGCCGAGGAGAGTAAAAAGGGAGTATAAACTTACGTTGACAATGGCGGGGTCCTCTGGCATGGCAGGAGGCTTGTTCTCCTTGATGCCTGGGTGATCCTCGATCCTCAAGTCCTTGACATCGCTGCCGCGGAAAATGATGTAATCGTAAACCTGATCGGAGGGTGCTATCTCTTCTTCGGGTCTACTCCTTCGGCCTTCTGTGCCGAAGGAGCGAACATTCTCGAGCGACACGGTCGACTCATCTGAGTTGATCTCGTGGAGAACGCCGACATATCTAGAGGCGATGAGCAAGGGGACTGGGGAGCAACGTGGACGTCCACCAAGTCCTTACCGAATGTCGCTTTTGGAAATGAGGGAGATGCGTGATCTAGGAGGGAGAGTTAGCGAAATTATTCAGGTGGCGCGCATTTAAAGACGCGATGAAAGTGGAGAGGGGAGTGGTGGACAGGTCTCCGTACCCTAAGAATTCTGACATCTCGGCTATTGTGGTCGCGTAAAGCACGCAACGAAGCTGTTTTGCGACTACGGAACGTTGAAAGGAAACGAAATCAAGATGCGAACGATGCGCTGCCGAGTGGGAAAATAAAATACAATCGCGCAATGGTAGGGGGGATGAATTGGGGCTGGGAGGAGGTAGTGAGAGGAAGAGGTGGAAGAGCGAGTAGGGGATGTTATTTGTGTGGAGGAAAGATTTGACCAGGACTGACGTGGAAGGACAGCAAGAAGAAAGCGAGAGGCTGAAGCGCCCCACCTCTCACCGCATTGGGATGGAGCCCTCCCAGGTGCTGTGCTGGGGCTGTGGCTGAACCTCGGTTAAATTGGATTTAAACTTGGTTCTGAGCTCTAGCTCGCAGGTAAGTGTGAATGTGGGGAGAGCTCCCTTCCAGACCACTTCACACTTGGCATACGTGAAGTAGTGCATTCTGTGGGCATCAACAACAAACCTCTCTGCACACTTTTTAATGTAAACGAAATGAAATCAACTATCTGCTACCTTGGTCAAGCTAAAGTGTTTTGGTACCCGGGTTTGTTAGTCCGGCCTCTGTATTTACACGTGATAGATTGAACCTTTCTAATGCTGAATCACACTGTATGCTTGATAGGTACACCTTATTTAGCGTCGCATGCTTCGACTTCTACACCTTCTTGTCTTCCGCGTGGCATGGAAGACCATAAGATTGACAAAACATCAAATGACATCTATTGTGAATCAAAGCAGGTCACACAGACTTTAGACATGGCATAGATGATGGATTACATCTGAGCTCAGACGAAGTTGGACATGACATGTATCAACGACAACAACACCACACTACTGACAGGTTAAGCGAGTTGAATATCATTCTGGGCTCGTTTTTGCTATCTAGTCCCAGGAATTGAATATCTTGGCTACACCATCGGGCTCGCCATCCAAAGTGCGGAGCCGTAGTAACGATGTTGCCGTCAGCAAGAGTTCAAGGAATAGGCAATGTACTCAAAGGAATGCGGCAGTCAACTGACTGTTCGCGATCGATCCGACTATTTCCTGTGGAAAAAACGAAGTATTTCGCTACTCTGAGCAAGAATGAAAGAGCATGGAGTAAATAGGAGAGCAACCGCAATGCTGCTCAGTTCTGTGGTTTCCAACGTCAAATAACAAGCGTTTGTTGCTAAGAGGAAGCCCAAAGTAAACCAGATTGATAATGCTCTGAGGCCGTCCTTCCCAAGCCCTTCTTTTCCTGTCTCTTATTCCTGTATTCTTGTATTTTCCCTTATTTTCCCTCTCGTTCAACTTCTTTCTTTTCGACAATGTCCAATTCATTGACGACGTCGCGGATACTGTCGGGAAGCTTGCCCATGTTGATCTCGCTAACAATGTCTTGTTCATCAACCTCGGCCAACAGATAAGACTGAACGATTCCGAGGTAATCTTCCTTGATGCCATTCTGACGGTAGGTTTGTGATCTGCCCGCTTCGTACATACCGTCACCCTGGCTCAGGCCCATTTGGTCGTCGCTCTTGTTCCGCCGAGGCTGGGGCAAAAGTCTGTCAGAGCCATTGCTACTGCTTCCGTCGCCAGCTTTCTTGAATGCTGCCAGTGGAGGCCATTCCACACGCTCTTCGTACGGTATGTCGTCCATATTGGTATAAAAGGCGTTCCAAAATATGTACGTAGAATATAGGGGAAAGAGTTTGCGAGACAGTTTATCCATCGACCGTTGCAGAACTGTTTCGTTTTCTTTCCGAAGCCAAACGGCAATGGAATCCTCCGCGTCCTTAAGCAGTGTTTCCTCCCGCCTTCTCGTTGTTCTCTGCCTATCCTCTTTTAGGTTTACTTTGCGCTGAAGTTGTTCGATTTGGCGCCACACCCGGACTTGTTCTTTATGGAGCTCATAGTTTTCTGGGGTTCGAGGGATTGCAGGCGACTGGAGAGCGCCAAAATGTTTCAAGTTCGCCATCAGCTTCTCGAAATCAGCGCGTCGTTGTGCTTCAGGACTAATCCACGTCTTTGTGTGTGACCACAGACCAGACTCGGCTGTTCTTGTCAATAGCTGCTGCTTGGTGTCGCCAACCAGTTGCTTTTTTTGGGAAGAAGGGCCGGTTGGAGCGTTAGGAGGAGGTTGGGGATGTCTAATACCAGTATGAACAGATTGCTGTTGACGGTTTCGATCTGATAAGGGCCCTGTAGGTACGTTGGGTGGTAGTCCAACTGATGAGCGATTGGGGCTGTTTTTGACATCGATGTCCCCTTCGAAGGCAGATGGCGATGTAGATGGTGAAGGTTGCGCCTGGCTTGATGTTATGGATGCAGTGGTTGCATAACCGTTGTCGTCCAGGTGGCAAACTAGCCCAGAGGATGGGGCAAGTGCATCAGAGTTGAGGCTGCCTCTTCGGAATGGCATCATTACAGTAGTATTTGATGACGGATCCGTCATCCCAAAATGCTGGGTGCGACCAGGGATGAATTCACAAGCAAGCTGCGAGTTGAAGAGCCCAGGAAGCAGGAAGGGGCCCGTCGGAGCCCCAGCCGAAGGGCAAGAAGTAAAGTGATGCTGAGCCATGGCTTCCTGTCGAAGTATAAATGATATAGTAAAGAGAGGAGCGTATTGGCTTTCTAAAGTATCGGTGATTGGGTAGAACCATAGAGACGGTTGGTGGCTGGTTCGTAATAATGTCGACACACCAAGTGAACTAAGTGTCGTGATGATAATTAACAGCTCGTTATAAATTGATGGATATTATTGATAGATCAAACCGTGTATGTGTGTATGTCTGGAGTTGTTAATCAGGTGGACGTATCATTTCGTGAAGGCAGTCGCCAGTTAGTTAATCACTCGAGACATGTTACCGTATAGACATCAGGAGAACAATGCTGTTTAGTGATGCCCAAAGGTAAGAACTTAAGTGCAATAGCTTCGCCTGAGGAGATAGGTTAGAAAGAACCATGGGTCGATTCCTTGGGACCCGAATTCATGATGAACCTTCAACCTGCTGAACAGATTTCCGGCTGTGCTTGTCTCGTTAGGCTTTGTCGACCGATTTAAGTGCTTATTTCAATTTCTAAGAACCCTTCTTCGCATAACACCTGTCTCTGTTTCTCATAAGTGCCGTTGGAGAGACCAGCAGACAAATTTGCGAGCAAGCATAAAGAAGGTGCGGATGAGAGCCTTTGGCAGCCTCGGACATTCTTAGAGCATACCCGAATTTTCCATACAAATTTCCGTGTGGGCATCACAGTTCCTACGAAACATACATACAAGTCAATCAAAAGGTTAGTCTCCGTGCTTATCATCACATGTAGGAAGGAATACGTTCGAAGTAGTTTAAAGTACACAAAACAGCATGCAGGAATGGCTCACATATGCTACTATGACGCGTTGAGCCAGACATCCGTGCAGCTTCTGATAGGAGAACACAAACAATAATGCTCTTCTGGGCGTATTTAGAACCCGTATATATTTGATCTTTATCGCCTGTTTTTATTCTTCCTCGGACTTGCCGCAACTTGGCCCGTCATCATCCTCATCTCACTCGTCATACCCCTCCCATCTGGGTTCTCGCCCCATGCGTCTGGTTTTCAATCCCAGGCCCATTATCTGTTGGGGATTTTTAAGCTAAATTTACCAGCCGCATGGCTTTCTGTGGTAATGTTAGTACTTAAAACATTCATGCTTACCTGCACCTCACGCCATGTTATATAGACTATACTTCTCCTATGCCAATCTTGCGCGACCAATTAGGGGCAATGCCAACATTTGATAGGCAACCAGAGGTGAAGGTAGACGCTGATTTAGGCCAAGCCATTAATTATCATATTTTTATTCCATGATGCACAGTTGACTCAAAACCGCACCGTAATACTCGGAATATACCTGCCACTCCGCTCTTGTCGGGGGAACGTCGAAATGGAGGTTGATGGGCTTAGCAGGGTATAAGAGATCATGAAGTTAACAGGTATAATTTAGCTAACCAGATATGCGATCTTGAATGGTTCCCTCCCCACATTGGTGCCGAGGTTTCCAACGACCGTGCAGTAGCTTCTCAACAATAACTCACAAGTTAATACCTAAGCCCCCTCCAGCTTCAGGTCGCCCAGTTCACCCACAAGTGCAACATTCAAATACACCGCACTCTCAAGAAGTTGGGAAAATCACAACATTATGGCCACCAAAATTACGCTCAAACTGAGCAACCGCTGTGAGTAGTGCTCTCTATTGCTTGCCAGAATTATCTTTCTGCAAGAACCTCCTGTCAAGGAGTCAAAAAAAACTTGAAAAAGCTTACACGTACCAATAGCTCCCAAGCAGCCGATCAGGAAGCTCCCGGAGTCAATTGAGGTCACTTCGGACACCTCTGTTGAAGATGTTAAGAAGGTCATTGCTCGTCAGATTGGTCTTAACGACCACAACCGCGTCGGTCTCTTCGATCCCTCGACTCAAAAGACTTTGAAGAACCGCAAGGCACAGATTGGCACTGAGCCGGCCGTCGTATCCGGCAGCCATTTGCTGGTCAAAGATCTAGGTTTGTTGAAGCTCCCTTGGAAGACAGGATACTCGGTAGACGTCCTGTACATGGACTAACAGCAGAGCGCAGGAACTCAGCTGTCATGGACCACCGTTTTCGTGATTGAGTACATCGGCCCTATCCTCATCCACGCCGCCGTCGTCGGCCTGCGCCCCTACATCTACTCCGGCGCCGACAAGAAGCCTCTCTCCCCGACGCAACTCCTCGTTTTCGCCATGTTCCTCGGCCACTTCTTCAAGCGCGAATACGAGACCCTCTTCGTCCACAAGTTCTCGGCCAACACCATGCCCCTGCGCAACATCTTCAAAAATTCCTTCTTTTACTGGGTTGTCTCTGGCCTCCTTTGCGCCTGGCACGTCTACTCCCCAACCTCCCCCACCGCCCTTGCCCGAAACGACGCCGTCGATGTCCTCGGCACCATTGTGTTCCTCTTTGGCGAGGCCTCTAACGCCCTCGTCCACCTCAACCTTGCCAGCCTGCGCACTCGCGGCGGCACCGAGCGACAGATTCCCCGCGGCTACGGCTTCTCCCTTGTCACCTGTCCCAACTACATGTTTGAGATTATCTCGTGGATCGGTGTTGTCATCGCCAGCCGCAGCTGGGCTGTTCTCTTCTTCATTGTCTGTGGCGCATTCCAAATGTCACAGTGGGCCAAGGGCAAAGAACGCGCCTACCGCAAGGAGTTTCCTGAGACATACAAGAAGAAGAAGTTTGTTCTGTTGCCCGGAATCTACTGAGCGCACTGTCTTTTGACGATTTCGAGTCTCCACGTTGACCTAACTGTCCGGAATCCTGGGCGGCAAGAAAGCGGCGGTCTGGAAAAGGTTACCATTATTTGAATTAAAACACATAAGAAATATGTAGAAGAGATGGAACCAAAATTCAGCAGCAAGTCGTTACCGCTGCGTTCATGCGCCCGTTTCGTCGAGTATCATAAGCCAATCGTTCCGTCATCAAGTGGTATCGTATCTCGTTCTAAAACCCGCCTTAGTCCATGAATCACAGTGTCGAAATGGAAGTCGTCTCAGATCCTTTTGCCCGTCCTTCTGTCCCATTGCTCGATGCGGCATCAGTCACACTCTGACTCGCCTCGGAGCAATTATCGTGATTAGTGTCTAACCCCATAGCCCTAGCAAGCGCAACACCATCGTCCCCCTGCTTCCCTTTCCCCTTACCTGCCTCTTCTTCGTCTCGCATCCTAACATCCCCGTCCCCATCACCAGCCTCGCTCCCGCTCCAGCTCCCGCTACCACTCCAACTCCCACTGCCGCAACTCCCGCAACTCCCTTCTCTCACAAGGCGGAACGTCTCTTCGAGAACTAGAAAATCCCTCTCCAACACCTCGGCCCAGTTCTGCACGTTACCCAGCTCCTTCACCCGCCCCGCCGCATCTCCCGCAAACCTGGCGAGCTTGTCGTTCTCTCTCCTTAGAGCGTCAGTAGCCTTCATCACGTCCCGTTCCTGCTTATCCAACGCCGCGGCGTTGGCGTGCAACATCTTTGCTCGGGACTGCAGCTCGCCGTCCAGCATGTTTCCGATCGACGCCACTACAGCCGCGCGCGCCTCTGAGATGTGCCGCTGCTGGTCTTCGGATGGCAGATTCGGGTGTAGCTGCTGCTGAGGAGCAGGCGGGGCAGGTTGCACAGCGGCATGGGGTGCCTGGCCCGCCTGCGACGCCGATACAGAAGTGTTGGAGGAGAGGGGATGTTGAGGGCGCGCCGCGCTCAAGACACTGTGGTTCTGGGATGCGGTCGTGGCAGCTGTAGTTGTCGAAGCGGCTGTAGATGATGGGGCTGGTGGTTGCGGTGCCGAGTTCCTTGCCGAGGAGGTCGAGGAGGAAAACATGATGCCGATGGCTTTTGAATGCGTATCACAGATTGTTCCTTTTGGCCCTGCCTTGTTGAGGGAATATTACCACCGCAAATGAGCAAGGACGGAAGAAACCTCCCAGTGGCTGGTAGATTGGCTAGAGGGGTAAGGGATCTAAAGTAGTTCGACCTAGATCGAGTAACTCGCAGAAACAACGAATCAGAGCATGCGATGGCATCGGCTGACAGCTCCCCGCATAAGCGAGGGTGCCGCTGCGCTTATGGCGGGGTAGCGGGGCCGCTAACCCCCCCGGACAGTCCCGGATTGACAGGAAATCCCCGGCTCCCACCTCTGCGTTTATTCCTCATTCGACCTCACGACGCGCTTTGTGTACGTTTGTTGTGTATTAGAAATGACTTCGCTGCACGTTCAAACCCTCTTCTCACGTCAGCACTTGGGGCTTTCGGGTATGGAATGACCAGGTCGTTACCCAAACTACGATGGAAAATACATTTGATACGGCAGTGTGTACAGATCTCTGGTTTCTTATACAAGAGGCTGATGATGGTAAGAATGTAAAATCCTCGTTGGAAAATGTCAAGAGCTTGGGTATCTTACAACTCGGACTATGGGCAGACAGCGAGGGCGCTAGGGGGAGAGCTCGCTCCTTGAGGGGACATTTCTTAGAGACATCGGAAGATAAATAGATGCAAGCCTGCCTGTTCCAGTTACTCTCTCCTTTTGCTTCTTCTCTCATCAATATCACACGAAATCTTTTAGTTCTACAGCAGTCTAAGTGAAATCGGACAAACATCTACAAAAATGGTGACTCTCTACAACGCCTCCATACCCATGATGATCAAGTATCTGGGAAATCTCAAGGCCATTCTCACCAAGGCCGAAGAACACATCGCCGCCAAGAATATCCACCCAGAGGAGATGATCAAATTTCGTCTTATCGAAGATATGCGCAGGTCCGCCACCTTATCCCTTCTCATCACCACAACTGCTGACACGTCACAGTCTCGACTACCAAGTTCAGTCCTGCTGTAATACGGCTAAATTCATCGCCTCTCGCCTCGCCGACCAGGAAAACGTCTTCTTTGAAGACGATGAGACCACCTTCCCTCAACTTCAGTCTCGTGTTGACCGTACAGTCGAGATACTGAAGGCCATCCCAGCCGAGGCCATGAACGGCAAGGAAGACGCAGAGGTCATTCTTCCGTCCAAGATGGGCAACTTTAGATTTACGGGGTACTCCTATATCGTCCTTTACGCTTGTCCCAACTTCCACTTTCATCTCTCATCCGCCTATTGCATCCTCCGCCATCTCAGTGTGCCTTTGGGTGCTTTCGACTACCTCGATTCTCAGAGGGATTTATTTGTCCAGGCGTAGAAGATGGACTAAGGATGAATGGAATGTGTATCCTCTGTTGACTTAAACGTTCATCTACGGAGGGGCTTCCTCGCCATGGGAGTTGGGTCTTATGATCAAAACTATGCAACACCCTTGCATTTCTTAGGGAATATGTAGAATATGTGCTCTCTCAGGTGTGTCCATGTTTCATGTTGTTTAGGTGTTAATGGTCGTAGTAAAGCCTCGGAACTCACTGCCAAGGTCCGAAACATGTAAATGTGCTCTTGCCCTTCGCACCCTTAATAATCTTTCCTACTTTATCATAATACCCTTGAGCAAGTAAAGTGTATGGAAGATTGGTGAAGTAAAAGATATGTTCATGCCTTAATAAAGAATATCGCAGACACCATGAACGAAAGCCCATTACTGGACTTAAACGCAATTGTAGGAGCGTAAGTTGAGAACAACACCGTCCAGTAAACGACTCTTATCAACCTCGCCAGTTCTATTTCCGCTAGTGCATCTGACTGCCGCGATGGATCCAATTGAAGAACGACGTACATGGTGGTGAAAGCGGTGTTGGCTAGATCATCCCGTGCATAGGTGGATTATGATAGGCATCAGCGGGAACAAATATTTCGTAGTCCCAAATCACTTGGCCTTCCGATTCGTACCATTACCCCCCATTTCCTGCCGAAATGGGAAGGCTCCGTGACAAACAGAATTCGCAGCCATTGCCAGCTATCTGCCAATTTGCACTTTTGGCTCGATTTCCACATGACCCCCTACCCTCCACGGCCCGAACCGCCGAATCTTTTCGGAAGTTCACTTTTGAGAAGCGACGGAGTGCTTAGAAACAGGCATAGAATTTGCTTCGTACACGAAGTTATCAGCTACAACCTAATGAATATTATAATACGAATGTGTAATCGTCTTGAGCTTGCTATTGACGGTGGGAATCGCAAAATATACTGAAAATCGCAGCCACGTACATGGTAACAGGCAAGACGCTGACAGGAGAGCGAGAGAGGTATAAAGCTGAAATCTAATAGCAACGTACCGTTATTTCATTAATGACAAACATATGAGGTAGAAAGTTTACCCAGTGAGTATGTATCAGGTTATGTATAACCAATCCGTTGACTTTTGGAACCAATGACCTAAGTTAGCAGTTATTCACCATTTCCAAATTCACAGACATCAAATGTCTGAATCAAAGGGTATGAACGTCTAGTTGTTCATTATCTTTGCCGAGGGGCAGCATCTAAAGTACAGTTGAGCGGCAGTTGATGTTTGACCGTGACACATGAACTCGTCGCGGGCATTTCTCTAAAATCCCCGCCCTCCATGTCCAGTATGTATGGATATGGCATCAGCTTTGCTTCGTAACTACAACATTACTGGCGTTTCGTAAACCTCTGTGTCCAGCCAGGAATTGGGTTCTTCAATGAATGTATGGCTTGCATCCGAAAATGAATCTGACCTTTACGCCATGCTATGCGTGAATGAGGGATGAAACAATCGACAAAAATGCGTGTAGGTCATGAAGACCAAAAAAAAAAAAAAAAAGACAACAACTCGAGCTTATTTCAACTCGTTCTTTTTGCCCAAAAATGTGCGTCGAATCCAAGGGCTTGCTATACGCTTCGACTAGAATGCGACTTTGCTTCCATTGAGTCGTAGAGGCACCGGGCCAGGGCCAAAGCCATTCGGACTTATAACTGATGAAGGAGTCATGGCTCCTCCGTCTGAGGAGAGTGACGACATCGAAGACATGGTGAAACTAGCGGCTGAGCTATTGGTCATCGTCCCTGTTCGTGACATCGAGAGCCCGCCCATAGAGATAAGCGCATCTGCCCTCTCGAAGACATTGCCGTTAAATGCAGCTGCGAAAGAAGCACTTTGGGGAGTAGAGGGAACCGTTGCCTGAACAGCCGGACCCAAGGCTGCGCTCTGGGGAGTCATTGGCAGCTGCATGGGTGCTATGGCCGGTCCGCTGTTAGGGCTAAATGTGTTGGAACCAGACGACTGCCGCAACAAGTAGCTCCACGGTGACTGTAGTATGGTATCCCTCGCCTCTTTCATGGCTTGCTGAATGGGACGCAGTCTGACCCTCGTGTCAGGTGGGAGGTTGACTTCGTTAAATGCATATCGAATCTTGTAGCCGAACTCCGCCCATGAGTCGATGAAGTTATTGATTAAGCTCCTGAAGGCAGGCTGACTCATGATGCCAGGTTCCTTCAACTTGATGAGCGAGAGACGGCTTCGGAGCATCTCGGTTTGCTGCACGGCAGTAGCACACTTAGCAATGAGGCCCTTCCAGCACATCATCTCATGGTCTGGCGCGCGACGGCCCATGGCCTTCTTGGCAAGAACGGACATGTGATTCTGGAACATGGGCAACGTCCTCATGACAAGCTCGGATGACCGCTGTAGAGAGAGGAAGATCTTTTCAAAGTATCTGTCCTCTTCAGTAAAGTCGGATATGCCGCGTCCGCCAGATGATGCTGAGGCAAAGGATTCTCCGGAGCGGGGGGTTGCCGAGGTAAGCGTAGCGGTACGACTTGCCCCAGTTCCGTTAATGTAAGGCAATGGAACATCTGTGGCCACTCTTAGGTTGCTCGGGTTGTGTAGGATCGGGCCGGGGCGGGCACGTTGCGCAAGCCCAAGCCGCTCAGCCGTAGGAGTAATAGAATTCTCGCGTGAATGCGGCTTAATCATGGAGCCCATAGCCACACCACGAGATGCTGGCTTTATAGGGCCAGCCTCTGGTGATACCGATGCCAGAGTGCACCTGATCTCCATGATACTGTTGTAGATAAGCATCAACAAAGTGCGGATGTAACGGGGATCTCCGTTGTCGATAAAGGAATCGATATTGCCTGCGAGCAGTGTACAGACGTGTGTGTAGGCACTGACAAGTGTTTGGCATGCTCGGTGGACGTTTTCATTTTCGCGGCCCGTAATCTCATCGCCATCTACCGCAGGATCATGCTTTTGAATTTCCTGTTCCAACTCCTCAACATGTGAGTTAGTATTGTAGAAGACGATCTCGAGGCTTGAGCGCTTAGAAGAACCATCACTTGTCAAGCTCATAAGCATCTGGATCATGGGATGAATTTGAAAAACGGCATAAAGGATGCCCTTAGCAGCCTCAAGTATCGGATCGTAGACTTTGGATTCGCGTCTCCGCTCGGGGAGCACTGAGAGTCGTCGGACGTAGATCGGCCTTTGAAGAAAAGGCTCGGCGGGGCTATTCGGGCTCTTCACGGACAGGCTCGCGGGTGGTGGTTGCATTGCAGATCCATGGCTTAGACCTCGGTAGTGACTGAAGCGGTTATTGGCTTGAGTCTCATCCAGAGTGCCAAGCTGGGAGGGTTTTTGTGATACAACCCCCATCCGTCTCGCTCGGGATTCGGGACGCTCTCCCCGTGTTGCCTGAAGTAGGGTCTCTGAATTGCTTCGGAGTCTCTCATTAACGTTGCCAATGGTCAACGGCATAACGCCAGGGCGACGAACAGCGGTGTTCTGTTGAGACAGTCCCCGGTAGTGTGACCGATTGGGAATGGGAGGAGGACGGGCCAGATTTGGAGATCGAATGTCGGGAACGTCGCTGCCATTGACCTTGATGGGGAATCGGCCGCTGACAACACGTTTGATGGGAGGCATTCGAGGGGTTTCCATGCCCTCGCTCGATTCTTCGCCAGCAGTGTCCGATTCTGCACGGCCATTCATGGAGTGCTGTCGTAAAAAGCGCTTAATGTGTGCAGTGACGGCAACTTCGGTCACTTCGCTCTCTTTCAAGTAACCTTCATTAGGGGGGCTAGTCGCCTGCACTTGCAGCACCTCCCGAGGTGGGAATGTGATTGGGTTGCCGTCAAACTTGAGCACCTGAAGTGAAACCATGTCGGCAAGCGCAACTGGCAGCTCCTCAATGCGATTCTTTTGTACCGAAAACACCTTCAAAGATGCCAGTTTGATGATATCTGGGGGTAAGACGCGGAGCTTGTTCTTGCTAAGATCAAGAATCTCGAGCGACCTCAAGTCACAGAGCTGTAGGACGAATCAGACCCCGGCAACCTCAAATTCCAGGTGGGATTACTGACCGGCAAGGGAAACTCTCTGATTTGGTTATTTCTCACATTCAGGTATCGGAGCGAGGTACATTCGGAGAATCGAGTTGGGAAAGAAGAAACCTGGTTGTGCGACAGAGCAAGACTGCAGGAACGTCAGAATTACTGGCTAGGAAGTGAAAAGGGGAAAAAAACACCAGGCATACGAACCGCTCCAATTCATTCTTGATAATATCAACAACCTCATCGGGAAGTTTTTGAATGCCCTTGCGGCTCAGGTCAATTGTGACGCCCGGTTTCAGCTCGTTACTGACGGCACTCGCTTCGGCGGCCTGAGACTCGTTCTCGTGAAGGGCGCTCTGCATGGCGTCGCGGGCGAGCGTGATGACCTGGGCGGAGGTCATGGGCGCGGAAGCAGATAGACCGCCGGGGAGATTTCGGAGATCTTTAGGCATCGGCGGGAGAGGAGGAGGAGGAGGTATGTTGCCGAGGGCGACATCTTTCTGGAGTTGGCGTCGACCTTGGGCAGGGTTCTCTGGCAATCCGCGAGCCATGGACATTGTCGCAGCACCCATAGGGCCCGAGGGCCGCTCTGAGCGATCGGTTCGCTCGACCATGATGATATGGCTACGATCCGACTAAGGGAGGTTGGAGGGTGAAAAGAGTCGATATACTATTATGGTCGTGGACAAGAAGGTTTGGGGGTGAGTACAGCGTTTCAGGGTTCCCTCTGGTTACTCGACGGGCGGGCGAGGGTTGGTCAGGTCTCTCAAACAAACAGAAAGACGGAGAGTTTAAGCCAATGGACTTTTGGAACGGGGCAGGCTGGTGTGCAAGGCGGGCGAGATCATTATGGATAACCGGACATGCGTTGGAGAAGGTGTGTGGATGCGCGAATCGGGCTATAGTGTTTTGTCGTCAAAGGAGAAGAAAGATGGAAGATTGGCTCAGATGCAGGTGCTGGTGTTCTGGTGGAGAAGGACGGCGAAGACGAAGAAGCGGCGGAGGCGAAGTAGAAACGGAAAAGAGGCAACTGGTTCGTCACACCTCACTCTGCAGGCCCAGAAGGCAGGAGAGTCGATGCAGATAGATGCTGTGTCGTGGTCTTGTTCCCGTTGCTGGCACTGTTGCTGGATTGTTGTTTCCCGCAGGCCGCACGGAATCCAAGAGGAACGAAAGAGTGGAGATGTTGTCAGGTTGTGCTACGATGAAACTGACATCTTCCAGCCGGAGCTTCTTTTGGGTGGTGAATTGGGTACGGTATTTGGGAAGAAGGGATGGAGGATTCTTTCTTTGGTGGTGGGCGTCCGCAACGCCGATGTCTGTGTGCACGCCCCCTACGAGTTGTGAGCCGCACGCCTCCACAATCAATCAATCAATCAATGGCTGGGCCGGGAAGGAGAGAAGGAGGAAGGGGGGGGGAGGGGCGTAGGGGAAGGAAGGAAGGAAAGGAACCCACTTTCTCTATTCGTAGAGTGTCCCTGTATCTACGTACACCCAATAGCAACAGTCGATTTGTAGGAGCAGTAGCAGCAGCAGCTGGCCAGAAGCGCTGAAGAAGGAGCAGACCAGTAGGAGAAACAGCAGCAGGAGAATAGGAGACACGAGAGGCTTGGGATAGGCCTGGCTGGATCTCAAGCAGGTGCAAGGGCCGAAGCAAGCGGATGGAAAAGGGGCAGCAGTGGACACGGTGGGACATCTTACCATTTCTGGTGCTGCTTTCCTAAAGATACACAGATTTGGCAGGCACGTTTAGGGCCACTCAGGGCACTCAGTGTCCTCTAGTGACGCGAGATGCTCTGGGGCGCGAAAGGGAAGGGCCCAATGGTTTGGGGGTCACTTTTTGGGGGATAGATTGCCGCACAGACTGTTGGCGACTGGAGACTGCACCGACTTATGTCTGTGGGCCGTATACCAATAAAAGCCCCGGGGCATTCTGTACAACACGCTAGAGCACGCGACTGGACAGACGGGTGTTGTTTGGGACAGGGACACATTGGCTGAGTCTACCGCCAAGGGGGAAGGGGGTGAGGGGGAGGAAAATTATTATTAACTCAAAAAAATAAAAAGAAGGGAAAGGAGAGACAAGCATAGGAAGTGGGGGCTGGGTGGAAAATGGGGGGGGGGGGGGGGGGGGCGTCGGCCCAGTGTCAAGGCTAAAACGCCTCTCTAGCGCTCCGCAAAAATGCAAGGCACCTCTACAACCAGTCTGTCCTGCAGCAGCACCATACAAAGTACACGACCAAAAATTCCAGGGAGGGCTTGACCGTTGCACGGTGTGTTGCCAATGGTGCAGATGGAAGCTAGACATGCTTCGATGGGAATGCCTCTCAGGATCAGGCTGGCTTCTATATGACAGCATCTTCATTTGGGCGACGTTCATGACGGCATCTTGTCCTTTGAGAAAAGCACCGCATACCTTCAATCTCTAGTACTCTACACCAACCACACTTGGGTTACCCTTCATGGCAAGAACAGAGCCCAATGACACACGGTCCTCAGCAAATTGATTAGGTTGCCGATGCTGGTACCGTACCGGTGTTGGTGCAGCCCATAACACATCTAGGAACATTGTCAAAGTACCATGGTTCGCTGTGTCACGGTACCTAATTGTCACTCACAACTTGCTTCGCCTTGTCTTGCCTTATTTCAGTCGGCGCCTCACCTGGTCTCCGTAACCTCAATAGCAGGAACGCGATGTGAGCCGAGAGACAAGTGCGGCATCGGCGGCCTGTTACTGGCTGGGATGGAACAGATCAAACGGAACACATTCAGGGCTGGGGGGCCCGAGGCGAGAAACAGAAACAAAGACATGGCACCATACCGGGAAACGCGGGTTTGAAAAAAAAAAAAAAAAAAAAGAGGGTGACAGTGTCACATTCCATCCGACTTCACACACAGACTTGTTACGCTAAGGAAGGGGCATGAAAAGGGGGGAGAAGAAGAAGAAGAAGAAGAAGAACCCGCCAGCGTAAATTCCTACCAAGGTTCCCTGTCTTGCCTCGCCTTAATTCACTCTTACGATGTGACAACTACAGTTGTCCCCCTCTCTCCACTCACACACATAACAAACACAACCTTCAGTTGCGTCCATCCTTGGCGGCTAGGTTCCGGTGAGATGAACTCTGAAAGAGAGAGGCGCAGCAAGCTAGCAGAAAGTCAATGGAAACGAACGCATCCAGTTCGCTCCTAGGCTGTTACAGAGTCTGGATAGTTCGTATCAATTGATGGCACCTGAAGGCGATGACGAAAGGAGGAAAGGAAGGGTTGAGTGGGGGTTAACTCTGATTATTCTCACTGTCAACCATCAGTGCTTATCCGGCAGTGCGTTTGACATCACACACATGCATTTTTGCCTTCTCTCGATGCCCATGACAGATCCGTCGAGGGATCAACGCCTCTACATGCAAACTCAAAAATCGGCCTCCGCAGATCTTGGGCCGTGTGTCCTGGTGACCTGTCAGATATCACGTCCGAGTCTTGCGTTTTTGAGTGCCCGTATCCTCAGGGAAGCCATCTCCTATTTTGACGTGCCTCTTCCTATCGAGGCACTTTGTTCCAGGTCAGTCCGATCCACTAGTAGACATAAGGAAAATGCACACGGACGCGGGCCTGAATCGCGGTACTCGGAACTCGCCCTGTGGCATACCCACGCCACCCATCGCGCTGCGAGCCTGAATTAGAAGTTCTACTGGCTTTAAGCACTGTGTCCCAACTTGGCCAGGCTGGTGAGTGAGAATGAGGCATGCCGTCTTTACCTGAGGGTACCTTCCTGCCAAGAGTCCTGTTAAACTTGCCTCAGACGCAGAGTCCGTGATGATGCCGCTGCCACTACTGCATGTTCGCTGTGAGTAATAACTGCTACTGCTGCAGCACCAGTAGTTGCTGTGCTTTCAATTACCTTATTTTGCCTTGCCTTAATTACGTCGAGGTACTTAGGTTCGGCCCCCCCCACAGCGCAACCTGCAAAGCTCACCAGAAAGGGAAATGGTAGAGAAGGACTGGAGACCTGTTCTTTTTTTCTCTCTTCTTTTGGTGAATGTGCAAATAAGGAAGGCGCTACCCCTCGATCTCCTTCTTACCATCGTTACTCCATGTTGCATCTTGGCACCTCCTTACTCCGGCTTCTACCTCCGAAGTGAGACAGACCATCATTCAAAAATTGCTCCTTCCTCCTGGTGCGGCGGAACACACTTACATGTAGTAATCCAGTGCGGCTCTCTCTCTCTCTCTCTCTCTCTCTCTTCCTTGTTTACATCCTAGATTTATGCTCACTTCTCCATTCTGTTTCTGATCCATGTCCGTTCACACTAACTTGAAAGATAAACGCTGTTGAGAGTCGAGGGGAAGAGCAGGGGACGAGGTCTTGGGAAAGCAATGACAAGATACTTCAAAGATGCATTTTTTTTAGAGTAGGTATGGCCAGCTAATGTGCGTCTCCATGTTCCCATTTCATATATGTTGAGACGTCCTTCTTTACCGAAAATAAGGTAGGCTCGCATCCTGAGGCTCCTGTCGCTCGGATAATTCAATTGGCCAGCCCCAGGCTGCAACTTGTTTCCAAGAACCTGGTCCGCACCTCAGTGCATTTTCTTTCTCGATGCTCAAATTGCTCAGCCACTCGGACCGCGTCTCTAAATATCCCAGACTTATCCCGACCAACTGGAAATTCCTCGGTCGTCTTGCCGACACGTACTCCCATTTTCCGATCCGTCATCTCCACCCTGTCTTTTCAACCTTCTTCAACTCTGGGACTGTTCCACTCCCTGTCCGACTGTCTGAGGGGGCTTTCGGTCAGGCCGGCTACTCAAGGACCAACGTCAAACGGATCACCGTCGGACCCGAGTTCGACCATGACCACATCCGGAATCTCCTCTTGGTTTAGTGTAACATCATGCCACTGAGCCTTGTGCCACCACCCATCGAAGCCGTCGGATCGGGAGCGGACCATCGTTTAATCACGACATCCATATTCATCAACTCCAGACACACATCGTCATGCCGCCTTTATCGCGCTCGAACTCATGCGTCGATATAGACTTCACACTCAGACGCCAGTTCAACAAGACGACATTCAGGTGAAGATCTTTACGCCCGCGCCCACATCCACATTCACATCCTCATGCACTGGTCGCCCCGTGATTGCACCTCCCCAAATAAAACTAAATAAAACTGACAAGTCTCAATTAGGCCTCAGCAGCGTGAAATTATCGTTGCAGCTCTTGAGGGTAAAGATGTCTTCGTTCAAGCAGCCACCTCGTTTGGCAAGAGTCTTTGCTTCCAGCTCCCTGCCTGCATTGACCACGGCAGTAAGTCCCCGAAACTGCCCCGAGCTTACATTCAAAAAGTCGTCGTCAACTAACGTGATTTTACTGCGGCAGTCACCATTGTTGTTTCGCCACTGCTCAGTCTCATGGTGAGGGGTTGCCCTTGTAGCCTTAGTCAGGCCTCGACAGCTGACAGGTCCATCAGATGAATCAGGTTGAAGCGCTTCGATCGGCGGGAATCGACGCCAGCTCCTTAAACAGCAACACGCCGCGCGCTGAGAGAGATCGTATCAATCAAGATTTGGCTAGTGGTCACCCGCGCATCAGGCTACTCTACGTGACACCTGAATTATGCTCTGGAGACTCATTTCGTAGACGCATCAGGCTGGTTCATGAGCAATGCGAACTTGCCCGCGTCGCTGTAGATGAGGCTCACTGCATATCAGAATGGGGTCATGATTTCCGCAAAGACTTTAAGCGGCTGTCCTGGTTCCGAGAGACCTTCCCGCGTGTCCCTATTATGTGTTTGACAGCTACAGCTAACCCAGTGGTTCGTGAGGACTTGCTGAAGACTCTTGGTCTCCTACAGGAGCCTGAAAGGCTCAAAAGCTTTGTCATGTCTGCCCACCGTCCAAATCTCCATATCGAGATTAGATATACCAAGGACCAAGACGACAATCGTCTTTCTGATTTCCTTGGCTGGATACGGGGTGTGTATGAGAGGAGACAGACCGAGCCGCGCAAATCGGAGCTGGAAGCTGCCGGGGAGAGATTCGACAATGTTTCTGGCATCATATATACCATTTCGCGGGACGAGTGCGAATCGCTGGCAGCGCAGCTTAGAGACGAGGGCGTAGGGGCAAGGCCCTTTCACGCAAAACTCACCAAAGAGACCAAAGAACAAACATTGGCTCGCTGGGTCAACAACGACGCCGGATACGATGTCATTGTGGCTACCACGGCGTTTGGCATGGGCATTGACAAAAATGACGTTCGGTTTGTTGTTCACTGGCGACTACCGAAATCGTTTGAAGGGTACTATCAAGAAGCAGGCCGCGCAGGCCGAGATGGCAACGCGAGCTTCTGTTTCCTCTACTACAGCCGTGAGGATTTACAAAGAGTGCAGAGCATGATCAGGAAGGGCAACCGCGACGGATCGAACTGGGAGGCCCAGGCAAAGAGCCTGCAGAGACTCGCCTTGTATTGTGAAGATACGACGGCGTGTCGCCACGCTCAAATATGCAAATATTTCGGCGAGAGCGAGTTGCCGAGATGCGACTTTGCCTGCGACTGGCATAAGGACGCGCCAGCTCTTCAAAGGCGTATGATGCGCGGCTTGGCGGACGAGGAATGGGTCAGTACGCAGGCTGAGTATGGTCGGTATGAAGGCTATTACGATGATTAATGAAGGAATTTTTAAAATGGACGAGCGAGACGTAAGGCGATGGTGACCAGTTGCGATACCCTGAAATGAGCTGGTTGGCGCTTGGAAAGTTGCCACTAGGAAAGGAATAGAGACATTGCCAAAGTTTTCATTACGAGAGAGATTTGTACAGGATGTACCTATGCAAGATGCTGTTGGTGCCATTTTCGACATTTGGTGTAGTTGACAGTGAAGGTTCGCCAGCATCGACATGTGCCTGGCATAGTACAGTCCTTGTCAGATCGATGACGTCTGCTCCATGCGGTAGATCAATTTAGCTCTGTCTTATGTTGGTTGCCGTCTTCCCCCCCCCCCTTAAAAAAAACGTCGGCGTTGGCTTAAGGTCACAAGGGTGATTTGTAGTGGTATTCTGCACCTCGCAAATGTCACCGAAGCTTTTTCTATGCCGGCGACATCTCAAGAAAACGTCCATTGGCCGAAAAAGTATTTGGAAGCCGTGTATACTATGTCAAGCAGCTGACGGCGGGGATTATGGCTTTGCGGTGCTTACTTATGCTGGCTTCCACGGTTTTCTTTAGCGGGTACTTTTGATTGATTGGTGATGATTAATCCCCATGCATTGTTCCCGGGCGACAGAAAAAATAGCCGGCCTGGTTTAATAGCGTGGAAAAGCGGCCATTGTTTCTGCCAGCCGAGTGAGCAACAAACCCAGCATTGGAGCTTCCTAAGCAACTTGCTTCTATCCAATCCCAGACAGCGCAGCCATCGTAGACTTGATTTGCAATTGCCAATTCTATTGCCCGAGTTCGCCTTGCCCCGTTTAGCCAAGTTCGATCAATCACAATCGCCCGGTTCCACACCAGTCGCCGACGGAGCTGCCGCTTCAGCCCCGAAGAAACCTTACATCAGCTACTTTGATTTGCGTTTCTTCTGCCGTATACCGGAACCACGCAACCGCCCGCCCGCCGTCTCCTGTCATCCCGCCGCATGCTGCATTTGTCAGGTTGCGCACCCGCAAGCACTTAAGACGTCACCCGTTGAGCCCCACCATACATAAGAAAACTGCCTCCATTCCCCCTCCCCCGCGATTCCCCCTCCTACAGTGAACCTCCATGCAAGCCATCCAGGCCCTCTACCGCACATCCACCGTTGCATCCCGAGCAGCAGCAAAAGCAGCTACGGCAGCTCCTACGAGACTAGCATCCATACAGAGGCACCTCTCTTCGACAGCTCGCGTCATGGCTCCCATCACCAAGGAGACTGACTACCTCGTTATCGGCGGCGGTAGCGGCGGTCTCGCATCTGCTCGCAAGGCCAGCGGGCAGTTCGGCGCAAAGGCTCTGATCGTCGAGGGCTCAAGGCTGGGAGGAACCTGTGTGAACGTTGGGTGAGTTGAGAGCATTCTTCTCCTGTCTGCAAGCTTACGTGTGAAAAAGAGACTAACACGCTGTTGTCTGTCATAGCTGCGTCCCCAAGAAGGTCACCTTCAACGCCGCCGCGATTGCCGAGACGATCCACCAGGCCAAGGCCTACGGCTTTTCCGTCACCGAGACCGCACCTTTCGACTGGACCACCTTCAAGCATAAGCGTGACGCTTACATTAAGCGCCTCAACGGCATTTATGAGCGCAACCTCAGCAATGATAAAGTCGAGTACCTCCACGGCTGGGCCAAGCTGACGGGCCGCAATGAAGCCGAAGTCACCCTCGACGATGGCTCCAAGGCCGTTGTCAAGGCCAAGAAGATCCTTATCGCCGTCGGCGGCAACCCCACCTTTGCGCCCGACATTCCCGGCGCCGAATACGGCACCAACTCGGACGGCTTTTTCGATATCGACGTCCAGCCCAAGAAGGTTGCCCTCGTCGGCGCCGGCTACATCGCCGTGGAGTTCGCCGGCATGTTCAATGCCCTGGGCTCCGACACTCACCTCTTCATCCGTCACGATACGTTCCTCCGTAACTTCGACCCCATGATCCAAGAAACCGTCACCAAGGAGTATGAGCGGCTCGGCGTCAACCTGCACAAGCGCTCTCAACCCACAAAGGTCGAAAAGGACGCCAATGGCAAGCTCACCATCTACTACAAGGATGCCAACGGCAACGAGACCTCCGAGTCCGGCTTCGACAACCTCATCTGGGCCATCGGCCGCACGCCCGCGACTAAGGACATCGGCCTAGAGGAGATTGGCCTGAAGCTCAACGAGACGGGCCACATCCCCGTCGACGAGTACCAGAACACCAACATTGAGAACATTTACGCCTTGGGCGATGTTACCGGCCAGGTCGAGCTGACCCCCGTCGCTATCGCCGCCGGTCGCCGTCTGGCCGAGCGTCTGTTTGGAGGCCCCGAGTTCGCCAAGGCCCACCTCGACTACACCAACATCCCCTCCGTCGTCTTCTCCCACCCCGAGGTCGGCAGCATCGGCCTGACTGAGCCGCAAGCTATTGAGAAGTACGGCAAAGAGAACATCAAGATCTACAAGACCAACTTCACCGCCATGTACTACGCCATGATGGATCCCGAAGACAAGGCACCCACCGCCTACAAGCTCGTAGTCGCGGGCCCTGAGGAGAAGGTCGTCGGTCTGCACATTGCTGGTCTCGGCAGCGGAGAGATGCTGCAGGGCTTTGGCGTCGCCGTCAAGATGGGTGCGACCAAGAAGGATTTCGACAGCTGCGTTGCCATTCATCCGACTAGCGCCGAAGAATTGGTCACCTTGAAATAGATTCTGCATAGCGGTTTGGCGAGGTGAGGTATAGAGGAGGAAAGATACCAATTTAGTAAAATTTCAGCTCTACTTCAATGTCTTTTCCCTTTGCGCCTATGCTCATATTTGATAGACATGCTCATTTCCTTTTCCCTTTCCATAACGCCGCCATCAGAAGCATGTCATTTCTCATAGGATTCTGCCCAGACGTGCTGTTATCCGTTGGGTGTTCCGTTTTATCTCATTCGGGCCATACGTTCTTCATAGGAAAACGATACTGAACAAGCCTGTGGTTGAAAGTCCGAAGAGTGTGAATAAGAGGGCATGAGGTGCAATGGCTCCTGCAGTACTGGCGGGTTTAGTTTCTCTGGGAGCACTGTAGTAGAAAGTTGATCAGAATATGACTACATAACATTGAAACCTAATGGACACTAACGGTATGTTGGTAGATGATGGAGGCGAGGTAACATGAGGTGTAGAGCTGCCAGGCATGCCATCCACTGTGGCGGCGGGAACTGACGACGACGCTGGCAGAGAGTCTACCTTGACGCCAATCTCTGAGCAGGTTGAGGCGTAAGAATCATAGGCGGGCCTGAGGGCATTGTTTTCGCAGAGGCTTGTTAGGTTGCTCAGCATTGCTGTCTGCTTTTCCGTGCAGAGTTGTTCTATTCCGCTTGGAATACCTTGCTGGCCGAGGGCGGCAAGAAGACATGCGGGAGGGTCGGCTATGACTAGGATGGCGAGAGGGACGAAAGCACCGAGAAAAGAGATAAATTTCATTTTCTTCGTGTGAATTAGGCGTGAGTAAACGGAAATGCGATGCTAGTTAGGAACAATAAGGAAACGAAAAACGGCTGTGCTGGGAGTAGCCTAGGTAGTTGTTTGTGCAGGTGATCAGAGGCGTTTGTAAGTTGTTGTGTCTGAGATGAGGTCGAGTCACGACAATGCAGGGTGGCATTGGTTACCCAACTTGTTGGTGTGAGTGCCTTCCACGTCTCAGTGGCCAGCACAATACAGATACAGATACGGAAGGAACTTCTACAGTGGGTAGCAACCGGGGAAATTCTCCGAAGGTCTACAAGTTTTTCTGGGGAAGGACGGGCCCGATGGGTGGGGCCGTTGCGAACTACTTTTTCCTTCTGGAACATGTTCAAAACGCCATGCTCACATTCTCATCCACGGCACACTCTTCCTTGTTCACACTCACGATCGACCCGTTCCTGCAATGAAGTGGGGAATAACGTCGTGGCTCCTACGGTATCTCTTTGTCACACCTGAATTCAAAGTTCGCATATATCACGAAGGTTGCAGCTCTAGGCATGGTCCGTCTCTCACCCCTTTTCCTATTTTTGGCGGGCGCTGCCGGATTCGCCGTTGCAGTCTCAACCCTTCGAATTCTAATCAGCTCTTTCAGGTAAGTATGGAATTTGCACTTCACCAGCTCCGAGTACTGTGACCTCCGAGAAGACCCTTGATAAGGGTAGCCACCACCTTTCCTTGGCCCCTCTCACACTCAGTCGGTAAAGCGATGCTCAACAGCCAATTACTGGGAGTCGCTCTACTCCCACCAGGATAAATATTCGTCATTTTATTTCTGTTTCGTAACTCTCAAACCTTCTTGCCGCCGACACGAGGCATCATGCCCGAATACCGGCCATAGTGACGTTTGGCAGCTGAGAGGCGGCAGGCAAGGCGGGATTGAGTTGGTGTATCTCATCTTGCCATTTCATCAGACAATCTGCCTGTGGTGGCCCTGTTTGTCCCACTCGTCAATGACAAGTTTGGGTTTCCAGTGCGATCCCACCACGTGGGTGTCGTGGTTTTCTGTCTTTCGACCCTGTTGGTCGACGCTCGCGCGCCTGCTGCAAACTGCATGACGAGCTCCAACCTACATGGTCGCCTCGCAAGCCTCGCCTGGCTAGAGGCGACCAAGCTTTTCCCTGGATGAACGTATGATTCTCCTCTGAACGCCTAAAATTTCCAAGTCGCATCTGCCAAAACGATGCCCTTAGCGGCTGTCGTGGTCTCTGCGACGTTTTTCGTCACGAAACTTAGGACGAGTTTCGCCTGTTCCCCAAATCCACGACGAGTCAGAACTGCCGCCTTACAGAAGCTGAGCCACCCTTCCACGGTGTTGGTCCTGACCACAACCCCCCGAGACAGTCACTCTCATCGCTGTTTCTGCAAGCAATGCCCAACTTCTCCCCGCTGTGCTAGGGTATCTCAGCCATTTGTCTTGTTCCCTTGTTAGCGCACCGTCGTGACGGCGCTTACTCGTTTCTTCCCTTGGCTTCGGGACGCCCCCGAGCTATCGGGATTCACCGCGGCGGGGAGACTGAAACCCAGCACACGAAATCCCTCTGGCACACTACACGCCGCGACTTCGGAACGATAGCGTCCTTTTCCCACATGCCGTTACCCACAGAGAAGCCACAATCGCTGTTTTTCAGACGTCACCGAGGGCCTCTCGTTCATCAACTCCGAGGAGCAAAAAGAAGGTCTCACGCCGTGGAATTAAGGTCAAGTTGTGCTCGATAAACCTCAAACCCGACCGTGCCGTACATATTTCCATGGCTTGGACAGGCGAGCCTATTTGCTTAACGGAATGCAGGCCGAGGTAGCTTCAGGTAGTGTTGTTTTACAGGTGCGCACAGTGATTACAGTATACTAGTAAGGTGAGCCTGACTAGTCTAGACACCTTTAACTACCCTTTTCTTAAAGCTTCGGAAGGTAAAACTCGCACGCCCAGACGTGTTTGTCATAACCAGCCGGTGGCCTTTAGTGCGGTGTTTTAATGATTCAGATGAGAAACCCTGGGCCTGGCCAATGACCATGCCGCAGTATTTCCCGACGCGGCTTGAAAGGGTTATCCCATCGTCTTACCGTCTAGCTACCATCAGTTAGACAAGGCCAAGCCAATATATTCAACGTGCAATTCTACTGAATTTGGAGTTTTCTAACGATCAAGGAACAAGAAACCCAAAAGGAACCTTGCAATGAAGGCGTAGCTGTCTGTTCAACTGAGTTTTCATCCTACGTACCAGCCAAGGTATCACTTGGAATTTCTCAGAGCTTATAATATCTGGCTGATTTGGAGCCTGGGCATGGACCTTTTGGACAGAAATGTTCCGATGCCCAGACGAGTCATTGGCAAGTTGCTCATTCGACAAGCAGTATCAGATGTTCTGGAAGTTTTCATGGACGCTCACAGCGGGTAGAGCACGGTCTTGCAACATCTCTGAGTGTCGAGCCTGCATGATGTAGTCCTCTACTGCATAGGTTCAGCGTTCCCCATTCGGTTTCCCCGGATTCCCCTGTGGGTTTTCGCAAGGTCGACCCAACGACGGACTGAAGCCGTTGGGCTGTTGTGTCTTGCTCCACCAATGATGGTCTCCAATAGTCTGGACGTGTGGCCCATTTTGTAGCCGAGCCTGATGTTCTGACCGGCATTCCCTGAAGCGATTGACCAGCCCTGGGCTTGTGAAACTTGGTCGTTGGAAGTTTAACCTCCAAGCAAGGGGCTCGCAAGTTAACCTCTCGCTGGAATCTGCGGAAAGCCTATGCTTCAACCCGGACATTTTGGTTCGAACGGAGCTCAGACTTAGGCTTGCCTCTGCTCAGCTGGCTGCCCATCACCCGGCACCGCGCTGCACGCATGACCCTAGAATGGACAACCTGGGCTGTCTAGACCATCTCTTTCTTCGGACTACTTTCTCAAAACATTGACCGGGAGCATCGCTGGAGAGATCAGACAGCAATCGAAAAGCCGGCAGTGGGCTCGCATTCGTTGCTCTTGCGCAATGCATCAGCGTTCAACGGACCTTGTCAAGTACATACGTAGGGGACCACCTGTCAGTCATGGTCCATCCCGACATAATTCACCCCGTCTCTTACTACGGGCTGATGATAACTACTTCGGTCCCCGCTCTCTCTAGACTCATTGAGGAACACCATCATCAACCTGTAGGTAATCATCAGCAAGCATGGCGGATGATAAGGTCGGCCAGACGGCGAGCGTCACCATTATGCTGATGACCTTCATCACGCTCACTGTCGCCATGAGGACATTTGTACGAGGCGTGTTCTTGAGGAGTCTTGGATGGGACGATAGTAAGTAATTGTGGCGAATGGATAGTTTCGGGCATAAGAGCTGACAGTTGCTAGCACTGGTGATAATTAGCTGGGTATTGAGCCTCCATTTTACATTCAAGGCACCATCTAACAGAACTAGGTGCTCGCAATGGCTCTTTGCAGCGCTATACTTGCCAGTAAATCACACTTTGCGTCTATTACTCTCAGTTCATAAGCTAATTGTCAATAGTGACGGGTGTTGGCTTGGGTTCGCATTTTCAAGACGTCCCACAATCCGACTTTGCCCAATTCCTCAGAGTAAGCCGGAAACGAACGATTTTATATAGGTCATTACTGATGGATGCTTGCAGTATCAAGTCGTTACACAACTTACCTATATCTGGGCTTTTGTGACTGTCAAGATGTCGTTCGCTGTTCTCTACCTCCGACTGCTCCCAGATCAAGTATATCAACGAATCAACAAGTTTCTCATCGCCTTATTGCTTGCGGAAGGTATCGAAGAGACTGCAGTGGTTATCTTCAGATGTGCTCCTATTCAAAGAGCCTGGACACCGTCTGTGCCTGGAACGTGCCTGGACCTGACCATCTTTTATTACTCTGCCGTATGTACTCTGATACTGGGAAAAGACTGCTACAAATTGCACGTGGCTAACTCCAAGTAGTTTGTTATCAAGTTGTTGACAGATCTGGTGCTTTTCATCCAGCCTATTCCAACAATCTGGAAGCTGCAGTTACCCATTGCCAAGCGATGCGGTGTTATTTTCATGTTATCCCTAGGCTTACTGTAAACGACCCTGAGTTTCCCAACAGCCTCAGACAGAGACTAAATTCTCCTAGGGTTTGCGTTATTTCCGTTATCAGAGTTAGCTACATTAATGCGTTCGATCGGGACGTTACTTGTAAGTCTCATCAGTCAAGAACAAGCCCATAGAAGGATTGCAGCTAATGACAACAGTTTTGGTTGCCGACCCCCTACTTTGGTCAGAAGTAGAAGTCTGTGCCCTCATCATCTGCTCTGGCGTTCCTTCATTGAGACCTTTGATATCCCGCTTCCCGGCCCTGAACAAGGCACTCGGCCTCTCAACAGGCAAATACTCAAAAAGATATTACCCCAATCAACGAACGACGATAGGCGGCTCCAAACCCTACCTGGGACAGAATGCGTACTCAAGGGCAGCGCAAAAACAGGGCCTGGGAAAGCTATCGCAGAATTCAAGTTCGTACGGCCCTTCTACACGCACCAATACTGAGAGTATGGAGAACATCCTACCACTAGAACTAGACCAGCCTTTTTCAGCACAAGGCGTGGAGATGGGCATAATCAAGGTGAAGAATGACATAAGACCAACATCAGAAGAGGTCATGGACCCGTACTTCCCGGCGGGAAGGCCCATGGCGAGGCGGAAGAGTCGAGCAGACATCCACAATGGCACAGGTTGGATATCAGACGACTAGGACGCTAACGAGATTATATTTAAGCGGATTACCAGTAGTAGAGCGGGGAAAAAAGTACATATAAATGTCTTAGGAAAGGCCTCGACGGTTATTTAATGTATATACAACATAGCATCTGGCAGAACGGGCATGTCCACTTTGACTGTCTAAGGCCTCATTTTAGGAATCGCTGCGCGATCAACAGCCTGCATGGACAGGTCAATTCACTTCTTCGAAACATTAAGTCATTCCGTAATTACCAACAGTGATCAGTCTCATGGACGGTCAGGCTGGCTAGTGGTTCGGCCTAACTCAGGCGTGCCTGTCTGTCAAGCCGTTAGACAAATTATTTGACACATTTCGTGCCTGAGAGATCCGATTGTTGAGGTGGGGATCGAAAGAAGGGCCGGATGGCACACCGAGACGGGGGTCCGATGCTTATGAAGACATCCCGGATCCGATCGGCTTTGGGCACTCGATCCGCTTCATTCTGTTACAGAAGAAAGGGAACTTCCTCTTGGCCCCTTTTCAAACAAATTTGACAAACAGAAATACCCGCATAATGTGGGATCAAACCCAGAGATACATGCTTTTGGGCATTCGTCATAGGTTGCTATTGGGTGACGGAAGTAAATGAAGCTGGCAATGTAATTTCTGACCCAGTGCTTTGCATTGAGGCTTGTTTGCAGGGAGTATACTGTTCGTAGTCTCACAGATGAAGTGATGTGTAGAAGGTGGTAGTTGCGTAGTGGCGACGCTTCTCTCAAGAAAAAAGCAACTCGTGAGACTGAGGATATTCTTCAAGCTGTGGATCGAGACCAATTCAGTAAACGGATGTCGTCACTGCCATGACGAGTTCTCGAGGGTGGCCTCCCTGAACCTTACAGCCCCTATTATCTCGGTGAGAAGATCTCGGTCAGCGTAGATCCAGGGCTTCGCCGGTGGTGACCCACATACATTACTATATCCAATCAGAACCCACAAAAGACTTCTGGTAAGCCCTCCTCATGCCTTTGAGCCTTAGGCAATAAATGTGCCCTAGTCTGGCCCGTGCACGCTGGATTGACCTCTGTGGGGTTAGCGAGCCCGCACAACTGCAAAATTCCTATCCAGTCTTCTCTTTGCTCCGAAAAAAGTTCATTCCGACAACCTCGACAATCAACCACCCAACGCCGGCCACCACTCGATTGCATCTGAGTCACCATCAGGTTAGTGGACGATCACAGGAGAACGAGAGAGGAGAGGATCACAAGAAGCAGCAGTAGCGGTAGAAGCGACCGTGACAGCGATATATCTCGATTTTCCCGTCTCTTGTTTTATTCACGAGAAGAGCACAAGGCATTTCGCGGTTTCTCCCTGGCGGGCATTACGCTACTCTACCTCTTGTTCCTCTTCTATAACCCCTCTGTGCCGATTCTCCTGTGTCACATTCTAAACTTGCAAAATTTTTACAACATGGTGCTAACGTTTCTTCCGACGAACAGCATAAGCAATCATGGGTATCTCAAGAGATTCCCGTCACAAGCGTTCCGCTTCCGGTGCCAAGCGCGCCTACTACCGTGCGTAACAATTCGAAAGCCCGTATGCTCTAATCAAGCATGCGTTCTGACCTTTCTGCTCAACAGGGAAGAAGCGCGCTTTCGAGGCCGGTCGCCAGGGTGCCAGCACCCGTATCGGCCCCAAGCGAATCCACACTGTCCGCACCCGCGGTGGTAACCACAAGTACCGTGCCCTTCGTCTCGACTCCGGCAACTTCGCCTGGGCCTCCGAGGGCTGCACCCGCAAGACTCGTGTCATTGGCGTCGCCTACCACCCTTCCAACAACGAACTTGTCCGCACCAACACCCTGACCAAGTCCGCCGTCGTCCAGATCGATGCCGCTCCCTTCCGCCAGTGGTACGAGGCTCACTACGGCCAGGCTCTTGGCCGTCGCCGCCAGCAGAAGCAGCAGGCCGCTGCCGGTGTCAAGGAGGACGAGACCAAGAAGTCCAAGTCCGTCGAGAAGAAGCAGGCTGAGCGCTACGCCGCCCAGGGCAAGGTCGAGAACGCCATCGAGAAGCAGTTCGAGGCCGGTCGTCTTTACGCTGTTGTCTCTTCCCGTCCCGGCCAGTCCGGCCGCTGCGACGGTTACATCCTTGAGGGTGAGGAGCTTGCCTTCTACCAGCGCAAGCTCCACAAGTAAACTAGTGCGCTCTCTAACGGGTGACGTGCTGTTTTCTTGCCGGAGAAATGGAAAATATGGGTTGTGTTAGACAGTGGTTTATGAAATCACGTTAACGGGAATGAAAAACAACGTTTTTATCGGGCAACGGTTGTTCTTGGTGTTCAAGAGGTTTTTTTCGTCGTCTGGTCAAAAGCATCCAGGGGGCGTGATCAGCTTACCATAAGTAGGCTTGGGGAATAGCAAACTGAGCCGACGGACGGATCTGGGTTTATTAGGTTTAACTCAAAAAGACTATACCACCAAGTTTTTGCCCGCCTGAACTTCCCTTCATTTCTAACGTCATTTTCATCAAGTTCTTGTCGTGATTCGATTCTGTTTGTGTGTATATTTTTGTGCATGCATTGAATAGCTTTACGTCTATGTAAGCTTAGCGAGAGCACTTGTTAGCTAGAACTCTACCGCTTGCCTCCCAGTACGGCTTGCGTCGTAACGATGCCGTGTAAGATTCGGCCAAGTGACCATTCCAATTGTATCAACTCCTCGCCAGGACATGTGTTGACTGACGGATCCCCACTTCTTTCTGTTGTGTATCTCTATGTTTGGAATATCAAACAATAACCGCTGCTTCTCAGCCTCTTTCCTCACCGCCAGCACCATTTACCGCCCTGATGTGCGTTGGGCCAGCAAACACACAAAACCCCATATTCATGGGAAGCTATCATTAATTTTTACATTAAGATGTTCAGAGAACTCTGCTTCTGGGGTTGCCAGGGCTGTATCACGACCTAGCACTTAGGCGAACTGTCGCTTTAGGTCCGTCCACTTGCGTGTAAGGGTTTCGTGCTGAGAGTTGATCTAAAAGACAATTAGTGGCCGCGATTCAGAAAGACGAGCTTAGTTGACCAATCTTACCTCAGCGTACTGCATCTTTGTTTGGACAAGCTCCTCTTCCAACTCCGCCAACTCCTTCTCCAACTTCTGATTCTCTTCATGAACCTTCTCGTTGCGTTTCATGAGATCATCACGTTCCGCCTTCCAAGCATTCTCAAGCTCTTCAGGCTGCTTCTCAATGACATTACGCAGCTCACGAACCTGTCCCTTGAGACTTTCATTCTCGTCTTTGAGCTCTTCATTCTCCACCTTGGTGTGGACCAGCTCTGTTGCAAGGGCCGCTTGCTCACTATCGTACGCCTCGACGCGCTCCTCGAGCTTACGCACCTTAATGGCGAAGTTAATGTTGGCACTGCGCAGCTGCTCGAGTTCAGCCTCGCGCTCCTTCTCAGCCCTCGTCTTTTCCTCCCACTCAGCGGTATAAGCCTTGAGAATTTCGGGAGTGACCTTGACATCGCAAGCATCTCTGACAAGTTGATCGGCTCGGTAGACTTCCTTGTCCATACTGGAGCTGGAGCTACCGAAGAAACCGTTCTCTAGAATGCTTCCTGCGCTTGGAGCTGTGTCAATGTAGGCGTCGAAGAGCTTGTCCTTGAGGAAGACAGTGAGCTGCTGCATGTCCGAAATCGCGAGCAACTTGGCCGCGTTTTTCTGCATCAACACAATACCAAACCGCAAAATGGCCGACAACCCTTCTGAAAGGATCAGGTCGTAAATTCGTAGCACCAATTGCAGAGGGAAACGATAAGCGAACAGCGTCAGGAACCACTGGGTGGCATAGAGATGAGGTGAGATGCTGCGGCGGCGGAGGTGGCAGTATAAGGCGGGCTCGAAATCCTCGAGCAGGCGCTCAAAAATGTAAAGATTCTTGTGAAGGCCTGGCATATCTTGAATGAAAAGGTCGCGCAGCTGGTAATGGTTCATCAGCCTAACCAGAAGGCAGAAGGCTTCTTCTTCCGTCATGTTGAATAGTAAGGGCATGATCAAAAAGTTCATACCCTGTGCGTAGCCAACGGCCTCATCATACAGCGCGTACGCTTTGCACACGCCGAAGAGACCCTCCTGAAGCCCAGCGGCAGCAGCGTACTTGGAGAAGCTAGTTCTTGCACCCATGTCGCGCCGAATAGTTTTTTCGAGCTTTTGCAGCATAGCCGCATCCTCCTTTTGCTTCTTTTGCCTTGCCGCCGTTGCCGCCTGCTGTGCCTTCATCACTGCTTCAGCGCTCTTCTCGTTCGGCGAGGGCATGATATTGACAGCTGAATGCTCCGAGTGAATTGACGAAGCAGATGAGTTGACTGCTTCATTTGATATGCTGAGATTGCCATGGCTGCCTGAGCTGAGAGTGCTGTTGCTGTTCCTATTCTTTTCCTTGTCGGTGCCTCTGGCAACGAGCTCTCGATACATTATTTCCAGCTCTTCGTTGTTGCTCTGTGCGAGGACCTGCCAAATTACTCCTCTGATAGCGCTAGGGATTCCAGTGGCAATAGCCCTGTTCAGTTCCTCTGCGCTTGTACGTGAGACAACTGCAGGTCCTTCATAGACCACCGACTGCCACAGATCCCAATCTACCTGGGCATCAGGCATGTCAGATGGACCGGCAGATACACCAGAAACTGTCCCTGGTGCTAGTGCTGGGTTTGGAGTCGTCGGAAGAGGGGATCTAGGTGGCTGGTCAAATCCGAGCTCTTTATCGTTGCCATTCTGGGCAGGAGGCGTAGCCAGCCCTACGCCCTTGGGTGGCGGCACAGGTGTCTTCTCGTCATCAAGCGTAATACCTGCTTCTTCGCGCATCCGGACCATCTTGAAGCGGTCCTTCAAACTATGGCGAGCCACGCCATTCACGCCGTTTTTGCCGTCACCTTCCTTCTCTTCGTCCAGTCTGCCAAGGCTCATCTCAGGATTGCTCGTCAAAGTGGCGATAGAGCTGGCAGTATTCCTTCGAGGTGAAGATGCGGGCGGTGGGGGAGATGTCTCCTTCTCCTTACTACCGCTGTTTCGAGAAAGCCAGGAGAAGGGGCTGGTAAGCTTCCTTGTCGGAGGCCCTGGGTGTGGTATTGGGGCAAGGGGTGCAACTTGCGGCACAGGAGCGGCCGATGCACCGGGGGATTTGGCTGGGGATGGTTCTGCTGGAGGTGACCATGGCATGGATGGAAGAGCGCCAGTGATGCTGCTTATTGATATTTTCTTGGATGGCGCCTTCTGGATAGGGCTACTGGCTTTCGGTTCTGCATTTAATATTAGCATATTGACACACGTCAATCAGTTCATGCGGCGAAACAACGGACCTGGCTCCTGTGGGGCGGCCGTGTGGTCGTCGTCGAGATTAACATTGTCCAAATTTGAGGTATTAGAGAGGCGGTGGGAAACGGGAGACGGCTTCCGTTTAATTCCCGTATCTTCCTCGTCGCTCTTGAACTCGTCGGCAACAACGTGGTTATCTTTTGCGGGTGTTGGGGGAGCTTCCTCCTCCTCCACTTCACTCTCCTCTTGTTTCTCCTTTTTCGGCGAGTCTGGCTCCGTAGGTTCGGTGGGTGGTGCTTTTGAGACTGACGGCGTTCTTGAGGTCAGGGAGCGTACTTCCGAGACTTCAGCAACTTCAGGAACTTCAGCGACCTCAAGGACCTCGGGTTCCTTCGCAACGTCAGATGCATTGGAAACCTCAGCTGTCTTGGTAGGTGTTGTGGTAATCTCAGGTACCTTAGTAACCTCAGTGGTTGCAGGCACCTTGGCTACTTCAGCGACATCGACGACAGCGTCTTCGAATGCATCCTGCAGCTAGTCCCATCATGTCAGCGAACTCAACCCTACTCGATTGCCTTGTCTTATGCTATCAGGAGGCCTATGGGCTCTGTTGTGTCTCGAGGGAGGAGGGGGGCGTTACATTTTCCTTATCCGAATCAGAATCCGAATCAGACTGGATAGAGAGCCTCTTCTCCTTCGTTACCTTCGTCGGGGACTTGACGGGTTCGTCTGGCTGCGACATGGTGCCGTCGAGAATTGCAGGTCAACTCTCGCCGACCTCTGTATGTTTGCAGATTCGTAGGGGTTTTGCAGGCTTAGCTGTCCTTGGGGGGGTGGTTCAAGGTCGAACTTGAAACTAGGCGGTGGCCATGGAGATAGGGATCCAGCGCAGGGCAAATGTACACTGTGTCGTCTGTGCTGTTGAAGAATACTTGTGGTAAGGTACAACACGCTGCAGGATACTCTGCTGTGTATCGTGGGGTGCAGAACTGGTCGCGGGGATATGCTTTGTTGTTGAAGCGATGAATGTCGTTGCTCTTGCTAGGACGGACGACCGAGAGTCAAAGGACGGAGGGTCGAGTCGAGGAGTTTGGTTTGATAGGAACGGATTGTGGCGTGCAGCTGTGCTCCTCTCTCTCCCTCTCCCTTTTTTTTTATTTTTTATCCTGGCTGGGGATGGGGAATTGAAGCTGAGCCTCACCGGAGATGGGGGCCTAGGATTTGTACCTACAGGCAGGTGTACTCCCACCAATGTCAGCCAGGAATGGCTGCAATACCGACCTGGGACCTGGAGCCAGACTACCGAACAGCAGTTGAGTGGATAGTAGTGGTCATGAACTGTACCCGTATTCGCTCGAAATCATCCAGTGTCCCCTGGCACTCAACACCCTGAGCCCCACCAACCGTCTCGCGCTTGGGGCAGGGGAGGGAGAGGGGAGAGAGAAGCACCAGATAGGCGTTCTCAGCCAGTAAACTGGCACCGCTGTGGTTAGCGCGCCTCCGCTACGGCACGGGATCGTTCTCTGTTTCGGGGGTCTGGGTGCTATACGTTCCTGCCCGGAGTAAAGAAAGCTACCCCCGTGCCCTCGCAATTCCCAAAAAATGCCATGAATGACAGGGTCCCCTTTTAGGAGACCCAGCCAAAGGAAATTACTGGGATCGACAGAGCAGGGAACCTCTTGTTTCTTGATAATTGCCCAGCATTTCCGGGCCCTTTTCCCAGCCCTTTGAAGCCTCCCAGAAGCTTCTGTCCCTCCTGTTTCTCTGGGCGTCGCCCCCCCAGCATCACTTTCACCTGTGGTACATCCCCTTCTCGGAATACTGTAACCCCTCCAGGATTTCGTTGTATTAGACTTTAATAAGCGGTCTGGACCTGTTTCTTTTGTTGTCATTTTGGACACGAGAGCTTATTCCCCTGAATCTCATCATCGGATGACGGGCATGGTTGACAAGTCAGCCCAAGTCAAGTCAAAGTTGACAGGGTTGAGTATTGGAAATTTTCTCTTGTTGTTTGTTTGTTTCTGTCTCAAGCATGTGTGCGCGTCTCCCGAGACGAGCTTGTCTCCAAATAGCCATGTTCAGCCCAACAGCCGCTGCCCCTGCAGCACAAGTCTATTGGATGGCACGATGGCTGGCCGCCGAAGCATAGAATCGGGGTTGACAGGATACTTGGCCGATACTTTTCTTTTGTTTTAGCTCGTCAGCGACTTGCAGTGTAGATGGCCGGTATCTCCCGCCATTCCCCGTCCGCACGATCTGCATATTCATGCGCCGTTACAATCGGGTGGTAGATCTCGTCCGTCCCTTGCCTATCCCCCCTTCTCAGGGGCCCGCAGCCCAGCGTGACGCCGTTTTCTCTTGACTGTTGGTAGAACCGATTACGAGAAGCAACTGCACAAAGCTCACTTTTGACGAAAGCAGGAGTCGGTTGGCTGTAGTTGCATTAGACTTCACTTTACGTCTTTGTCTCTCATCGAGGACATACATGGACACACCCGTCTACCCTTTGGTCTTCGTGAGTGCTCTTCCTGTTGATTCAGCCCCTTCCTCAGCACTCTACAGCCTCGAGGCATTGGAATGTGCTCGCGCCACCCACAAAAACTGCACACCTTAGTCACTTCGAATAATGGAACCAGCCACAGCCAGAGACTGAAATTGAGCCACGTGAGGCCGGTCAAAGTCCTGGAGAGCTTGTCGCTCAGAGTTCGATGATTGTGCGAACACACTTGTTGATATGTAGGCGAGACCTCATGTACTACGTAAGTCTCGTTTTCATTTTATTTTATACCTACCGTACACATTTATCCTCACTTGAGTACTTGGCTCTGAATACACAAATAGTTATCAGTCGCTATGTTTCGTAGTCTCATCTTCGTCCTTGTTTTCTCATCGTCATCAATCTCATCATTGGCCGGCGTGTTTACGATTGTAAACGCAATCCTGATTAATGGACGGGCGACAGTGTAGATACCCATCATCAAGACCCCAAACAAGATGACCAAAAAAGTCCGAATCTAGTAAAGCAAAGCAAGAGAACATTACCCAGATGTTCATGTCAACGTTGTTTCGTCATGAGCTGTTTGAATCCCGGTATGAAAAGCCACCATATCATGTCACTTCTTTTGTTGCTATTAGCTTGGTGAATGAAGCACTTTTTTTTCAGTTTTGATGACAGTGTTTATTGCCAGATGTCAGATATAATGGAGAAATGACGAAAGGTAAGTGCTGGAGGTGGGGAGAGGGACATGGGGAACGAAGAGGACGTTGGATATCTCTGTGACGGGAAAAATAATAGGGAGCAAGAAGTTGGGAAGGAAGTTGAGAGGCGCCGGTCGCTTTGAACGGCTCCTATACTACTAGTGAACAAATTGTTTCTACATCCAATGCCCTCTCTCATACATTTTGCTCGAGACCATGGGCTTATTCCTGCATCGTCGTTATGCATATACGGCCGTTTCGTAGGTACGTTGACCTGAAAATGCAGTAAGGCAGACAGGCGGCCCAAGCAAGTGACTGGAGAACAGTTGGGTCTTGGCTTAAAAGTGGAAGAATCGGGCCACAAGATGCAGACAGACAAACCAATGATGACATCGAACTGTGCCGTTAGGCTTGTGCGACTGTACGCTATGTCTTCGCACGTTGACCTACGTAGCAGGTGGGGTTCACGGCGAAGCCCAAGTCCCAGTATTTTGCTGGATTCCACTGTTTCTGGCGCTGTACATTATCACTTTGTAGTGGTTGTACGTAAGCCAAAGTTGAGTTGGACTGCCAGAGATGCCTTACACTAAGTTTGCATGTTGTAGTGTAACATAAGGAAGATGACATAGTTCAAAATGAGGAGAATCAAGGACAAGCGGTCCTACTTTCACCGATGGGTGAGTGGTGATTAGAGAACATAATGAGTTAATTGCTGAAGCATCCTTAAACAGCAGCACATGCTGGACTTTCCCATGGCAAGCCAGCCGGCTAGCTAGTTGCCCCGCTAGATGACTTGGCCAGCATCTACCGCGTTGGCTTGAGAAGAAAAATTAAGGGGGGATGAGGTGGCAAGCACCTATCTACTGTGTTCACTTTTATGACAAATAGAATGAGAGAGGGAAAGAAAGAACAGGCAGAGAGGTCTCTACTATCTGGATGGTATACTAAGAAGAACCTTTGCAAACTGCAGGTACCTCACCTTAAACTTGAGAAAGGCTCTTGTTGTTTGTTGGCTGGCTAGCCATCCATCAGGTACGTACCGTGCTGACTGTCTTTCTTTTTCTTGACTGCGTCCATGATCCAGCATGTAATTTATGGACCGTGCGCGAATACATCCCCGCTATCCTTCTGCTCCGTCGTCCCACTTTCACTGTGCTCATGCGGAATTTCCTGGCCAGCCTTACCGCCTGCCGCCCACTTTCACACAGTGTCCCTCTGCTCATGCCTCACTGGTCACTGCCCGCCAAAAAAAAAACATCCCGCCTCTGCCTACTCTACCTAGGTAGTAAGTAGCATGGACCGAGTTGGCTCCTCCCACTCTGACTGATTACTGACGGTGTAGTGCACCACTCCAAGCAAGACGGGAGACGACGTCCAACCAGGAAGGGGAAAAAAAATAAGTGCCCTCACTGCCTGGCTTGGGGAGCTGGAAGCTACCTCTACCTACCTTGCTATTACGCAAAGGGCCCACTGTAACCGCACCTACCTTCCGTACCGATTTGACATCTGCAACTTCTTTTTCCACCAAACTCTACAACCTCCCATTCCGCCTTCCACCTTTCACCAACACTCAACGCTTGACACTCGTTGCGACCGACGGCTCGATCTAGCCGCCTGTTGCTCTCTGGGAATCGTAGACATTCCACCCAAGAACTGCACCCTGCTGGCCGTTTGACTGACCGCTTGGCAAAACTGTTCGTACAGTGGCCTGCAAGGACGTCCTGCACCCGACCTTGCACCTTTGTACCTATCAGACCCAAGCTCTCTGATCATTGCCCGGTCGACTTTTGACTTCTCAACTACGAAACGTTATACTTCTTCGGTTTCTTCTCTGTACTCCATCGAAAAATCAAGATACCCTTTCTGCGACGCGTTCGTTTGCGCAACGCTTACGAGATACCCTGTTGCGCGAACAACACCACTCCACTGCACCGGCTAGTTAGCAAAGCTGCACTTATGAACCTGCGGCCTGGCCGCGCCCGCCCACGATGGGGAAGATAACGAAGCAGATGCAGCCCAAGCATGCTGAGACTCTGGTAAGTCCATCTTTTCTTGTTTATGCCCGCTTCCGGTCAACTCGGCTAATCATCCGCAGTCTCCATGGCTGAAGGACTTCGTCACGTCGGCATGCTCGACACCCTTACCTCTTCTCCCAGACCACCTGTCCAAGTTCCCGACAAGATGGCCGTTCCCCAGAGGTGATCTTTACCACTGGATCCCCCTTCTCAACCGATTCGACAATATTCTGGACTGCTTTTGTACCACCTATAACCTCGATCAGGGCCCTCAAGGCCGTGATTTCAGCTGCGATCTACTTCTCAACAGAGGTACCAAGACCGAATCATACGGTGACGAGACGTGGGATGGGGAGCGACTCTCCAAGCTGGGCTACAAGGAAGATGGCGATAGACAGCTCATCGAGGCTGTTCTCAACTTCACACGGGTGCTTCTGGAGCACTGCGGCAACCGGAGCATCTATTCGAGTAGCATGGTCCTGAACAAGCTACTCAACACCACGGTTTTGTCCGTTCTGCTGGCTACTCTGCAGGTCAGCTCCGAGCTAGCTCAGCGATACCAGGCCTCGGTCAAGCGTATAGGAAGCGCGTCCCGTACCGTCAGCACTGCACTGCTGGGGAACCACTACCAAATCGATCTCGATCGTGTCCAGAGCCTCGCTCTGCCATTCGCTAAGACTCCCATCGTGAGTCTTTCGGACTCCTTGACAACTGGCACGCCTACCTCGGCTACCAAAGGGAAGGAAAAGGCCCAATCCTCGAGCCAGAAAAACGCCGCCGTTATGTTTGCCAACGACTTGGGCGCTGTTCTCACGACTGACAACAGCCGCTGGAACGGTTGGGGTGACATTAAGATTTCCTACACCGCGCCTTCAACAGCCCGCGACCAACCTGCCGTCACAGCCTCCGACCGTGTCGCATCCAGCGTTCCTTCCACCCCTACCCCTTTGCGACGCAGCACGACGGCCGGTTCACAACAAAACACCCCTAGATCAGCTCGTCAGCCCGCTGCTGATGATACTTCGCCTTTGGGCGTCCGAAGCCCTGGTATGTCGAATGAACATGCCAACTCTAGCCAGAGAGTCTTCGATCTACCACAGTCAGTAGTGGCTGCTACTCCTATTTACGATTTGCTCTCAAGATGTCCCGCGGATATGCCGCCTTCCGCAAAGTATGAGGTGCTCAATCGGCTAAGAGTTGCCAAGGCTCTTCTGGGCAACGCAGAATCCAGACAGCAAGCCCTGGCTATTAGACTGTTGGCCATCACAAACCTTGCCTACATCCACCCGGAGACCACCTTTGTTGAAAAGGTCTTACGTCATGACAACGATGAGACCAGACGTTACCAGCTCGCGTATCAGTTAGCAGAGCTTATCCACCCGCCAGCTGACGGCTCTATACAAGTGCCACTCTGGCTCCAGTCCATTGTTTTGGCCCTACTTGAGGCGATTTCAAACTATGCCGCCCGATACCAGGATGTCTTATCTGCACTCAACGCTAATGTCAACCACGGTATTCTCCTCTATGTCATTCGGAAGGCAGTCGGAGGCATGAAGACCGACGAGCCTGATCGTGGTCTCCAGATCACCGAAATAGATCAGTGGCGGACGAACCTCTTCTCCCTAACCACTCACCTTGCAATGTCCACTAGAATTGGCGCTGAGATGGTTACCGCTGGTCTTATGGACATTCTGGTGGAAATCCTGAAGATCAGATCTGACGTTGCCCAACGCAACCAGTCCATGATCCTTGCCTTTATCGATGGCTTGATTTGGTCATACCAGAACGCTTTCCAAACCTTTTTCAGTGGTTCTGGCCTCGATGCCATCTCTGACTTGCTGGTCACCACCGTGGCCGAAGCGAAGCAGCTGGTCGAGGCTGGCCAAGGGAACAAGCCAGAGCATCGCAACCAGATTGTGGACTATGAGATACCATACAACCAGCAGCAAACTCTGAAATGGGTGCTCAAATTTGTCCATCATATGATGACCAACTCTTACAGCTATGGCGGCAACACCGATCGGCTTTTACGTAATCTCGTGGACAAGTCAGAGCTGCTTGGAAGTCTCAGAGAAATTATGCAGAACACTAAGCGCTTCGGTTCAGTGCTCTGGACGAACACAGTGACAGTTCTCAGCGATTTCATCAATAACGACCCCACGAGCTTTGCTGCCATCTCCGAATCCGGCATGATCGTAAGCTATCTCGAGGCAATTACTAGCCACTCTGTTACCAACCAACCAGCCGTTCAGCCTCCACAGGGATCTGAGGAGCAAGAGCCCGCAAACCGCGCTGAAAACGATGATCATAGCAGCCCTGATCCGTCCGACGCTTCCATTCAGATTGAGTCCGACAGTCGTTCCCACCCACCTCCTGAGGAGGAATTGGCTGCCTCTCATGACCGCCCACTGGCTAAGGGTATTCTTCCAACCTCTGACGCTATCAACGTTGTACCGCAAGTGTTGAACTCCATATGTCTAAACAATGCTGGCCTGCAAATGGTTGTTTCATCACGTGCCTTCGAGTCCTTCCTGGAGATTTTTGAGAGCCCAGCCCACGTCAACACAATGGAGACAGATCCGCACCTTGCAAGCAACGTCGGAGCAAGCTTTGATGAGCTTGCTCGGCATCACCCTCACCTAAGGCGCCCAATCTCGAACTCTGTCGTTGATATGGTTGCCAGGGTGAGGTCCCTAGGTGTTCATAAGGCCAAGACTGCCAACTGGGGCGCCAAATTACTTCTCAACAACGGAACCCAGAAGCCTGTTCCCGCTGATGAAAACTTGAAGAGTCGCCTCGAGACCGCCTCCACATCCAAGGACAAGGACAAGGGCTCCCGTGATGATGTGGACGTTGAGATGTCTGATGCTGCTGAGTCGTCACAAAAGGCAGAGAAGCCTGCGGGCACAAGTGACGAGTCATCCTCGTCTGCCACCGCATATGATGATATCACGCCTTATGTTTACGCTCTATCTAGCTTTCTTTCTGCCTACTTCAACAACAACACGCTCAAGGCCTTTTTCATCAATCACGGAGGTATTGAGCTATTGTTGGACATTGCTGAGCTGCCCAGTCTTCCGCATGACTTTTGCGAATCGCATGCGTCCCGGACACTGCATCTCGTCATATCACAGCTTGTCGAACAGTCTCCTGTTCTTGGTCTTCCTTCTCTGCTCAGGCGTGCGCAAGCATCAGTTGAAACGCTCAGACCCCTAGCCGTGTACAACAAGGACACTCCTTACTTCGGCCCATTCCTTAGCCCTGATGACAAGATGACAGTTGAGCAGGTCCGAAGCCTTGACGCGGAAGCACAAGAGCGGGTTTTCCAGGGCACTAAGATGGTTAAAGCTTTGCTCAACGCACAATCATTGATTAAGACGCTGTACGAGTGTTTTACCTCGTCTCCGAGGTCCAACTCGGTTCAACTGTATCCCATCAATGTCTTTGACTATTATCTGGATTTGGTGAAGTCTCTGGGGCCCCTTCTCAAGGCCGTGTTGGCCGAGGAAGGTGCAGAGCATAATGTTCTCCCCCAACATTGGTGGGCTAAGAGGCCAGCACCCGGGAGCGATGTCATGGTGTCCTTTGAAGGGCCTTCCGGAGCACAGGCTACAACGGAGGTTGACACTGGTAGTGCTCCCGTGTCGGAGGATGTACCGGGCTCTGGGAGCGGGGGTGTTCAGGCGACAAACCCCGGTATTCAGCACAAGGTCCCTAGCAAGCAGGAGCAAACCACACCCAGATACCGCAACTATGAGACTCTCCGTCTTCTCCTACACTCGATGGTGCCGTCAACATTCCCTTTCTTCCAGCAACTTGGCAAGGCTCTCTTCCCGCGACGTGAGCGAGACCCCTACTCTCGACCAAAGCACATAGACCTCGCCAGGCAGCTTTCTGGTACCATTCTCGACCAGCTGAGACCCTCTGTTGCTTTAACTGAGCCCACGGCGAAGGAGTACCATTACTGGATTATTATGCTTCACACATTGACGGAGATGCTTATGGATTCTTCTCGGTCATCTGGAGACCGATCCTCAGTTCAAGTGGTCGTGCCAGTATTGATTGCCTTTTTGGAGCAAGGTGGTTTCGACGTGCTCACTCAAATGGTGCGACGCTTCTCGACAGAGATCTGCAAAGAGACTAGCGAATCAGATGCGGGCACCACTGCGAGCGCGAGAGTCGCCTCTTTTGGCCTCGGTAAGATTTTCGAGTTCTTTGCCGCGCTCGTTAATGGCAAGAATATCGCCGATTCTACTGCTCAATTTGGTCTTCTCCCCCGATCAACCGAGAGGCGTCCCGAGTCCCCCATAGCTCACCAAATAGTTGTCGAGGTGCGCATGGCAGTGCTACCAGTGATCCGCGAGACTTGGGAGTCTGCTCTGATCGAGAGACTGCGACCTGAGTCAGTAGCCAAAATTATCGAAATCCTCAAGATTATCTCCACCGCCGAGCACGAAACGTCCTCTAGAGACAGGCCCGTACCCGAGGTCTTTAAGAAAACCTCGATCCAGTTTAACTGGCCACTTCACAGCCAGCTGATCACTCAGTTACTCGAGGATGGCGCTGATGAGGAACTGGCCCGGGAGGCGGTCTTTAGATCTAACGGCAACCAGCCGTCTGCGACGGAATACAGCCGTATCCACAAGGCTGGCAAAGCCGGACCACGTAACCCTATACCCCCAGAAGACGCCTACACCCCAAACCGTCCTGATCTATCACGACCTTCTAGCCAGCAGGAGGTGTCTCCTCCCGTCGTCGCTGCCGCCGCCACCGCCGCTGCCGACACGGATGCAATGGCAGTTGATGCCGCACCCGACTTTATATCTGGGGCTGGGGCTGTATTTGAACGTATGCTTGGGGATTCTGTCCTTGGTGACTTGAGCGAACGGACTTCTCCTGAGGGCGCCGGCAATGGTACCGACAGCCCTGCTGACGCTGCTGAGGCACAGGACAGACCTAGTACCTCTACGCCAGCAAACGCCGCTGGAGACCAAACAAAGACCGAGAGTCGCCTGACGGCCAAAGAAGACTTGGACAAGGAACGGGCCAAGCTGCGAGAGAATCTCATTGATAGATCGCTTGATATTGTCAGAGCCCACCCGCACTCGGCTATCGAGCTCTCTGAGCTTATCAGTGCCATGGTTTTCCGCCAGCAGAATGACGAAGTTCGAGACGAAGTTGGTGCTACTTTGGCCAATGCTTTGACGTCTCTGTCGTTTGACGACAGTGATTCCAAGTCGAACGGAACAAGCATCGCCGCCTACGCTCATCTGTTAGCTCTACTGATGCAGGAGAAGAGCTTCTTCAAATGCAACATTGACACTTTGCGTGAGAAGGTTGATGAGTACGTCTCGTTCCTCAACTTGAAGGTTCTCCCCACATCAAACGAGGAGCTGCCTCCCTGGATTCCCTACATTCTGTTAATTGTTGAGTTGCTCTTATCATATGACGAGCAGCCTGTGGAGGCACAGTGGAAACCACCTGCAAGTGAGAACGAAGCTGTAGCAGCTCCAGTTCTGCCTCCACGCAATCCGATTGTTTCGGACAGTCAGCGGAACGATCTCCTAGAGGCCATCCTTCGTCTGCTACCTGTCCTCGGAAAAGAGGAGACTCTCGCAACTTCTGTCCTTCGAGTGATTGTCATTCTTACTCGGCAACCAGCTATTGCGCAAAAGGTCGGCGAGAAGAAAAATCTCCAGCGCTTGTTTGTCATGGCGAAGCAGCTTGCAGGTGCCGGCGCTGCTCGTTTAAAAGAGACGAAGACCACTGGCAGCATCATGGCAATTCTCAGACACATCGTGGAGGACGAGGATACTCTGAAGCAGATCATGCGCGCCGAGGTGCGCAGCCTCTTTGAAAACCCCCAGCGTACCCAGAGAAATCTAGATCTCAGCACATATTTGCGCAACATGGCACCGCTTGCACTGCGTTCGCCCGATCTTTTTGTAGAAGTTACCAATGAGATGACGAAGCTCTCTCGTTGGACACCGGGAAGCGAAGGCAGTACCCGTGCCCACCAGCTGGCACTCAAGGAGCCCGAAACCGAGACCAACGCTAATATTGCGGACAAGGACACGAGCGTCGAACCCGCAGTACAAGCTACAGAGGATCTTTCCATCCACGACGTCAAGCAATCAACAGAGGCAGACGACAAGGAGATGGCCGATGTACCAAAGCCAGCGCATGAACTGAAGCGCCCGATGGTCGAGAATCCCCATGGCATCATTCACTTCCTTCTTTGCGAGCTGCTCAATTACAGAGAGGTAGATGATAAGGAGGCTTCGCAACCTCCTAAAGATACGAAGGTCGTCGCGTCGACCAGCGCCCCAGCTGCGGAGAGCGCGTCTCAAGATGCGGCCGCGGAAGGCCAGGACGCTGCTGACAGTAAAGACAAAGATAAAAAGTCCTCGAAGCCCATATTCAAGGCGGAGGATCATCCGATCTTTATTTACCGGTGCTTCTTGCTCAACTGTCTTGCAGAACTCCTCCAGAGCTACAATCAAACAAAGGTTGAGTTTATCAACTTCAAGCGGAGCGCCCCGTTGCAAACAAACACGCCTGTGAAGCCCCGGTCAAGCGTTCTCAACTACCTCATCAACGACCTTCTTTGTCAAGGCAGCAGCCTCAGCGACAATGGTGACAGTATATTATCTAAGAAAAAGGCGGCGACCTCTGCCCAGGCACAGCAGGTATTAGTTTCACTTGTAGCCAAAACTGGAGAAAGGGGGGTCGACAAGAACCGGGACCGATTTGAATACGACGAGGAACCTGACCTACTCTTCGTTCGCAAATTCGTATTGGACACCATCCTCAAGGCATACGAGCGTGCTGCTACACCTGAGGAACCTATTGACACTCGTTACGCTAAGATGCAGTGCCTTGCTGAGTTGATGAACCATATCATTGGCGAAAAGGACAAGGAATCAACATCTCAGCGAGCACTGGATTCCCCACAGGGCCGGTCCCAGGCTCAACTGCGCAGGATGATGTATGAGAAGGGCTATCTCGACAAGCTGACTTCATCGATTGCTGAAGTTGACCTGAGTCACGCTGGCGTCAAGCGTGCCATCAAGTATGTGCTAAGAGTGCTCCGAGTGTTGACAGACACAGCCAAGGAACTGAGCCGCTCACACGTTCTGCCTTCTACATCCCTTCCCGACAATGCGGACGACGAAATTATCTCAACTTCGTCAATGTCGGACATGAGCGATGATAGAGAAGAAACTCCGGATCTCTATCGCAACTCAGCCTTGGGCATGCTCGAACCTCGTGGAAGCGATGACGAATCGGAGGATGAAGATGGTAAGACATCCATTGCCACTAACTGACATAATACGCAAGCTAATCCCATCAAAGAAGATGACGATGAAGAGATGTACGACGACGAGTACGGCGATGAGCTCGACTATGGCGAAGAGGATGTATCTGATGACGGCGAAGACGGCGTCAGCGATGAAGACGAGGAGCTCGGCGAAATGGGCGAGATCGAGGGTCTCCACGGAGACCCTGGCGTTGTTGAGGTCATCATGGGTGAAGATGATGATGACATGGACGAAGACGACGATGAGATGAGCGAAGATGATGAAATGGACTCCGATGACATGGACGACATGGACGACCATCTCGACGTGGTTGAAGAGATCGTCGACGAAGATGGCAATCCTATCGATGACGACGGCGCCTCAGGTTGGGAAAGTGAAGACACAGATGACGACGACGATGAAGACGACGTCGAAGACTATGGTGCCGATGTTCAAGACGGAGATGAGGTCCACATGCACGGTATGGAACCTGGAGATATCATTGACAACCTTGCCCGAGCGGTTATGGACCCAGAAGATTACGAAGGGGACGACATGGACGATATTGGAGATCACTACATTGATGATGGACGTGACGAAGATGGTAGGTCAACATATGCTAGGAAGGATTTCGAAACGCTAATAATAGCTTCAGATGACGAGGATGACGATGAGGACATGGATGAAGACGACCTCATCTACGAGGAGGATTATCCCCACGATCACCCGCCCCCTAATCTCCCGGCAGCCCTGGGCTGGGACACGCTCGTTGTTGAACCGTTTGGTGGTCATCCCCATCATGTCCACCGCCACCGACATGGGCACCGCAGTCCATTCCCCCCTGGTTTTATGGTTGGCGGCGGCCGGGATCCACTGGGTGATTTCAGAAGTTACTTTTCGCCCCGGCACAGGCCCAGCGCGGTACCCAACAATGCCGATGATGGTGTCAACCCTCTACTGCGCCGAAACGGCCAGGGCCGGGAATCATCCCCTCGTCCCCCTCCGGGCTCTGGTATGATAGGTCTACGCCTGCCTCCTGAAATCTTTGGCCCTGTAGGAACACAGCTGTCAAACAGCCCCATTGCCATTCTGAACGATCTTGTCGCCTCTCTTCCGGTGATGCGCCATGGTCAATCCGCGGTTCACCTTTCCATAACTCAGAACGGACGGGGAGAAGTCCGCGAGTACCACGTCGCACCCCGCGAGCCCAGAGCAGACAATCGTCGCGAGACTACATACCACGAACCTCAACAGGCTGTTGCGTTTACCCCTGAATCGACTTTTGAACGATACCAAGAAGAAGCCAGGATGGTGTTCGGCGGTGCACACTTTGTGGAAAAGGCTCAGAAGCTCATCAACATCATTCTCTCCAAGCTTGTTCCTCCGGCTATGGAGTTTGAGAAGAAGCTCAAGGCCGAAGAGGAAGAGCGACGCAAGATTCGTGAGGAGGAGCGGAAAAAGTTTGAGGAAGAGGCACGACGCATCAAGGAGGCTAAAGAAGCTGAAGAGAAGGCGGCACGTGAGAAGAAAGAGGCCGAAGAGCGTGAGCAGCAAGAGCGGGCCGCTGCCGAAGTTGCGGCTGCTGCAGGCGAGCGTGACGCGGCATCTGCCCAAGAGACCCAAAGACAAACCGTCGATCCTCACGCCATGGAGGGCATTGAGACGCAGGTCCCTTCTGCACCCTCTGCGCCCCCTGTTGACAACGAGGCGGCCGCCGACGGTAGCCGGGTCTTGACAACCATTAGGGGGGAGGAAGTAGATGTCACCGAACTTGGTATTGACCCCGAATATTTAGCTGCTCTTCCGGAGGAGTTTAGGGAGGAAGTCATCGCCCAGACGGTCAGCACTCGACGCTCACAAGCCCGCGAGGTCGCTGCCACTGGTGAACAAGGTGAAGTCTTCCAAGAGTTCCTTGACGCTCTTCCTGAGGATCTTCGACTCGAAATTGTTCAACAGGAACGTCAAGAAGCGCGCCGGCGGGAAAGAGACGAGCAACGGCGCCAGGTAACGACTGCAGGTCAAGACCAGATTGCGGTGGACATGGACCCGGCCAGTATCCTGCTGACATTCCCTCCGGAACTGCGCCAACAGGTCCTTATGGATCAAGGAGAAGATATAATGGACCATCTCCCCCCTGAAATGGCTGCCCAGGCCCGACTTCTTGCTCAGCAGCACGCCGTCCATCCTGCTGTAGCAGGCAGAAGCCCGCCTGTAGCTGCGCGACGAACGGGTCCGCCGCAGCCAGAATCTGGAGAAAATCATGAAAACAAGGTACAGCGCCGGACAGTGGTCCAGATGCTCGACAAGGCTGGAGTCGCCACGCTACTACGCCTAATGTTCATCTCTCAGATTGGTTCTATTCGCAACTATCTCTTCAGCGTCCTGGCTGATGTCTGCGAAAACCGACAAAACCGCCTCGAGGTCATCAGCACTATTCTTCTGATTCTTCAAGAGGGAAGCACGGATATGGACGCTGTTGAGCGCAGTTTCAGCCAGCTTTCTCTCAAAGCTAAGAAACCCAAGGACAAGGATGCGGACCCAAGAACCCCTCAGAACCTCAAGCGGACTCTGACTTCGCTCAGCGCCTCTGGACACCACCAGTCGAATTCGGAGATATCACCGCTGATGGTTGTGCACCAGTGCTTGGATCTGTTGCAGGATCTGTCCACGAAGAACCCGCATATCCCAATGCTCTTCTTAACGGAGCATGAGACTGTCGGATCATCCCTTAAACGTACCCTTAGCCGGAAGGGCAAGACCAAGGATTCAAAATCCCACAAGTATGCGATCAACTCTTTGCTCACTCTCCTCGATAGAGACTTGGTAATGGAGAGCTCAGTGGTCATGGCCTACCTAGCCGACTTGCTCAACAAGATCACTGTGCCTCTCGCGACCATGGAACGACGACGCAAGGACGCGCTTGAGAAGGCTGCTCGCGACGCGAAGAAGAAGGCTGCAGAAAACGCGGCCGAGGCTGGTGAAGCCACTACGTCAACTGAGCAACAGACAAACAGCGAAGCAACTGGCGCCACAGTCACTGCTGCCGCCGAAACCAAGGATCTCAAGTCGGCCAGTGTCTCAACAGGTGAGGAACCAGAGACCTTGAAGAGCCAAGACGCCAAGTCGGAGTCAATCCAGAAAGGACCGCGACAAATGCAAGTCCCGGTAATCCCTCCACATAACCTTACGCTTGTCGTCAAGATTTTTGTTGCTCGCGAATGTAGCTCCAAGACTTTCCAGAACACCATCTCGGCCATCAAGAACTTGTCTGCCATTCCTGGCGCCAAGGCCACTTTTGGACAAGAACTGGTTCGCCAGGCTCGTCTTCTGAGTGAAAACATTGTTACAGATCTTGATGAGCTCCTTCCGCACATCGAGAAAGCTACCTCTGGAACTGAGATCCAAGGTGTCGCGCTTGCCAAGTTCTCGCCCGGGGCATCTGAGCAAAACAAACTTCTCCGTGTTTTGACCGCTCTGGATCACTTGTTCGATAGCAAAAAGAAGAGTGACAAGTCCGACGAAGAGGCTGAGGCAATCAAGAACGAAAAGCAGGACCTAGTCACCTCCTTGTACCACAACTCCACCTTCTCGACCATGTGGGAGAAGCTGAGCGCTTGTCTCAGCGCCATTCGCCAAAGAGAGAACATGGTCAATGTGGCCACCATCCTGTTGCCTTTAATTGAGTCTCTCATGGTCGTTTGTAAGAACACCGCAATGAATGATGCTCCGCAAGCTCAGAATCAGTCAAGCAAAGAGATGTTGCTCTCTAGCCCGCCCCCAGAGGACCGCATGGCTGGTCTATTCTTCACTTTCACGGAGGATCACCGCCGCATCTTGAATGAGTTAGTGCGAAACAGCCCCAAGCTCATGTCAGGAACTTTTGCGCTCCTCGTTAAGAACCCGAAGGTGCTTGAGTTCGACAACAAGCGGAACTACTTCAACCGAAGTGTACACAGTCGGTCCAATAATAACCAACGACCATCGTTCCCCGCGCTGCAGCTCTCTGTCCGTCGTGAGCATGTCTTCCATGACTCGTTTAAGTCGCTTTATTTCAAAACTGGCGACGAGATGAAGTACGGCAAGCTCAATATACGATTCCACAATGAAGAGGGTGTGGACGCTGGAGGTGTCACTCGCGAGTGGTTCCAAGTTTTGTCCCGGCAGATGTTTGACGCCAACTATGCACTCTTCACCCCTGTTTCCTCAGATCGCACCACGTTCCATCCCAACTCACTGAGTGGCATTAACGACGAGCACTTGATGTTCTTCAAGTTTATCGGACGCATCATTGGCAAGGCTTTGTATGAGGGCAGGGTCCTTGACTGTTACTTCAGTCGTGCAGTCTATAAACGCATCCTCGGCAAGTCCGTGTCTGTGAAGGACATGGAGTCATTTGACCCAGACTATTACAAGTCATTGGTATGGATGCTTGACAATGACATTACCGACATCATCACCGAGACTTTCTCCGTTGAGGATGATGAATTCGGCGTTACTCGCACCATTGACTTGTGTCCTAACGGCCGTGACATTGCCGTTACCGAAGAGAACAAGCATGACTACGTCCGATTGGTCGTGGAACACAAACTTCTGTCCTCGGTCCGGGATCAGATGGAACATTTCCTTAAGGGTAAGATTCACAGGCCGAACAGCCAAGGAAAAAGTTACTAACTGGGTATATCAGGGTTCCACGACATCATTCCAGCTGATCTCATCTCCATATTCAACGAGCAGGAACTAGAGCTGCTCATCTCAGGCTTGCCTGACATTGATGTTGACGACTGGAAGAGCAATACTGAGTACCACAACTATAACCCGTCGTCACAGCAAATCCAGTGGTTCTGGAGGGCGATTCGGTCATTTGACAAGGAAGAGCGGGCTAAGCTATTGCAATTCGTCACTGGAACCAGTAAGGTACCTCTCAACGGTTTCAAGGAACTGGAAGGCATGAATGGTATCAACCGTTTCAATATCCATCGTGATTACGGCAACAAAGAGCGCCTTCCCAGCTCTCATACATGCTTCAATCGTAAGTACTTATCTGGAAAATGTATATGGAGGCCATGCAATTGACGAGACAATGCAGAACTTGATCTCCCCGAGTACGAGAGTTACGAAACACTTCGGGCACAGCTCATGAAGGCCATTACGGCGGGAAGCGACTATTTTGGCTTTGCATAAGACGAGAGCGCGCAAACATAGACTATGATACTGCGATTATGCCAGCATTTGCACTATTGAGGGGCGGGCGACACAGGACACGGTAAATGGAGTGGATGACTTGTGTGATATTAAGCGGAAGGGCATCATCATTGGACTCTGGGCCGCATGTACAAATGTCAGTTTTTGAGAAGGCAGTGGCTAAAGCCCGGATACTCTCATCATTTCATTTTAAGATGGGTGCTGGACCCAAAGACACTGGTTGCTTCTATGTGGAGTGCAGGCCGCATTGAACCACAGCTAGCTGTTTTTGGTTTGGTACTTTGGTATGTAGAGTATGCTCAATACGTCTTGTAGATGACACTTCCTATTCCTAATGATTTGTGGATATTTTTTGGCAAGCTTTTCGCAGTCTTGGTGGGCTGAGCTCCTTCTGGTGGATGCTCGCCCGGCCCTTTCCGATGCTGGTATGGTGATGTTAGGGAAAAGGGCCAGGAAGAAATGAGGAACTTTATTATCACTCTTTATGTGATGGTATCTTGTCTCCCTCATGTGCAGGAAAGCCTAGCATGTCAGGTATAGCCAGCTGGTGTTTTTTTCCCCTTCCAAATGGTATCAAATGGATTTTTTTTCAATGGCGAATTTGACTGGTACGCTTCTTTTGAACATTGCCTTGTAGAGCCTGCACGGGGACAGGTACCGGCAAAATCAGCACGGTGAAGGACGGTGAGGAAAGAACCGAGGACACGGGATCCATGCCCCGTTCCCCACACTCTTTTTTCGACCTCTCAGCGATTCCGGAACAATGACGGCAAGGGCACTAGTTTTTTTTTTCCCCCTTCTCCCGCAGTCTCCTCCGGTGACAACCGCAAGTACAAAGCGAAAGCACAAATTGACCTCATTGACGGCAACCAGATACGACCGACCACCCTTCTCCATACATCTCAAAGACTCAGTATTGTCTTAACTTAGCGCGCACCGTGGAACGTCTCAAAGCTCCCGGAGAAAGGCAGTGTGTACGAGAGTTTTCGATAACCGATAGCCATACCCCTCCATCGTGACCCCGCGCTGCATTTCGATTCGCCCAGAAACCGACCTTAGCCTGCAAACATCAGCAGGTGCTGCAGCCCTTACCTTTTTACTTGACCGAGCGCCCCTCCCGAACTTCTTTTTTTTCCTCTCCCTTTTCCCTTCGTCGTCATACATCGACCGGCCTCATGGGGGACATGGCGAACGATATCAAACTGCTTAAGGGCAGCTCCCATGGGGAGTTGTCCCAGAAGGTCGCACAGCGGTACGTCTCTCTCTTGTTCGATTGGACTGTTCCTTTATTTTGTTGCGAAATGATTCTTGCTAATCTGCTTTTTTTTTTCGCAACACTGCAGGCTGGGCATCCCTTTGGCGAAGACTATGAGGTGAGCAATTCCCCTCTCCAAACAGCGACTCTTCTGCGCGCGCCGACCGCGAGAGTTTCCCTCAGGATGTACTAAAAGCTAACCGCTGTGCTTTATAGCCTGAACTACTCCAACCAAGAAACGAGGTTAGCGAGCAATTTCTCGACCGAGCAGGCTTGAGTTTGAGGCCTGTTGAACTGACGTCTTTACTGTGTCACCGTTGGCGAGAGTGTCCGCGACGAAGATGTCTTTATCCTGCAATCGAGCGAACCCGGAAACGTCAACGATGGACTCATGGAGCTTCTGATCATGATCCACGCCTGCAGAACCGCTTCTGCCCGCCGAATCACTGCCGTTATTCGTTAGTTTCGCCTTTGCCTTCATGAGGAGCGCTTGATTTGAGGGATCATATACTGACGAGAGACAGCATGCTTCCCTTATGCTAGACAGGACAAGAAGGATAAGAGCCGTGCTCCGATCAGCGCGAAATTGGTTGCAAACATGCTCCAAGTTTCGGGATGCGTAAGTCCTGATAATACCGATTGAAGTGTGGAGAATCGTTGTGAAAAGCGCCGAACGACTAATAAGGCGGCACTTAGAACCACGTCATCACGATGGATCTCCACGCCTCACAGATCCAAGGTTTCTTCAACATCCCCGTCGATAACTTGTATGCCGAGCCTAGCGTGCTGCAGTGGATCAAGCAGAACATGAGCGTCGAGGACACCGTCATCGTCTCTCCCGATGCCGGCGGTGCCAAGCGAGCCACAGGTATTGCCGATCGCCTTGAGACGGGCTTCGCCCTCATTCACAAGGAGCGTCCTCGCCCCAACGTTGTCGGTCGCATGATTCTCGTCGGAGATGTCAGAGACAAGATTGCTATTCTCGTCGACGACATGGCTGACACCTGCGGCACCCTCGCCAAGTTCGTAACCCGTACTATGTTTATGCTGGCTGTTCTTTTTACTTACCGAATCTTAGGGCCGCTGAGACTCTCAACAACGCTGGTGCCCGTGAAGGTAGGTCTCACAACAACACCACTGAATCATAGCTGAGTTTACATGCTGATCAAAATCTTCAGTCATTGCCATCGTTACCCACGGTGTCCTGAGTGGCAACGCCGTCGAGACACTGAACAACAGCTGCTTGTCTCGTATCGTAGTTACCAACACCGTTCCTCTGGGCGACAAGATTGAACGCTGCCCCAAGCTGCGCGTCATCGATATCAGCCAGGTTCTGGGTGAGGCCATTCGCCGAACTCACAACGGTGAGAGCGTCAGCTACCTCTTTAACCACGTGCCTGTGTAGGAGGAAGCCAGGATAGGCGCTTTTTTAAAGTTTCTTCCAGACGGCAGTCCAAGGTTGAAAGTATCATGGGTTTAGGGGCGTACGGCATAAAAGGTATTTAGGGGTTATTTCCAGTAGATCACTGCTTAGACAGAAAAAGGGTTCGCATGAAGTACACTTGACGCACGGTAGAATAAAACCAGTCTCTTTTATGATGAGCAGGTAAGGCTAGGTACGATAGCTATTGAATCAATGGGCGCCGTACCTGAATATCTTGACGGCAAAACTGGTCTGACTACCATCCGGGTGACAAATGGCAGGTTTTATAGTGCTGGCCATTGGTCGAGTAGAATGTCGTTATCTTTTCGTCTTTTGTCGCCCGAGTTACTGGGTCTGAGCTGGGGGTAAGGCGGTGAAGTACGTTAGCAAGTGCCGCACTCTGGGGGGCGACGGCGTCCTAGGTGGATAGAGTGGGTCATCAAGCAGCCTCGTAATCTAGTATACAAACGTGGAAGGCGGCGATAGATATGAAGTTCAGAAAAGGGCACAATTCATTTGTGTCAAGTGGAACCACAGGGAGGCTAAAGGGAACGGGGCAGTGGAGGGAGCATGGCATTAACATCAAAAAACTTTTTCGCTGTGGTATTTGCGCGTCAAGGATGCATTTCCATTTTGAATGCCCTATTACATTCGTGATGACTGAAAAAACTGGTCGTGATGGCTAATCCGGGTCCAAACAATCCAGCTTTCCCTTTTAAACGTTTCCCGTCCACGCCCGATGCAAGAAACCAGAAGACCCGAGTATTCTTTACTTTTTCATTTTCCCAACGCCGGAGATTTACTTGCGCATGGAGGAGGCGCGGCGCTTGCGCAGGTCGGCCTTCTCGGCCTTGCGCTCGGCAACGCGCTTGGCGAGGATCTGGGCGTACTCGTTCTGAGGGGAAAGTTAGCAGAGGTCCATGGTGAAAGAGATAGAAAAAAACGTACGGCCTCGTCCTTGACCTTCTCGGCCTGGCGGCGCTTGAGGGCAATGCGGTGGCGCTTGTGCTGGAGGCGCTGGGGGGTGACGAGTCTCTGGATCTTGGGAGCCTTGGTGTAAGGCTTCTTGCCCTCGCCCTTGGGCTGGACCTCGCGACGGATGACGTACTTGCGGACCTAAAGTTTGCAGCAAAATTGCCGTATTAGCTACTGTAGATTGGGTTTGTTTTTCATATTCACAAGCCAGACACGCGGCTCTCCCTCTTCTCCTATCCCTTTGAATAGTCATCACTCGCGCTCTCGTGGGCATCTGAAGTGATTCGATTCGGAAAGGTGGAGAAAAGAGGGAACCACGGTCCCGTCTCTCACACTCTACCTGGCCTGCTGGATCCTCCGCCGCAGCACCTGGTAGGCGATGACGAAGTGGCTGTCCGAGGGGCGTTGTTGCGAGAACAGGAGCACACATACATCGTCATCCTTGGTGAGGCTGAAGAACTTGCGGATCTTGGTGGCACGCTTGGGGCCGAGGCGCTTAGGGTGGACGACGTCGGTAAGGCCGGGGATGTCGGCCTCGCCCTGCTTGACGATGGAGAGGGCAAGGACAGAGAGGTCCATGCCGACGATGCAGCCACGGACAGACTTGCGCTTGCGCTCACCGGTGCGGCGGGGGCGGTAGCAAGAGTGACCCTCAGAAAGAAGGAGGCGGACACGGGTAGGGTGCATGACACCCTGCTTCATGGGGAAACCCTGCTTGTCGTTACCGCCGGTGATGCGGAAGATGTAGCCCTTGAACTCGTCACCGACAGAGTCACCGGGGACCTCAGCGCCCATCTAATGTGAGTGTTAGCAAACCCGTTTTCGTCGTATTGTTGTGATCGGCCATCGTTTCGAGAAAGTTTTCGTCTCTCGGAATCCGGCGTCGCGGCGATTCGAGGGGAGGGAACGTACGCGCTTCTCCATGAAGACACGGAGCTTGCGCTCATCTTCGATCTCGATGAGCTTCTGGCTGCCATTGGCAGGGTAGGAGATGTTCAACTGTGAGAGGAAGTATCAGCGCCCGTAAATTTTCACACTCCAAACAGCGGCCAAGCGACAATGACAACGGCATCGAAATATCGAATGCATGATCGCTCGCATCTGATTGTCGCGCTCGTATAAGGTGGTTATATCTTACCTTCATCTTGCCGGCGTTGGGTGGTGCAAGAGTGTCGACTGGCTGGGCGTTGGGCGTGGAAGTTCGTGATGGAAGAAAGGAAAATCGCTAAATTTTGAGATGTGTGTGCCGCTAGGGCTGCTGGGACGAGGAAAATGCACTGGCCAATCAGAGTGTGACTACAAGGGCGGTGTCGGTGAATTGTGCCACCGGTGCTGTTTTTTTTGCACTGGTCTATCCAAACCTAACCCACACTCTCACGTGCCTTGCCCATATCCCATTTAGGAAGGTGTGGGTCACTGTACGTACTGCGTTCATGTGTCTCCATCTTAATCCCGGCCAGATCCCCCATTTCCTGTCTCGTCAAATAGTCGACACAATACACGTCACGAAACGATTCCAACCTTTAAAAGCGAACTAACTTACGCCTATACGCAGAAGAAATAATGTCGACTGTTAAGATTTATCCACCTAAGAGGGGTCCACCAGCCTCAGATAACCCGCTTCCTCAAACCATTAGGACCCCGTCTGGACTTGCTCTTGTTGAGATGCAGGGTACGATCAACCTCCCCCAGTTCAATCATGATGGGGATAGCAGCAGATCTCAGCCTGAGATACCCATCGGCAAGATCATCTTCCCCGACTACCATCCAGATATTCAAGAGGAAGGCAGCACGGCTTGGATGAAGCGGGTATATCTTTATGTCGGTCAGCACCAAAGACTCCATGGTGAAGTCAAGAAACTCCCAAGGGCAATGGCCATTATCCGCAAAAAGGACGAGACCAGAATTGGCACGAATGGAGAGCTAGAGGAGGAGCTTGAAATTGCCGAAATCGTTAAATACAAGGTTATGTTTTCCCAACGGCCTGAGCCCGTCGGCACTGAGACTTCATAAAAGTCACGCTTGATGGTGGATCATTGCCCTTGACGCAACTACTGAGAGCGTTACCTGGGTTCAATCTACTTGCAGAGTCAAGCTTCTTTCACTGCGACTCCTCTTGAGCTTTGCGTTAGACTCGAAACATCCAAGAATTCGAGATCGAAGAAGCGCCGCAATGGAATTCTAAAGCAGTTTCACTGGAGAAAGAATTTGGAAGCACATCAATATCTTCAACTTTCTAGGCCAGTCTCAGTCGTATCAAAAGGTAGATACCAACACGGCAGCGTACCTTACGGCGATAATTCACCAGGCCCCCTAGACGATGCATAGTCAACCTTCTAATGGAAGGTTAACACCGAGAAATCACGAACCTTAATTATGCCGGTAGCAAAGTATGTTGGGACACGATAACCAGAAATACTCTTCTGTCGTTGGCCGGGAGCCACGGAACAGCATGTGCGAAAGCGTTGCCATTCATAGTAATGTTTTGAAAGGAACGTGCGTCGCCGCTGTCTAAAAGTCGGCAGAGGAATGGCTAGATGAAAAGTAGGAAAGGGGGAGAGAGAGGGAAAGATATTATAGAGCAATGCTCGTTACTCGACGCATTGCATATGAGAGCATCTCAGGCATATTTAAATGATCGACAAAGTCAGAGTGCGCTCGTTTCAACACGAGCTGCACCTGCCTCGCAAGTTTGGTCAAGTTCTCAACTGCGAAATACGATTTGAGAGCACATCTGGTTTTCACCCAAAGTTGCCTCCATAAGCCGAAGACAGTTGTTACGCCTTCTCAATGCCGCCCTTTGAGCTCGTTAGGACACAGTGGTAGAGCTTTCTAGTATCTGTATTCAAAATCATTCGTGTATGAGCCAGTAGTAAACTTGCTAGCAACTATGACATCCGACGAGAAGTAAATCACAGAGTACCGACAAGCTGATTGCGCTTACGGGAAATATGTTTTCAATTCAGAACCTGTCCTCGTCCACACTATTGGTAGAGTCATTCAAAGGCTGCCATGGCGGAAGTTTATCAATCAGCCAAGGGGAGCGCCACTGACCTTACATGCTAAATACTCAGTTCCGTCATTAAGACACTTCACAATCCGTGCCCTTGTTCACCGGTTGATTGTAGCTATGTCCTGCCAAGACAGCAACTAAGAGGATTTCCCCTCCTCCCAGCGCTTGTTGCTTTGACCTGAGTAATGAGAAGCATTTCAGCCAGATCATCCGGCCTGGGCTTCCGCCGACGAGGCCGGCGGGTACAAAACACCGAGGTGATCGGTAACCTACGGGCGTCAGCAGTTCTTCTTCAGGCTGGCCAAGGGTTCCCCACATATCCCCAAGCGATGTGAGGGGGGGGTTGGAGGCTACCCGAGTTGGCTATTAGGATGAATGGCTGCCGTACATCTCAATTGTAACTCTAATTTAACCGCAGACAGCTGATTGAACGGGCCACAGTTGGCCCCAGCTAGAGATGGAGATATACATGCCAGGGACGACCCCTGCACGCCACTAGCCATGACTGCACTATTGGTCCTTTCAACCGGCAATAGAGCATGCTTGGTTGTGATCGGAATGAAATCCTTTTCTAGCACACCCGAGCCATATTCCACATCATGGGGAAACCCTCCGCCTTTTCATAGGGCCTTGTCTTGAAGTCTTGAACGAGCCAAGCGGCCCTCCGTTTTCTCATTGAGCCAACAGTACCCTATCCAGACTTGCAGGTCTAGGGCCCAAGACGGCAGGCCACCACCGGGCCGGGTTCTCCTCATTTGAAGGACGTCACCAAGCCAAGAGCAGGTACTGACCCTGCACCGTCTTTAGAATGACCTTGAGATGATTCTGCTCTCATCGGCTGAGGATTTGGGGTAAAGATGGGGTCGACCGTTGCATCGCAGACTGGGACCTTGCATATATGAATTGGGTCGCCTTCCCTGTGATTTAGACTTACCGATCTGTTTCTTCTTCACCCCCCCGATCTCGGTCTCATGAGACAGGTCCTCTCAGTTTAGTTTTGCCTCGCCTAGTCTTTGTGTCAACGGTCACTATGCATCTTCAATCCCTCACCGTGCCCTTGCTGGCAGCGTCGCTGCCGATAGCATCTGCTCAGCTTCATCATTATGCGAAGAAGGCCGGTCTCCTGTACTTCGGTGCCGCAACCGATTCTCCGGGTCAACGTGAGCGTGCCGGATTGGAGGAGTCCTACGCTCAGTACGATGCTATCTTGGACGATACCAATGAGTTCGGCCAGACTACCCCTACCAATGGTCAAAAGGTCAGCCATGATACCACATAGCCCAGGACCAGCTAACCCAAGGCGCAGTGGCTCTTCGTCGAGCCGGAACCAGGAGTTTTCAACTTCACCGAGGGAGAAATCGTCTCGTCCATTGCCGAGGAGAATGGTCAGCTCCTTCGTTGCCACGCCCTTGTGTGGCACAGCCAGCTGGCCCCCTGGGTCGAGACCACCGAGTGGACTCCTGAAGAGTTGACTGAGGTAATCGTCCGCCATATCAAGGAGGTCGCGGGTCACTGGAAGGGTCGTTGCTATGCCTGGGACGTTGTCAACGAGGCATTGGAGGAGGACGGTAGCTGGCGCAAGTCCGTCTTCTACAACGTGCTCGGCGAAGACTACATCAAGCTGGCCTTCCGTACGGCTGCCGAGGTCGACCCACACGCAAAGCTCTACTACAACGACTATAATTTAGAGACCGTTAGCCCCAAGAGCGAGGGCGCCAAGCGCATCGTCAAGATGCTTCAAGACGACGGTATCAAGATCGACGGCATTGGCATGCAGGCCCACCTCGTCGCTCACCGAGCGCCGACCTTGGACCAGCAGATCGATGTGATCCGCAGCTACGCTGAGCTTGGCGTCGAGGTTGCCCTGACCGAATTGGATGTTCGTATTCAGCTTCCAGTCAATGAGACCAACTTGCAGTGGCAGAGAGACGCCTACAAGGCTGTAAGTAGAAAATCCCAAGTCCCTTTAACTCAGATGGATGCTAACGTGAGTTGCACCAGTCCGTTGGCGCATGTGTTCAGGTACCGGCCTGTGTTGGTGTTACAATCTGGGACTTCTACGACCCCTTCAGCTGGGTTCCCTATGTCTTTGAGGGTGAGGGGGCCGCACTGCTGTGGTTTGACGACTTCAGCAAGCACCCTGCTTACGAGGGTGCACTTGAGGCACTGAAGAACAAGACGGCTCCTCCCTGCCGGAGGCGACGTTCTATTGAACCCAGCAAGAGCAAGAAGCTCTACTAGACAGGCAGATAATGGGAATAATGTCTTCCGTTAGACATTTATGGACAGCCCTATATCAATCGTTGCTTGGTGATGCGAGTCTCGCCGAATATGTGCCTGGGAAAAGCCCGGTACCAAAATTTCGCAGCTCCAGTCGCTAAAATAAAAACTAAGTTACCGCTGTGAATCAGAAATCGGTATTCAAAAAGCCGACGGTGTGCAGTTTACGGTGTACTCCTAGCAGAGCATCATCTTGCTCTGACCTGTGTAATGAAGGGAAATGCGTACCTCGATAACCAAGTTGAACTGAATCCATCATGGATTGGGAATCTAGAGTCGGAGGAAACCTTGAACCCCGAATATCTTTTAAAATTTTGGTATATGGATCCTCAACGGCCAAGTTCTGTAGCAAGTAGATGATGCTTCTCTTTCTCCTAGCCAAGCTTTACCGAGCTTCTCACCGAGACCAGAAGCTGTGTGGAGCACATCAGCCCGCCAATGAATAGCACGGCATTTGGCTGCTTCAGTACATGCATGACCAGAGTTAGTCAGCGATCTTATCGGCCCATTTGCCCCGCGAAAAATTCAGTTAGCGAGAACACATAATCGCGGGGCAATCCAGAGGGTAGACTTACTCCCATGCGACAACTTCACCGAGGATGGATGTGCGCTGTGGAATATCCTCTTAAAATACCGACACCCGAAAGTTATCAAGCCACTGAAATTTTGGGCTCAAGCTCCGTAAAATACGGCAAGTGTCGCAACCATGGAGGAGGACCGGGCTCAGACAGACCTGGGTATCGCTGCCGACATTGAAGCGACTCATCGCGAGGCAGAAGCAGCCGCCCAACCGGTTCTGAGGCAGCCCAAGAAGCGCTTCGTGGGAAGGAGGACAGCCGCCGAAACTGCGGCGAAGAATGGAGATGCTAACGGATCCATCGAGGACAACAAGTCCATTCAAGGTGAGATCGCCTCAGTAGGTTCAAGGTAACCCTCGAACTCACATGTAACTCAGTCGCCCAACCACGAAGAGGCCCGCGACTCTTGAATCAAGTTCCCCCTGAAATCCTCAACGACCCCGCTCTCAAATCTGCCATCTCAATTCTCCCCTCAAACTACAGCTTCGAGATTCCCAAGACTGTTCACCGCATCCGTAGCTCCGGCGCCAAAAAGGTCGCCCTCCAAATGCCGGAGGGTCTCCTTCTCTTTGCCACTACCATCTCCGACATCCTCACCGAGTTCTGTCCGGGCATCGAAACGCTCATCATGGGAGACGTTACATATGGCGCCTGTTGCATTGACGATTACACCGCCCGCGCGCTGGGGTGTGACCTGCTCGTACACTACGCCCACAGTTGTCTCATTCCCGTGGACGTCACCAAGATCAAAACCCTTTACGTGTTTGTCGACATTAGCATAGACACTTCCCATCTTCTTGCTTCACTGGAGCGCAATTTCGCTTCGGGCAAGACTATTGCCATTGTCGGTACGATCCAGTTCAATGCCACTATCCATGGAGTGCGCGGTACTCTCGAGAAGGCCGGCTTCAAGGTCCTTGTGCCGCAGATTGCCCCCCTGAGCAAGGGTGAGATTCTGGGATGTACGAGTCCCCAGCTCAAGGACGAGGACAAGGTCGACCTGATTCTGTACCTCGGTGACGGCCGCTTTCACCTGGAGAGCATCATGATCCATAACCCACAAATTCCGGCGTACCGCTACGACCCGTACTCGCGAAAGCTCACCCGTGAGACCTACGGCCATGAGGAGATGCAGGATCTTCGCCGGACAGCTATTCGGACGGCTAAGACGGCTAAGAAATGGGGCTTAATCCTCGGTTCGCTCGGCCGGCAGGGAAACCCCAATACTATGGGCCTTATCGAGAAACGGCTCAAAGAGCGTGGCATTCCCTGGGTCAACCTTCTCCTCAGCGAGATCTTCCCCGGAAAACTTGCCATGATGGCGGACGTCGAGTGTTGGGTGCAGGTAGCCTGCCCGCGGTTGAGCATCGACTGGGGCTACGCGTTCCCGCGGCCGCTACTGACGCCCTACGAGGCGCTGGTCGCGCTGGAAGTACGAGATGACTGGGGCAAAGGTGTTTACCCTATGGATTATTACGGCAAGGAGGGTTTGGGACGCGTGAAGCCTGCGCAGGTTGAATCAAAAGTCTGAGAGGCTCGAAGGATACGGGAATTTAAAATAACGAGGTCATGTGCAAGCAACTAATGATACCTTTTATGGCACATATACTTCGTAGCGGGTGGTATGAATATGCCTGTTTCTTTCCAATCCTTTAAGATTATCCAAATCGGTTCGTCTAGCACTCGGAAACGAGTACGACACAGCTGTTTGGACTTCTTAAGAGCGAGCATTCCCGAGGCCACGGGCGCACCCTTGCCTTCACTGCTCGTTTCCTATGTCTTTCCGTACGCCCTTCGTTGGTATCTTTGTTACCTGCCTTCGTCGTCCTCGTGATGTGCATTGTCTTTATTTTCTGCAACGACCTCTTCCGTCCCGTTCTCAGCCAACTTTGAAGGCGGCACTGGCACGCTAGCCTTGCTCTATTGCCACCTCGGCATCCAGCAAGAAACACACAATCTTATCAACAGGTGGCCTAGCAACTCCTATTTTTAATCATGTTCTCGTTCATTCATCAATCACGGCGGGGATACTACGCCAGCTATTGGGGGTTGCGTTCACTTTAATGATGCGGAAGCAATGGTTTATCAAAACCAACGAAGGCAAGAGAATACAAGTCATTAAATGCATTTGACCATTAACGTTACAGTTGGTGGATGAAGTACACAAAATCTTCCTCCTGGTATCATTAGATTGTTAGGTGGAATGCAATTCCTGTTCATTGGGTCTTTCCCCTCTCCTTGTCAAATTCCATCACACCTTTCGTTCACATGCCTTAAGCACCAATGGTGGAGTTGACGCTGAAGCGGTAGCTGGCTTGGAGGACATACGGGTCACCACCAGGCTCGAAGATCTGCTTCTTGCCGCGGCCCCAAGCGGGGTTGTTGATACCGTCAATCCAGTCCTGGACCTCGAGGACAACGCAGCCGTATTTGGGGATGATGCGAGGGAAGTCAGCGTTGTCAAACAGACCTTGTGACTTCTTGAGGGCCATGGAGCCATCCTGCTGGTTACAGCTGTACATCTGGAAGGCTTCCTGGTCGGAGTAGACATCGACCTGAATACCGGACCAGGCGGATTGCAAGCGGGCGACGTAGCCTTCGGTACGCCAGTTGTAAGGGCCGAGATCGTTGCGGTTGACGATCCAGCAGTTGTCTAAAAATCGTTAGCTTGTAGAAACATTAGGGTCGATTCAGGTAACTCACCATAGCCGGTGCAGTTCAGGCCACAGTTGTTCTCGAGCTCCTTCTTGGAGAAGTCGGCGCCAATCTCCTTGGGAGCGCTCCAGAAGTCATTGACGGAACCCTTGGCGTTAGGTAGAATCTCTCCCGTGGGAATCAGGATGTTATCAACCGCCACTCTCTGGCCGTTGTAAGGCATGTGCAGGGTGTGGTTGAGGGCCGTGCTAGTCTCGTTGTTGGCGAAACCGTCAAGGTTCCAGTAAGTGTGGCTGCTGAGCATGATAGGCGTCTTCTTGGTTGTTGGAATGGCAATCATCTTGATCTCCCAATTCCAGTCAATCACAGTGTAAGTGATAAGCGAGACGACCTCGCCAGGGAAGCCCTCCTTTCCGTCGGGATCCGTAATGGAGAATGTAATGCTGTTGTTGGTATGAGAAACAACAGTGAAGTTGCGGTAGTCCCAACCGTCCGAGCCACCGTGTAGGGTGTTCAGACCCTTGTTGTCGTTGGCGTCAACCTTGTACGTTTCGCCGTCAATCTCAAAGGTGCTGTTCTTGATGCGGTTTGCATAACGACCGGGAACACCACCGAAGTGAGGGTGCTGGGTGTCAATGCTGTAGTAACTGGCGTTGTCGAAGCCGGCGACAATGTCGCGGGGAACACCATACTTGTCCGCAATAATGAGATCCGAGATCGAGGCACCGTAGGGGATGAAGCCGGCCTTGAGGTGGTCACTGAAGATCCAGTATTTGCCGTCCTCGTCGGGGCGTGGGGTGACGGCAGATGTGTTGCCCCCGGGGCCGCCAACGAACTGGGCGGTTGAGGCCGGTAGGAACAGAGCTGCTCCAGCGGCGGCAGAGAAGAGAGACGAACGCATCGTGGCAGTGCTTGCAAAGGCGGAAGACCAGACAAAGTAGCAAAGAACTGCAGCGCAAAGCACCGAGGGCCAAAAGAGACGACGATGGTGACGGGAGGACGGACGACAAGATCGGAGTGAGGGGGAGATGAGGTGAAGGCGAAGCTTATATCCCAAAGCTCCTGCTCCCTCCAACTTCCCCATGCGGGAGGTGGTGCGTGGAGACTTGCACATGGCAGGGGAGGTGGGACGACTTGGTCATCTGGACCACAACAGAACTACCTTGCGTTCGTTGCCCTTGCCTTGGTGCAATGAGAACCCAGGATGGGCCGTATAGAGCAGAGAACCAGCTCCACTCGATCCGGTTGGGGTATTGAAAAGTAATACACAGTGAGAAGCGAGAAGCGACAGTAGCAGGGGATGATCAATGGACAGGCTGTGACGGCATGATGTGACTGGAGCGTCTAGACGAACATGTGGTGGAATCCTCTCGTGTCTGGGTCCAGAACCAGGCAAACCTGGCCAACGAAAGGAAATAAACGAGCTAAGGCAAGCGTAGCGTGAGAGGCTTTCCTATCTTGCGGTGTCAATGGCATGTAACGTTGGGCGAACCGAGATGCAAGATGCCAGGGTAGAAGGGATCGTGCGGAGGAATCAATGTATTTTTGCTAGAGGTTGGAAGGTGAGCGAGTGCGGTTCCGGTGTGGTGTGTGCTCCGGAGCAGCGTAGGTCCGGTCAGGTTCGAGGTCCAATGACACAGAGCGGGGATCAATTGGCGTGGGTGGATGCTTAAGTGACCGGTTGCTCAGGAACAAACGACAGGGCAAACTCAAAAGTGCCTTTGGATGAGGTTTCGGTCCAACAACGGCGAGAAACATTCGAGGACCAGGTCCGGGGATGGACCGGACTAGAAGCGATGACGATGAGGAGGCGGAGAAACTGGGGGTGCGAGTTGGGGGAATGGGGAAGCGAGGGAAACATGTCGTCAGAAGTCGCGAGCTTGTGGGTGCTATTGGTGCGCCTGTGATCGTCCCTACTGGCCAGGACCCACGGGGTGAGCACTTACAAGGGTTGGTGCCGCTGGAGGTGTAATGTGCCGCAGTGCCGCAGTGCTCGTGGTGCTCTTGGTGCTGCTGTGGTGGTTGTTGTGGTGGTGTTGAACGTGTTGGTGGCGGGCGGGCTGCCGGGGAAATTGCCAACGGATGCGGGGTTTTAGTGCGGGCTTTCCCCAGATGTTTTCCCTGTTCCCCCGCTCTGCGCCACTTGATTTGTGACTTCTTCCTGCCTCCCCAAAGGTCAAGCTTTTTTCTGGCCGACGATGCAGCAGCACTGAGGCCTCTAAGTGTAAATGTGATGATGAATTGCTTGCTATAGTCCCAATAACCATGGCTGGCATGTGGGCTTGCCCCAAAGCGTATGAGAAGCATGGGGTATCTAGTCTGTGTGTATGTCCAAAGTCAATTGAATCTGACGAAAAAAGAAGCCATGGTTCTTTTAATATTGAAAGTTGAGCCCACTTCCCCCAGTTAATGTGAGCCATATCAAGTCGTTCGACTCCCATGTACTTCTGCAATGCCCATGCCAGATCTCTTCCCCTCCCCCCAAAAAATAAAACTCGATCTGGTGGCTTGCGAGTAATATCGATGCGTGCCAATCATATTATTTTCCGCACTTAGTCGCCCATGAAGTCCACGACAACCCAGGTTCTTGAGCATTGTTCATCTCGCATTCAAAGTTCAACGGTAATTTTATTTACCTATCCGAGCCATAACCAGCGGCCGCACTCAGTCATGCTAGTAGGACACACGCGTCCCATCTGACTTCAACAACATGTTGATTTAAATGGCACCCTTGATTCCTTCACCTGTGTCCGTTGCTTCTTCATTCTCGTCTGGCAGTTTGCAGATATCATCACCAAGGGTGCAGCACTCAAGTGGTGCAATAAGGCCCGGTATGACAAGCGAAAAGAAAACATGTCCAATGAGGCAGAAATGACCAAGGTTGTCTGAAGGAGATAATGCTTTTAGTCTGTGCGGGCCCAAACGTGCTTCATGGGCATGCTTCAGAATTCAGATGCGGGTGCGAGGAAGAGACTGGAATTTCAGGTCTAGGATCTATGACAGCCCGAGAACATGATACAGCAAGTTAAAGCCAGAAACTCTCGGCCAGTAATACTATTCGTCACGGAGCAGCTGATAATTGTATGTGCTGCCCAATAATTGTTATCTTACAAAGACATAATGACAAGTCCTGTTTGGTGACCATGACTTCGATTCGGAGAGGTGGCATCGTTTCACTATTCCAATCTGTGAAAAATCTTTCTGCGAGTTGGTCTTGGTTTCGGACGACCGCAGGTTCGACTAGGATCGGCAAATATAGATCTGCCAACTTAAAACTGGCTGCCAATTGAACACATGTCACTAGGCTTGAGATGGTCAATGGGAGATAATCATAACAACATCCCAAGGCCATCATAGTTGAGCCGAGGGAGACTCGAAAGTTGAGAACTGCTTGATGCCTCTGCATGTGTTGATCCGAGATAGGAACTCCTTCATGGGATTTCGAGATTAACGACAGGGCTTCCCATGACTATTTGAGCAACTATGATCAGAGTTTCATTCAACTAACTGAAGCCAATGATGGTGCAAATTCTTTTTTCATTTCATATCTATCCGCAATAGCGCTCAACCAGGTATAAAAGTGGCACATGGAAATAAGAAATCACGAATGTACGACATATTTTCTCTCCCTCCCCTGAATTCCGTCTTGCCGTTTGTGTTACATCGAGTGTATTGAAATGTGAGGTGGTATCAGCACCGATATCTTCCAAAATGTCGGCTGTCAAGTTTGAAGACTCCCAAAAATGATATGGTGGCAACGCGAAGGCTCTCGGCTTTCTTTGTTATCCAAGATATCGCCGCTTATACTCTTTTAAGAAAGCATGGCTGAAGGCTTCAGCATCCTCTTATGGCTGTAGTTGATTGTTAGTAAACAACTGTCCATTTAAGTAATGACAAAGGTCCTATTGATGAGCACCTATAAGTTTCTTGAAAGGAGTTTGGCGTCAACCAGAACTATCTACTATGATACATACTCCAGAACTGTTCTGCTCTGTTTATTGTGATCAAATAGAAATTGATTTCATAAAATGTAGTAGATTCCTTCGATCTGTATCGCAAAGACTCACTGCGAGGATATCTTATTGCCGTTTAGATGCCTCGAATCTTTGTCTTTCGATGAGCTGTGGGTTTCTCTTTGGAGGGAGTGCCAGAGAAACCGCACTTGGAGGCCCCGGAACTGGCCGAGTATTGCCCTGCCGCACGGCGAGGCCGAACATTTGTCCCCAAAAACTCTTGCACACTTCAGTTAAACTTGAAGGAAGATATAAGGTTGGAATGACTGAGTCATGAATAACCTTTGACATAAACCGAATGAAAACCACATCAAACTGCCGGTATGTTTGTTTGCCATGTTCTCAGATATAGACCATTCGAACAAACAACTAACCCGAGATGTCCCACCGAACTTCATAGAAAAGTAGGTTCTGCCAGGCGAAAAACATATGTCCCATTGCGACCGATAACCGGGAGGCTTTAATTATCCAGAGTTTGACTCAAGCGGTTTTGAGTCTTAACAATAACCGAGTTGACTGCAAAAGGTTGGGTCTGCTTTGGATATTTATAGAAGAGCCTTCAACAGCTTGTAAACGTTTTTGCTCTGGATAGTAATGTATAGTCTACCTATTTGAGAGCATGAAGCAAGATAATCTGCCACACTGAGAAAGCGAGAGCTCTTTGCCAACTCCCAAACGTACCCGCGATCTACGCCAGAGTTCGGTCCGAGAGGGAAACAAGAGCTGAAAAAGACAACCACTCGTACGGAGTCTCCGTAATAGCGCCTTCGACACGAATCATCCTCCCTAAAAGGGTCCCGTGAGCTGCCTTAACTACCTAGGTACATGTAAACAACAAAATTTCTCCTCGACCGCATGCCAAGATCCTAAGATAGCATGCTATCGGCATATATTACTTATAAACCCATATGATGAAGTTATGCAAGCAAGGTTTTGTTGTTTCGCAACAATTGAGTTTTGTGCTGCCCAACATTTGGTATGTCGTCAAAGCCGTGTGTCCATTGTGAGATGTTAAACCGCTGATTGTAGTCGTTTCAGCGTGGAGCGTCAAATAAAATACCGGGCGAGTATTCTCACCCTTTATTTCCATACATCTTACCTCGCGACTTCGCAAATATCATGATATCATTGTGTTGTGCATACGAATCATTGTTGTTGCCTTTATTTTCGTTGTTTCACCTACAATAAAGGACTCTAGTAATTAACTGCTCGCGCGATGCATAAGATAGCACCACAACCAGTGATTCTCGATAGATCAGTGCTACTCAGAGATATCTTGTTTGCTTTCTTGAGGGATCAGAGTCGAGCCAAGGTCTAGATCGGTTACCCAGACCTTATTCCAAGTCGATCCTAATCATTTTGTTTGGGGCCTTTGTGCGTCTCTGAACAAGTTACATTTCTCTCCATACATAACAACATAGAGCCGCAGTCTTATGTTGAAGTATCATGACATCGAGATTATCCCCTCCTCCCCTGGCACGTGAGCATCCAGTGTCTCCCTCAGCATTATACCTGTGCTTCTTGTTCGGGCACTGCAGTGAGCTGCTATAAAAGAACTTCCCACATCAAGTGTGAATGCCAACGTCCTGTAGAGCAGCTGTTGCTTTCAAGCCCAAATAAATTCGGTGCGGTCGACCCGGCATCCCGCCCCGAACCGGAAACTTGGAACCACCAACATGTGTGACGTGTTAGTCCTGTGGTTGAGAGGGCTCACCGAAGTGGAGCCTACATAGTAGCAACTGCAGGGAGGGGAAATTTAGCCGGTGGACAAACTTGTGGACTCAACAGTCGATACATCAGTTGGATGACCTCAACGTTGTTTCTTTTGCTGAAAATGAGAGAATGCGATACGTGGGTGATAAATAAGAAACAAGGGTTTTCATCTTTTTTTTTTTTTTTTCAAATTGAAAAGAAAAGGTCGCAATCCAATTGCGCACAATCTTTCGTTTCTTCCTCTTCTCCCATAAAAGCTCGCTTGTAGTGACCAATCTGTCAAGGGTTTGGGCAAGCCTCGGTGAACACGCAACAGGTATCTCCGTAATGAGTGGGAAATGACGTTCCCAACGACAGTCCAATCTCTCCTTAATTCGGTGAGGGACCG